TTAAATGCATATTAAAAAAGCTCACGGCTTTTGGCACCGTTGCTACGGGAAAATGCCATCACTGAATCCTTATCAATATTCTTACATCCCACCCTTTTTTTCTCTCCCTTTGGCAGCTTGTACCACAGTAGTAGTAGATAAGGAGAGTTATCTACTATGGGTTTGGCAGTGCGACTCAGTCTCACGACACACTCTATTTTGATTCCCAGATGAAATAATTTTTTTTTTTAAAAATAAAAAAATCTTGTTGGTTATTTTCAATAACAAAATGCATTTAATAGGGGGTTTCATTAACTATTTCTCATTCTCATGATTTTTTCTCATAAATTTAATCAGCCAATAACATTGCTTCAATTTTTGAGAAATATAATTTTTCTGAGCAAGATTTTTCTTTCTCAAGATGAGAAAATATTTCTTGAGAAAATGAAAATAATTAATGAAACCCCCTAATACTTCCTCCGTCATCTGTAAATTATACAAAATATTATTCTGTTGGATAAAAAAAAGATTGAGTACATTCGGGTGATTTAATGTGACGACTCTCACTTTGACGGATGGTGTATCTGCCCTGCCGATGTAGGGATTTTAATTTCAATTGACCAATAGGAAGTGAGATGTAAATATTCATACTTCAACAACGAATATGGATATGCCCGAGTGTCATTATGTTTGTCTTTTTTTAAAAAAAATGTACAGGGAGGTTAAGCAAACGTTTGTTTAGTCGGAGGTTTTTCAAAACCGTCAAAAGTTCTCTAATAATCTTGCATGGAAGCTGTGCTTTTTTTTTTCTTTTTTTCTTTTTTTCTTTTTTTAGAAAACCGAAAACATTTTTCTTCGCTTTTTTACTTTGTTATCTCTCAATCACCCTAATACTACCATCCTTGTTGAGACATTATATGAAGACATGTATACACATAACAGGTTTATTACATTCCTGCGATCAGATGACAAGATAAAAAGACGAAAAATGATTAACAATCTACAGCATACTTCATCTACCAGCAGTTGCCTGTTTGTCAGAATCAAACACTTAGCAGCATATTTGGGCGTTTGTGTTGGTGCCATCATCTTGATCACTGGGATTGACGTGTGACGGGTCGAAGCACCATTTGGCTCATTACCTCCCTCAATGCCAAGAATTGCTTCTGTCCATTGCAAGGCTTGTGCGAAAAATAAAAAACAACGGAGCCAACAAACTATTATTGATTCGTCACCTTTCGTAAACTATTAAAAGAGGAGTGAGTTAGCTATTTACGTTATACTATCGCGTGTTACTAACTTCTGACATAGACTGTAGAACATGACATACTGGTTTCCACGCGACGCTTTTTTTGTATACCATCTATAAATTTGAGTCACATATACAGCCGATCCCTTCCACATGCGTGCAGTCTTTGTAATCGTATGCTTGTCTAGTGTGAACTGTAGATCAGAAAGCGGGTGTCATTAGTATTTGTCTAAAGCCTTCATGATCACCTCTTATTCAACACCTTCTATCAACAAATTCGATGACAATAACTCGACTGGTCAAAAAGGCTCGCACAATGGACTTCCCTCAGTATTGTCTGGGCTTGATTCACCATCATACGGTCTTGTTGTGATTAAACTTAACATATACTCAATATCTATAACCCTCTCAACACAAGCCCGAAGTGGAATTTTTCGATAATATTACTAGAGTTTTTTTCACTTTGTCTATTAGATCTGATCAGTTTGGAATATTTTCTTACAGTACGCTCCATGGATCTTGTAGAGTAAGCACGTAGAGGACCTTGTTTTCTGATAATAAGCGGAATATGGATTAAATAGTCTTGAACTGGTTGAAATACGGCACACGATAGGCTCTTATGACCCATCTGTTCAACAAGAAATTCATGCAAATCTTGAAATCATTTGTAGAAAGTTGAATAAAGGGGGTGAGTATCAAAGTATTATGGCAAGCATCCTTATTTCGTTTTACTTACGTTTTCATTCTGATCAGAGTTTGTTGTTAAACCTCCCATTTCAATGCAAGACCGAACCGTTTTACCAGCGAAATGAATGCATATTGGAGGTCTGGGTTGGAAGGTGTAGGATGATGAATTTTGGAACAACATATAAAAGAAAGTCAAGCCAATGTACGGCACGAGTCTCATATGTTCTTGCTATCAAGTTATCGAAACTACATCAAAACAATGCTAGTATGTATTTTCTTGATTGCTTAATGGCGTTGCCTATTTCTATTAACTTGGGCTTTGGGATGAAAAAAGGATAGCCGGTTTTACTCTGGGTCAGATCGACAACTGAATAAAAAAGCATTATTTTTTTGGAAATATCTACCATGATGAAATCGTACACAAGCTTACCAATACCTCTAGCTATCAAATGTAACTCAACCAATGCAAAAAAAAAAAAAAAAAAAAAAAAAAAAAAAAAAAAAAAAAACTATGAACCCGAAAACGAAAGAAATTCCCTGAGGATGCTTGACTGATGTATGTTCGTAGCCTTGACATTTAAATAAGCGTAATTACATCCAGAGTAGTTAACTAATAATTTTAGCTTACAGGATCGTTTTGCTTGAAATCGGATGAAGGTCTTAAAGATCCGAAACTATCGTCCAAGTACATCCCCCCCATGTCGATTGTCTGCTGCTGTCCTTTAGTTCCACAAAATCTGCAGCTGAACGGGATTGTATGGGATCCCACATGTGCCCTATCGGCCCACAGCAGAAATGTCGCCGGAAGCCAATACTAGGTATACCTTTGCTCATTTTGTTTGATTATCATCCGATGAACCGAGACGTCCTTCAATTCCATAACAATATGCATCAAAAACAAATCCAAATCCTTTCGTTTCTTTTTTGGACCTGGAAATATGGCTAGTTGTAGCAAGTATGCATCCGAATATTTAACAAGGAGTAATATTAATTTATATTATTATCTTATAGGAAATGAATAAATAACTAATAGAAGGGTAGAAGTTGAAGATAATTGCGTGGATATAGCATGAATTGTCTTCTGTTTGTTGCGGTTAGCGAAACCATCAGTATAGAAAGAGATAGGAATGTCATCTGGATTGGTGAATTCATTTGAATTGACAAATTCCTTGTAATCTTGACCGTTGAAAAAATCACCGATTTCAACTTGACTTGTTTCCCTGTTCGCTCTATACTGCATAAGATCCCTCGTTTTTTGTTTCTGCAAGCATTTGTAAAGCGTATAACCGACGGAACATTGATGGTGGTGGTTATTGCAGGTGCCTGATCATTCTGATTCTTGTTTCTGAATTCATTGCAATGCGGACAAGTTCGCTCATCACCGTCAATTACAAAAAGCGTGCATCCGGTTTTTTACAAGTTTCATACTCATAACCTCAAATAGTCGACTTGGACTTGCCTAATGCATTAATAATGTCACCCTGGGATACTTTAGCACATGGCTCTGTTTCGTTTTAATAGTATGCTTAGATAACAGGAATTTTCACAGTAAAGATGTATGTATACCTTCTATTACTTGATTGTTGATTGTGGTCTCTAATAACCGTATTAATCAATCTTACCAGTTCTCTGTATCCGGGTTGAGAAATTTCATTCTCGTCAAAGCTGGATACTAAAAAAAAAAAAAAAATTGCTTTGATAAAGCTATTCTCACTTATACCGCCATTATTGTAAACATGAGCAAGACCCTCGGTTTCTCCACACCTACATTCAGTCAAATAGGGAACTCTTTCATCTAAATCTCTTTGGTTGTTGCGGACTGTTACATGTTACCCAACAAATCGAAGTAAGTGTTCTGTCATATACCTTGTACTTTTTAAAACTAACCTGCTGGTGTTTCTTGTTGCATAGGAGAAGCACTAACTGCATCCATAGGATAGTACGCCAATGGATCATTGTTGTTAATAGGTAATGCACCTTTGACATCCTCATTTGTGTCAGCAGAATCATTAACAGAATTGATTCTGCGGTGATTTCTCAAATCTTGATAAAAATTAAATTCTCTGTTGCAGGTAGGACATGGATGTAAACGGGTTGTCAATTTAACCATTTTATGAGTGGGAACAGAAGAGCTCGAAGTGGGATTAGAGATTATGTAGAAATTATTCAATGATGTGAAGTAAAGGAAAACAGATTTATTGACAGATGATGCATCCAACCCTTATTTAGGTAAGTAATATTGTGGGGCAATAAAAATCTCTACGTCATGTAGAAATGAAATTTGAACGGTAACGATAATGCTAAAATAAATAAATAAAAACCTTTTACTCCAACATTTCTAATAACTACACATGTCTGAAATAAACAACCATCATCATTTACAAATGACTAAAATTTGAGATTCTTTAGTTGAATCTGTCAAGAATATTGACAAATGCAATCAAATTAAAAGACGAATTAAAGCGAAATGTTTGGACCATTTTGGTCATGTCAAAAAAACAGTTCAACTTATGGCAATTGGTGATCTTCGGGAGCAAGGTTTTTTTCTATAGGACAATAACTTTCTTTCTAATACAACAATCAAGCTTATGACTCAGTTGAGCAATCTCTTCAGAGAAAGAGATACGTGGAGAAAAAGGATTACTTGGGTCCGAAAATTTATGATACCAATATCGTGCCAAGCAAGGTCAATGGCAAGCGCAATGGATTCAAGCAGAAAATATTCATTCTGTTCCAGCTACGGAACACTAAACATACCACTGGCGAGACAAATAGTTATGCCCCCGTTCCCAGTGGAACAATGGATTCAATCCAGATCGAGCTCAATCAATTGACTAGAGATGTTAAAGGGGTGATCTCGGTTGATCTTCGAGAAGCACAACTTTAGAAGGATATAGATACCAATTGTAGTTAAAACTTTTTATCTTATAAAGCTAGAAGAAGTTACACATAATGCAAAGATCGACATTTGTTTATGCAAAAATTTCTGGTGTACTTGGTAGGACATTCAAAGCCTCAAAACAGACAGATGCAAGAAAGATGAAGAAAGCGACTCAAGAGGTAGGTGTGAAACGATTTAACTTCGCCCTTAATGTATTTAAAAAAAAATTAGAGTATCCAAGTTGATGGTAGTGAGTTGGAGGAAGAAGAACAGAACTCCGGTAAAATAATGAAGATTTCGAAGCTGCATCACCTTTTCAAGGCGATGTTTCACTGTTAGTAAGACTACATTTTTATCTTCCTTCTTTTTGTCAGAGTAAGTACATTTCCATAAAAAACAGACCCGTTGAAATTCTTGTAGCTAACTAAAGAGCCTGATGCTAATGCTAATGTAGTCATTCGACCCATGCATGAATGACTAGTCTTGAAGTTTAACATCTTTCAATTGAATGTCTTTTACTTGTTGATGGTAAGTTTTTATTTTTGAACCTTCTCTCTTGCAGAAACTCTTTACTCAACTGTTGCTTTACTTCGTTTATCTCTGCAGACAATCTTCCAACCTTACTTTTGTTTACCTTCAGTAAAAAGCATAATTGAAGCCAGTCTGTGTCGGAAAATTGTCTCGTCACTTCCATATATTTTTGTTGATCACTACGTTTTCGAAGCGCTTGTGGGTTAAGGCATTTTGAAAAAAAAAATTATCTATTTGTCGACAAAATAAGTAAAGAGATTGTGTCGACTGGCGCTGTCACCATCTATAGTAATATTTTAAATATATAAAAGCAACCCTATCGTTGTCTGTATCATTTTTTAAATAAATAAATGTTGGATCATGATTACATGCAGCAGTTTTTAGAGAACAATTCAAACTACATCAAACAGAGTTAAATAGCTGTTAAAGGTTAATTTTATATTATATTATGATACCAATTACTATACATACTATTTTATGATTATTTGTTAAAAAGAAAACAGAAGAAGAAAAATCAGGCTTACGTACAAGAACGGTACACACAAACATAAAGTGCTCTTGCAGTGCGTTCGATAGGTACTTTCAATAACCCTTGGACCATTCTTTTTGTTTTCTATAATGTGTCTCTTTACAAGATGGAAAAAATGGGGAAACTACTAAGAAAACACTAAGAAGAAGGGTGATTTCAGAAAACAAAGTTGCAACTGTTTATTAAGTGGCAAAATTTTGGACTTAAAGCCCTTGGCATTTAGTATTGGAAACAATTTATTTGTAATATAAGTATGCTAATAAAACCGTGAATACTTTTTCATAGAGACATTTATAAAGTGCAAAATGTTTGATAGTTATTCGTCCCTTAAAACCAGCGAAGAAGTGAAGTTTATCGCTTTTAAAATAAAAGCATAAGTCAATTGAAATCACGATACAAAAAAGCCTAACCATGTAACACCAAACGTTGCATCAACAAGATACACTTTTTGACCACCTGTTACGTTCAGCGTATTAACATAAGAAATTTTCGTTTAATCATACAAATTATATAGGTATCGTAATATATGTTTATTAAACTACAAAACTCGATTTTGCAGTGGTTTCTCATTTCTTTAACAAGTATACGGCCCGTAGTATCGAGCATTAAATAGCCACCTTCTGAAAAAAACAATATTCTTTTTTTTTACAGCATAGTATCTTAGAGCACATTTTTTTTTTTTTTACCGCGTAATTTTTTTTGACAGCGTTATATTTTTTTAAAGCATAATTGTTTCTGCAGCGTAATATTTTTTAGCAGAGATATAAAATTGGAGGTGCGGGGAACCCCTCCTCCCATGAGAACGACCCATAACATTAAACTGAAAACCGAAAAAAAATGTTCTTGAATAACAAGTGGCTTTGATGTACAAACTGATTGCAAAAAAAAAAAAAAAAAAAAAAAAAAAAAAGTTACAATGGGGGGTCTGGGAGGGCGTCACCCTTCCCTCCAGTATAGCGACCAATAGCATTAAACATTAGTTGTAAAGCTCCAAAAGCTTTTTGAGAAACCATTTTATTTAAGAGAAAGTTATTAAGCAGGGAGTGACATTACAGAAACAAAGTCATTAACGCACGCCCGTTAAATTTTCCTTTTGGGATCTCCACGCCCGTGACCCGACTCTTGTAGCTGAGAATAATCTCCACGCCCGTACATAATATCTCCACGCCCATAATTTTCAAGCGCTAATAGCAGACCCGTATAGACTGGGATTTTGTATCTGAGCCGCATAACATAAACTAAAAAGCTCCAAATATCATAAATTAAGCGGCAGAGAAGTACTTGTCTTTTTTTTTCTGCCCTGGGAATCGAAAAATCTTAGAAATTAAGTGGGTTCTTGACTGGAAATCGAAAAGTCTTACAAATTAAGTGGAAATCAACTTAGTAAAAAAAAGATAGAAAGTAGTTTTTATTCTGTATTAGAAGTTAGAGAAGGAACTAAAGGTTCAACCAAGAGGCTAAGAAAAGAGATGCAATTTGATCTCACACTGGCGTATGTGTAATCATTCGCAGCAAAACAACGATGAAGAAGCTTTATAATCAGCTTAGCTATAACGATTCTACGGCATGTTCCGAGGTTGTTACTTTTTGTGAAAAGGAATTTTTTTAATTCATCCTTGTGCTTTTCGTTTGATTCCCCTACAGCTAATGTCTCAGGCATATCTTCCACATCAATACCGACAAGCATTGGCACGACACGCTTTGCATCGAAATCCTTCTTGATGTTGGAAGGAATAAACAAGTGCAAAAAATCTCATATAATTGTGATAGTGGCAATACGGCTATGGTACGTATCAAGTACGTCTGTATAACGGGTAATAAGCTTATATTGCACTTCTTTGTACTCATAATAATTAGTGAAATGAAATTTGCGGGAATCCTTGATCATTTTTAATTTATCGCATGTCAATTTGGAAAACTCCTCGTCAAAATCCACAAAGAGTTAATCCAATATATGAGCACGCGTAACAGTTACTGCTTCATTCAACATCTTTTGGTGGTATTATCTAATTACGAAGTTGAGTTGCTGTCATAGTGGATTACGGGGTGAGGATTGAATTTTTGGTGGGCAGTCAGTTTGCAACGCCCGTATATTTCATAGTCCGATGGCAGAGTCGGGTTACGGGCGTGGTGATCCCAAAAAGGAAAAATTACGGGCGTGGAATAAGTTTTTTGGTATAGAAGTATGTACTCGTAGTAGGAAAAGTCGTATAGCAGTATACAAGCGTATGCTGATATGCAACATCAAAGGTTGTTTTAATTTCATAGTTTATTTATTTAAACGATTTGCTTAATTATTCTTAAGTGAATCGTACCCAAATACGACAGTATCCGTTGAACAGATAGGCTTTACAACTAAGCAGGCTAATATCCACTTGTTTCAATTTAGAGTGATTTTTGAAGCACAAAGTAAGCTCTTTATCATCACCCGTCACCGGTCACATTCCGCCAGAGATTCGGACTTCTTCTAATAGAGGACAAGATTTAAAAAATACTCGGAAGACATCATTGAATACAACAGTGTTTGTTTTCTCCCCCGGGCAAAATCCAACCTCAACATTCTTGAGAGAATACTCTTGGACTTCGTACTGGCTTGCAAATGCATCTGACGCATCTGCGCCAAATTTATCGAACCAAACTAACATTGTGACATTGTTAATCAGCTTCGATTTTTGAAACGTATCAACCATAAGGAAACGCCAACAAAAAGAAGCCCTTAAAAATAGAGAAAGATAGCATTGTTAATAAACAATAATGAAATTAATATATCATGCACTTACCACAGTCCAAACGGACAACGGCGGAACGGCCGGATCGCCTATTTCGGCCGAAGCTGAAAGACGAAAAACTGTCTGGTAAAAAGACATTAATATTGAAGACTATAAACCTGACAGACACGAACTTACATGAGGCGGCGTCGCCCCCTTCCTCCATTAAAAAGGAGATCCCGGCGAAGCCATAAGGAAAACCCGACAAAAAGAAACCCTTAAAAATAAAAAAATAAAGAAAGCATTGTTAATAAACAATAATAAAAATGATAAATCATTCACTTACCATATTCCAGACGGATACGAAAGTCTTGTCTGTGCTGGGAGATCATACCACCCTTAAGCCAAGAAGTAGTAACTGGTAAATGACAGGAATATCTAAGATCGCTAAACTTGATAGATATGAACTTACCAGAGATAGCATTATAGATTGCTAAAAATTTTAAAAGCGAAGGAAAAAAAAAGGGGGAAGACGGAATTGGATTCTGGAACTTTGTTTATATATGAAATCGAAATAAAAAAAAAAATGATAAATCATTTTTACGGAATCTGATGAAAAGTTGATCAATTAACAGGTATTTTAATTGGATGGATAAGTCTGGAAAGTTTTGGTATATAAAAACTTTTAAAACTTCGCAAAATGCAAGATTTTATAACGAAAAATAGTAGATTATAGTTGTAGACCTTTTAGTAAACCTTTGGTAGAAGCATCTGCTTCTTAATATAAAATTAGAGCGATGACACAACTCTATAAATTTTGAAACGCAAGTTTTAAGATAGTTATATTTTAAGATGTCATTACATGAGTTATAGATTAAGATCATTGCTTAACCATTTCACTGATAAAATAGGGCCTGATAAAACATTTTTAAAAAATATTTTTTACATGAAGACTCATTACCCGATAATTCGTAATGAACAAGTGAACATCACGATATTATTAGGATAAGCACGACATAATCCTTTTTAAAATCTTTTATGATGTGTATTATAACTCTGAATTTTTTCATTTAAAAAAGGACTATCAACCTGAATAAAACCCGCTATACACTTGTTCCTCGAGAATTGGAGATATGCAACTGTGAATGATGGGACCGTAAGCTGGACACAAGCGACTCATTCAAAAAATGACAATGTGATGTACTTGACATTAATCAGTATATAAGCACATTAGGCAACTTTAAAAGCCTCTAACTTCTTTGACCTATTATATGCTAGATAGGCGGGTTGTGTGAATTCTTCAGTCACGCAAAAAAAAAAAAAAAAAAAAAAAAAAAATTGGTAATTTCGCCTTGCTTTAGCAAAAATTTTAAATTAGTTGGTAAAATATCACTACAGTTCAAGATGTCGCCCTTCATATTGTATGGTTAGACACTTGATAGATTGTACTTTTGTATTGGTTTGATGATAACAAACAGGATGGTATTCCAGGGCGAGGTGACGTGACGATCAACTACAAAGCATAAGACTGTGAGCCATTTAGGGCAAGTAGTTAGTGCATTGATATTTTTGTTAGGACAAAACCCTTGCTTTAATCCACAAATAAAGCTAACCACACTGTAAACAAATGGCAACTTCTTTTTTCTGAAAATGGAAAAGCTTCGGTGTTCTTTTTTTTTCTAGAAAAAAAAAGTGTACATCATGGCTTTCCATAATTATAGGTTTACCTACCGATTGGGGGAACAACCAATAATACAGAGAGCGCATCTCATAGCTTGTTTACAATATAAAGAGGCTAAACAGGAAGTTTGGGAGATACGGATCAATAAAGCTTAATGAAGTATGCATTCAGACCAGTAAATGAATATGCGTCCCATTGTTTATTAAAGAACTTACATGCATATATTTGTTACGGTTTATATTCACTGCACTCACTGCGCACAATGTACATTTATGTAGATGCAACTTGGTTTTAATGCAATACTTACCCAAATATACTCATTTCATTACTTTTATTTTAAAAGAAGGTCAACTTACTAAATATATTTAATTGTAATAAAAAACATTAAAAATGAAAAGCGGGGGTTACTTACTTGAGTTCTTATCTTTGGGCCAGAGCTTCAAGAAGACATTAAATGCATTCATGTTTATAAACAAGAACCATCTAACGTCATTGTTTAGACCTTAGGACACACTGATAACTAGCTTTTTAGGGAATTTACATGTCAATCTGTTCATGATATTGTACAATGAATATTGTTCTTGTACTCTTCTGAACATGCTACTCATTGATAATCTATAATTAGATCGCTTATTTGACTCTTCTAAAAAAAATTCAAAAATTGACATTTTAAAGAATGCTGATTCAGTACTTCGAATATATCTGCATACAAATATCATCGAAATTAGACTAACATTCTCTTGTATTATTCGGTGCTTGACATAATAAAGAAAATGGCCGATTATTCTTGCGTACAAAGTACATGATTCTAATTTAAGAACAAATAAGATCTAAGAATAATAGTTTGCAGATGTACTGGCTTGGTCCTTTAGTATCCACCAAAAAAGTGTGATCCTTTATTCGGGATTCACAGTGATTGTAATCACGATTTATATAAAATGTTCCAAACAAGAATTTAACAGTGAAACAAATGGACAGTTGACCACCCTCGAAAAGGAAAGTTGTTGTTGTTTAGAAGGAGCTTGTTTGGACGTGTTAGAATTCATCCTTATATGCCGTGTGAATTAACACAAATTTATAATTGAGTTGACCGTAAAAAAAAAAAAAAAAAAAAAAAAAAAATTATGAATGCGAAACAGTAATGGGGGGTGTGATGATCCCATCAATGCGAAATATGAAGTGGTGTAACATGCATTTATTGAAACTACGCGGTCTGTGTTGCCTGAGTAATCTGATAAGAACATTTTTTTTAGGTTACAAAATGTCAAGGAACTGACCCAATAGAATTTGTTCGATTATTCTTTGAGCAACTTTGATGGCACGAGAGTTTTTTTAAGATGTGGTTTTTATGCGATGCGTTTCACTCTCAAAAAAAAAATGTAGCTGGTGTAAAATGTATATCCTGCAATTGAACCCAATTGAATATTTGAGCCGCCCACGGGTTAAAGTATCAAGTCTTTTTTTGACCCATTTAACCGGCTTTCGCGGGAAGAGGGGAGAGGGGGAGTTCTGACAGACACATATTCCGATTGGGTGTCTGATGTATTTACCTCTCCGTATTGACTTTTGATACAAATTTAAGTAACCTTTTTTTTATTATTAATCTTGGCAAAAATAAATTAAATTTCTACTGCATTTTCAGTAATTAATACAATTAACAACACGGAGTCATGTTGAGTAATTATTCAATAAATGGAATCAAAAAGAGCAAAGCAGTATTTTTATCTGTGGAACTGTTGGATTAAGCTTTTCATCATCATCCAGTGTGAGAAAGTATTTGTTTTACCCGTTATTTGTGTAGCATATCTCGTGAACAGTTGTAATTTTAAACACAAAAAGGGATGGAGCTATTTAATTATGAAGGCGGTTTATGTCGGAAATTAGGAAATACTAAAAAAAAAAATTGATGTCATTTAAACTGCCGTTAAAAAAATATATCATTTGACTACAGTCTCTTAGTAAGGCTGTCAAAGAATGTGATTTCTAAACAACCAAAGGATGGATCCTTACCTAAAAAAATGTCTCGCGCTTAGGAAAAAATTCATGTTTTTTCCTCCAAAAAAAAATAACCATGTTTTAAACTCTATACCCCCACGCTGTTTATTTGTTCCTTGCGACTAAATAAACTTGGGAATGCCTAAAGAAGATTTCACCTTTGTTGAAAGAATGGCTGTCCGTCATGATAGTAAAAGAAGATCAGCGATGGATTTATTTTAAGAAAAGCTCGTGATAGACAATGCTTAGTTATTTAAAAGAAGCTTTGGTGTCAAATCTTGAGATGGTTTTGCTTAGACCCCAGTTCATCAGCTGACTCATCCAAGCTCCTGAACTGGTTTACATCAGGTAGTTACTGTCTTGCTTTCATCCCATGATTTCGAAATATAGAAAAGAATACATCTTCTCTTTTCGATAATCAAAAACGTAGTAACCATAAATTTATCAATGATGATTTAATATCTACGCACTTTTTTGCTAAGGCTAATATGGAAATTAAGATCACGAGCTTTTACAGAACTACGCACGTTTGGACAACAATGAGGGGAATACAAAAACTCTTATAAGCATACCTTATTGGCTAGCTTTTTTTTACTTACTACAAAGGTGGGGATGACATTGCATTAAAAGGGAAACCAAGAACGTCTTTTAAATATTTTTTTATTTTAGACTCGGTAGAACGCTTTTCCTTTACAAAACTTTTTCTTTCTTGTATTTTCTCCCTTTTTTTATATATATACACAACTATTGGAACTGTAATAGTCAATGGCAGATCCGATTGCAGATACAGCAGAGTATTTTGCAGAAAAAGAATCAAGACAAAAACCTGGTCTACGTATATTTCCTTCACAGCAACAGCAACAACATCACCATTTAACGCCACAGGATTTACTGTCACCTGAATCACCAGAGAGTAGACGACCTAGTCATTTCCATCACCAAGCACGAAGCGATTTCGATCCCAAATTACAATGGCAAAAGGTATTCAAACGATTACCCAGTCGACGACATAGTGGCAGACGCGATAGCCAAGATGGCATCAATGAAACCGACTCGGAAACGCATGATGACGAATACGAAATGAATAACGCTGGACATTACATTCCACCTAAACCCGAAGACGATGTCTTACCTTCTACAGAGGATATTAAAAATGTAGAAAATCCCGAACAAGATAACTATTTTGCAAACCCGTTTCATGAGAGTTTGGACCAGCAACAAGAAGAAGAACAACAACAGCCACCAACACTCAACACAGAGGAGCCTGTGGCTTCCGCAGGAAGTGGTGTGACAATGGCAACAAATGATACGGATGAAGCAAATACCACCACCGTCACCAGCGATGATCGTGCTAAGAAACATTGGGGAAAGACATTGGATAAAGTCAAATTGATTGCGAACTTACATTCATTACCACAACACCAGCATAGACCTAGTGAAGCTTCCTCGATGGACTTGAAGACAATACCACTTGCTCCTTATTATCCCCCTTTATTTGATCCAGTATTTATCGCCTTATCAAAAGATCAGCACGGGCATGGATGGGCACCTGTATTACTGCCCTTTTTAAAGGTAAGAAATGCTTTAATTTTTGCCGCCGCTACAAGATAATGATACGCAACTTAACATAGGTAGCGATTACCGATTCCGAATTATTAACACAAGGTATTAATCAATGGGTGTTTCGTATCGAGTTACAATACGGCGATATCAAATGGGTGATCAACCGCACCATTAAAGAATTCGCAGGTCTACACATCACACTGAAATGGAAATCCAAAGTATCTGACGCAGTCCCACGACCACCCAGTTTCCCTAGTCAATTAAAAAGCTGGGTCAGTTCTGCCAAAGGTACAATCCGAACGGACGATTTAGAAGCGAATACGACGTCGGGTGAAAAATATCAGATTGCATTAAAACGACGAAAGGACCTGACAAAGTATTTACGTAAATTATTGATGAGAGCACACATGATGGCGAATTACGATATCTGTGAATTTCTCGAGATTTCAGCTGTGAGTATTGTAGAGGATATGGGTTGGAAAGGCAAAGAAGGCTTTTTGGAAAACAAGGTGAATTTTGTGATCCCGAGACTCTGTCATGTATTGAAACCCCATTTATGGAATAAGCAATGGGTCATTTTAAGAGATTCCTATGTCGCCTTTATCTCAGATGTGGCTTCCACGCGTATTAATGATGTGTTTATGTTTGATAAAAGTTTGGTTGTTCAGAACAAGACGCCCGGATTATTGGGAAAGTATCATAATCATATCACACTGGCCAATAAGTTTCGAAGGATCGAAATCAAAGGCGGAAGACGTGAAGTGGAGGAATGGATGAAGAGTATACAGCGTGTGCTTGATGACAGTCCATGGGTTAAGAACCATCGATTTGGCTCATTTGCTCCTATTCGACATAATTCAAAGGTGCGATGGTTTGTAGATGGCGAAGATCATTTCAATGCCATTGGAGAAGCAATTCTTTCCGCCAAATCGGAAATCTATATCGCTGATTGGTGGTTATCTCCTGAATTGGTAAAAAAAAAAAAATGTTGGACCATGATTGGGTAAACTAAACATAAAAATAGTATTTACGGAGACCACCAGAAAAGAATCCTGAATTTCGATTGGATCGTTTATTGAAACGAAAGGCAGAAGAAGGTGTCAAAATCTATGTGGTGGTGTATAAGGAAATGGCAGTTGCATTAACGATTAATTCTGCCCATACAAAACTGTGGTTACAAGATTTGCATAAAAACATTATTGGTAAAAACATATCACGAGCGGCGGACCTTTGTATTTTTATTAAACCATTTAATTCTTTTTTAGTGGTGCGACATCCTGATCATCGTTCTATTGACAATAACGTGCTTTTCTGGTCACATCATGAGGTGACAAAAATTTAGCTTTACAAACAACTTTTTTTTTTAACTCGATTTTCCAAAATTAGAAAATAGTCGTGGTGGATAACCGTTTAGCTTTTCTGGGTGGTCTTGATCTATGTTGGGGGTAAAAAAAAAAAAAAAAAAAAAAAAAAGATATTGAAGATTTAAAAATAATTAATAATTTAAATTTTTATTTTTAGTCGTTACGATTCACAGTCTCATAGATTAACGGACTATCCTGCAGAAGGACATGCCCATGAAATATTTCCAGGCCAAGACTATTCTAATCCTCGTGTGAAGGATTTCCTAAGTGGTAAAAAAAAAGAAAAAAAAACAAATAGTTACAAAAAATGTGGTCAGTCATTAATGCGAAAAACCCAAGTTAACTCTCATCTATTTAAAATATCAAGTGGCACAATATGATTTAACTCTAGTCGATCGGAACATAACACCTCGAATGCCTTGGCATGATATGACGGTTGGCATGGTAAGAGTTGTCTAGACGTTAAAATCAACATATTCTAACAACATAATCATCCTAGGTTGGACCAGCTGCACGTGATGTGGCTCGACACTTTATCCAGCGCTGGAACTTTTTAAAGGCTTCCAAAGGCATGCATCGTCCTACCGTTCCATTTTTGATGCCTAAAGGAGAGTATGTAGCTGCACGTGACGAATCGTCTTTTAAAGGCACTTGTCGTGTACAAATGTTGCGTAGTTCAGCACAATGGAGTTCGGGTATCGAGAGAGAACATTCGATTTATAATGCTTACATGGAATGTATCACGAAATCCAAGCACTATATCTACATTGAAAACCAATTCTTTAGCAAGTATTATTCAGCCCTCCTCCCAGATGAGGAGGAGGCGTCGCACAAAAACCTATTGTTTAATCATTTTTGTATTTTATAGTTAGTGCTACGACCCAAGACAGGCTTTTGAGAAACAAGATTGCTCAGGCCATTGTTGAGCGTATTAAACAAGCCCACGAGAAAAAGGAAAAGTACAAGGTGTTTATTGTGATACCTTTAATTCCTGCTTTTGAAGGTGATTTGGCTTCCAAAGAGGCTTCCGCTGCACGAAATGTCATGCACTTTCAATATATCACCATCTCAAGAGGAGGTAACTCCATCATGGAGAAATTAAAAGAGGTAGGCATCGAGCCTTCTGATTATATCGGCTGGTATAGTTTAAGAAATTGGGATAAATTAGTACCACCCAAACCCCCAAAGACATCATCCGCCGGCACCAAAAAGACCCCCGTTACAAAGACAAAGTCTACCAACTCAACCTCCAATAGCGGCACAAACGCATCCATGCCAGAGGGGAAAAAGGAAGCTCCACTTCATACATCTTCATCAGATGAAAGCCTAAGAGACCCATTATCACCCATACCAACCACTGATATCTGGGATGATGATGACCGTGAACATTACGTCAGCGAATTAGTGTACATTCATGACAAAATTCTCATAGTGGATGACCGTTTTGTATTAATTGGATCTGGTAACACTATTTTTTTTTTTTATTTATCATGACGTTTTTGAAAATGTATATTAACAATTTAAGATAGCCAATATCAATGATCGTTCACAATTAGGAAATCGAGACTCAGAAATTGCCATGTTAATTGAAGATACAGATATGGTTCCATCATTTATGGATGGCAAAGAGTATAAGGCAGCTAAATTTGCCCATTCATTGCGTATGCATTTATTCAAGGAGCATTTAGGTTTATTGGACTTTACGAATTGGGAACAATTAATGAATGGACAGGCCGAGATGCCTGTGAATATACCTTGTGGATCAACACATCATGCCCATCAAAGCGCAACAGAGGAAGAGATCAAGACATTCGAATCAGCGGGACCTGATATGGTATTAAATCACCAAAAGAGATCGGGCGCCAATGCGATTGATTCTACAGATTTTGGAACGATGGCTGTTCGACTGGATGCCAAAGCCTTGGATCCATTAGCAGACCATTGCTGTCGAGACTTATGGAATATGACAGCAGAGAAGAATACATTGATTTATAGAGATTTATTTAGATGTGTACCAGATGATACGGTACATACGTTTGAACAACACCGCAAGTTTTTACCTGATCCCAGCAAGATTCCTCATGGTCATGTAGCTAACCCTGAATTGCATGGTAGAGATATTCGAACTCGATTAGGTAGAATTCGTGGTCATTTAGTGCAATTTCCATCCGACTATTTAAAGGATGAAAACATGCTGGGTTCACTTATACGTGAAACTGTCACACCCATGGTTATCTTTACTTGAAATAAATTACGTATTCCCGTGTGACATAATATGCAAAAAAGTTGTTTACTAAATAACGCCACATATTTGGAAACGCCCCCCCTTGAAATTAAATATATTGTATATCAAATGATTTATAATAGTCTAGAATGAGGGAACACAACACAAAAAATAAAGGAATTAAACAAAAATGGGTACTTTTTTTTTATTGTAAAAAAAAGAGAAAGAGAGGGGGAATGATGTGTGAGTGTGTGTGTGTGTATGTATATATATAATAAGAATAGAGAAAAAGCAAATAAAAAATCTAAAGCCACCAGGACTCTTTCTCGCCACTATGAACAAACATATCAGTGTCTTCATCATCGTATTGAGAAAGAGGTGGACTATGTGATTTGTTGTCAGATTGATGACGTTGTTCTTCTTCATCTTCTTCAACCATATCTGACCAGGAAGAGCCAGTACCACCAGAGAAGAAAGCTGAATCGTAAGAAGTAACATCGTTGCGCTTCGTAGTGACAATGGCGGTAGGAATAGGCTCGTAATCATCATAGTCGTCTTGATCAGTGGACAACAAACGATCGATGGATAAGAACTGATCCTTCATTTCAGAGACAGAAGGTCTATCAGCGCCGTTTGTGGTCAAGACTTGTTCGAGGAAACGATAAGTAGCAATAGATAATTCGGGAAATAATTGATCTTTGAGCATGATGGGACATCTTTTGAACTCATTGAAAGTAGGATCAGCACTTGATGCTTCTTGCCAAGGGTTACGACCAAAGATTAAAGCCAAAAGTAAGACGCCCAAAGACCAAGCATCAGACGCAGCAGCGTCATAAGGAACGAGTTCTTCATTGGAATCATCGAAATGTTCGGGAGCCAAATAAGAAGTGGAGCCGCAACCAAATTCCATTGAATAACGTTCACGAGTGGCCAAACCAAAATCAGCCACTTTACAAGAGATATCATCTTCATCTTCTTCATCTTGACATTGGAGTAATACATTTTCAAGTTTTAAATCACGATGATAAACACCTTGTTTATGCATGGATTCAACACCTTCCAAGATTTGTAAAAAGAGTTTCTTGACGAGATTTTCATCACGCAAAGCATTGTTGTCTCCATCACGAATCACGAAATCGAATAAATCACCTCCATCACAGAGTTCCATGACCATGTAGATATAGTCAATGTCTTGAATAACACGATGAAGAGCCAATAAGTTGGGATGAGATAAGGAGCTTTGGATATCAATCTCGAGTTGTTGAAGTTGAAGTTGTTGAAGGTCGAGACCGGATTTCGTAAGCACCTTGACGGCTACGTAAGCGTTGGATTTGAGAGATTGGCCTAAGAATAGGCAGCCGTAAGCACCGTGACCAAGAACCTCCAAGAGTTGGTATTCTTGGTCAACGACCTTATCGACCATAGATGTAGAGAGTTCGGACCAGTAGGTTTCTTCTTGTTGTACCATAGTAGTAGTAGTAGTAAGAGTAGTAATAGTTATGAGAGAGATATAAGAGAGAGAGAGAGATATAGATAGACAGATAGAGAGAGAGAGTATACAGTTTTGTTGTTGTTGTTGTTGTTAATAAGAGAGAATTGAGGATTTGACTAGGTCGTATATAATAATGCCAATAGTGGGCTATTTCGATGTTGGGAAAGATTTAACATAGTATGTTTGTATAATAAAAGAGATTTTTGAGTTGATTAAAAACTACCAAATTTTTTTGAGGAAATTCGTTGGTATTTTGTTATTGCTTTTTGAGGAAGAAATAAGAGTAGTAGATGTTTCGCTTGGGAAGCAAATCAGTTGGAAGCCATGATATATAGATGTTATATATAAGATAAAAAAAAGAAGGTGGTAGTTTTTAGAACAAAAAAAAGTAAAGAAAAAGAAAAAGCAGAAAAATAAATGGGGCTACAACTATTTATATCCCCTTTTGAGACCCATCTTTTCTCGTGCTTTCTTTCTACTCCCATTGGTTAATTAAACCACTAGAAGGGAAAATGACGAAATTCTAAATGTAGCAATAAATTTTTACAAATGTTTTGGGCTCGGGTAAATATTCCCCTTTTCTCACCCGCAAAAAGAATTACACACACATTCACCCTTAACTCCCCTCTTCGCTTGTGGCTCCTATTGTCAAATCAAATCTAAAAACTGTCTGCAGTAACAATATAAAAAGATACCAAAAAGAAAAAACAGATCATTAAGAGTCAAATTTAATCAAAGCATTTCTATTGGTGATTCCATGTTCTACAGCCAAATAATAATATTAAAAACCGTGGGTATTCCCACATAACAAGAAAAGTTGGCCATAGAAACCAAAAAAATGCCCCTTTAAACTAACCCCCCCCCCACTCCTTTTTAGTTTTTTATATATACGGATACAAAAAGTAGAAATATTTATTATAATTGTTATATATGTGGGCAAAATCACAAGGAAATCGTATTGAGATGTGATTGGTTACTTTTAAATTTCTCATCTTCAAAAAAAGAAGTGCGCCGTTTCAATCCGCCCATCGCCAAATCTAAAATGATGGCATTCATTTGTCATTATCATTCGAAATGAGCATTTCATTATTAATTATTTTTTTTTTTTATTATTATTATTTTAAAAATCAAGCGTCATTTCATTATCTTTCTTGAGTAATTCCAACATACCAGGAGGCATCAAGGGCTTTTTGATTGTCTTTTCCTCTCCTGCTTTAGTAGTAATGGTCTTGGTCTCTGCAATATAACGGAAAGGCATTGTGACAGATTCATGGCGAGAAAAGAAAATCTCTGGATAGTCAATGTAAGGGATCTTGTCCAAAGGAACTAAACAGATACAATACACTCTTTAGTCTTTTTGTTTAAACCTCTAAAATCCTCTTCAACTTACTTTTATCCTCTACCACTCTCTTTGTGACATTGACAGCAGTATCAGTCGTCATTTGAACAGGACCAAGACGTCTACCTGCAAATCCCAATTTACGCAACTCTCCAGTACGATCTAACCTTCTTTTTTTAATACTCTTATTTTTAAATCCGCATATATATCATTCATACCTCTGGGTGGGTGGTCACCCAAAATACCACCAAACAAGAAATACTTAAACTTGTCACCATCCTCAGGTGCCAACTCGGAGGTACCAGCAGGGTCCAACAAGCAGATTTCTTCGTGCTTGACACCAGGCAAATTCAATACGTCAATTTGGTGACACTTGGCTGACTTGAGTTCCTCGGGCATACCTTCATTCATACATTTATCTGTCAAAGATGTAAAGTAAAGATGATCAGGTCCAATCTTTTGCAACATGTGCTTGTACTCTAAAGCACACCATTCATGCATGGCATCCTCCATGTGTTCGATAATGTATGAGCATTGACTGGTTGCCATGGTTATGTTTCTATGAAAAAAATAATGGTAATAGGGAAAAAATAGAAAAAAGAAATTTTCAGTCTCCCCCGCCGTTGGGGCTTTACCGCACTACACTGCAAACATCTTTTGTGGCTTAAAAGGTACACTTTTTCTTTTGGATTCTAAATGATTTTCATAATAGCATTTTGGGGGATTTTTTTTTAGATGTAAACCGTTTCAGTTTTTGGGTTGAACTGTCATTTTTGGGGGAGCACAACAACTTTATTTTTTTTTAATAGTGAATTAAATTTGAGGTGTGCATTTTTTTTTTTTTTTTTAATGACCCTGCTTTTTTATGTATAACTTTTTAATCACCAGGAACATTTTAATTCCCTTTATATTCTTTTGATTTGCAAAGGGGATAAATGCTCCCCTTTTTCTTTTTTATTTAACCGTGATGAAATAGAACATGGTTCTAGTGTTGCAAAAATTTTGTCATTTTAGCCTTGAAAGATGTACAACGCCACGGGACTCTCTTTGTCCCAAAACATCATATGCCGCTGTTTTAATATTAGCGTTCTTCTTTTTGGGAGACTTTTGGGTCTTTTTTACAATCATCCCAGATCAACTTACTATTATGAAGAATGACCATTATAATAGTATGTAAACAAACAGTTTTGTCATACTCATTTTTGTAAATATATAATAAGCGCCTTATCCTCCCCATTTAAGTTATATATGCAACTTAAATCGCTAAATGGCTGTATATAACACCCTATTTCGTATTGTATCACCCATGCGAAATCACCTGTCCATCAAAAAATACCACTTTCTATCAGGTTTAGACCCGCCTATCGTTTTTGGTGCTGAATAAAATGAATTTTAATATGTCACATATCGCCAAGGGAGTCTTACAAATGTTTGACTATTGACCATCACATAATAACATTACCACTAGATGCCCTTATCACCCACTTTTTTTTTTTTGTATCGGGCTGCATAATGAACTAGCTGCTTATCACCCTCTGTTTCACTCTCCATCCCCCACAGCCTAGCGTTGAACAAAAAATACCAATCTCGGACATACGTTTAGTCTGTGATAATCAGCCTAATTATTGATAAGCTTTTATTTTATAAACCGACAGATATTGCATGTCTATCTATCTGTGAGTGAATGGCTCATAGATTAGAAACCGCTGTGCGGATAACACACTCAATTCACCAGACCTAAGCAGTAAAGTTACACGATTCATGTAACCGTGGGTAGTATTAAATGAAAACCGTGTAACTTTATATGCAGATCGAACCGTATCAATACGAACCAATAAAATTAAGAAAACAGAGACATTTCCAGTCAGTGCCATCTAAAAAGAACCGCATAGAACCTTTACTAAAAAACAACAACACAACAATAAAAAAAGGTACATTTGGAGCAATGAAATTAATAACATCAAATAATATAGCATCCAAAGAGAGAAACTATAGATGAGTTACTGTGTGACAATTTCAAGCAGACGAGGTAGAATGTATTGAATGTTTTCCTTCTTTTCTTCGTTGGTGTTTGGTTTGATTGAAAACGCTGCTTCTGTTGGATTTAGATCTGGTTTTGTATGTTTGTCTGTCTCATACTGGATGCATATTGTTTGCTTTTTCGCTCATGATACCCGCCACTGTTTTAAAACAAGCAAACAATCATGCTTTCTGAAACAACGTTGTAGTTTCACCGTGCCTGTGAGCTTGTTGTGGGACTAGCTTTTTTTTATTATCGTTCATTGTTGGCTTATTGACAGAAGCCCAACCTTTTAAAAGGGCAAACAATAACACGAGTAGGTGTCAAAAACTTGTCATGTATAAAAATAAAAAAAACAGGCACTGTCTATAACTGTGACCCCACGTTCCACTCACAAATACAAATTTTTGCGCTTATTAAAAAAAACGTATAAAATTTTGTTCTTCGTGATCTATTATTACCACATCGTACATTCTAGAATAAACTAACCCAGTGGGATAATAATTTTCTTTTTTTAAAATGCTACTCCTACAAAAAAAAAAAATTAGGTAAAAAAAATATTATAGACCGCCACACATGGTTGCTGTGTTTGATTTAAACTCGGCCATAAATATAAGTCGAGCACGAGTCAAAGGAGCAAAGAAGCTGAAAGAACCATCATGTACTTCACTGATACCAACATGAATAATCACAAATGCTTCAATTACTATAAAGACGAGGGAGCGTTCTAAGGAACAAGGAATGCGCCCTGAAGGACACTAGCCAAGAAAATAAAAATACACTCAACTAAAAAATACACTAAAAATATAAAAAAAACCGAAGCACAAATGCCAAGCCCAAGAACGGCATAAAAAGACGGTATTCATAGCGCGTTTGTGATGACGTTTAGAGATCTACAACTAGTATAGACTATTGGTAATAATAATAAATAAAAAAAAAAAAGGCCTCATATTAAAGGAGCTTGTTAAATCAGACTAAATAGGCTTACGGCTATAAGATTTATGCAAGCATAAAATAAAAAAAAGGTTCTGGATCAGCTGGTGGCCACGGCGCATCTCTATAAAAAAGCCACGTTTTTTTTATGTAGCTATATTTAGAGAAGTGCAGTAGCAAGACTGTGTGGAATACGTCAAATAAAAAAAACCTTGTGTAGAGCACTAATTAATTTTAGACTCAAACATATTAGGCACCTAATTAAACAACAGTCATCTTGGTTCCCTTTTTTATACTTTGTGGGCGTAAAATGAGAATGTCAAATACATCAGTTTATTAAATTTAAATGAAACTACGGGTTATCCACGATCTCTCTCTCTTTTTTTTTTTGAATGGGGAAGAGATAAAATACCCCAAAACCATTATATTTGTCATGTAGGAGTTGCAAGCATGCGTCTGCGGATAAAAAATGGATAAACAAAGATGAGAGAGATGCAGGTGGTGAATAAAGAATAGAAGGCTAATGTAATTTCAGACAATAGGAAAATAATTGTAACACAAAGAAATTTAACCTCTTGGTATCCGGTGGATAGTCAAGTAGTCACTTTAGTCTCGTTGTCTCCTCCCAAAGATATGCGGTAGTAACATGAGCCCATACACTTGGTAATATTTCTTAATCAATTCATTGTTCTTTTCTCGGATGAAAAGATAATAAATCATGAATGCGCTTTGGCAAATATATCAAACTTTTTTTTCGAGGCGGTTATATTCAAATAGTATAAACTGAATTATTGCCTGCCCATTGCTTTTTTTTAGAGACAAAAAGAGAAAATGAGGCTGAACGCCCACCCACATCTGTTGCTTAATTTAGTTAAAGAGACGCAACAGCCTCAATTTACGCCTTTGATTGTTATTATAAAGTCACTTTTAGGGAGTTATTAGCGCAGTCTATCATATGCTTTTTCTTATTTGCATTCTTTTGTTATTCATACATGGCTAGCTTATACACAATCTTTATGAACCCTTCTCAAACATTTAGGCTTTTTTTATATAATTAGTTTTATTTATGAGATTAATTTAATAAGGTGTACCTAAAAAGTATATTAATCGTTATTAGTTAACTATAACGAAAAGTAATATTAACATGATGCTACCTTAACGTAATAGAGGATGTTGCCAGTCCACCTATAGTCACGCAACGAGGCCACATTGTCCAAGCTTGATAAACAAATCACTCATTTTTTTCGACCTACTCGCACACAGCAATGTCTGTGTCTACCAAAGCATACTCAAGAATGGTTATGAACCTTCTGAAAGATGTTAGCTCAGATGGTTTTAAGATCCTTTTCCCAGAAGTGATTAAACAGTTAATAGGTGAAATCAGACTGTAAACGTCCGAATTAATCCTATAATCATAAAAAAAAAGGTTGATAATTTGATTTTTTTTCTAGACATATATTCTCTTGTAATTATTTATAGCACTGACATGAAAAAAAAACTCCCCAGAACGTAAGGAGACACCCAGTGGAGGAAGTGATCTCTTAAGAATACATCCCATATATACGCACGTACTCAACAGACAAGGAATAGATACGCGCCCAATCTCGCGGATAAAGGCTTTGTGTCTGTCAAGTGGGTTGTTAAATGAGTAATTAAAATAATGTGGTGTAAATTTTATGTTTGAGATATTGACTTACAGTTGAACCAAATCTAACTCGTTATGAGAAGATTGGCAATCTCCTTTGCATTGTCAGAGGAGCTGCTTCACCTCCAGTGAGGAAGATCATCTTTGAAAAGGGTTATGAACCCGGCCAAAGAGGGCCTACTAAAAAATCCTATCATAGGGAGGGGGGGTGACTTACCGCCTATGTATGGATGTCCCTATTTAACAAGGGACCACCAAGGTGTTCTAGGAATGAGATTAATGGCTCTTCTCTATCATTTAGTGCTCTATGTGGGAAATACCCACAAACCTTAATTGCGTTACATAATACTCTTCAAGTAAAGTTTATGTTTAGACAAAAGACTTGATAAGGTTTGTTGCTCTAAGCACAAAAAGGCAGATCATCGATTAAATTTTTATTTTATTTTAACATCTTGTAATTCATAGGCTGTAACCCGTACCAGACCTTCAGGCGTTTCATGTCCTCGGTTATAGTAAACCCCTTGTGTACAAAAAGAGAAAACCGATTCTCTTTTCGATTTCTCCGGCGGTGCCCAACGAAAAACCCTTAACTTTGGGGTAAACACTTTTATTTTTATGGGATACTGCTGGGGATGCTCTAAAGTCCATATAACCTTCATCACAATTTGGACACTTGTCGCCAGAAAAGACATCAAATGCGTATTGTTTTACGTAATTAAGCCATGGTCGGCGTAATATATGATTTTATGTATATTCATACCTATAACTATAATATTTAATCAATAGAAGTTTAGTTGAATACCATTCGCTCCTCCAAAGTCTCTCTTACGGGTGTAAGATGACCCGAAAAGACTTTCCATTCTACTGGCGGATGCTTCGGCAGCAAATGCTTTGGCACCAGATGCTTCACCGGCAAATCTTATCAAGCGCAAAGATTGGATTTGGTCTTGGCGCATTTCTTTACGCTACAAATACAGTATAGTAATAAATACTTTCTAATAAGTTGTATAAGAATACATCCTATATATACGTACGTATTCCTTCACGGACAAGACATGGATACGTGCTCAATTTTGCGGATAAAGGCTGTTCTGTATTTGAGGGAAATAATCCAGTGATTTACCGCAGTTTTCTGCTTGAATCCCTTTTTTAAGGGAGCCGCTGAGGTATTCTGTAAGATAAGTTAATGATTATATCAACCTAAATTTTTTTTTATTTTGAGCAAGCAACTTACATTGTTTCAAAAAGAAACGAAGTAAATTAAATCACTACATAACCACAGCTTAAAACGACCTAACATCCTGCAAACATACATACAGGCATGAGATTACTAACTTGGCTATTGTTCGAATAAGGCTTTTGTTTTTTTATTGAAGAGAAAGAAAACTTCATGGGAAAGGGAAAAAATTTCATGATAAGTAATAATTGATAAACAAATTTACGTTGTAATTCTTATTTATTGGTTATGGACTGTTCTGAAGCAGATAAACAAACACTATTCTACGTCAGACTGCAGTTATTGATTGCTTATTTGATAAACATATCCTCGGCTGGGTTCTCATAAAACGCCCAATCTGGGCTATCCCTACAAACAGCCTAGAAAACCCAAGACGAGAACTTTGAACTATGATTTAGTTATTCATGATTGTTTAAAAAAATGTGTGATTTTTAAGTTTTAAAACTATGTATGGATAGGTGTTTACACAGCTTTATTTGGAACGACAAAACAATTCATGTCTGTAGGTTTTACCCCTCGATTTTGTAAAGCAAAATTGGGTGATTCTAATTCGAAAGTCAGCAATGACAGCTAGGAGTGGCTTAGATGAATATTTAGCTTTTTCGAGAGAAAAAATACAGATCTGTGTTTTTTTTTTAAACTTTCAATTAAAAATGGTTCAAGCTGCTAAAAGAAAGAGAGGAGCTGCTGCCACTGTAAGCGAGAAAATTACAGGTGTTGAAAAGGCTATTAACTAAATGGGTTTCCCTTTTTTTATGTATTATAAAACAGACTGAAAATTTCAAGGACGTACGTCAAAAGATCAGAACCATTGAGGCTGGCTTAAGCGACAAGTCCAACTTGAACAGCATTGCCGAACTTTCCAAATACAGCAAAAGCACCAATGGTCAAATTGCACATGCTGCCATTCACTCCCTCAACCGTGTATTCACCCATTTTTTGATGAATGGTGATTTAAAGCGATTGAAAAACCTCGATGAGAATTCAGCTCAAGTCAAAGTGCAAAAGTGGCTTCATGGACAATATGTTGATTACCTTGTCTATGTCCGATCTTTATTGACCAGTGACGAACCTGGTCTTCAAATATCAGCTCTTAATATCTTGATGTCCAACTTGAAGGCAGAATCTGAAAACATGATGAACTCGAGTGGAAGTTATCATTTTACCAACGATATTTACGGTCATACTGTTCAGGCTATTATCTTTAACCCCAACTTTAACGAGCATTTAAGAAAGGAATTGGTCGAAAAATATTTAAATGTCTATGACGATTTAAGACATTACTTTATGAAGGATGCCGCGTAAGTTTTTATACAAAGAGAAATACCCAGGAAGGTGATGAAAGGCTCATTTTTTTTTTTTTTTTTACATATTTACGATAGTGAATTGATGGGACAAGCTTATAACAAGAACGAACAGATCATCAAAGCAAAGAGCAACAAGAGAATCAAGTTATCAGCTGAAGAGGAAGGACGCGAAGATCTTCGTTTGGTTGCTAGAAACGTTTTTGCTATTTTGGAAGGTATTCGTACCATGCCTACCGAGTCATCTGAAATTGATGAATTCTGGACTGTCAACCCCAACAAGTACGATCCCAAACCTGAAAAGCCCAAGGGTGATGATTTATTAGGTGATGAAGGTTTATTGTCTGATTCGGATACTGAAGAGCCCGAGCAGAAGGTGGATACTACCGGCATGTCTAAGAAACAAAAGGCATCACTCAAGAGAAAGCATCCTCTTTTACAATTAAGGGTTCATAAGCGTGGATTCTCGGATTGTTGGGTCAGTTTATTGAGATTACCTTTGACTGAAGAGATGTACAAAAAGATTTTGTTGATCTTGCACAAGCGTATCTTACCTCACATGGCTGAACCCAAGATATTGATGGATTTCTTGACCGATTCTTTCAATGTTGGTGGTGCTGTCAGTTTATTGGCCTTGAACGGTTTGTTCACCTTGATCACCGAACACGGTTTGTAAGTTTTTTTTTTTTTTTTTTTTTTTTTTTTTTTTTGTATTTGAATACGGGTTTATTGACTTTTGCTTTTCAATAGGGACTATCCTGATTTCTATAAGAAGCTTTACTCTTTATTGGATAGAAACTTGATGCATGTCAAATACAGATCTCGTTTCTTTAGATTATTGGAACTTTTCTTGTCCTCTGCGTAAGTAGGAGAATGTGATATACGAGAGGAATATATTGATCCTAATTTTATCTTATAGATATCTTCCTGCTGCTTTGATTGCCAGTTTCATTAAGCGTATGGCACGTTTATCCTTGACTGCTCCACCTGCAGCCTGTGTGATTATCATTCCCTTCATTTACAACTTGTTCAAGCGCCATCCTACATGTATGTGCTTGATTCAAAGCAGTAGCGAGGTTCAAGAAGCCAACGATCCCTTTGATATGGATGAGATGGATCCTTATGAGTGTAAGGCTATTGAGTCTTCTCTTTGGGAAGTTCAAACCTTGAGCCAACATTATTATGCTAATGTGTCTACACTTGCCAAGATCTTTGGAGAACAATTTTTGAAGCCCAAGTATAACCTTGAAGATTTCTTGGATCATACTTATGCCACTGTAAGTAAAAAATCACATTGTGCAAAACCTGTTACTAACTTTATATGCAAATAGTTCTTTACTACAGAAATTGATCGCAAGAGAAAGAAGGAACCAGCATTGGCTATTGGAAAGCCTTCAGCAGTGACCTGGGAAATTTAAATTTTTCTTTGCACTTTACAACCAATCCACACACACACACACACTCACACACACACACCTTTGTTTTATATGAAATACCACACACAACACATCTTTTTTGTCTCTCCTCCTTCCCCACACGCAAATTTTCTAAAGAAAAAAAAAAGATATAGAAGAAATATTGCTACATTTTATTTATTTATTTTATTTGAAACAAACAATGGGGTTTAAGAGGGGGAATTATGTTTTTTTACTCTCCGGTTTCCTCTTCATCATTGGTATCGAATACACCCTTTGATCTCTTACTGCGTTCACGTTGATAGAATTCGGCCAATACATTTTGAGGAATACGGTTCAAAAGTTCCTTGGGGAAGATACGTAAGAGAGACCAAGCAAGATCAAGTGATTCGTAAATGGTTCTGGATTCATAAGCACCTTGAGCAATGAAACTCTTTTCGAACTTTTCCAAGAACTCAAGAGACAGCTTGTCTTCTTGGTTCAAAGCTTCTTCACCAACAACGGCCTTCATGGCAGCAGCATCACGACCAATAGCATATTTAGCATACTATATATATATATTACGCGTTAGTTTCAAACAAACAGAAAAAAAACATTCTACTCTTTTCTTTCTCCTTACCAATTGGTTGGAAACATCACCGTGATCCTTTCTGGTCATACCCTCACCAATAGCAGACTTCATCAAACGAGACAAAGAAGGCAAAACGTTGATAGGAGGATAGATTTGACGATTGTAAAGTTGACGATCAACAAAGATTTGGCCTTCGGTAATATAACCTGTCAAATCGGGAATAGGATGGGTGATATCTATTAAAAATAGTGTTAGCCCACATGTCTACACTATGGCATAAATAACTTTACCATCATTGGGCATAGTCAAAATGGGGATTTGGGTAATGGAACCGTTACGGCCTTCAACACGACCGGCACGTTCATAAATGGTGGACAAATCGGTATACATATAACCGGGATAACCACGACGACCAGGGACTTCTTCACGAGCAGCGGAAACTTCACGCAAAGCATCAGCATAAGAACTCATATCGGTAAGGATAACCAAGACATGCTTCTCGAGTTGATAAGCGTAGTATTCAGCAGTGGTTAAAGCAAGACGAGGAGTAATAATACGTTCGATACTAGTAAACAAATAAATAAACAAAAAAACGTGATAAACAAATAAAAAAAAGAGGACTTACGTAGGATCGTTTGCTAAATTGAGGAAAAGAGTAACACGCTCCATTGAACCATTCTCTTCGAAATCTTGCTTGAAGAAACGAGCGGTTTCCATGTTGACACCCATAGCACCAAAGACAATGGAGAAATTCTCTTCATGACCATCATGGACACCCTTGGTGGGAGCCATCTTTTGCACAAGACCGGCTTGACGACAGATTTGTGCAGCAATTTCGTTATGGGGAAGACCAGCGGCAGAGAAGATGGGAATCTTTTGACCACGGGCAATCGAGTTCATGGTATCAATGGCAGATACACCAGTTTGGATCATTTCCTCAGGGTAAATACGAGAGGAAGGGTTGATGGGAGAACCTAAATATCACACACACTTTTTTAATAAACAAACGCATAGACATGGTGACCATTGATCATATACCATTCACATCCAAATAATCCTCAGCAAAGATCTTGGGACCCTTATCGATAGGTTTACCAGAACCGTTGAAAATACGACCCAACATGTCTTCGGAAACAGGAATATGTTGTGTTTGTCCTGTAAAGGTAACATGTGTCTGCTTGGCATCGATACCTGAAGTACCTTCAAAGACCTAACAAAAAAAAAAAAAGGCTGAATACATGATTTCAAAGTGTTTCATCTTATGTTTACCTGAACAACAGCCTTTTTACCTTGCACTTCCAAAACTTGACCAGCACGAACTGAACCATCAGGAAGTGTTAAGTTTACAATTTCAGAGAATTTAGGAAACTATAAGAATAAGAATGAGATGCTTTGCATACACACACGCGGCAACTGTTGTGTACATACCTTGACATTATCAAGAATAACTAAAGGACCATTAACACCTGTAACAGTACGATAATCTATAAAAACAAGTTAATCATTTATTATTTTTATGCTTGACTTTCTAAAAAGGATGGCTACCTATGCGAGGCTTTGCAATGAAATCTCGAGTCACAGCAGACTTATGAAGTTCAAAGGCTTCACTGGCACTAAGAGTATGAGCCATTTTCTTTTTTTTTATATAATGTTAACGAAAAAGAGAACAACAACAACAACAAAAAAAGGGGGGGCTCGCCTACTTTTTTTTTTCGATGTTTGAAAGGTTTTCGCTGTTTGTTTCATCTCTTGACTTCTTTTTACGGCGCCGATCTAATAATAAAGACATCATCATTTCCTTTTGTGAACAAGGACTTTTTTTTTTTCGCTTTTCACTTGCACAATACAATGATCCGTTTTTACGGAGAATAATATTGGCTGCATATTCTTTCACAATGTTGAAAACGTAGACATCAAATATTGAGACCTGTTCTAACAGAGATCACGCTTTTGGTTTAGCGCTGTTCCTGATCTGCAATTAGTAGCAAACATAAAGCCACATTTTCTCTTAACGACAGTTGTCTATACACGGTCGAGCTACTATCAAAAATAGCATATTACTACTCAAACCATGGTATTATCTATGCCGACTAAACAGTTCTTCAAAACTATTTGATCCATAGTCTATCAGTTTGTATGCGGGGAAGAAGAACCCCAGTCTACAATTGGAAGAGTTCTATTTGCTCCATGAGTTTGATAATCTCAAAGTATTAGACCCTGCCACTCAGCACAAAATACTTCAAAAGCAACGGTTAAATTATTCTATGAGCAACAGTAATCATTGCGTATAAGAGTTCCGCTGTGCTAAACTTTGGAAAATGATATTTTATGTAATCGTACTAGCAAACCTGAAGCGTACGTATGGTTGATGATAAGAGAAAACCGAGCATAGTGGCTGCCGGGAGAACGTTAATTAATTAGGTACAAGAGGACGATGTAGTCTATGTTTCTTTTCTTGATAAAAGTGTTGGTTCTTATATAAAAAACAGAGCTCTTGAAAAATATGAAGATTTCAGTTGCGGCCTCGTATAATCACAAACCATGATAATCCTGGGCATGAATTCGCTTTTTCAATATATCTTACGCATTAAATGAAGAACAGTCGACTTTGTTTAGCCAAGAATAATGGTAGATATAAATTACAAGCTCGTTGTCCTGTAGTCGAATAAGAATATCCTGAATTTGTTAGAAGCTTGCAAAGTTTAATTGCGTGTTACTCGCTTACTTTACTTCAGTTATCGAAGTCAAAGACCGGATTGAATACCAGTCCGACTATTAAAAAGTACTGATTGAAGGCAAGAACATAATCAATCAATCGGTTTGTCCGGGTATCCACATTTTCACTATCCCTGCGTTACAAATCTGTGGTGTTGGAATGCATATGCTAAAAGTCTCGCTGATTGTACCGGTCCTTTATGTTGGTAACAAACGATACTCATTTTTCATTGATGAACACGTAGAAAAACTTTAAGACCTTATCAGATATGATAGAAAGTCTCCCAAAATTCAGGAACATTTGCGTTGAGATGGCTGACCATTTGAGGACAATCGAATACACTGAAGGGTCTAGATACAACAGATCAAGAGTATCAAAAAACTAGCTGGAATATAGTAAATAGAGAGAAATGCTGGATAAGAGGTAGCTGGATTGTATCCCGCAATCAAAATCACACCAGCAATATCATACTAGTATCAGCCTACATAATAGAAACTGTTTACATTATTGCACTGATGATATTAGAAATAGAAAGACGATGCTCTTTGGGAAACTAATAGTCGAAGAAGAGATTATGTTTAGAATAAAACATGCTGCTTTTACTACTCTCCGTTCAAATCGAGAGCCTGTCGAAGTAAGAATATACCAATAAGCTCATGCATTGAAAATAAAAAACTGTAGTGGCTCAATTTAAGCAATTTAAGCAATTTATCATTATCAAGATCTTCATTATTATATGCAGCTGGAAAATTATAATAATAGTATGTACTTTAAAAGATGGAACAACTGCTCTCTCTCTCTCAAATAAACTGTTTGAGACATGTGCCTCACTATGTAAGTTTTTACATGAACACAGAATCGGGGAATAGTTATCCCGAAATAATGTGACAGCTAAAATAGAGAGAAGCAGAAAAAAAAAGGGTTTTATGATTAAAAAATCTCTCACTTATATTTTGTGTCCTCCTTCCACCCCTATACAAGTTTTTTATTATTTTGTTGTCTTTTATTATTCCCACTGGACAAAAGAATAAGAAAGAATAGATAAACTTGAAGCATAAAGAAAACATGAGTAATGTAGCCTGGAAGACAAAGAAAGAGAAAGGATAACTAACGAATGGGTTAATAGCTGTGCATAGAAGAGGAGGTCGACCCAGTACAAGTGTGAGCAAACGGAAACGACCACAACAACGCAGAAGATCTGCATCCACTTCTGATGAAAATAGTTCGGATTCTGGCTCCATTACTCGTTGTATTTGTGGAGAAACTCGCAAGTATTCCTCTTCATGGCTTCCTTAGGAAGTTTTTTTTTTTATTTATATATATATACATATATACATTTATATATTTAAATGGACTAACTCTTTTGTACAGACAATTTAGGCCTTATGGTTCAATGCGATAAATGTGAAGTGTGGCAACATTGTCGTTGTATGGGTCTTGAACAACCCGATATACCAGACCAATATTACTGTGAACAGTGTAAGCCTGAAAACCACAAGACAACTCGTCTCTCGAATGGAAGGTAAAAAAGCAAAACTATTTTTTTTTCTCCGTGAAAAAAAAAAATACTCAAACACAACTTAGATTAAAGCGATATTATAATGCACTTGGAGCGACTGTAGCACCAAAGAAACGAATGACATTAAATAGTAGAGAGGCGTCTATGTCACTGGAAGACGTTTTAGCTGCTCGAAGTGCCTTGGAAATGTATGAACATCATGAACCCTCCCATTCTCCACCTCCTATTATCCCAGAGGAAGAAGAGGAACATGAAGAGAAAGTGATTGTGGAAGAGGAACGACCCGCACCACCTTCTTCTAATGTGTCGTCGGTTGGACACGATGAATTACCCTGTACAGGTAAAAAAAAAAAAAGAAAAAAATAGAAAGTAATGATCAGTTTGATTAATTAGATAAAAGATACAGACTTAATTGTACCAATAACACGAAAGAAAGTCTACAAGAAACGACAAAAGGCTAATGAAAGTATACAAGGAACAGCAGTAGAAAAGGAAAGCGGAGAGAAAAAACGAACATATAATCGAACGGCCAAACCAAAAAAGACACATAAAGCGAGATCACGTACAGGTACACCACAACCAGCAGAACATACAACGTCATTACCACCACCTTCAGATGAAGAAGTTACACCCAATGGAGATACGATTGCCACCATGTTATTCGAATATTTTTCACCCAAAAGTCGTGCTTCTTCACCACCGGCCAAGTGTCGTCAACCTAGCTCTCGCATGAGTATTTTGGAGATGAACAGAAGAGCCAGTCAGATCCTGGAATATATCAGCTCGATTCAAGTCGAAATGGCAACTTTACATGCTGGTCATGCCAAAGAAGAAGAAGAGGACGATGATAATGATTCGCTAAGTAGTGCCAGTACGCTTCCGTTGGAAGAGACCAAGCATGAGAATCAGACTTCGATGGAAATTATGGATATTTTGACCAGAAAACTCATACAATTTCAAAGAAGGTTTGGATCAAGAAATAGAGCCTTGTATGAAGAAGCCATGATTGAAGGTGAAGGTCGAATCACTCGTAGTCGGGAAGCAAGTGGTAATGCAAACACCTATCGCAACATGATTGCTCACTGATACACCTTATTCCCCACACACACACACACACACTCACACTCACACATCCTTTTTCACCCAACCTCCTTGTACATTCTCTCTTTACTGTAAATATCATATTATCCGAATGCTCACTCAATGTAATGATTTCTCTCTCTCTCTCTTTTTTTAATAATAAACAACAACAAACAGGTCTATTTCAATGGACTATAGTCTAATGGCTTCAAGATATAAGAATGCATACTATCCACTAAACGAACTAGAGAGAAAGAAAGGGTTTAATATATATAAAAATATGATCACGCTGTATGTTCTTACCTGTCTTGTAGACTGTATCCGACCAACCATCTACCTTCCAGGCATCCTCTCTCGTGGTCTTTCTTGCTTGCAAATCACTGTGATATATGAGTATATGAAAAATAGACATTATCAACAAGTCACTTACGGATAGGTCCACATATGCTGAACTGTATGCAAATTTCCCAATTGACTGAACCAAGCTCCGACGGGTTCACAGAACTGACTGCGACATTCTAAACCCTTTCGCCTACACACACATAATTTAATAGAAAGAGGTGAGACAAAACGAAAACTAGATTTTCCCACCAGATTTTTTTTTTAGTTAAATACCAATAATATTCCCATTCAAGCAAGTTACCGGGCTAAAAAAAAGGTGGGTAAGTTTAAATAACCGCTAAATTACAAATACGACTTAATTTTACCTTCAAGTTGTATTTACGAAGTTCGTAAATACCATGGGTGGTTTGAGGTGGAGCTGTCTTCCAGAAAGAGAACTCGAGCATCATGTTATTTTCACGAGAAATCAATAAAGGTCTTAAATCTTTAAGGAATTGAGCATATGTCTTTTTTTTCGTTGTTGTTGTTTTGGAGTTAATAGATCGGGTGGAACGGATTCTCTTATAATAGACTTACTGGGTCCTGAGCTAATTTCTCCATTGTATCTTTATGACCGGGATAGCCCTTATACTCCCAGATATGAACTATAGATGGCCTTACGTCAGCCAACTTATAAAGAAAAAGGGATAAATACTAACCAAAGGTGTCCAATTCTCCTACAATCATTTCCCAACTACCACACAAATGCACGTTATTCTGAGGATCATTGGCGATACGAGGGTAATGTGTCGATCTTAAAGAAAAGTTAGTAAAGCAGAAGCGGTTGTATAAGCTATAACTTACAAGAGTTGAATATATTCTTCCACCTTTTCTGGCTTGACTCGATGGGCTTTTGTGATGAGGTGTATGAGTGACATGATAATAACAACAACCGTAACTATGGAAACTTACTTTGCATTTCATGAACGTACTTACCACGGGCCAGCTTCTTTGAGTGTGTGGTATTATCGCCAGGAATGGTGACACCGCCATCAGCCTCCTTACCGTACAAGACGGATTTGATGAAACCTTGCTTACCTTCTTCGTCCTCGTTTAAAACTGGACGGGCAATCGAAAAAGGACGTAATCCTACACGGGATATCAAAGAGGGACGTAATAGTCTTGCTGCTCTCAACATTTTATGATTGTTTATAGAGAAAAAAGAGAGAGAGAAAAGGGGGGTTTGTGTGGTAATTCTTTATTTTTATATAAGACTGCATTTAAGGTGGTACCAGGAGTATTTTATTCCCCTACAACACACATGACATAATAAAACTCTAATCTGCTTTTGTGATTTCCTCCATATCTTCATCGTCATCCTGGGTTTCAATGACTTCTTCCTCTTCCTCTTCTTCTTCTTCTTCTTCCGTTGTCTTTTGCTTCTTGGAAGGTGATACAGCAGGTGTCTCTTCCTCGTGTAAAGTCTCTTTACGTTTCTCAATAGCTGCTTTTAACGTCATTGTTGTTGGAATCACATCTTCTAAAAATTCAAACTGCTCAATTTCCTTGACCGTACCAGCTAATTTTTTTTTTTAATTTTTTAATTTTAGCACAGTGTCTGGTTATTGAAGTTTCAACCGGTTACCCAAATCTCTATAATATACCGTCTTTCGCTTTTCCTTCTTTGCCTTTGTAAATGCTTCCGTCACCAGATACTCCATAAACAGTTCCTAAAGCAACATACATGATTAGTGTCAAATGACCATGTCTCCATTAGGGGGTGAGGCTACAAACAGTGGCATAAGCAATACAAAAAGTGGCTTCAGCATTGATTAAAGACACATCCTTGTCTTCTTTGATAACGCGTTTAATTCTAGCCAAAGGCAAAATCGTTGTGCCTGGAACTCGTTCTGTTACTGTCTTTTGTGATGATTTCGTCTCTTGTGTCTCTGTAATGTCGCTCATTTGTTGTATAAAAGAAAAAAAAAGAAATTTTATTATTCGTTGGGTGACTGTGGAGTTTTCTTTATAGTGTGCGCGCGCACACACACACATAGCACAGCACGCGTCTTGCATTAATAAACCCCGACCAGAAACCTTTTTTTTTTCTTCTTCTTTTCATCATAACAACAAATGTCTTGCATTACAAAAGAAATGAACGATGCGCCTTTTCCTGAAGGCAATATTGTGGAAGCTGTTCGTACTTCATGCCGTGCGTTTGTAGCAGATAGTCCTGTCAAAGTATCAGGACAAGGTATCGAGCTCTTTTTAGAGAAGCTCGATAGACTTCAATATCTCGAATTATCGAACGATGTGACCATCAAGATGCCGCTCAAATTTGATACAGTGCATGATGAAATGAATTTTATTACCGTGATTGATTTATTAAATTTTGGCAGTGGCTATCGAGTCCCCCTCCATGCAATGGTTGACCGAGGGTAACATTTTATAAAAGATGACAACTACATACACACACACTAATGATTATAAAACAGCGCGTTTGATACAATCAGATTTGGTGCCATGTCATTCCATATTGGAGGTACACCTATGGACGCAGAAACCTTCAAGAAAATGACGGTATTTCAGGTAGCCGAAATCTTTCAATTGCCCATTGATCGCGAAGTACGTCACGAAACTTTGGATTTCGTCACCTTGACACAACCTACCGAACTTCGACCTTTTGCAGATGGTTTGACCTCTGTGATCAACACTACAGGTGAATACCTTGTTGAACATGGATACAAGGATCTCGCGCAATTCATCATGGATCATGTGAAGACAGCCCCTCAAGATGCCTGTTCGCTTGTCAAACATTTCGCTCAACATTTGCCTGGCTTGTTTGATAAATACAAGTTTGATGACCATGTTGTCTATCTTTATAAGAAAGCTCAAATCATTGTCTACCACCTCTATTTGACTTTCCGAGAACAATTACCGGAATATTTTGATTTCAAGGATATCGATCAACTCACCATCTTTTCGGATAATGTTATCCCTACCCTCTTGACAGAATTAGGTGTGCTTCAGATTCCAGAGTCATGGCAAACTCAAATTACTGCCAATCAAGATTTAAGCTTGCAACAAGCAACTACACTCAGAGCCGCAGCCGTAGTCGCATGCGATGATATCGTCATGGCCGCAAAGACCGTGGGCCCCATTTCTGATATGAGCACAGGTGCTTTGGATGTTTACTTGTGGCGTTTAGCTAAAGAAGGGGATTACCGTAAAATCCCTCGTTTCCAATTAAAAGACACCGTCATGTTTTAATAAAATTATATTTTTTTTTTATTGTGTGGATTCCCATTCTGCGTGTTGGGCGGCTGCATTCATGCGTTCCATAAATTCCGATTTGACACATGAATCTGTATTGATACGTGATAATAATTGATTTTCATGCTCGGCGAGCACGCTTGTTTTACTACGGTCGGCATAGGCTGTGATTTTAATCTTGTATAATTTACAGTCTAATGCACCCAAGGCGGGTGACAAGAAATAGTAACGTGGGTGTTGGAAAGCGTCTTCTGTTGAGGCTAATTGCACTGCAGGGACATGAATGGGTTCATCGTCGGTGACAGGGTTTTCAAAGGTGGCTTCAATATAAGGTTGCTTTGTATTCAAGGGCTTGATCAGTTGCACCAACCATGAGTAACTAGTTCATTGTCAATTGAGAATGGTCGTTCTTTTTTGTAAAAAGAAAGAAAAACTTACTGGGCTCCTAATTGCTCGTTTTTAGCATTAATGGCAAAACTAGCACTCAAATCTTCAAAATGTTTGGATTTCTTGAATCGAGGTTCCTTGACTTTTTTATCAAACAAACAACCACACGAAAAGTTCATTTTTTATAAAGAAAAGGCAACTAAAATTATTTTCCTCCCGACCCTTTTAAATTTTTACATCGGATCTTTCTTTTTAACATGAGTTTTTCCTTTCATGATATCTTTGATGATTATCAGTTTGGCACAGATACAACTAATGAGGGTCGTCTTTCTCCACAAATACCACCAGTTTCTTCTTCTGATACTGTACCATTGACCACAGAACTATTACAGAAAAAGGATAGGCTTGATCATTTACTATTTGACACTCATGAATACCCTATTCAACATCGTCGGAGTATTTGCTGTGCTCATCTCTACCATCAACAGCGAAACAGTTCCTCGTTTATTTCTTCTTCTTCATCGCCTCATCATCATCCTTCTCTGACAAGTGGGCATTTAAAAGATACAGGTGTCAGTAACATTCACTCTACCAGCAACAGCAGCAGTAGTATCAGTAGACATGATTTTTCGGGTTTGGTTAAACTCTCTGCAAAACATATGCGGGATATGAAGACACGAAAAGATACATCTTCATGGATATATCAATTGCAAATGGTAGCATCCCGTGTGGTCAATGTACGCACCTGTGAACCTAAAAATACAAGAATGGAGGTAGACGAGGTAACCTCGTTGGCAAAGTACCTGTATAAAGAGAGTCCTGATTGGGAAACCCCTGATAGTCCACAAACAGACAGTATTTCAGAAAGAGATCCCTTATTATCTGCATCTACATCCAACAATTATTCCGCTATACCCATTATACGTAGACAGTCCACTGGGTATTTAAAAGATGTTTATTCACGGTGGAAGAAGCAACAAAGTATACATGCACATATGCGTTTTGAAGGTTCCTCATTGTATTACTTCTCGTCGCACAGTTCCATACGTTATTTCCTATGGAAATTCATTGGATCACGGTAAGTAGGATAATGTTTAGAAGTATGTGTATAAAATATTAAACATTCATGTAGATGGTTTGAAACGGGAATCTTGATTATATTACTCGTACAATGGATTGTGCTTTCCTTTGCTCCTATTCGATTTGATACAGAAAGAGCACTCTTATCAAATATTGGAGATTACCTTCTATTTTTTATTAACATCATCTACACGTAAATACCTTTGTATATTTGAGTTAAATTGTCTGATTTTCAATGTGTATTTCTAATTTAGATTTGAAGCAGGCTCAAAAATCATTGTCTATGGTTTCTTATGGACACGCCAGACCCCCGATTCTGCCGCCCTGAACGCTTGGATGGTGCATCGTAATGAACGAAGGCCTAGTGTATTTTCAATCAAGGAAGATGCAGCTCACCTATCATCACCCACCACCAGTACCCATACCGCACAAACATCGGATTCCATCACAGTAGAACATCAAGTCCTCGCTACACTGATCCCAGACGATAATGATCATCTCAATATTTCTCACACTAGCTACCTCTCCAGTCTTGCTAACGCCATGGATCTCATTTCTATCCTAGCTTACTGGACAGACGTTCTCTTGCTGATCTTTCTCAAGAGACAACCGCCTTCGATTTTACAGGCATTGGCTTCAATGCGCTTACTACGGTTTCTAGTCATGACGGAAGGAACAGCTGTTATTATGAAATCACTCAGATGGAGTTATGAAATGCTTAAAAATGTTATGGGGTTCTTTATATTTTTCTTGCTTCTGTTTTCGTTGGTAGCTTTATTTGTGTTTATGAATGCATTTAATCGACGATGTGCCATAATGCCCCCTACACCTCTAGAAAAAAACATGACAGGTGAAAAAATAAGGGAAATCTCTTGACTGCTAGAAAACTAATTTATGCTATTTATTTTATTACATAGGCATTCAGTTTGTGGAGCCTCGTATATCATGTAGCGGGTACATGTTGAATACCACAAGAAGGGGCGTTTACGATATCGATCTCGGTCAACAATACGAGACCACCAACACCGGACTCTTTTGTCAGCAAGGCCAAGTCTGCATACAGGGAACCCAAAACCAACCGGGATATCATCACATGAGTTTTCAAAACATCTTTTACGCCATGTTAAATATCATGACCGTTATCTCGACCGAAGACTGGACGGATTTAATGTACATGACTCAAGAAAGTGTCTCCGAGTGGGCTTCCTCTCTTTTCTATTGCGCTTGTATTTACCTTATGACGTTCATGATTGTGCCCTTATTTATCGCTGTCATCACCACCTCGTTCTCCCGCACACGTGGAGATAATCTAATACAACATAGTGCATTTGCTTCGAAACATGTTCTATTGACAGTCAAAAAAACATCACAACAGCATCAGCAGCATTTGAAGCATGATGGCGAGGAGTGGATTTATATCAACCCTGTACAGAAATTAAGGGGAACCCATCGTCATACCTTATTTATGTACCTTGGTAGTCTTTTGGTGCTAGTGCATGTCATATGTATGACATTTTATCATGCTCATTTATCAGAGAGGGATACTTCCAGGTTAGACACGGTAGATCAACTATTTACTTGGCTATTTGCCGTGGAGATACCCATTCGTATCTATTATGCTGGTGGAACCAAGTTTTGGAAAGGGACAAGGAATAAAGTTGATACATGTATTGCGGTAGCTACTGTCTCCGATGTATTGCTTGGAAAACATGGCAATTATCATATCTACTTGCTTGTATTTTCTGTCACTCGGTCTTACCGTATCGCTTATTTATTTCCCGGTGTCGTCAAGCTGCTTGTATGTTTAAATGAGAAAAAAAAGAAGTGTTAATCATTCATCTTCCCTTTTAAAAAAATAGTCAGACGTGATTGGAGACGGACAAGGTATTCGAAATTTAACATTTTTCACTTTTCTCGTGATTAGTTTGTTAGCACCTATTGCTGTACAATTATTAGGAGGGGATTTCGGGTTTGTTAAAGAGGATGAACCGTCAATGCGATTTGATAATTCTTATCAAGCCTTTTTAGCTATCTTTCAGGTTTGTGTGTATTTATAAGAACAATAAAAAAAAAACGATATAAGATTATCTAAATGTAGCATAATGACAGATTATGACGGGAGAAAATTGGACAGATATATTGTATGATTCTATGCATAGTCAAGAACATGATTCTGTTACATGTGCTGCTCTTTTCATTGTGTTTATCTACTTTGTAGTCCACTGTTAGTCAACCTTTCTTAAAAAAACATGATGTGCTTTCCAAAAGATAACATTACTTTAAATTTATTTAAATACTAGATATGGTGCTGAACCTGTTTATTGCCGTGATTATGGAAAACTTTGATTTGGATGAAGAAGATATTAAGCAAATACAAATCAAAAAATATATTCGTGAGCATCGATGGAAACCTGAATACTTTAAAATGGATTCCATTAGCAGGTAAAAACACTTTTTCGCACTCTATTATTTTTATCTTATTGATCCTTATATTTATAAATAGATTTCTGTTGCCATTGTTTGTTTTACAAGATGAACGAAAACTTCACATGAAAAATTTACCCCCACATCTCGTGTCGCATGTCACAGCATCAACATTTAAAAAGTTTTTGACAGTACCGCAACAATATAAAAGCTATTCGAAAAAAATAACGCCTCGTTTACTGCAAAGACGTCGAAGCTCCAGCCTGTAAGTTGTATCCTATTTAGTAATAATAAAAATTGATGCTGATAAAAATGCTTTTTGTGTTATAAACGTTTGTAGATCACAATTCAGTATTAAAAGTTTAGTCATTGATCCAATACCATATGCAAGTACAGATTATGAAGAACCCCATATTAAATACGGCGATGAATATGAATTCAATGTAGCGCGCGAAAACAAGGCAGTCATTATTAATAACCTCCAATTGTTTCGATCCATGGGCATTTTAAAGAACGATAACCAAGTTCGTAAATTCTGTACCAACCTGAAAGACAGCGTGTCTTACAACCGATTTATCTGTACGTGCATTTGTCTCAGCACCTTACTGGCCTTGTGGGCAGATGAATCCAATCGATTGTTACATCCAGTCATCATATCCACCTTGATGGAACCCATTCAAACCACCTTGTTGATAGTCTACTTTCTCGATGTTCTTGTTCATATGGCGGCAGATGGCGTATTCATGTTGCCCAAATCGTACCTTCGAAACGCATGGAATTTATTTGACCTGATGAATTTGGTTTCTCAAGTGATTTTCACAGTCCAAACTGGGTATTCAAGTTATTTAAGAATACTGCGTACGCTACGTTCCATTCGTATCGTGTATTATATTCAGGGAACACGCATGATTTTTTTGGATCTGGTCCATGGGTTGCCCAAAATGATGAATGCAGTGACCTTGAACCTGTTGGTGTTTGTACCGTTTGCAATCTACGGCTGTTATTTATTTAGCGGAAAATTTGCGTTATGTAATGATGAAAATGCGGGATCCATCCGTGATTGTGAGGGTGAATTTCAATCGTCTGAGGAGGATAATTTCAATATCTTGTTACCGAGAGTGTGGAAAAATCCATATGATTATTCCTTCGATACTTTTGGAGAGTCACTTTTGCATCTCTTTGAATGTGCTTCTGGTGAAGGCTGGGTGGGTTGATTTGTAGAAAGAAAATAATTAAACGCATAATTATTTAGGTAATGAATGATTTATTCTCTTTTTTAAAAACCTAGATCATGTCCTTGTTCTCTGCTATGAGTGTACCTAATACATTAACAGATCAACCAAAATTCAGTTGGTCGTCATCCTCTATTTTTCATTCCATTTTTTACATTGTCTTTATGTTTGTGGCCTCACTTTGTTCTATCCAGCTATTCATTGGAGTATTTCTAGACATATTCAAACAACGAAGCGGTATCTTTGCCTTGACAAATACACAACGCCAATTCCGAGACTTGCAAAGACAATTGGCATTAGTCAAACCTTCTTTGAAAGCTATAAGGCCAGAGAACCCAATTAGAGCTAGCTTTTATGACTTGGTCATTCAAAAACGGGGGCCATTTGCCCGTTTCATGGTGGCTGTGTTGACGTTGAATATTATGGTGTTTGCGACAGAACATTCACATCAGTCTCCTCTGTTTACTCAATTTCAAGACTGGATGAATTCGGGGTTTCTTTGTGTGTATGTTTTTGAAATGGCTGCTAAAATTGCTGGCCTGGGATTTTGCAAGGTTTGTGTCTTGTCGAACAATAAAAGGGTTGTGTTTCATTGAAAAAAATCATGATTTATAGTGGGCTTCCGCTAGATGGAATATTTATGATTTTGTTTTGGTGAGTTTGACCATTGCTATAACTGTCCCGAGATTTTTTATGGATTTACCAGTAAATATACCACATGTCACGGATCTGCATTATTTGCTAACTGTTTTATCATGAATAGTTTGGCTGGGACTCAGCTAGGAAAATGTTTTTAGTGGGTATTGCGTTTCGTTTAGCTCAACGTTGCGAGTCCTTGGATACTTTGTTTCGATCTATCAGGTAAGAAAATATTTGAATACTTGCTGTAACATTGAGTAGTAGAACTCTGATATTTATTTTGTAACATTATTCATAAAAAAGACGTGCAGTTCCTTCTATATTTTATGTGTCTACCGTATTTGCAATTGTAATCCTATGTTTTGGTGTTACCTTTCAGGAACATTTCTCATCTACGCGATATGGACCTTATGGAAACGAGCATGCTAATTTTCGATCATTGTACACCACCATTTTAACATTATTTCGAATTACTACCGGAGAAAATTGGGTATTAAAAACTTTTTGACTACCCCCCATATATCCCTAATCTGCTTATTTCTGTAGGATTTTCTAATGCATGATTTTACAATCTTACCTCCAACTTGTGTCGGAAAAGATGATTGTGGAGCTCCCACGTATGCTATTGTATTATTTATCAGTTTTTACGTTATTTGTACCTTTATCTTTGTCAACCTTTTCACTGCGGTAAGAAGTACATGTTGCAAAATAAACTTTGCCCTCATTGATTGTCTAATCGGTGAAAGTTTTATGCGGTTTAGATTGTAATTGATAATTTCTCGTTTACGTTTGACACAAGAAACCGGTTTTCGTTAATCACTAGAGCAGATCTGCGATTGTAATGTTTTTATTGTAAAACCAGTTATATTATTTTGTTTAATATATATCTTTTTTTTTCCTTTTATTATTAGATTTAAAGTAGCATGGGCCGACATTGATCCAACCGCATCTGGATATATAAGCATCAAAGATATTCCTCGGTTTCTAAGTGTATGTGGTCAACATATATAAATATATATATAAAACTTATTCCTGTTATTATTGCTATAAATCTAGAGCTTAAATGGAGCACTAGCTGTTCGTATCTATGAGAAACAATACAGTTTGAAAAGTTTACTAGATGCCAGTAACCAAGTAGACACAGACTCAAGTCATCTCACAATTGTACCTCTACCTGAATATCAACAATCATGTAATATGTTGACAGATCGTTATTTCAATCTGCACGCCTTAAGCCAAGTATTAGCCAGTATCGATCCGAATACCATTCAAGAGCGAAAACGACAGTATACGTTAATTTATCAGGAAATTGTGAATTCAGCTTCTCATAGGGGTGTTTCGTTTCACGACATGCTTGAGATTTTAGCCATTCAATTAGTAGACATTTCGAAATCTTTGACGTAAAGTTATTTAAGACTTTTATTTAGCCCCCCACCCCTTTTTCCTCTATTTATGGGACTAACAAATATTGTCTATAAAGGTTTGTCGAACTTGTAAATCGAGCTAGAGTTCAAGACAAAATTAGCAAGGATTTAGCGGCGGAAAGGGCCAGGGGATTAATTGCCATGTTGGTCCAACGTAGAAAATTTCTCAAAGCCAGACAAAAGCCCAAGCTAAAAAGAGTCAAAAGTAGTAGTAGTGCAATCGTTATCAGCCATTGGCTAACACCTACATCTGATCAAAAAAGCGAAACCTCTCATACATCTTTATCCTCATCTGGAAAAGCTCATAGTTTATATAAAATGAGGAAGGAAAATGGTAATGAAACATAATTACAAGTAATCCATTTATCCTCTTTTTTATTGAAATTTGACAACCCCATTTCCATTGATAGTCCCAACCATTGTTGTAGATCCATCTTCACACAATGCAGATTCATTTTTTCATCAGAATCATGTACAGGAACATATGCTACAAGTGCCTCATGCCACACCCATGAGTGACAGAAAAATTCATAAAAGGGATACAGTTCCTGAACCTGCCACTCTTTCCACATATACGAGCAGTCAGTCTTCATCAATTTCAAGTGAAGATGACTTCTTGCCAAGGAAGTCTATAGATTCGACCAAGAAACCCATATTCTTTATCGACACTTCTGCTGAAGAAGTCATTTCTCCTATGGATAAAGATGAGGCTGTTTTTACGTATTATTATACGGTCGATAGAGCCATGGATAAAATGACAAGTCCGGATGCCGAAAAAATTTTATGTGAATTTCAGAAGAGTCAATGGTCAAGTAAGTAAAAAAGAAAGGGGGGGGGGTGATAAAGACGTTTTTTTTAAAAAATCAGCCACTTTAGATTTATTAGATGAGTCGAATGAATGACTTGAATTGATGACCAAGTAAAACCGTTTATATAATAAAACAAAGCTTTTTAAGTGGGAATTGTAAAATATACAATTATCTAGTTGTTATTTTACAGATATCAAACAATGCTTCTTTAATTTGAATTACTGTTATTATTATTAGCATTTTGTAGCTTGCAAACCCAAGTACATCATATGTTATTTTGATCACACGATCTGCACTTGAGATTATTACATAGAGAATAAATGGCCACGTATTAGGTAGAAAGCCATCACATATAATCGGACTTTATTAGATACATACACATAGTTGAATTTCTCTACTTGTCATTTTTTTTTACCAGTGTTTCAGCTTTGTTTGTTAACATTAAAACTCATGTTTTCAAATGAATCAAGGATCACGTTGTCTGTTTCTTATAGAAAAATAAAATCACATTATCAAAACAAACAAAAGCGAAAAATGGTAAAGAAAGCAATAAGGTATATACAAAGAGTAAGTGCAATTAAAAGAATACATATAAACGAACGATAGACGTGTTATCGCACCATCCAAATGCTGCAAACCCCTCTTTTATGCACCTTACTTCTCTTCTCTCTTGTAAATTTTTAAATAGAACTTTTTAGACTGTCCGGCAAATAGCTTACCAAGTCTCAAGTAAAATAAACTGCACTCAAGCATCCATAATCACTTTAAACTATTTAGGCAGACACTCACTTTATTTTTTGACGGGCCTTATGTTCCTTTGTCGCATTTTTAATTGAATGCATTAATTATGTTTTTCTGGAACCAAAAATAGAAACCCGATGGCAACCATGCAAATATAACTGCAAGAGGCAACATGCAGCATCTTAATAAAACTCAATCGACTCTTATATCTATTCAAAGGAAACTGATCAGTACTGAAAATTAAGACTTCCAGCAGCATTCATTACCATCAATTATGTGATTTATTATTAGAAAAAGAGAGAGAGAGAAAAAAAAAGAAAGAAAGAGTACACAGGGGGCGATTTCCTAAAAAAGCAATGATCAGCCTCAGGGCTTAACATGGGTCGCACCAAGTTTTGTTTTTTATAAATACCCTTGATCTTAATCATCTATTGGCATATCGACCCGTTGACCTTCTAATCCGTAAAACGTACTGGCTTGGCTCATATAAGCCGCAGATTGTCTTCTTGGAACCGTTTTAGAAAACAATTTCCAGCGAACTAAGCATGTAATAAGCCCATTGTTAGTAAGAGTGCTATTCACTTCAAATGTTGTTTATCATTTCCTTACCGAAATCTTTCAGTCCCTTATTAAAGTTTAGTTGGCACACAATGGATAATATAATTGTAACCTAAATATTGTGTAAATATGTTAGCTCAACATGGGACAATGTACACTGTAACACCTACAATTGCGGCCACAAGAGTACAAACACCTACGACAAAAAATAGAGTTTAATTTGTATTTTGATTTTCAACACTTGCATTAACTTACAATAACCAGCGAACGCATACCAATCCGTTAAGAATCCCTTCTTATAATACATTACATAGACTGTACTTCCGATAAACACAAATTGAAAGACGATAAAGGACGTCATCAGTAAATTGCTCTCTCTCGAAATAGCATATCGTGACATGACCAAGGACGGAAGGATCAAAACAAGGACAGCCAGTGACACACCCAAGACCGGTATTGTCGGACTACCTTGTTCCCAGTTATAAGAAAAACTTGCAAGCATGATAAAGTAAAGTGCGTACGACGTAAACTCAAAATAGATGTTGATCTTCAACATGAGTGAAAACCATTGAACCTTAATGTACATTTCTAATACAGGTAGTGAGCTAGTGTATAACAGAGATTTACGTGTTTGTATTTACTCTGAATCTCTGTACTACAACCAATTTTTTTATAAACATCCCAGCCGATGTCTTTTGTTGCTTTCTTGGCTGCGAACAATGTCATAGGTGTAATTAGAAAAACTATGATGCTAAGCACAATGAGGAGAGACTGATTGATTGTCGCAAGGTCACCAAACATGATATATCCATCATTCTTATTCTTCCATTTTACTGTTTCTGCAATCATCTTTTTTTTTTAAAAAAAAAAGTCGACCTAATATTAATATGGGGAGGTAATAGTAACAGTTGAAATTCTAGGCCTTACTAGAACACTGAAAATGAAGGAAAGAACTGTTGATGATGCTGACGCCCAAATAGTTTTAGAGTTCAAATGAACGACCTAAACCGCGGGTGATAAGTTAGAAAAAAAAAATTCCATATTTTTATGTATAAATATATATTTCGGTTACGTACACCATCAATGGCCAACCACACCCTCCAAACTTCAAACGCAAGAAACATGACATATTCACCCGATATTTTAAAAGCTTTATCGAACAGTTCTAAATTTTTCTCGTCTGTCTCTGCTCCCTCTGTTTTCGATGCATAGTATATTTTTCGAACATGGATGAGGGTGGGTATAAGCAAAGCCAAGGAGCAGATGGCTTGTATTGATGCCAGTAATAAAAACACTGAACTCCATTTGTATTTTTTCAGAACGGTGTGCTGGGTTAAATTCATAAATTTCATGGATTAATTTTTTTATTTTTTTATTTTTTTATATGAAAAAAAAAATGTACCTTTAATTCGTCTGATATAAAAAGCATTTGTCTATTGAAATGTTGCTAGTGTGATAAGACAAAAGAAGAAGAAAAAGAAGAAAGAGGGGAAGGAGAGAAATAAAAAAAGCCGAAAAAGAAATAGATGAAATTATTCCCTGGCTTAGTTTGTATTGGTGTCTCATGATTCCAGTTATTCGTTAGTTATTCAGCCACAAGGCTTAAACAATAAAAAAAAAAAAGGGTTGATGCCTCAGATGTGCCATTGTTGTTCTTGGCCCTCTTTGTTTATGACGTGTTCTACATCATGTGATATTTTTCTGGAGCCAGAGAAAAGAAGAAACGGGTAAAACCATCCCCGTAAAAAAAAAACTTTATTCATGCAAACTGTCCTTACTTTATGGAATATCCTTTTGTGTAAAGGGACTAAACTTCTGCAACCAATCTTAATCACCTTGATGTTACACAGTATAAAATATTTTCTATAAATATCATCTACCCTTTTTCAAATACTTACTTCTTACGTTCCTATCGACGTTTCGTTAATAATCATAAATCGCTTTTATTTTTAAGAAGTATCACTAGTGTCTTAACGCTGTATATCAAAATATACTTATGCAGACTTGAACGCTTCCAAAATTGTTTTGGAATAGTATATTTGATATGACCAGTAAGATGGTGCACGAAAGAGCGTCAATGATGAGATTTTGATTGTTGCCATGACTACCCACCACAACCGTGTAACCTATGAAACGATTCTTTGCTGATGCTGGATTATATTCCTCATAGTTGCATTTAGCGCGTCAGACACACTCAGAACAGCCTGTTTTCATATTTTAAAGTTACTGGTCCGTACATTTTTTTTTTCATATCAATCTACAAAGATTATAAAAGTGCAACCGCTTGGCCGTAGCATAAACATGTAAAAGTCAACTTTTTAAGTTTTTATTTTATTTCATTTAAACAGGGTAGACACAAGTTTTTTGGTTTTTTTTTGGTTTTTTCTTCCTTTTTTGTTTGTTTGTTCAGTATACAATAAATTTACACATGCATCATCCATATTGATAGATACAATATCTGCTTACAGCCACTTTTCAGATTGAGGTAATGATATTGTTGTTGTTATTGTCGTTGTCAATGTTTCAGTGGTGTAGGAAGGAGGTCTTTCTGAAATGTCAGAATCTGACGTGAGAGGTTTTACTGGACTGGCAATGATTCTATTCGAGTCAAGTGAGTTTGTGTTGATTGCTTGCATGGCCACTCTTGGGACAATAGGTTTGGGTTTTTTAGGGTCTTTTATCTCGATGGTGTTTATTTTATTGTTACCCAAGTAGCGATCTGTCTTGACCTGATATGGCAAATTATCAACACGTTCTAAGGAGGTGGGGCCAATTTTATTAGCATAAAATCTTCCTTCCGAGTCCTCCGACTCTTTTCTATATTGGCTGTCATCGTCATCATCTTCAATTGGTGGTGCCTTATTAATCAATCCAACTTCTGTACCGTTCAAACCGTCGTCATCGGATCTTTTCTTTTTTTGAAACGGATACCATTTCACTAAATGAGTTGTATTTTTTTTTTTTTAGTTTGTTATTATATTATTGAAGACATTTTTTTTTTTGGTTTACCAAATGGTTTTAAACCTTGACCGAAATTAAGTTGACACCTGATAGCCAGGCACATAGTGGCCTAATGAACATATTTAGTAAAACGTGTGCGTGTGCGACAATGAATATCTATTTATAAAAAAACAAGGCTTACCACAACAGAAAAAATAGATGCGAATGCTAATAGAAGTAATTAATATTTAAATTAAACTAGTTTGAATTGCTTGCAATTTAACTCACAATAGATTATTCCGATATTCCACAGGTCATCATAATCAAACAATCCAATAATACAGTAAAGATTACAAGCCAATAAAGCCAATTGAAGAGATAAAAACATGTACATTAACCAACGACTTTCTCTAGTAATTGCGATTCTTGAAATAAATAAACCGACTGCTATTAAAACAGCCAAGACTAATGCAAGGATACAAAAGATCAAATGGCCTGTAATGATAGCTACACCTATTAACAACATGACTTGAAAGAAAATGTCTACTTTAAGCACTAATGCGAATCTTTGCACATTGTGATACATATCTTTTTTTTTCATTTTTGTAGTTGGTATATAAAGGAAACATTCATATTTTGTTTGTAATTGTCAGACTTACTTTGAAGATCAATACTACTACCAATCTTTCGATAAACCTGCCATCCAATGATTTTCGATGACTTGTAAGCGGAGAGAATGACAGGTACGGAAAGGACAAAGAAGGCGACTGTCAACCCAATTTGAAAGTGTAAATTTTCTTTTTTTAAAGGGTTGTCATCCGTCGCTAACCATTTTATTGACTCAAAAATAAGCTATAGTATAAGAAAGTTAATGTCAAAAGCTGAAAAATAGAAATAAAAAATTTGAGTTACCATGACGTTGAAGGCACATGAAAAAACCGAAAACCAGGCTGAGGCCAAAATGGTTAAAGAATTTAAATGAACAATCTATAAGGAGAATTTTAGTACGACAATGTGGCACAAAAGTAAAAAAAAAAAACTAAGCAAAAGTCTACCCCATCGGTTAACATCCACAGTCGCCAAGTTTCGTAGGCTATAAATAACACATTTTCGTAAATGACTCTATGACCCTTTAAATCAAAATAAGATCCAAACAGGGCGTCTTTATTCTCTATATCCAATATCTCTTCTGTATGATTATTTATGTATTCAGTGTTCCGCAAGGTTTTTACTAAAATGGGTACTGACAAGACCGTCTGAAGAATTACGAGTCCAAAGTATATTTGAATCCACCTTGACTTTTGCAGTTGTTCAAACTAGGAAATTTATGCAAATAAATAATGTTGAGTTTTTACTGCTTTTTCAATTATTTTTTTAAAGTGTTTTACCAATCTTCTTATATAAGAGAACATGGTGTTTACAAATAGTGAATAATAATAGTCAAAAAAATAATAATAAAAAGAACAAAAGAGGTATGAAATAACAATTGGGCTTTGTTTCTATACTTGTTCTGTCTAAAAAAAAAGGGGGGAGCGTTCCACAGGCCAGCCAAGCCACCAATTTGCTTTTTCCATCGTTTTGTGAAACTAAAAAAAATAATAAACCTTCTTTATAATCATGTCAGATAAAAAGAAAACAACGCCATTGGAAATCTTGGAAAGCAAGAAACGCATCAATGTATGTGCACCCATGGTTAGATACAGTAAACTTCCTTTCAGAGAATTAGTTCGAAAGTATGTCTTCTACAGAAACCCTTCACCCAATCAGAAATGTATTAATTATTCATTTAGGTACAATACAGACATTGTATACACACCCATGATTCTCGCCGATGTATTCAAGAACTCTGAGTTTGCCCGTAGCTCAGACTTTTCAACTAATGCTCTCGATGACCCTGTGGTTGTTCAATTCGCCGCAAACAACGGAGCTGATCTTGCTGATGCAGCTGAGCTTGTATCCCCTTATGCAGGCGGTATCGGTAAAAGGATCCCGTTCCCCCCAAAGACTTATTTGCCACTTATATATTCATGCCAATTCTTTATTGTATAGATATCAATTGTGGCTGTCCTCAAAAATGGGCTTATCAAGAGAAAATTGGTGCTTTTTTGATGCAAGATCCCGAAAATGTTCGAGATATGATCCGTACTGTCAAAGGTCGAGTCAATATACCCTGTAGTATCAAAATTAGAGTCCATGATGATTTAAAGTAAGTATTGATTCCCGAGTGACTCCACAGAATGATGGGTGATTAATCCGGTATTTAGAACTACCTATGAATTTGTAAAGAGAGCTGAAGCAGTCGGTGTCGATTTCTTGACCGTGCATGGACGTACTAGACTTCAAAAAAACACAGAACCCGTCAATTTTGAAGGAATCAAACTTGTTAAAGAATCAATTAATGTGCCAGTAATTGCAAACGGTAGTATATTCTCTATAAAGGATGTGGATGAAATGTATGAAAAGACAGGAGTGGATGGTGTGATGTCGGCAAGAGGTTTATTACAAAATCCCGCTTTATTTGCAGGACATGAAACTACACCTTGGGAATGTATAGAAGTAAGTTGCGGGTAAAATGTAGTCAATGCAACCTTATTTATGTTATATATAGGACTATGTGCGCTTGGCATTAGGATATGGTACAAACTCATTCATCTTTCACCACCATTTAATGTTCATGTTCGAGGATATTATGAGCAATGCAGAACGTAAAACATTCAACACACTTTCCAGTATACCGGCTATTTTAGACCATTTAGAAGAGCATTGGGGATTCGACTCATCAAAATTATTATAATATGATTTTTTTTTTTATTAATTTAATCATGGTTTATTTGTACAAATTGTGAGATGTGTGTTATTTGATGTTTTTATTTCTTGTTGGATTCTACTTTATCGACAACCTTTTGACAGATCTGTTGAAATACAGGGAATAAATTGGATTTTTCAAACATATTGACATAGGATCCAGCACCTTCAGTTTCAACCATGCTAGTGAATCCAGGATCAATAGGAACTCTGCCGAAAAAGTCGATGTCATAATCCTTTGCCATTGACTCACCACCACCGGAAGAAAAGATATTTGTGCATTCCTATTTTTGTTTTGTTTTTAGTGTACTGTCAATATTTTATCCACTTTGATGCCTACTTACTGCGCAGTGAGGACAGACAAATCCGCTCATGTTCTCAACGACACCCAAGATTGGTAACTTGACCTTTTTACAAAATGAAATCTCCTTACGTACATCTGCAATAGCAACGCCTTGAGGTGTAGTGACAATGACAGCACCATCAGGGTTAAATTCCTTTAAATATTCTACAATGCCAATATGCTCATCGGAGGTTCCAGGTGGTGTATCAATTAATAAATAATCCAAATCGCCCCAATAAACGTCTTGCAGAAATTGCTTGATCATAGCTGATACAATGAATTAACCGTCTATTTTTTTACATCCTTCACTATCATTTACTTACCATTTTTCTTGGGTCCTCTCCAAACAACAGAATCATTCTTATTTGTCAACAAAAATCCAATGGACATACAAGATAAACGTTGATTTTCATCAGCATAAACAGGTACCCAACTACAGTGAAATCCGTCAGTCAAACCTGCTCGTCTGTATATACTCTTTTATAATTACCCTTGCGATGCTTGATGCACCTTCTTTCCATCCAAACCCAACATGCGAGGAATACTTGGGCCAGTAAGATCGATGTCAAGCACACCTACCTTTTTGCCTTGATGGACTAATGATAAGGCAAGTTGGGTTGTGACAGAAGACTTTCCGACACCTCCCTTTCCGGAAAGCACAAGCACGATATTTTTGATACCAGAGAGATTAATGTCAGACATGTTTAATCGTTTAAAAAGTGCTCTCATTGAAGTTTTCCGACTTTTTTTTTCATTTATAGATATTTTTGAGTCAAGTTGATTGGCTCTAACCAAATCATTAGTAATCTATTTTTTTTTTCGGAGGTATACGCTAGTAATGCATGATAAAGAATTATACACCAAACAGGTTTAATTCACTGAAGATAGTTAGCCTTGTATAATGCTGTCTATAATAGGGACTCTTTCATTCGTCCTGAACTTACTGCCAAACAAACAGAAATGAATCATATCATTCATGAAAATTCTTTTAGTTGATAAACAAGTGTCGCCTTTTTCTGTACACGCTACTGAAAGACGAGTTTATGCCAAGAAAAAAACTATCAAATGGTGATTGTCCAATTGAAAAAGAGAAAAGATGTAAATTATAAAGTACTTGGCTCCATTTATCAGTAATTAAAGAATAATGGGAGCAATGATGTTGTTTCTCATTGACTCGCGTCAAAATTAGCCAGACTTCTTGAAATATATTTTAAACCCTAAAGAAGTTTATGATTTGCTCCATGTTGTAAATTAAGATACAAATGATTCTACCAAAGACATATATTTAAAGATCTACAACTACAATCTGTATTAATTTATCTATTTGGTTATATCATAAAATACGCTATTATTTTTACTCTGATAAGAAGCTTGGCCATATTATCAATTTAAACAATAATAAATAGAAGAGATATTTAATTTAGGGAAAAAGAAACGATTTATTTTAAAGGAGTGGGAGGCGAATAATAAACTGAGGAGAAAGAGCAGACAAATACAGAGGAGGAGCCAGAGCCATAGGCAGAAGAAGGGATGGGAGACTACTACGATAAAAAAGCATTTAGTAATTATGATTGATATCTTTAGATGTTCTTTATTTACCTTCACCCGGTCTACCAGGAGATGAAAAGGGTCATACTTCAGGCCCCTGTCCACGGCCGACTACTTCCATATCAAAGTAGCCGACCCGGAGGAACTCCTGCCAATTTTCCTCCATAAAAGCAGAAAGCAGGAGTCCCCCCCGTCAGGAAGAACCGGCGCGACACTAAAAAAGATGCGCTGTTAATACACAGTTATAAAAATGATGAATCATATACTTACAGTAATCCAAACGGACTACCAAGAAGCGCCGGTTCCTCCTGGTTTGCCTCGGCGTATTGTCTATTTGTTCTAATAAAAGACATTAATATTGAATACAGACACAAACTTACTTGAGGATTCCTTACCCATTTTTTTTAATTTCCTCCACGAAGGAGGAAAGGAACAGGCCAGCATAAGGAAACACCAACAAAAAGAAGCCCCTAAAAATATAGAAAGACGGCGTTGTTAATAAACAATAATAAAAATGATAAATGATACACTTACCACAGTCCAGACGGACACGACAGTCTCGTCTGGGATAGGAGGTGATACCACCCATAAGCCAAGAAATGGTAGCTGGTAAAAGACATAAATATCTAAGACCATTAAACTTGAAAGATCTAGAACTTACCAAAGACAGCGTTTCCCATTGTTATAATTTTAAAAAGTTAAAGGAAAAAAAAAAGGGAAGACAACAAAAATTCGAAAGTCTTGTTTAAATATGGAATCGATTAAATAAAAATGATTATATCAGAATCCCACGGAAAATTGATCAACTAAAAAAAGTAAGACTAAACCAGCTTTTATCAGGCTTTTAGAAAACAACATTACTCATCCCAGATTATGTCTGGAATTTTTTAAAGGGTCACTAGTGTTTCAAAACTGCGTACGGATCTATCAGCGAAGCATAAAGTAGTACTCGTTAATAAAAAGAAAAGATACTATATGATTTCACATATAAAAACATTAAGCCAGAACGAGTTATTACCAATCCATGCGAGCAAGCTTTGTATTAAGCAAATTGCCAAACTGGAGTCACCCTTCTTTCTGGATGTGATTTAAAATTTGTCACTCTCTTTCGATTACTAAATTTGAAATCTAGAACCAAGTCTATCTACAGTTTATGCAAAACAATTTTACAACATATTAAATTCCCAGATCAATGTATTGCAGAGAGTTATAGATGATTGACATGCACGTTTACATATTAAGATTCTCTGTCGTGTATGAGAAGTACTAGCTACCATTTTTCGGTGCCTTCAAATAGATGTTACAAATTATTACCTTAACTCCTATGGTTCTTTAAAACGAGATCATGTCAATTATGGCCTTTTCTTTTTTAATGGTCATGTAATCACATACGGTTTCCTCCATTTCGCCTACTTGATAAGGTTGCACTTGGTTTGCGCAAGATGTATATTCGGAATTGTGTTGCAAAAGTAAATTATGCTGACCTTTTTATTAAGTAATTGACAAAAAAAAAAATAGCACAGTGTAACAAAGGGAGTTATGTCCAAAAGTAAAAAAGAACATGTCTCACAATGAAAGTGTCACTGTTAAAAGAGAGGAATACATGTTATGATACAAGTATTAATAGGATTGGTGTCATTTAAATCATAAAAGTTTATTAATAAAAAATATTAATACGGTCTTCAAGTGTGAAACGCTTACACCTTATGTTCATATTATGTTTATAAATTCACATGAAATGAGAGAACCAATCCTTTTTTTTTTTTTTTTTTTTTTTGGCAGGAGTATAAAATGCAGCGCCAATTAATCACTTTCTCTTTCAATACCAAAGATGCATGGTGTTTTCTCTTTTCGCTCACTTTTTACCGGATAAAAAGATAAAGTATCTTTTCTTTTTAAATCTTAATAAAATGTGTGTTTTAAACTATTTAAACGGTCCTTTTATATTGCCTTTCATGTCCATTCAAAAAAAAAAAAGGAGCGGGGGAACGGTTTTATGCAGATAGAAAAGTAGATAGATAAAGGCTCAAGATCCTCTGATTGAGATTTATGAACAAAGATTTCTACATTCAAGAAAACAGCCACTATTTGCCTGTTTGAAAACCGGTGTAAAGACAAACCTTAAATAATTTTATGAATGCTTGCATTGAAGGCGCCAGATGATATGTCACTCGTAGTACAAATGGCAATGCTGTATAAAATCCAGAAGCCCCATTAGGTTCACAACAAATTAGAATCATGCTGTATTTATAAAAAGAAAGATGAGGGTAATTTTATGACATGTATCTATTGTGAGCAAGCAACGGGTGACGGACACCTTTCCATTCGCTAAATAACTGATTATGGAACGAATCCAAACTAATGTACATATAATATACCATTGTGAATCAACGAATAAGAAAAAAAGTATATACTGTATAGGTTATTTCCATATCACATCATACTATCATAAATGTACGAGTTCCTTTGTGTTTAGGTGGTACGCCATAAATTATACTCCTCTTGGAGAAGATAAATCAAGCACAACTATTGGTCTTGTCTATGTCTTCGCTGCTCATGCAAATAAGGCTGCCTTTGCTTGTGCTTTTCAAAAATTTCAAGGTCCAATTTTTTGTATCAAAGGTGCTGCTGCTGATAAAGGATGTTATTAAGCCCAATTCAATCCAATCCCTTGATATTACTCCTACCATCATCCATGCTCAAGTTCCATATAGATACACAAAAGAAGTCTGTAGCATTGAAAAAGTACTGATGCATATAGTAGCGGACCTTTTTTCCAATATCGCACATGGTAACTCCTATATCATTGGGCTCGTGGTGATATTGGTACTATCAATCTTTGTAAAGCAGATATCAATGCTTGTGTCCAAACCAATGAGTTCCGATACTAGTATGAACTTGACCTCCCCGCCACTTCATTGAGAAGAAGATTAAGATTGTTTGTTTGCCGTGAAATTTATGGTGCTGATGGTATTGAATATAATGACTTGGCCAAGCAATAAGAATTGAAACCTATACGCGTCAAGGATTCTCCCCGTTTTTTTTTTATTTGAATGGTTAAGACTACATACAGTTTTAGCCATGATCCTACCCTCAAAAGCGTTTACAAAGGATTCACTGTACCTATTCGTAATATATGGGCCTCTGTAGCTACTGGTTTCCTTTACCCCCCTTAGTCGGTGAGATGTTTATCATGTCTAGTCTTCCTACTCATCCCTGCTTCTTCAATGTTGATATGGATGACAATAATGAGATCATTGGCCTTTTTTAAACCAAAAACTATATCTATTATAAATAAAAGTGAACAATTATTGTATAAACATTTTCTGCTATTTTTTTAAATACAATACTAAATTGCTTTCCCTTTGATACGCTTTCTTTCAAAAATATTTTCAAGTCATCATGACTGGCTAATTTAAAGACGGAAGGGTCGATTTTAGGTATAAATATATCACAAGGAACAGGTAAAGAGCTGTAGATATTATTGATTAATATATGGGTACATTCAGTCAAAGTGATACTCTGTCTATGGATCTCTTCTCCGCCCAGGATAAAGTTACGACCATCCCCTTTTACCAGTGTTTTAGCTCTTCTGAATAAGCCTCATCCAAGTTGGCAACCAGCTCTAAAATAGATGGTTTGCCACTATTGAAGCGAAAATGTATGTGCGAGATGAGATTTAGCTGTCAGTCATAATTAAATTAGCATACAAATTGTATTGGGGAAATTTTTTTGAGACGACTATGTATATTATATTCATTCGCTAAAGATTCTTTCAACATCGGTCTTTCTTCCAAGGAATGAGGACACATAATAACAATATTACTGCATTAAATTGCTTTCTTGTGGACATACGTTTCTTGACTTTAAGATTTATTTGTTGTATTTTCGAAATAACTCCATTCGCCACGCTGCAGCCATATACTCAAAAGATTTCTTTGTATTTTTTTTTTTAGAAAAAACGTATTGCTGTGTAAGGGAATTTAATTACTTGAAGGCTTGATAAATTGTTCTTTTATATCTTTTCTAATCTAACTTCCCAATATCGTATGGAAAGCATTAGATATCGTGCGTATTGGGGTTGTAAAAGGACTTAACGATTTTATACTTAATAGTTCGTGTGGATGTAAGGATATGTATGAGGGGGGTGACATAAAATAGGGCATATAAGCTCAAATGGTCGATTGTTGGTTCATACAGTACCTGCTCCTTATTTTCTCCAACTAAGTGACTTGTACTACCATATCACAATACCCACAATTCGGACATGAATTCTTTTTTGGTAAATAATAAAGTCTAATTTTACTTGTTTTCCATTACTTTAGCATTGTCACAACAGTAACAATGAACAATAAGAACAATGTAAGTTTTTTTTTATATATATTTACATTCACATATAATCTTACTGACCCAAAAAATAATAGAATATTGAATATTTAAAAAAAAAGAACTTTGGATTAAAGCTTCAATAGTATTTCTTGATCGAATGATCCAATAAAAGTTTATAACGAAAACTGCAAGTTAAATGATGAGGAAAGAAAAAAAAAGCTGTACTCCTGGTTACTTCTATTATTTGGAGAATATAGAATCAAAAAGTAGTACTTCAATTATTCACGGCAGTGTTGAAGGAATCTAATGGTATAATTTCAGAGCTGAACAAAGAGGGCGACTATTTTTTAAATTCAACAATATCCTGTCTCTCCTCCCAACCTAGCAGCCTCAGTAAAATCAGAGGAAATGATCGAGCCCGAACAAAACTACGGACATCAAGCCATGATTATAATAAAAAAAAACAGTAACAGACTATCGAGGTCCTTCAAGCAAAGCGTTCCTACAAAAACAGTTGCACTTAAAAACGCAGGAAGTGACTTGGGAACGTTTGAAGGCTCACTTGAATCACAGCTATACCAAATATGACAAACTGACAAGTGAGTTCGAACTCTTTAAAAAAAATGCTCACTTCAAATTAATCAAGTGACAACCAAACAGATGAGCTGATTAAATCAGTTCAAGAATTGAAAGAGGACAACGAGAAATTGGTGGCAGCCATCCAAAGTAGAGACCAAGATGTTGCTGCTTTAGATGCTGATATAAACAAGTTTAGTGGTAGCCTTAGTAATATACTTTTGCTCTTTTGACTCTTTGTCTTAAACCTTGCTTGTTAGCTTGTATAACAGTTGGAGGAACACGGTATGGGTGGTCCAGTGAAGGAAAAGGGTATGGAAGAACCAATGAAAGAAAAGGGATTCATGTTGCAAAAAAAGCTTTAAAAGAGAGAGAGGAAGAGATTGATATTCTCAAGAAAGAACTCGGGGGCTTTGAAGGGTGCATTGGTAAAGTGCAATCTAAATTCCACTAGCAAAAGCAGTTAAACCAAGGATTTGTTGAGGAACTTAGAAATTACTAAGAGGCATTGCCAAAATTACCTCACAAGACAATATAGCGACATGACTGTTTCTATCGGACAGCGAGATCGGCGAGTTGTGATATTACAAGGTGACCTTCAGCAACAAACAAATCACCATGGAAAGACAAAAGAATTTGCTTCTTGAAGAGATAGTAGAGTTGAAAGATACAATTCATGACGCATTCGACGCATTGAATAAACGAGAAAAGATTGTCGTTGAGTTACGTAACAAAGTTAGAGGCAAAAGGCAGCAGCCTGTACATCTCCTAGCTCCGAAGAATACGTAATCACAATTTAACGACACAAAGAAAAAATAGGCGCAACTCAAAGAGAAGTAATTGTAACAAGGCAAGAAAATAAAAGTCTTCAAGCCGTTTACCTCGACATGAAAAAATAATACCACTCTATCAGAAAAAAAAAAGAAATATTTTTTAAGTAGACTCCAAATAATAGATACATTTTCATAGATTACATATTGATTTCAAAATGACCTTTTCAGAACCATTTAACACAACCCACTCGACATGTTTAAAAGCGGGAAGAACAAAGTTATTAGGGCGTTTATAGGTTAAAGAAGGTGAACATGAGTCGCATTTCAGACGAGGTTGGCATGCCGAAGGCAACAATTCAAAGCATTATTGAAATAATTAGGGAAAGTGATCTACCCCTTCCAGAAAAAACCAAAAGTCTCATCTAAACAAACTGAATGCCATAGATATAAGACCACTAGAGGCAATAACAAGACACGAGCCGTTTGCGACTTACGAGAAACAAAACGCTCAGATTAAACTCCATCGAATTGACATTTCCAGAGCTGCTTCGATACATTGTTTTGCTTTGCTTTTACTTCACAGCACACAAGCCAACGCTAACGGAAGCTCACAAGAAGAGAAGACTTTTATGCGCCATATAACGGGTTTATGAGACTATCGAGATTTTGTCTGGTCGGATGAGTCGCGATTTACAGTTGAAGACAATGATGTGGATTTGGGAGTTATTTGTAACATTGGAGAGAGGTATAAAAAGGAACATATTGTTGAAACAAGTGGAGAAAGGGAAACGTTCTGATTTGGAGCTGATTTTGGGCAGGTGTTTTTGAGTCTTTAGTATTCATGGATAGCACTGTGAGTGGATCAAACGGCTTATGTCAAATTTTTACCCTTGGTTCAGTGATCTGTGTGCGAACATGACTCACTACAGTTGACAAAATTAAGCTGCAGCAACAGTGTCTAAATTCTCAAATACAGTTATTTATGGCCATTAAGAACCCTTAACAAGGTTCAAATGTCAGCAAAAACTTGACTCAACTACACAATTTTCCCGCTTTTACAATCAAACCGTTCCTGCTTTTTTCAATGCATCCCCTTTGACTGCTCCTCTCGATTCTCTGACTTCTCAATGTCCGGTTATAATTTAGCCTGCCCTATCGTCAACAATTGCTAACCGGAACAACACAATATCGTCAAAGCCAAAAGAAAGAGCTAAAAAAGCCAGATAGGTCAGCTCTAAACCTGCCAGGTTAAAATAATATTTTTCTTTTTCATGCATTTAGTAAAACGCAATTTAAAATCACAAATTGAGCAACACGCATGCCATAGGATTCTAATTATTTTCACTTCTCTCATTCACAACAAGCTTTAACAATTTACTACACTACAAGAAGAAAAGCGTCACTCTATATTATGGTCTATTGTTAATAACTACCGTAGTCAAAATAGCTGCCCAGTTTCGCTTTTTTTTTTTTTGTATAAATGCAAGGACTTTTTTTTTCCATTAGCCGTTTTCGGTGAAAGCAGCAATAAAACTTTATTTCACAAATCTAAACATTCGATGAAAAATACGGCTAATTTTATTCCATCATAGATAAGTGCATACTATATTAATGGGATATAAGCCCGCTTATTTTATCTTATCAGTGTCTTTTAAACATCCCCTGACCTCATTCGCTTGAATAGTTCATGCAATTTAACTAGTTTAATCAACGACTAGTTCATCAACTATTTCAAAAGTAACCACACTTATAAACATTGTAAAGAAGAAACACGTTACAAGTACGCTATAGAATCCAAAGAGCTAAACCATTTTTGGTGATCATCCCAATCGTTTTGATCCAGAGCTTTTCATCTCAACACTATATCAAAAAACAATTATTGATACATTATCATGTTTGTAAGAATAATTACTCTCTGATGTCATATCGTCTTGTGTTGTTTGAAAAAGTTATGCTTCTCAATAAATGAGGGAGTTAGGAAGTACCTACTGTCTAATAACCAAAACAAAATATAAAGATTGGGGATAGAACAATTAAAAAAAAACAAAACAATACCATTCATGAAAATGCTTTGATTGATAAACAAGTAGATTTAATTTCTAAAGACCCGAACAGACAAAAACATTTATGCGAGTTGCAAGTTTAATTTGAGGTATAAAAAAAAAGGGCCTAAATGTTGTACTTACCTTAGTATAATAGTAATGTTCATATGTTTACTAAGAATTATCAGAAAGTGGGTGCTCATGTAACTAAAAAAAAAAAAAAAAAAAAAAAAAAAAAAAAAAAAAAAGGACGTAAATTATTCTTGGCTCTACTATATCAGTAAAGGAGTTAAAGAAATCATGTTATTTTTTTTTCAAGACTCATGTCATAATAAGCCAGGCCTCTTTAAATACATACCAGATTTTACCTTCCAAAACCTATAGATGTTCGTGATAAGGTCTATAATTTAAATAAAGAAACAAATGTTACTACCAAGGGCGTATTAAAAGATCTGCAACTATAGTATAGTTTACATAATTTATCTATTCGTTCATATTATAGATTACGCTATTAGCGTTGCTCTGATAAATATTTTTACTCTGAAAAAAGTATTTTGGGCATATAATTTTAAAGGATAATAATCAAAAGAGATTTTATTTTAGAGAAGTTTTTTTTAAATAAAGTATTTATTAAGGAGTGGGAGGGAGACTGGCCAAAGTAAGTTCGAAAGAGGAACCGGAGGAAGTGGAGGCTGGTAGAGAGGCTTATTTGGTGGGACTTCATCACCGTAGAAGGGTAAGAACCCTGGTGTACGGTTGCAGCACCCCCACTGGCTGTGGAGGTGCTACCCTCCAAGGACTGGGAGGGCTGTACACCAGGGAGGACGAGGCCTGGAGGGTTTTGGTTGTGGTTCTCCCTCCAGAACTATGATAAAAAAGCATTTAGTAATTATGATTGATATATTTAGGTGTTTTTTTACTTACCCTCGTCCTTTCTACCAGGAGCAGTAAGGGGCCCTACTCCTGGCCCCTTGCCACGGCTGACTACTTCAAGGCTGAAGTAGTCAGCCCGGAGGAACTCCTCCCTATGTTCCTCCAGGAAGGAGGAGCCCCCCGCCGATAAGGGAACGACGCAAGACGAAGAAACGCAGTCTGGTAAAAGACATTAATATTGAATACAGACACGAGCTATGTTGAGGATTACTTACCCATCTCTAGACCTTTCCTCCACGAAGGAAGAAAGCCGGAGGCCACCATAAGGAGACCACAAAAAAAAGAAGCCCTTAAAAGTAAATAAAGATAGAAAGCATTGTTAATAAACGATAATAAAAATGTTGAATCATACACTTACCATATTCCAGACGGATAGGAAAGTCTCGTCTGTGCTGGGAGATCATACCACCCATAAGCCAAGGTAGTACCTGGTAAAAGACATGAGATTGCATTATAGATTGCTAAAAGTTTTTAAAAATTGAAGGAAAAAAAAGGGAAGAGGAAGTTGGATTCTGGAACTTTGTTTATATATGCAATCGAAAACAAACTAAAACGATTAGTCATTTTTTACAGAATCTCATGGAAACTTGATCAATTCACAAATATTTCAATTGGACGGGCGTTTCCGTATGCATTGTTTATCTCAAATGTTGATATATTAAAACACGCATAATGCATGATATTATTATCACATAAAGAATATGATTGTATATGTATATATATATTTTGGCAAGACCTCATCAAGAAAACCCCAAGAATATATACCTGTGCAATACGAGTCCATTTCTGGATGTGGCAAAAAAAAAAAAAAGGCGTTACTCTCTTTCGATTATTCAAAGTGTTGGAAGTTTAAAACTAGATCCAAGTCTGTTAAAAGTTTACACAAAAAAGTCCACAAATAAAGCTGATAATATAAATCAACTAAGAGATGAGAATCAAAAGCTCTTTGGCAGTAATAATATAAGCTTGGAGCTTACATTCAAATACAAAATATATGGCAGAGCGATTGGTTTACCTTAAGCTTTCTGGGAGGCAAAAGCCTGTATTTTATTACAAAAAATACATGCTATAAAATGTCGTTTTGACTTTTCATGCAAGCCACACTCAAAAGGATTATCCTGTGTCACCCTGCGAACGCACGGTTTACATGCAACATTTGCATCAACAAATAAATAATACAACAGCCTACAATGGACGCATGGTTCACCCATTACACATCATAAAACATTCTCTCTGCCTGCTCTGCTGATTCAAAAAGTACTTACAGGACTTTGTCATTTCTTGTATAAGCCATCCACCAATTCAATAATTATCAAACGATATTTAATTTTGTCTTATTCTTTATTTCTAACTTATGTCTACTTTCTTTGATAGAACATTGTGGATAGGTGCATTGTCCATGCCAAGGTAGTATTTCTCAAATTCCTCGTGTCGATTTTATTACGTCCAGTGTATTGGCGCCAGTACTCAACTGTGCAACCAAAAGCGCAAATTTAGTTACAGTCTATTAATAGTCCCCGAAAAGAAAATACTGTCGCTCATTCGACAAATCATGAAAAGACGAAAAACAAAATGCGACTTTTATGTTCGTGTTTAAAAAATGTTTAAAAGATATGCTTTCAAGTACTCTACGTTATTGATCAAGCCAAGTTTCATGGTAATATGGCTTTTGGTAGAGACGTGCTGGAATAAAGTGGAGCATGAGCATGTAAGCCAATCACCAAGGAGGCCATCACGCAGAGCCATACTTATTTAAATGCCGGTCTTTTTTCTTTTTTTTTTTGAGTAGTAGTCAAGGCCTAACACTGCCGTATTCTAACAAAACAGTTCTAGACAATTTGGGTATTAGCTAAATAAAAAGTGTGATGGATATACAAATTAAATTGTAACAAAAAAACATGTATGCTATCTAGAGGGGCTGCTTAGATACCAAAACAGGATTTGCGGTACGTGTCTATGACACACTGACACGGAAAGAAAGCAATATTATTATCCGTTATTGTACGTCTACATTTAAAGCAGTTGTGAGCTTCTTCCAAACACGAAAATACGGAAACACTCACTTATACTTGTAGTACATTGAATTTTATTTTTATTGTTTCAAAGAACAAATGTAGGTATAAGGAAATGCAATAAGATTCTACCGCAAATTTCGAACAGGTGTACCATGGACCCGAACGCGGTATATATCTGTGTGAATCAAACTGCCCCAATTCGAGTTAAATCGTATAAAGATGTGAGTATATGCCTTCTCTGCATCAACACTAAAAGTTTGAACAGATATCGGTCCATGAATATCATAGGTGAAATTACCAAGAAGATCACGATCATGGGGGTTTTTGCGGTAGTCTGCTATACCATATACATCAAACTGTTTAGGAGCATGAGTCATGTCACCAAGCATGAGTTGAGAAGAGGGATACTCTAATGTGATCTCTTGTACCATCAGTGGTTCACTTAACTTGATACCCAAATGACCGGAGTCACCGAGCATTGTCCAGCATTCACCTACATTTGAATTGGGCATGATGGCCATTTGTGGGGCAGTAAAGGGATCATGTAAAGATAAAAGTCGACGAGCAAGTCGAATGAGTAATGGAACGGCGTAGTAGGTTGGACTTGTTAAAGCGATCACCACTCTTGCTCCACGAGATTCCAAAGCAAAATCGGGTGTATTGAGAATATCTTGATAATGTTCTTGCGCTAAAGTTTCAATGACTTTTTCAAGTGGCGGATGTTGTTGTTTGTTCACTTTAATTTGACTGTTGTGTAAGGTACTCATAAGTAACTTCATAAACTCTTCCTTGGTGATAATAGTTCCTTTGGAAACATGATTTTGGTGTATTCCATTCATTTGATTCGAAGTGTATTTGTTTATAGACTTTTCATTGTGTTCTAAAAATCTATCCCAAGAGACCGTATCTTTCAAGTAAGTGTAAAATTTTACGGGTAGTTCAAGTTTACCGGCCTTGTTTGTTCGTACGAGGATTGAATCTGGTAATTTGGATTCAATAGCAGCCCTAAATTCATCATTGATAGATTCCTTGATTCTTCCAATTTCATTTTGATGCTGATCAATTTTATTCCATATATTCTTTATGTCGTGGCTTTCGATTCTTTTTAATTTATTCCAAATATCTTGGTGCTCATTAGAGATAACCTCAAAGGTCTTCTTTAAGGAAGCTAAATAGTGACTTGCATGTTCTTGATGACCGTACAAGTCTTCTGTAGATCCATCATAAACAAAGTTGTGCACTTTATTTTTTGAGCTTGGCAAGAGAAAGGTAAAGCAGTAAATCAAGACAATGAATGTGATGAAGGAGGTGAAGAGTTGTCGGACCTTGATATTTCGTGCAGGATTCTTTTTTTGATCGTTTGAAAATAGCGAAAGTAGAGAATCAATGAATGAAAATGATACAATAAGTGTGATGAATGTTGCTATTTGGGAAATAGTTTCGCCTACAATCCAATAAATCATAAAAAGCAAGAGAACAATCGGTTTAAGAGCTTTAAAAAAAGTTAATTTCCAGCATGAAGATTCTTGCAGTTGATTTTCAGAAGGGTTTGAATCAACTGTATCATTCATCTTCTTTTTACTAGTAGTTGTCATTTTGTTATTGTAAGCAAATGATCTCATGATTATCTCCAAAAGAAGGGAAAGTATGGTTGCTCTATCAGTAGTGTTTGTAACTCTTGTTTCTTGGTGGTTTTGTGTAGGTTGGCTTTTTTCTTGTACATACTCGACTAGTTGTTCATCACCAAAAGCTTTTCTCCATTTAATTTCTATTTCTGGATTCTCATAGAGATAGTCTACTTCCCCATAGATATCAAGTTCTCTGTCGTCAGGTGCATCTACTATTGGATTGAATTTATCGGGATTGGATGACACTACTTTTCTTCTTGTTAGTGGCATAATTTTTTTTTCTTGTTCGAATCATGTATTACCTCTTGATTCATAATCTCTTCTTGCCGCTTCATAGTCTACATCACTGATATCAAATAGATGGCCATCAGTGGAGTCTTCTGAATTGTACCCATGATCGAAATCAATATAATCTCGACTGGCAGGAATAGAAAAGGGTGTGTTAGGTGGTGAGCAATTATTCTTGGTCTTTGAATTGTTCGGTGTAAATAAATGTTGTGACCTAAACGGTGAAGACATTGGTGTAAAGTGTGCTGCCACACAACATTTGATTTGCCCTCATTTTATATAATTAACGGCGTGGTTTAAAAACCTTCATTTCATTGTCCAACCTCCCCCCCCCTTTTTTTTTTTTTTTTTTTTTTTTTTTTTGCTCCGGGATCTTTTAAGTTTTTATAATGACAATGGCATACAAAAATGTGATTCATGGCTTACAAAAGGACGAAGGTAACTTTTAAAAACCAAAAGAAACAATATAGTCTACTCACAGCGCGAAAAAAAAAAACGCGTTTAGTCTTGTCCTTGACAAATCAAACGGAAGAAACAGTCTTATCCACTGCAATCAAATCCACCCGAACGAACCGAAAGTACACCGATACCGATAAGAGAAATCTTTTCGCTTTGGTGTTTGAACAGGGTTTGAGCACAAACGCAGCAGCTCTTCAACTCGGTATGCCTCCTAGCACTGCTTATACCTGGATTAAAAAAGAAAAGGAGCGACAAAGTGTTACTGCTGTCGCCACTAACGAAACCGTCACCGGAGTAGTCACGGAAACTGTCAAACAAAGTGGTAATGAAGGTACCAAGGAGAATCTCTTTGCTTTGGTGTTCGAGCAAGGAATGAGCACAAACGCGGCTTCTATTAAGCTTGCTATTCCTCGTAGTACTGCTTATAGCTGGGTAAAGAAAGAGAAGGAACAACGAAGTGCCGCTATCGAGGCCAGCGAAATAGCCAGACAAACTGCTCAAGCAGCTGCCGCAGAAAATCTTAAGGTGAATCTTTTCGCTTTGGTGTTTGAACAAGGCATGAGCACAAATGCAGCAGCTTTTGGACTTGGTATACCTCCCAGTACCGCTTATAGTTGGATAAATAAAGAAAAGGAACGACGCGATTTTACGGGTGAAGCTTCCAGTAAAACTGCCCGGGAAATTTCCAAAGAGGATCTCAAGGAGAATCTTTTTGCTATGGTGTTTGATCAGGGACTGAGTACGAATGCATCAGCCATTCAACTTGGTATGCCTCCCAGCACCGCCTATAACTGGATAAAGAAAGAAAAGGAGCGACGAGATATCACTGGCGAGGCTTCCAGCAAAACTGCTCAGGAAATTTCCAAAGACGATCTCAAGAAGAATCTTTTTGCCTTGGTGTTTGAGCAGGGAATGAGCACAAATGCATCGGCCATACAGCTTGGTATGCCTCCAAGTACCGCATATAACTGGATAAATCAAGAAAGAGAACGACAAAGTGTCACTGCTGAGGTTACCAAGGAAACTGTTCAAGAAACTGTCAAGGAAACCTTAAAAGACAATGCTGAGGAAACTGTCCATGAAACGGCTCGAGAAATCTCTAAAGAAACCTCCGTTGAAACCTCCGTTGAAACCTCCGTCGAATCAGAAGAAGCCTCAACCAAGGATGCTGATGTCAAACCTGGATTAGGAGAAGAACATGAAAAGTTCTTGACTGATATCATTGAGGAAAAGCTCGCTATCGCGCTAGCCGAAATAACCAAAACAGTAACAGAGCAATTCACCGATTTGGATATTTCTCAAACCAGTTTGAAACAGCTTGTAAATCAGAAGTGCAAGGCTAGTCTCGAAAAGTCCGATGCCTCCAATTCTCCCATCAGACTCGAGGAGAGATACCATTGGGCTGCCTATTGGAAAGATAAAGACATGGATTATTTGAGTAATTGTGTCTTTATTGACGAGACGGATTTCCATATCAAGCTCACAACGTTGTCTAAAGTGGACACCATGAAACCTGTGACGAAGACCGTGTTTGGCGCTGTCTCCACCCATGGCTTAGTCAATGCTGTAAATGTGCTTCCAAAGAACTCTGATAATTCTTTATTCGGTATGGCACCTCAAAATGGCTCAGCTGCTGATGCTGCCGGTAACTATTTTATCTTTATAAGACAAACATTGGATATCATGGATCAACATGAGGATCTATTCAAGAACAACTACTTGGTGGTGGACAATCCATCTTTTCATAACGACCACCCAGAAATTCAACGCTATGTTGAGATTCGGGGATATCGTTTTGTTGTTCTTCCAAGCCACTCTTCGGAACTAAGCCCAATGAAACAATTCTGGTCTGCTTGTCAAAGCAATGTTAGAAACGAAAAATACATTACTGAAGAAATCTGGGGTACAAAATTGAAGGAGGCTTGTCGTAAAATCTCGATTAGTGAAATCAAAAAGTTTTGCTCTAGCTCAGTCACTTTAATTGATGGTTGTCTGGATCGTGAACCTATTTAATTTGGTGCATGTAACACTTGAAAATACACATTTTTTAAACTTTTCTATTGTTTCCATTATCGTATTCTTTGAGCTTTTTTTTTTTTTTTTCTAATTGTTTATCTAGTCTGAGCTAACATAGCGTTTTCACTCTTGATAATAGCCAAAATTATCACATCGAATGTGTTGGCATCAAATTGGGGTCTGAACTGTTGAATCGCTTTTTTGGTTTTAGTCCGTTTACCGTGTAACATTTAAACTTTAAAAGATCGTCAGCCTTTTTTGGGTTTAGCCCTCTACTTCAGTTTCTCGACCGCCGTAATACGGAATTAATAATTCGAATAAGTATTGGGGTAAAATGAGGTACCTGCCCTAATAAACATTGACAATATTTTGAAGGTGAAGACTGTCATAATACAGTCCGTTATTTACTTCATAATTCTCAGCCTATATTGTAGGAAGGGCTAAAAACAAAAAACCTTTATCGAAGCTATAACGGAAGCGAGGATTGAAGACCATTCACCGTACTTCAAAGGAAGCATTTACTCTTTGAAGAAGTCATATGAAAGATGTATGAATTGTATCTTCTACAAGATAATCGTAAAAAATATATTATCCGACAAGTTTAGTTTTATCGAGTAAAACCTATGCCGATGGCTGGTTTATTTAAAAGCTGGGAGAGCATTCCTTCTTGAAACTAGCTTTTCAAGGATAAACTTTACGGGCATGACGTGTTTTGTGATGAGAAAGATATAACTGAAAAGAGAAAGTCCCGCATTCAATGAGCCATTTAATTAGTTTAGAGCAGATTGCATGCAGCTATGTACAACATCAACGAGGGAAATAATAGACGTCAAGTGTTCTTTAAAGAGATCTTCATTTTATATTTTATTATTTTACAGGGGGGTAAAGAAAAAAGAAAGTGTATATCTACAACAGTAAGCTTGAGTGTTACTACTAGTTATATTGAGGAGAAAGGGGGTTGGGTAATAATGCGAGGATGATGAATAATATGCGCGTTTTTTTTTTTTGGTGAGTATTTAAACGTTAATTGTGTTTGTTTGCTGCTCTTTCGGTCATAGACATATCTGCAGCACCGGTAGATGTAAGTAAAGTAAACACGGATACCAGCAAGATAGTTCCAATCACATCGATGGATGCAGTACTAATAGTTTTAAAAATTAATAAATTGGTACTTCCCTCGCCCTCCCCCCCCCCCTTTAATTTCGTAATACTTACAGATAAGGTATCACATAATTGTCTGGATCATAGCCCATTCTCCAGAATGTCAAGGACATGATTTTGCCAATCTTGAGACAAATCCAGGTCTAATCAACTTGCATTAATATCATATCAACTGTTAAAGAAAACAATAACAAAAATACTTACACAAATCATGGATATCATAAAATACGAAAGAAAGAACCAGACATTGTACTGGAGCTGACCCATGCCGAATGCCCAAATGATGACCATGAATACAACTTGTACGGGTATGTTCATAGCCATAAGAGTATATTCAACGACTTTGTAATTTTCCTTGGTTTCGGAATGAAGACAAGTACTGATTCTAGATGCATAAATTGAGCCTAGATTTCCTGCCAGACCGATCAATACAGGAGTCAATAAAGCGACACCTTTGTATTGTTCCACATAGGCTTCCAAAAGAATACCGGCCAAGCTAGAGATAACCATGGCCAAAATAATGGGAGTCCAACCAGCAAATAGTAAGTCTTTCACATGAGAGTTACGCCAAACAATCAGCCCGAAGATGGGGATTAAGCCTAACATGATCAAAAATATAAGTGTGCTAAAAATACTCTCTGAATAAAAAAAAAAAAAAATTAGTTAATGTCATCATTTTTACGCAGGACCTGATAAATATTTACCCATTTGATTTTGAAGTATCGATGCACTAGTAGCTAATAAAACTAAAGTTACAATATCTCCAGTAGAAGAGGCCATAGGACAGGCAATATTGTCAGGATCGACATCGAATTTCCTGCAAATGATAATTAAAGCGCACATAAATATGCCTAAAATGGCAGACGAAAATGAAGCAGACACCATCGAACTTGCTGTCATATACATCATTTCGTAATAACTGGTGCTACTTCCAGGCTTTGTAATTAACCCCAGAGCAAAGGAAGACACACCGGCAATAGCACCCGCCACAAGCGATTGGACTTGTAACAAGGCAAGATTACCGACTATAAGTGATCTTCTTGTTGGTCCATAATCCAACTCGCCTAAATTAGACTTTATAAAATAAAATTAAAATTTAGACATGAATAACTAAATGAACGACTTTATAAATATTTACCGAAGTCGAAAAACGGGCAGCAAGATTCATTTCCAAGTTTCCTTTAAGGTTTAATAAAATAGGTAACAAGATAAACAATTCTGTAGTTTTTAAAAAGACATCCCAATGCTAATAAATTATGTTAGTGTCCACCTTTTTTTTTAAAAATAACAAGATGAAATGTACCTGGAAATCATCCATAAGGTTACCAGCCAGCACTAGACCGATAACGGAGATGATGAGTGAAGGAAGTGCCTGTAAGAAGGGTGTAATTAGAATGAAACGGTATAAATTGGGCAGTTTATATATAGAAGGATAGGGGACGACAAAAAAAAAAAAAAAAAAAAAAAAAAGGGAGATAATTACCTGGATTGCCAGTGTATTTTCATGCTTTGGTTCAGGTTTATTCTCGTTGCTCTCGTAAATAACAAACTCGTCAGTACTATGGTTGCTCTCTACATCGGTCAACAGTGCTGCAGTAGCTTGGTATTCTTGGTCTTTCTCAAGAATGTCTTCGTCATGTCCAACATGATCGGGTGGGTCATCATTATCCTCATTGTTGTGTATTGATAGCTCAATGTAATCGGCGGAGTTGTGTTTCATTTTTTTTTTCAAAAAAAAGTAAGTAGAAGAAAGAAAGAAAACTAAAGAAGCAGAAAAAATAAGAAGGAGATAAAGAGGAGTTCTTCAAAAGGGACTATCTTTTTTTATATATATAATTGGTAGTCGCTAAAGTATAATACATCAACAAATTAAGCTTGTACTCCTGCTGGGGCTTGGGACTTTTATTCTTTTTGAGGCATTTCTTTTTATTTTTTTTTATTTTTGCATAGATTTTTTTATTTGAGCTGTTATCGTGTCACTAACACTGATGTTCGCCCATATCAACCAGAAATTCATTTCAATTCTACATGTGCCAGGCATCCAAATATAGAGGACACTGACTTTTTATTATAATTTTGTCAGCCACATGCGTATAAATGACAAACTAGATCTGTGCTATTTTGTAAATCATGTTACACGAGCAAAATGGTCTTTATTTTTTAATATTACATTTAAACAGCTATTGGTTTTGCGACTTGTACAGGTTTTATATCCATCTCAGGGGGGTGATAATCCATCTTTGCTCAAAGTTAAATTATTTATTTATTTTTTTATTTCGTGTGTTTGACGTTTTATATTTAAATATGGGTTAATTTCATCCTCAGCCTCTATTTATAACTTTTTGAGAATAAACACTTTACAGAAATGTGGCTTCCGCCATCTACCTGGTAATAGTATCATATGCCATCCAGAAAAAAAAAACAAAGGTATTGCAAACCTGGTACGATTTGAATTCTGGAATTCTGTTTCTAGATTTCATATTCCCTCTGATGTTCAAACCACACTACTGCTACCTTAATTTTTTTGCATGCATGCAATTGTCACCTGAATAATGGATGGCATGACGGGACCATTACACACACATATATGGACACATAGCAAAAAACGCAATTCGCATAAGGGGAACATACATGGCATGAGCACAATAAACTTTGCGCATCCGTCAAACAAAAAGCTAAAAAATTCCGATGAAATGTATAAATAAAGAAAGGAACCACTTGATCACTCTACGTTTGTCCTACGTCTTTAACCCAGACTACGATGTACAGCTTTATTTGCCTTGGCATAAATCATCCAACTGGGTTTAAAGAAACTCTTTCGATTCGTTTTCCTTCTTTTTTTTCTCCTTCTTTCACTCTTCGTAATATTTAAATCCTGTAAAATTTGTAAGTTCTCATAGAATTCGTTAATATTTCTACTTTGACACTTAACCATGCAATCCCTTTTTTTCTTTTTCTTTGTATAAAAGAATAATAAAAAAAGTTATGGAACACCCAAAAACCCAGTAAGCTTGCCGTTATATCTTGCTAAGCTTTTCTTAACTTTTTTTATTTATTTATTAATAGCGATTCACCTCCTCCATACACTGCTATTCCATCCTATAACCCCCACTTTCCCAGTGGGCCAACATATACACATAGTACCTATCAAAGCGTACCGCCACCATTACCCAATAGACCGCAGTCAGATACCACCAACACCACATTATATGTTAACAATAGAACATCGACCTCTAGCCTACCCCCGATTGTTGCGAATAATAATGTAAATTTTATAAGGACATCTGATTACTCATCTGCCGGTGTATCAGCCATGACATCTGCGTCTTTTACAGCTGTAAGCAACGTTGTACACGTAAACAATATAGTGACTCATGCTATGAATGGACCCCAAAAAATAAATATGTACCTAGAAGAAGTTCGAAAACCTACATCCAAAGATAAAGGTAAACTTTCTATTAATCAGTCCAGCCGAATGCTTGAACTGAACGAAAGCTGGTCTGGTCGTAAATGTCATCTTTCAAACAAGAATGGGTGTATAACAGTTCATGGATCTTTGGTATCAAACGGATCTATAGAGTTGGAGACAACAAAAGGAGATATTACTATTGATGGCCACATGGTTGCGGCCAAAGATATCAAGGTTAAAACAAATCACGGGTTTTTTTCCGTTCTAGGTTCATCCGTCATTGCGGATAATCTCACAATTGAAGCAAGTTATAAACCATTACAAATAAGCAGCCAAATCACAGTAAAGAAATTATTGATCAATACCAAACATGCGCCTATTATCTTGAATCGTATTTCATTGGCATCACATATGTCTATCAAAGCATACAAAGCCCCAGTCGATGTTTCCATTCAAGATATCACGAGTAGCTCAGCAAAAATTGAGATCGAGACAACCAAGGCAGCAGTCAATGTTTATTTATCAAGCAAATTCTCTGGAAATTTTGATATCAGGTCCAAAAACGGACTTGTAACAGTTATTATGGATAACAGTGCGTTTGGTTCGTTATTGTTTGAAAACACCAAGGACAATCACAAATCAGGATGCTTTAAGAGTGGGAAGAAATCAAAGAACACCATTTATATCAGAACCTGTAATGCTCCTGCTACACTTTATATCCAGTAGATAACATATCCACCACCCAATTTTTTTTCCCTTGATTAAACGTTTTGCACTAAATCAGTTACACCAAGCTTTCCGCCATAGTTTTTAAACATTTCACTGTGATTTCCCACAGCCTCTACTTTCAGGAATAATCAATTGATACGCAGAAATAGCTGCATTAAAAGAATTCATTATGAATTAGATAGACAATAATTTATATTGTTGGCCGTAATAGAACTCCAGGGGACTGTAAGAACGTTCTGTTATCTCATGTTTTTTGTTACTACAACAATGGTCATTTCTATTAAGTCAAATTTGTTCTCCCTTGTAATACCTCGGTACGAGGGAAACCTAAAGAAGATTTACGGCTTCTTCACACTTTGAGTCATACGAGAAGTGGCAGTGAAATTGGCTTAATGACAATAGTCAGCTTAAAGTCGGTAGCCTAGTTTGAGCTGCGAACAGATACTTCGACATAGGCTTCTCAGGCATGAAAGAGGTTAAAAAGAATAGCAATTTTACATGTAATAGCTCTGGACTGTAGCATGAATAATCTTTGCATACTCACCATTATTCCCTAAAAAAGCTATAATGTCTTATCTAGGCTCAGCCATATATATTTATGCCATTTAAAGTGATTTAATATATAAATCAATCGATTGCAGAGCTATATAATCATGACGGAAATGTCTTTTCACTAAAATAAACAACCTTGTAAATCCGATGTTAATTTATCTTTTTTCTTCAATAAATAATTCTCATACCACACCTGAAATAGAAAAAGAAAATCTTACAAAGTACCACTGCCTGTGGTTTATTATGAACACAGTAAGACAGATGCCATAGACAGCAGACTGCAAAGAAAAAACTGTGCTGCGGTCACTAAAGAAGAAAATATGTATTTTGTGTCCAGAGTTACTTAAAAAAAACGTGTCTTTAGCAAACACTCAGCCTTTTAAATTATGGTTGGGTAGATTTTATTTTGTATTATAATCAGCTTGGGACAATGAACAGAGAGTCATTGTCAAGGTGATAAATTGAGGGTATATATTTATCTGGGTTTTAAACAACCAAATATATGATTGTTCTTTTTGCCTGTAAAAGTCTAGATATGCTCAAATTTGATTGTATTCATTGGATCAAAGACACATAATGTATGCGTGTTAATATTATGGCCTTAATTAAAGACATTGAGATTAGTCGATTAGACAACGCATAAAACCCTTTTTTTACAAAAAAAAAAAAAAAAAAAAAAATAGTTGACTAGCAAACTAACAGGTATTTTAAAGCAAGTAGACTACCTTTTTTTTATCACGAGGTAAATAGCACGGGCAATGGCTACTAGCGCGGATCATTGTGTGCATATAATCAAAAAAGAGGCTTTGACTTATTTTTTGCTCGTTTTTTTTTTTTTTTCTTTTGAAAGAAAGAAATAAACAAACCATGTACCATAGGTTTGTTAAAGTTGATCAAGCGAAAATATCGGCTGATTTATTTTTTGTCTGTCGATCAATAGGACGGAAAAAGAAAGTCGGACGTAAGACAAATATGGATTTTTTGGTTCTTTAAAAATAGACTACATGATACAGCATATGAGAAAAATAGTCTGTAAAAGGCGAAATTTATCTTATTCCAAAAATATCTGAACTGAATAAAGAGTACAAATCAGTTTGGTTTAAACTTATTAAAGAGATGAAATAGAATATATCTACAAAAGTAAGGGGAGATCGACAAAGGGTTCAAGTTAGACAGGTTGAGGAGAGAAGAGGACCGGAAATGTGGTACAAGTCCGCTGTTGGGTGCAGCAATTTGTCCTGGTCCGAATATTATGTACTGTCATGTTATAGATCTTTTTTTTTTTTTTTTTTTTTACTGCTTCCAAAAACTTGAATCTACCACGTGTCTTAGTCTGGTCCAGGAAGAAGAATAGGGAGGCATAAATGCTCTGAGAGTATACTGATGTTTGTAGAATAACTAACATTTGATGTGATGATTGTTATCTATTAAATAAACCATATAAAATTAAAAGACAGATGTGGCGAGGAACCTACTATTAAAAGGAAGAAGACCGAAGGTTAAGCTTAAATTAAATTTTCGTAGACACAAGAATCCCCGACGGGATTTATTCTTGACTTAATAAAGTGATAGATTGAGCTGCTTATCCTTTTTTTTCCCTTTTTGATTATCTTTAGCGAATGTAACAATGGGCTCAAACTATTCCAATTTAAAGCATCAACTTTCACCCAAAAAAGTACCTAAACATCTTAGACCAACCAAAAAAAAAGCAGCACATAAACAAAAGTCCACACACAAAGAAGCGCCAGCTCAGGCAGTCAAAAAGGCTTTTGTAAAAGTGACAGTACAAAACGAAGATAATATTACAACAGAGGAAGAGACAGTGTTGGTTGGAACAGGCCCGCGTGGCGCGTTTCGATGGTTCAAAGGCCGTCGATACCTGAACTATGTCACAGAGGTAAAGAATCGGTTTTCTAAAGGATCAAACAAATACATGCTGATACTAAAACCAAAAAAAAAGGATGGTTCTATAGGCACAGGCATTTTACCGAACGATCAATTAGAGTTGGACAGAATAAGAGTCCTTTCATTCATTATTCGCTGGGCATTTAAAGGGTAACTAAGCTTTCAAAAGTAGTAGGCAGATCAAGTAAATTAAATATTTATATGATAGGACTGTGCTTGCCCCTGTAGAAAGAAAGCTGAAAAGCGGGATTCAAGTTTTAAGCGTAGGGTAAACTTATAAAATACTTGCATATTTAAACAATTGGTGTTAATTTTCCTTTCTTTTGTGTAGATATGGACCTGGGATTTGGGTGAGTGGGAAAACCCTAAAATGTGTGTATACAAAACCAAAAAAAAAAAAGACTGAACAATCCAATGTTACGCAAATCCCATTTTTAGAGTGGTCATCATATAATGGATATGGCTATCGATTTTCCACAGTCCCAATTTACAGTGATTGATGTTGCAGATCTACTACCAGCAGATTTCGAAGAAATCACTACAGATGAGAAAGACGTATTTGGGCATAAAAATAACTCGAGTCTGTTCACACCAATACATCCGAACTTACCAAAGAAGTTTCAAGAAACAAATTCACGGTTAGAATCTGACCTTTCATTGGACAGCAATAGCAGTTTTAGTAACGTATTACTATCCCGCGTAGATGACACGTACGATTCCGACTGTACACAAGAAGTAATGGATGACGATCTTTCCCCGCCCAAACATCGTAAATTACTACGGAATCTCGATTTTTATCAAACCAATGTGGTTGATGGAGGATTGCCATTTCCAGATGATCAGTTTGACTTTGTGAAGCAACGATTAGTTACAGCCTCGTTTACACTTGCCGATTGGAAACGCGTGATAGAAGAATTGGTTCGTGTAACCAAACCTGGCGGATATATTCAATTGCTGGAAATAGACTACAATACGTTTAATCTAGGACCCAATGGCAAAGCCTGGGAATTACAATGTAAAGTGTGATTACTTATATGTTTAGCGTGTAATTTATATATTTTAAAATAGTGTTGCAGACAGCTCGAGAAAAACGGAACATGGAACCAAGAATGGCCCTTTATTTACCAGATATGTTGAAATCAGCTGGATTGATCGATGTGTCTTCAAAGCTTGTTTCTATTCCCCTTGGATCATGGGGTCTAGATCTTGGTTCACTTTGGAAGCACAATATGGAAATGTTTGCGGATTCATCATCCCCCTTGCTGAGCAAGTTGGTTGGTATATCTGAATCCGAATACAGGCGTCGATGGCGTGATATGTTTGAAGAAGTGAAAGACAAAAAGGCTTTCAGTAACATTCATGCTGCCTGGGGTCAAAAACCATTAAAAAAATAAACCGCGATCGATTGAGTGATCGTAATTGGCCCGACTCCCCTTTTCTAAAATAACTATGTGAACCTCCTCTTTATTGTTATTCAATTTGTTTGTAGTAACCAAACCGTTTTTTATGTAACCATGACAATAAACTTTTTTATTCCTTCTCCTGACATGGTAACACGATTATTCTGAGACGGATGGTCCTGAAAATGTGGAGAATTAATTATTTATAAGCACACAGACCCCCCATTTATCTCAAAAACCCCCTTCTTATTTCTTTATAAATTCTCACTCTTTTTTTTGTTTCTTCTTCTTTTCCCTCTTCCTCTATTCTTTTCATATTCTTTTAATGGCATCAGACACAATTCATAAAGATAAAAGCGCTTTACATAATAACCAACGCAAAACGAATAATAATATTCGAAAATTCTTTAATCGTTTCCCACATAATAAATCACCACCATTATCACCAAGCAGTGATATGAGTCAATGCCCAGTGTTATCATCCTCGTCATCACTGTCGAGCGAAAATGATTTATCACCCACACAAATCCAAATTGATTTAGTACGCACAAGCTGGGAACGTGTGTCGCAGATTCGACATGCTAATGATGATCGTAATATCTCATCTGCGCATGCTTTCGGATTAGCGTTCTATGATGCATTGTTTGATATGGATCGAGAAGTAAAAAGACTGTTTGATAATGTGTTTCAACAGGCGAGAGCGCTCACTGGAATGATTTCGTACATTGCCAGAGCACCTGGTGTCACCACTGCATCGAGGCCCCCTTGTTGTACACCGACAATGCCAACCACAATTCGTGATATAAATGCCTCTAAAAAAGACATCAATAATACACAAGAGTATGAAGAAGGAGATCCTGAATGGCTTGCTGCTCAAATGAGAGAATTAGGTGCTCGACATTACTTTTACAACGTAAACCCTCATCACTTGGAACTAGTCGGTCCAGCCTTTGTAACTGCCCTTAAAAAAAGATTAGGAGACGAATACACTGACGATATTGGCGATGCATGGGTCAAGGTAACCATCTTTATATGTGTGTTTGTACTCGCTTAAAATACTAACATGTCTGGTTAGGCAAACTCATATGTCGCTTATAATATGAGGTTAGGGTTCGAATCTCAGCAGGCCTGGGAAGAAGGTTCCATTACGACCTCTTCTTCAAAGAAATCAAAAGCTTCATGTTCAATACAATAGTCATTTCTCTTCTTTCTCTTTTATACATATTATTAGCATTATATCAATATGCATGCATATTTTTTTTTCAGCCTTCCCCTTTCACTCTCCAACCCGGACCTATTTTCCCGCGCTTGGAACAATCCCCATCCCTTCTTTTTTTTATATCATTTTACTGTACAATTAAATAAAAATATAAAAACCGTGCACAAACTATAACCTTCTTATTGTAAAATCAGGGATAAAAATAAATAAATTGACATTTGTTGCAGGGTTGACAGAAAAACGTTTATTCTTCTTCCAGCAAAAACCTTCTCCGAAAATAGTAGTTCGACACATATTTTTCTTTTTTGTTTTTCATATTGCGACATTTTAACTTTTTTTTTTTTTCATAAAATATGAGCCTTACTCCTACACATTCTTATAGACCCATTGCACCTTCTATTGCACCACAGCCTATCTTACCTCGTCCTGTCTCATTAGACAGTAAACGTAAATGGTCATCTCCAGAAGACTCTCCGCAAAAAACTCAAGGTAATTTCCTTCTTTTTTTTTTCTGTGGTTTCCGTAATCATGACTAAACATTACGAAAAAGTAGAAAGAAGAAACAGTAATAGTTCACAAGGTTCCAATTCATCTGTAACATTAGCGGCCGATCAACGCATTCGTCGTAAAGAACAAAATCGAGCTGCACAACGAGCCTTTAGAGAGCGTAAAGAACGTTACGTGCAAGAATTACAAGATAAGATAAAGCAAATCGAAGCAGCACATGCGATACAAGTATCTCGACTAGAAGAAGAGAATTTAAAGTTAAAAAACGAGTTGAGTGAGCTAAAAGATAGTAAAAGAGAGCAATCACCAACACCTTCACGTATACCTTCCTCCGCTGTGGCATGTATACGTGATAAGGATGGTGTCTCTTTTTGTGAACGTTTAAAAGAGGAAGTATGCTCAAACGCTTACGATCGATTATTAACAGAGCAATTATTTGACGCGCATGGATTTTTAAATGAAACGATGTCACCCGTGCCGATTATAACTTCTACAAAAAAACAGCCTAGTAAAATTGATTTCTTTGATGAATTAGAACAATCATTAAACGCCACTCCGCTAGAAGAACCCACCAACCTTGACCTAATATCATGTTCGGTTGTTTGGAATCGTATGGCCAATCATCCATTATTCGAAAAATTTGACCAAGATGCACTGTGTCATGAATTGAAAAAGAGAGCTAAATGTTCAACTACTGGACCCGTTTTTGAAGAATTCGAAGTTCAAGAAGTGTTACATTTGATGGAAGATCGAGTACGTAACCAAGAGCAGCAACAACAAATCTAATACTTTTTCAGTAAATAAAATGACCTTTTTTTTTATTTTTTATTTTTATTTATTTCCTCTTCTTTTCTCTCTCTCCCACACACATATTATCGAATGATCACGAATCCATTGCAAGTTAAACTTCGTACACCACAGAATGAATTTATGCATCAATTCGTTACTCCTAGTACACTTCCTAATATACCAGACTACGATGATCAGAATATTCCACTGGCCCTTTTGGTCTATCGAAACGTATATCCATTAATACGACATATTCCCTCTCATCCGCAGCATTTGAATCGTTCTTATGCATTACATCGCTATCCTTCGTCCCAACAATTCTATAATAAAACAAACTAGTATTTTCGTATTATTTTTTGACGGATGCTTGATGTCATTTGTGTTGCATGATCATAACAAAACTCGTCACAATTTGTTTATACAGCACCCACTTATGGTTTGGCTTACATATTAGTCAAAAAGTGCCTTTTACAAGATTGTATTTTTTAAACCTTGTATATACGTACAAGAGCTTAACTAAAAATAAGATAGGTTTTGTAACTCGATCATCAACCCTGCCACAGCAACACTGTTTTGAATATCCGTTAGGAAAAAGCTGAGTATTTTTGTGCCGGATCAAACTACATCTGGGCGGTACACATACTCGTATTCCCCTGCACATGTACTTTGTGGCAGGAAGATATATCTTTGGTATTTTCACGCACAGGGAGGAAACCGGTAAAATGTTTAAAGTTAATGGGCTTGTCTTGTTACCGAAAAACGTGTGGCGTTGTTACTCAACATATCTTATTTGAAAAAAAAAAAAATTAAAAAGGAAATTACTAGATTTGTCTTCCGTCTAAAAGATAATTTCCTGTCTTACCCATGCTCTCAATATGACACCTTTTGTCTAAATGATCTCCTTTTTTCTTGAGAGCAAATTATTTCTACAGTGCATACGGTCCCCAATGACATGAATAATTTTGGTAAAAAATATATTTGTTGGAGAGTGAGTTTAACAACTTATAATTTGATGAGCGGCGGCAGTTGCAACAGACAATATGTACGCAAAAACGTTATAACACCGATTGGTTGAATAATGACTAAGCTTACCAAAGAATAATAAGAACCACTTTCTTTATTCTTTTTAAAGTACTCTACAATGTTAAAGCCAGGTGGCTCATAAAAAATCAAATAATATAATAACATATGAAAGAGATACTTAAATGACGATGGCACGACACTTGATTCAGAAGCTGACGAACAGCTCCTGCTATTGTGAAAAGCACAGTGAACCAAACGTGTATGATGTATACGATGGTAGAGTTTGAAAGAGTTATAAAATTGACGCGAATCTTTAATACCTTTTTTGTTGCCCTATCCAGCAACAGTGTAATGCTTTCCATTGGTGTTAATGCTTTCCATTGGTGTTAATGCTTTCCATTGGTGTTAATGCTTTCCATTGGAGTTCATTGATATCAAAGCTACTCCTACAGTGGTCTTTCAACAGTCCCTATCTACCTTACAATCTTCTAAAGGAGGTGATAGATACAAGAATTTGTCATTTTATCAGGTCTTATACCTGTTGCTTTTTGTGTCGAATGATCGTTCTTCCTTTTGGATACGACTTTGGATCTTTTGCCCGTAAGCGACCCGATTTTGGCTTGTAGATTTTATTGACGTGATTAAACACTGCTAACAAAATAGACTTTTATGCCGAAACAGAATGACAGCAATAGTCTGTTCAGAATCTTGACTATGAAACTATCTAAGTATCACACCACCAGTAGCTCACGATGACCTAGACAAAGATTCTAATTCTTTAATCAAGGCTCTCATGGAGGTATACCGTTGGTGTTTTGGCCATTTTTTGAAGTTTTAAAAATAATTGATAAATACAACCGAAAACATAAAGGCTAAAACAAATAAAATTGGCCATAAAAAGCACGTTATTGTTATATATGAGTTTGATTTGAAAGTTTACTCATTTTTGTTATTTTGAATAGCTGCATATGTTGATACTGTTGATTCTCACTTAGGGTGGGTACGAGCATTACAAATCTTTTTCTCTTGGTGCATTCCGATTGGATTGGTAGAAATGGATGCATCGATGATTTCACATTAACGTGTGCATAAAATTAGTTGTCTGTGTAATTTTACTACTGAGCGCACGGTTGCGAAATGCTAAATCAAATTTTTTAATACATCCAAACAACGCTGTCCCGAGTTTCATCCTTGTAAATTTATTCTGATTTACTATGTTAATGATAATTGATCATCATTATTTAGTATGGTGAGCAAAGGGAATAAATAGGAATTTGTAGCCTCTATTAATGATAGAGTTGCCAACTTTTTATGAGTGTTAACAGGAGCGTTGTTCATAGCGAGTTAAAAGTCTTTCAATTCAGAATATTTCTTTGGTCGATCCAGCGTTGCATCCAAAAACTCAAGATAAAGTCTTACTATTACTCAATTAAATAATTTGATGACTGCCTTACAGGACACTTTATTTACATACAATGCAGTTTTTTGTTATGCAACACCATTTTCCTAAATCGTGCGACACTCTTTGCTGAAAAATATATATTGTTTTTTTAAAAGTGCGATATCATTTTGGTGTACAAGCTGCGCTTTCCTTTATAGACAACATCTAAGACATTTGTCCTACAACTTCATCTGTGGTACCCTTGTGCGGCATGCAACTTGAAGTAAGGTCTCAAAAGGCAAGTACCACAGATAATTATATATACACACATATTAAATATATGTTTCGAACTTTATTGTTTTCTAAAGTGAATCCAATTAATTAGGAGAAATGAGTCATTCCACACCCATTGGCCGCTGAAACTAGTCTCGCTATAAGCCAATTCACGCTTTACACTATGATGAATGCAGTTTTTCTTTGTGATAATATATACACAGCCATTTTATCTTGTCAAACAATGGCTTATTAAACATGTTTGGTCTACATATGTGGGATTGCTAATTCAATGATGACAAACCATATACTAATTTTTGGCAGTTCGACAAAAATCACTAGTTAAATTGTGTTCCCATGTCGGAAGAAAAAATGTGGGGGGGGTGGTCTAGTTGTTTGTTTTGTCAGTCAATTTACTAAAATCACAGCATTTTAGCCATTATAGTTTATCAAAAATTCGAGAATAAACCTTTTTTTTTAGCTATTAATTTTGCTTTGTACCACCGTAACAATAATGAATCGACAAGCTCTTTTTCTTTTGAATAGTCTTTTTGGTAATGACAAAATGCCAAATAAGATTGCATAACACAAATACTTGGTGAACATTATTGTTTAACCATCGATTTTTGATTTTTCGAAGAATTGAACACCATCATAAAGACTAACATCACCAACAACTATAAAAACGCTATTACTAGTCATTTGGGAAACGAGACCGGGATTAAAAATACCGAAAAAAAACTTGAATAACCAAGAAAAAGAAACTCGCCCTCGTAATGGGATAAATCCATATTTAAAGCACAGTCGTCGTTGTGCATTGAGAATGAAACTTTTATTGCTTTTGGTCAATAAATTGGCCGTCGATAGTACCTTGCTTCGATCACCATGCTGCTTCCCATGCGTATGAACAACCTATCGCTGACTGGACTTTTGTTTCTTCTTGATAATATTGATAATATTGTTGAAGAATTCTTTTACGATTTCTGATCTCGCTGGCTGAGTAAAAAGATATGAGATCACACCTTAAAAAAAATGTGATAAACTTTTTTCAAGCACGCACAATTACAATGATCGTGATCTTTTCTAAAGTCTTTCTTACCCTTTGAAAGGCTTTTATATCATAACGTTCAATTTATATGTATATATAAACAATATCATTATGGTGTGATCATAATTTTTATCATTAAAGTGCACACAAGCTTTACCTTCCTAATAAGATATTTGTGTTACTACCAGCATCAGAACTGGCAGATTCAGTACTTCAGATCGGTTATTGAGTCGTTGATGGATTTATGATGGAGCTGACTTCTAAAAATACTTCAAATGGTAAAATGAGGGAAAACAGAACAAGCAACTTACAAGCAATTGGAAGAATATAAACGAGATAAATACTTAAAGATCCCGTTAAATATATCACTAATGAGAGTCAAATTGCTAATCTTCAACTTCTCTTTGCTCACCACGTCAACGACGTGAAAATCTTCAAGCACCTAAAACCAGTTCTAATCGCCTGTTCGGACCCTCGCCAGACGATAAAAATTGCATCACCTTCGTATTCAATTTACATCTAAATCAAACACTCTTGATCGGCTTAATTTGATCAACACCGTGGACAAACCCCGGATAAATCTGGGGTATATTGAGCTTTATAAGAAGGTAAAGACCGCTAAAGATGAAAGTATTTTCAGTGCAAATCAATAACCACATTTACTGATGATTGATTACCAACGAACTTCTATCATTGAGAGAACGCCTGTAGAGTTACAGGTGATAGCGCTTCATATAAATCTGAATTGTATCCTGTGAAGGGATTGTTTGTTACTATGTGTGCGTGCTATGACTTCAAGCTAAAGATGGCGGATATGGATAGGTGAAGGGTACGTAATACACATGTAAATATTTCATTACACTGATTACGAATTGTAATTCGAGCATGTAATATTTTTCAATTCAACTTGTTCTTTAAGTGGCTTATATTCCAGCAAGGGCCATCCTCACAAACATACGGGTATCTGTCAGAAGCTTGGGACTACCCTCGATGTCTAGATTCAATTTCTTGCTTCCAGCTTACAGAAAGGCTCTCATGGGATATCGTGCCCAGTAATGTAGTGGCCTTTAGTATTGCCATTTCATCGATAGACTAAAAAAACTTGCAATTTACACCTTAGCCGAGAACAATAGCATTCCTGTAGAACTGCTCTTCAAAAGATTTTTAAAGTATTAATATATGAAGTTCTTTGTAAATAGGAAGTTGTATTACAACAACTGACAATGAGCTTGTTAAAAAAAGGTATCAGAAAAGCTTGGTGTTGACACTTTTCACTTGACAATATTTATCTTTTTATTTTCAAATAGATCCCATTTAACTATGTGTAAAAAGAACATGTCGCTTTATGAAAGAGCATCATATGTAACGCCACGTCCTGGTTCCTTTCCCTGTCAATGCTTTACTAGCATTAAAACCTTTTGAAGCACCGACTTTTTAGCTCGGACTTTTTTAGCGCTCTCTCTCTGACTTTTTTTAAGGTTGCGGTCATTTAAAATAAATACAGCTTTTTGGCATTACATTTTATTAAGAATTCGAGTTCCAAAAGGAGGAGGGTGGGACCCATGTGAAATATACAGAAATGGAGAAGGGTTTGTAGAATAAAGATATTGTGGTTTAGAATAAGAAGGTAGTCTATAATATTACAAGAGTGTATGTTGTGTGTGTGGTATTTGAGATTTGTTTTAGTTGTCAGTGAAAGCAGAGACCAACAAGGACCAGGCACCAGCAACACCAGCACAAACACCGGCAGAGACCAAAGCAGCACGAGGACCTGCAGTAGATTTGAATAAAGCACCAGCAGCAGCGCCACCAGCCAAACTATTAAAGACGTCATGCTCACCGCGCGAAGCATCAATCATGGCTGTTGTACCGTTATAAACCATGGCGATGACGCCCAATGAATTACCAATGCCAGGTCCACGACGAGTGATAGAATTCAAGGTAGTGTTCAGACGCACCTTCATATTGGGTGAACCCGCACTCTTTTTTAAACCTTCTGCCATACCTACTACACCACCCAAAGTCAAGCCTGCTAAATAGGTAGTGCCAGTGCCATAACACAAATCATCCGACCATCCTCTGGAAGGAGCCAAGGATCCTCCTCCCATGTTTCCTGTAGGTTCTCCTTCAATCTGTAAGAAATCGAGTCCTCCTTGTAAAGCAACGGGTTGAAGTCTTTGAGCATCGTAAGCTACGGTTGACATAAAATCTGGAAGTTTTTCAAAGCTATTGTCACCAAAGTTTTCTTCATTTAAACTAGTGGATGTGGGTGAGTAATTATCTTGTTCGAAACTGTTTTCGTTGCTGGATCCGTCAAAAATGCCCATGTTTGTTGTGTCTACTAAAGAAGGAGAAAGTGAAAGAACGGGATAGAATTGGATGGAAATCCTTCCCCCAAAGATTTAAACCACCCCCTCCCCGAACTTTTCAAAGATGGTGGCTTGTATCACCTAAAACGGGGTTTCAAATTATATCATGCTTGGTCTATACTTTTATCCTCCGTCTGTCTAGTGTGGCCTTATTCAATCGACAGGGACAGCACTAATAATGATAATATAACGACTCTAAAGTCTTCACAAATCCGAAGAATTTGTTACTCTAGATTAATGGCATATAAGCCTTTACAAAAAAAAGCCACGTTAAGAATAGACAGAATGTTCCCTCACATAAGGACTCTCCTGAAAAAAGAAAAACGCATATAAAGACAGTGGTCATTCTCCTACTCCTCCCCCCATCTTTTACCCTTTTTTTACACCTCTTAAACGCAAAAATGATAGCAAAATCAATTTTATCCCTAGTATTATTCATGTGTTGTGCAATTTTCATGGTAGATGCCTATGTGAAAGGCGAAAGAGGAGACCCTTGCACCCGGGGTGTTGAATGTCTGTCGAATGTATGTGTCAACCAGCATTGTGATCGTTAATACCTGCTTTTCAATGTTCAAATTTTGATATATCAAATATGTTTTCCATCCAATCCAAAATTGTCTACCTATCCCCTTAAACCACAACGTATATATTTAATAAAAGTCGCTCACTACTCTCTGCATATAATCTGAATGTTTACTTAACTACCTTTGACTTAATCCTTGTGTCATGTTTTGTCATGGTGTTATCATAAATATAATTCGTTAGTTTTCTCTCTTGTTTTTTTTTTATAAAAAAATCACAGCTGCAAATTAATCCCTGATTTCCCTGTATAGGTGCTGTCCTGACAAAAGAATCCAAAATGTAGATCGCGCCTTATTTGGAAGTAATTCGTCACAAGACAATGTGCCAGAATAGCCAGATTTCTTTTGTGATAGATTATGATGTAAAAAATAGTCTTGGATAAAAAATGAACCAGAGTATTTTGATGTTTGATGTGTGATGACTGAAGCAGAATTCAATATGAAAGAACAACTAGTCGAAGAAGACAGGCAACCTGCACTGAAGAAACTGTTGCTACAAATATGAGCTGTATCGCATAGATCCTATGTATTTTTTTGTTTGTTTGTTTAAGTTTGGATCGAAAACTATATCTTGCAGATAGCTTCCCTCCTCAGAAGATATTGCACTCACTTTCAGACAATTCTAAAGATCAGAATACTGTTCCAACTATGTATATCAAGAGGTCTTTTCAAAGTAGAGTGCATCTGCTTTTAGGTGGTACCTAAAAAAAATTTAAGCAGAGACAAATTTTTAGATGGGTAAAACACATTTTCTTTATAATTAATATCCCATCTGAAAGGTTAGGATTGTTTTTTATGTTGATTAGAATGAGAATCTACATATATTAAATTAAAAAACATAACAGATTCTGGATTCAACATTTTTTTTTTAGGTGGGGGCGGGGAAAAAATGTCACAACCTGTACAAAAGGGTTTTAGAGCCAATAATAACCTGCCGCTAATATCATTAGCCGTGGTCGGATTTTGAAATAACCCACTGTTTGTGCTCACGATTTAAAAAACCGCGCACAGACTATATAATCGTTAGCCATGGCTTGAAATAACTTCAACCTTTTTTGTGTACTTATTAGAACTACTTGAATTTTAAAATATACATTAAAACAAATATTCTTAAGATGCGTGACCCTTTTTAAAAATAATTTATCTATTGAAAGATTGGAAATATTGATTTGAAGTTGTTTAGAGACAGCCTATGAAGTCGCAGCCGGAGGCTTAATATCACAAACCCTGAAAAAGGATAAAAAAGTTTAAACCTTTTTTATGTACTAAGTAGAACCACTTGTAATTTTGAATATATATTATAAAGTATATTCTTAAGATGCGTGACCCTTTTTAAAATTAATTTATCAATTGAAAGGCTTGAAATATTGATCTGAAGTTGTTGTAGAGACGGCCTATGAAATCACAGCCGGAGGCTCAATATCACCAACCCTGAAAAAGGGTAAGAAAGTTTAAACATTTTTTATGTACTAAGTAGAACCACTTGTAATTTAGAATACATATTATGAACTTTATTCTTAAGATACGTGACCCTTTTTAAAATTAATTTATTTATTGAAAGGCTTGAAATATTGATCTGAAGTTGCTCAAAGCCGGCCTATGAAATCGCAGCCGGAGGCTCAATATTACTTACACTGAAAAGAAGATAAAAAAGTTTAAACCTTTTTATGTACTAAGTAGAATTACTTGTAATTTAGAACATATATTATGAACTTTATTCTTAAGATGCGTGACCCTTTTTAAAATTAATATATCTAGTGAAAGGTTCGAAATATTGATCTGAAGTTGTTAAGAGACGGCCTATGAAATCATAGCCGGAGGCTCAATGTCATCAACCCTGAAAAAGGGTAAAAAAGTTTAAACATTTTTTATGTACTAAGTAGAACCACTTGTAAATTAGAATATATATTATAAAGTATATTCTTAAGATGCGTGACCCTTTTTAAAATTAGTATATCTATTGAAAGGCTTGAAATATTGATTTGAAGTTGTTTAGAGACAGCCTATGAAATCGCAGCCGGAGGCTCAATATCATCAACCTTGAAAAAGGGTAAAAAAGTTTAAACCTTTTTTATGTAATAAGTGGAACCACTTGTAATTTTGAATATATATTATAAAGTATATTCTTAAGATACGTGACCCTTTTTAAAATTAATTTATCATTTGAAAGGCTTGAAATATTGATCTGAAGTTGTTGTAGAGACGGCCTATGAAATCACAGCCGGAGGCTCAATATTACTTACACTGAAAAGAAGATAGAAAAGTTTAAACCTTTTTTATGTACTAAGTAGAACTACTTGTAATTTAGAACATATATTATGAACTTTATTCTTAAGACGCGTGACCCTTTTTAAAATTAATATATCTAGTGAAAGGTTCGAAATATTGATCTGAAGTTGTTAAGAGACAGCCTATGAAATCATAGCCGGAGGCTCAATGTCATCAACCCTGAAAAAGGGTAAAAAAGTTTAAACATTTTTTATGTACTAAGTAGAACCACTTGTAAATTAGAATATATATTATAAAGTATATTCTTAAGATGCGTGACCCTTTTTAAAATTAGTATATCTATTGAAAGGCTTGAAATATTGATCTGAAGCTGTTTAGAGCCGGCCTATGAAATCGCAGCCGGAGGCCCAATATTACTTCCACTGAAAAATTTTCTTCAAAAAAAAATAAAAAATCCCCCCCACATAAAAAAATCTGGCTATGAATAAATTTCCTTTTATATTACTTGTACTAGTCGGAGATGAATGCTCAAAAATGTCACAAAACACGTTAGGAACTACTGAAAAGCAGATGCACTCTATTAGTCCTATAAAATCCAAAGCTAGATACTCTTTTGGAGAAATTTTATTCATTTTTATAAATATTCATGAGCCTTTTTATTTATTTAACCCAATATCCAAATTACATGAGTCGACAAAAGGATACATTTATACTATTGCTATATGTAGATATTTTGAGACGGAGAACATGATTGCGTTTTCTATGGATGCTATATTTGAAGGGGGAGGATGCTTCTGTCTCAGACGCACGAACTGTGAATGGCTGTTGGTTTTATTTTTTTAAATGGGTAAAAACTACGCTATTTAACATTTACTTAATAATCAACGCGGCGGTTGAAACAAACCTTCAACCGCCCAACAACAGCTTTGATCATAATAATCTGGAATATTGGGAGTGTTAGACGCACTTTGATAATTTGCGGATAAAAATGTGACAATACGTTTGCTGGTTAAAACACTTACATTCGATAAAAAAAGGCCGTTTCCTGGAAGAGTTGGCATTGTTTTTAGTAAATGGCGCCGTAGGTCTAATACATTTTTTATTTTTCTAGAGCAAACATGACAGTAGTGTTGAATTACAACACTACTGTCATGTTTGCTCTAGAAAAGTAAAAGATACAACAAACTTACGTCGTCATTTAATGAAAGTGCGCGACCTGATAAGCTAAATTTTCCTTAGGGACAGCCAAAGTGCACGCATTTCGGGAGGCAGAAACGTCCAAACGTGACTCTTCGAGTACACTACTGTACATGCAAAAGATTTGGACGCAAAAGAATGTTTTAAAAAAAGATTGCGGGAGAGGGTCATGTGATAAAAATGATAAAACAAAAACTCATTATGTCAGGATGAGATGATTTGCTAACACCTCCGATAATTCAGCATTACTTGCGAATACTGGAACATGATTTTTAAAACTAACTGCTATCACCTGTAAAAGATTTTATTTTTTTGATAAAAATAATTAGAAGTATTCGAGAATTATCCATTAAAATTCAAGCCAAGCTGACGTATGAACAAAACATTTTAAGCGTTGTATATTCATACTATTGATATAGCTATTCTATTTACCATCGTATTATGTACTTGTATTCGTTAAGTTCTTTTCGTCGTAAACTGATGACATGTTCATATGTCTAGAAAAGCTACATCGTCAGTCTATAGATATCCCTAACTCATTTCAAAGAGAATGCTTAAGCAAACTACGTACGATGCTCAATTAAAGTATGCCAGATTGATTAAAAGATGTTTCATACCCACAAGTAAAAAACCTGATGTGAGTTCTAGACCAACTGGCATAAAAACGCACCACGATCGAAAAGTTCAGAATTTATGGTGTCATTACTTGTTTGAGGTACCCGATTCTAAGCTAGGACTATGTCCACTTTGGCTATATATATACATAGATGTAAAAAGGGTTTTTTTTTAAAATCGCAGGATTATAAATACAAAGTGCACCAATAGTAAACACCCGTCTTTTGAGATGATGAAGTCAATAAGTTCTCGTAGAGGACTTCCAGTCAATCTACAGTTAGGTGGAAAAAAATATTGCTCAAACTTAAGCATGTTTAGTATATTACTCAACTGATGCTCCAAGGGTACTCCATTTGAGTATGAGGGCACTGTACTATTTTTGGCGAAAATCAGTAAAAAAAAAAAACTCAGCCTATTAAAAGTACTGAAAAATCTAGTACATGCATGAAAGAAAAAGGGTCTTGTTAGTTATCGAGGAGTTCACCGCCACACTATTTTTGATCATAGTTAGTCTTTCTTTTTCCTTTAGTTAGTAATGCCATGTATTAACGGGTTCCTGACCCACGATTTGTCAATAAGATGTGTGTTCCATGTCCTACGGATTTATACAAAGTCAGCGCTGCAATATTTTTCCTAGTTAGGGTCAAATTCAGTAATTTATTATATTACCAATTATTGTATAAACAAAAGGCACATCTGATCTTCAATCGGGTTTACACATTTATAATAGACCCATAATATTGCTAATCTTTTCTTTGACAGCTCATTCCATATAAAAACCCCCTACCTGTGAGGGAGAATATGCTCATATTTTTTTTTACTACCCCCGTGTATGCATTTACATGCGTTAGCTTAGTTCTCTGAGATCATGCAGGAACTAAAACCGGTGGCAAATCAAGCTCGCTTGTACTGATCACTTTTTTCTTTTTTTGGCTTAAATTAACGATTTTCGTCAAATACAGAAACGTCATGAACCGTTCCCACTAGCATCGGGATTTTTATAATTGAAATTAATTCATCACCGATCCTGTCCCCTTGGGATTCAAGGAAACGATTGCATAAGATTTCATTCCAAATTCTGTCAATATTTCAGGGACATATCACTGACATTGACGCTGAGACACTAAATTTGAACAAATATCTTTTCTTTTTTAAAAAAAAGGATAGATGAATATAGTTTAAAATCTAACGATACTTTCTCATAATCTTTTTTTAAACCATAACTTTAATGCGGTTTTTCTCTACATTAAGTATTCAGGGTGCCTAGTACGGTATAATAAGTTTATTAAACATAAATTATGCCTATGCACTTAATAATACGATAAATTCTTTTGGTTGTAAAGATTGAAGTGTGACCCTAAAGTAAAATCAAGATTACCCAAGTTAGAAAGCGCTATATTTGTTACAATATATATATATATATATATATAAATCGTAGTTGAGTATATTATGGGAAAAGATGCAATTTATTTATGAGGATGATTGATCGAAATGATGAGGAAAAAGATATGATTTGTATGAGAAAAGATGATAGTTTGTATGAGAAAAGATGATGATTTGTATGAGAAAAAAGTTGTTAAGATGTGTATGAAACCAAAAGGTAAGCTGTTATGTAGCAAGTGAAAAAGAGCACCTTCTTTTTTAGTCGGCCAAGACACAAGTACCGCTACCGAAATCAAAATCGAAACCATCGTCGCAGCTACCTCCAGCGGGACCAGCAGAGACCTGTACAATGAGAAGAGAAGAGCACAAAGCAGCAACTAAAACCATAACGATGTTCTTGATATAAGCCATATTGAATAAGATTGTAAAGATAAAATGAGAAGATGATAATTTTTTGTTCAAGTTTTCGCAAAAAGTTACTGCTTATATACACTTTTTCTTCAAGCCAGGGGTTTTAATGAAAGAATGTTTGATCGGGTTGTATTGATATCTTTGAAATTAATCGGTTCTGAAGATACGACAAACAGACAGACGACGTTTGCATGTATTACCATGAGGTTGCTTTACAGTGGCTACTATGGTAACGAGTCGCAATTAGCTTGATACTAATATGACAAAGTAGGACAATAAAATACTTCTTATCAAATTTGCAGAATATACCCATTAAACTGAGTAGTACTAAAAGCTTCCATACTTCCAAAAAAAAAAATCTTCTATTGCAGGGAGGGACCAATATGTATTCATTTATCCAAGTGTGATCACATAAAATGTATAAAAAGGTTAGATCGTATTCCTTATCGCAGGAGATACCGCCACCATGGAGGTCCCACAAGCATTCCTTCATCTTCTTACTAGACGGGAGAAGAAAGATACCCCCCCACTGAGTGTCACCCCCCAATGAATGTCACTTTTTGGACGGCATTGGCGTTGATCTAACCAATGAAAATGCAACAACTAAAAATATCGTGCCCCCCTTTGTTATTTTATTCTTTGTTTTTATTTTCTTTCTCTCTGCATCACAAATGTACAATAATCGAACTGCTGGCTCAACAGCCTTAAAGCGTCTCATGACGGAATACCGAGGTATAATTAAATTGATAGTGAGATGTGGCAAGATTGACTAAATTCAAATTTTATTAATGCATTGCAGAATTGACGTTGAATGCTCCAGAAGGAATTACTGCTGGTATATTGATTTCGACGCCATTCGTCACGATCAAGGAATTAATTTATAGTTTAATTATATAGGACCTGTCGATGAGAATAACTTTTTCGAATGGGAAGCACTTATTGCGTATGTTTCTTTAAATGTAAAGTTAATCTGATTTGTAACTAAACAGTTGTATTTAGTGGACCTGAAGGCACACCTTTTGAAGGTGGATTATTTCCAGCAACCTTGACATTCCCCAAGGATTACCCTTTGAGCCCACCCAGTATGAAGTTCACTTGTGATTTCTTTCACCCTAACGTATATCAAAACGGAACTGTCTGTATTTCCATCTTGCATCCTCCTGGAGATGATCCCAACATGTACGAAAGTAGTTCAGAGAGATGGAGTCCCGTTCAAAGTGTCGAAAAGATTCTGTTGAGTGTTGTCAGTATGTTGGCAGGTAATGATTGGCTTGATTTGTTTTATTGTGATGATGATCTAAAACTCTATATGTTCTATTAGAACCCAATGATGAAAGTGGAGCCAATATTGATGCATGTGTAAGTGTTTGTTTATTTGGCATGTGAAAAAGATGTTTAATTTTATTTTTAAATGTGTAGAAAATTTGGAGAACAGATCGTGAACGTTATAATGAAATTGTTCGTGAAAATGCTAGAAAAACATTGGGATTGTAGTGATAAAAAAAAAAAAGCAAAAAAAAAGAATGAAAAAGAGTAAATATAGTAATAATAATAATAAAAAAAAGATGTATAGAATTAACGGATGTTATCCAATTCGTATTTATCCATTATTAAACCAGTATTTTCAAGGGTATCAGCTTCATTAAAATCCTTCTTCTCAGGCATCGTTAATCCAGTATCACGAAGGGTTTGCTTATTTTCAGGTATTTGATATACGTTGGTTAGTAAATCATAATTGGTTGGATTGGAACGACGATAAGAAAATAGCGAAGTATTAAATTGTCGGGCAGAAACAGCTGCATTGTGCATCCAGTTTAAATCATTGACAATTGTATCTTGCGCTGTTAATTTATGAGCCAAATTGTTTTTACCCACAAGTACTGGTTGAGGTAGAAAAGTGGAGGCAGGCACTGGTTTTTCAACTACTTCCTTTATAACAGGTTCCTCTTCAGATTGTTCTTCTTCTCCTTCATCTGCTTCTTCTGTATAATGATAGTCATCTCTACCTTTACGTCCCTTTCGAACAATGCGATGTCCAAATTGTTTGAATACGGATCTGGCTGTAACAACTGATATTTCACGTGTACGAAATGTCGATCGTAATAAATTCGAGTCCACCAAGAAACCCTTCTCGACATTATCAATATGAACCTTTAAAAGCTTTACATTCTTTTTTAAAAACACAAAGCTATCACGAAATCCTAATAATGCTGCTGGATCCTTAGAGAACATGAATAGTGTTTCATCTCGAGTAGGCAATTTAAAGGTAGGAACACGATATTCACGACCTGTAATAAATTGACCTTGTTAGTTAGCAGCAGCACATAATAATATATATATATGTATATAAATTAACTTGCCTCCTAATAATCTACCATACTTGTCGACCTTGGTTTCGCCAGTTTCATCATAGTCACTGACATAACCACTGGGATTGGAGGGAGGTGTGTAAGGCCCAGCTAATGATATCGAAGAGGCAGCCGAAGCAGATTTACCACGTTCTTCTCTTGATGATTGATGTGACTTTGGTCTACCTCGCTTTCTAGTATGATGTTGTCCATCATTCAATTGGGCATGAAAATCAATATCGCTCGTATTAACTCCATCATCTCCAGAAGATAAATCACTGTCCTCATCAACATAATTTAAATCGTCTTTGCCATCCACTCCTCCACTTCTACTTCTAGATCTTTTTCTTTTTGGCGCGTGATCTCTTTTATGTGATAAACTGTTGGCGTAACCTGTATTTCAATATTGGTATTATATCATCTTTTTTTCCTTTCAAATAAGTGCAAAATCAGTTTTATTTATTCTACTTTTTCTTTACCTGCTGGCATATTTTTTTTTTATTATTATTTCACTTCTATGGACCAGTGAGTGTTATGTGTACTTTTTTTTTTTTTTTTTTTTGTCAACATGAGAAGTCGGTCACGTGACATTGCGCGTCATCGTTGGCTGCCAGCCAATGAAAATTTTTTCAATCAGAAAGATATAAACCAGCGGCAAGTTTGCTAATCGTTGAAACCTTCCCAGTTTTTCATTTTAACAGATAGTGAGGAAGGCATGTGTACAGCTAAAACTAAAATGAAGGGGGGGAGCATTGCGATTAACCTGTTTTCTATGACAATAGATTCTTTTTCTGCACTAGAATTAAATTTTAATCGTTGAAAAATAATCGAGTTATCTGAATACATTTTTTAAACATGCAAGTCTTTGTCAAGTCCCTTGAGGGTAACACCCTTACCCTCGATGTTGCCGCCAACTCCTCTGTTGCTGCTGTCAAGTCCATGATTCAAGAACGTGAGGGTCTCCCTGTTAACTCTCAACTCTTGTCTTTTGCCGGTAAGCCTCTTATTGACGGTGAGCTTTCTGTCTACGGTATCTGTGATAACAATACCTTGAACTTGAATGCCGAATTATTGGGTGGTGGTAAGAAGAGAAAGAAGAAGACCTATACTACTCCCAAGAAGATTAAGCATAAGCGTACCAAGGTCAAGATGGCCATCTTGAAGTTCTACAAGGTCGATGAGTCTGGTAAGATTACCCGTCTCCGTCGTGAATGTCCTAACGCCACCTGTGGTGCTGGTGTCTTCATGGCCAAGCACAGTGACCGTCAATACTGTGGTAAGTGTCATTTGACCTATGTCTTCCAAAAGGACGAAAGCGCTTAAATCAATTTGACTTGATTTGATTTTTTTTTTTTTTTTAATTGTTAAAATAAAAATCCTGTGTTTTTATTATCATTATTTTTCTTCTTCTGCGGGCTCGCTGGATGGTAAACTAGTAACTTGCTGGGTCTTTAACAAGGCTTCATGTAATTCAGTTTGTTCTTTTAATTCTCGCATATTTAATTGTTGCTGTTCCTTCTTCTTTCTTCTTTCATCATCACGCAATACACCAGCTCTCAAATTCTACAGTATGCCTCTGTGAGTCCTTTTATTATTCTATTATTTACTGCTTTGCACTTACAGCCTTCTCTTCGTTTTGGATATAATGCACACCTGCAACTGAAGCACAGCAAAACAAGATGGAGGCAGCTAATGTTGCTTTGGCAGTTGTTGACATGTCGGTAAAGAAGGAGAACTAGGGTTCCTTCATAATCAGAGCTGGCTCAATATTCTTTTCGTTTCAATCTCAGATTTATGTGGCGAGAGGCTCACTTTAGGATTTCATTGGACAGATTTTTTTGAGTGCCTGAAGTTCAGAAAATGCTACTACTTCAATACATTTTTTGAGCTCTCCGTCGCCATACATGCCTCTCACAAAACGGTATCATTTCTGTAAAACATATTAAACCGTGAGAGGTGAACATAAGTCCTGTCATACTACGAATTTACTACTCAAGTATACATATCGCCAGAGAAAGAAAAAAAAAAGTTATGTCATCTTGAACCAAAACTTTCATTAGAAAACTTTAGCTTGTGTTCACTAATAAGTAAGGTCAATCTATGATTTTGTGCTTGGAACAATTGTGCGCAAACTGTCATGCTTATTTTGTTCGATAATAATCTTTAAATTAATATCACATTCATTGACAGGGCCTATATGACCGATGGTCAAAGTCAATAACGGCCGTAACAGTACAACTGTTCACGAGAACATCACTTGCAATTGAAAGCATGGTGTGGGAGAAGATCGAGGTCCAATTTACTTGTTGCCTCAACCAATTTCTGGAAGAGTACAGCAGCTACCCAGAGTTTATTATGCGTATGAAGAGAGTCTATTCAGATGCTGAAGTTTCCAAGTATTGGTCTGCTACATTGCTACTTTTACTTCGGCAGGTTCATTATTCAGCATCAAAACGCTCTGGCCCATATATTTTCATTCTTACCACTATAGCTTATCTTATAACCAGTACATTGGTTTCTAGGATTACTATAATCCGACATGTTTTGGATTATTGTGACAAAGCCGAAGCCATAATCCAAATTTCTGTAACAGGCTTTTATAAACCCGGGAAAAAAAAAGATCGTATATATAAAACTTAAAAATTACGTTTTATATTTCGTATTCTTGCTGTGTTTTCTGCCCTGTTATTTCTTAATTAACAAAAAGTAAAACACAAGAGCGACTTGAACATCAGTAATAATGATGACTATGCAATCTATAAGAAATAGAAGACTGTTTCATAAACTCAAGAAAGGAAATCATTCTTAATAAATCTCATCAAAATGGAGTTTTAACTTAGATATCATTTTACTTTGGATTATTCATCTACTTCTTCAATACCGATACTACTGTAATATGGCTGACATCAGAGCATGGGTGCAACCGTAAAAACTTATCATCAGCAAAGTAGTCATTTAAGACCTGCTTTATTGCCGATGGTGTTGAAAAATTGTTTTCTTACTCTTCAACAATCCTTGGAGTTTCAATTATTAAACAAGCTTTTATCTTTTAGAATATTTATTCATGTTTAACACAATGAAATAAAGTATGAGAGTCTTTTCATTCTTTTTCTTTTAGACACTCCTTAGATAATTCACGATAATTAACATTTAATAACTGACCCGAACTAAATTGTCATGGTTCCTCATCGATAGGCAATGTTTCCTGTGGGTTCTTTTGGACTCGTCGTTAGAGGTATACAGAAAAAAAAGGGGGACCTAATTTGTCCGAATCCATCCAATCTTTAATTGGTTTTATACAACTTTTTTAAAACGCCTTCGAAAAAAACAGTTTTTTATAAATGAAATGCTTGGCCATTGATTTCTAAAGAGCAAATGTTTTATATACCAAAACTTATCGATAACAATTAACAGCATAGGGTTTTTCTGTGAATCGATGTTTTATCCTACCCAGTAGACATGGAGCATTCAATTTGGCCAGCTTGCCGAGTCGTTAATTTAAAAATACTGGACAGATACTATGTAAAGAACAGTCCATTAACAAGAAGGAGATGCTTGCTAAACTAATTCTTATGGCCAAGGATTACCACCAAGGTTATATCTATCATTGAAAGAGGTACTTGATTCAGTGTTTTAACTTGGAATGTCAAAACTTATCAGACTTCATCTATCGGTAACACACACACAAAAAGAATCTGTCCAATAATAATTCTAGAAGGCCCATAAAGATAAATTGAGCCTCACGCCACATGAGAGACTGAATTATACACGACCTTTTCAAACCCAGTTGTCTCCAAAGATATTTTGCTCAAATGAAATCCTGACAAATCATTAAAAAAGGATACCAGGTAGCAACAGTGTAAATAGGTTCATTATCGGATATGGCGGCGAAAAAAAGTCAGAAAAAAAAAAAAAGAGAGAGACAGGGATAACCGGGGTTACGATATGCATTGATACGCACACCTTTTTTTTTTTTAAAAAAAATGATTAATAATCTAGCGACGAACAAGTTATTTCAAATGTGTTCCTAATGAGCAATCGCAACAGGGCCCATGTACACTCTCTCCTTTTGAGTTTACTTATAAAAATATCTTTTTTTCTCGAATAGGGACATGTGTCCTTGTTTTTTACCAATGAAAAGCATTGTGTGGCAAAAAGAAACGTGTATCCCGAAATAACTTTTTTTTTTTTATATTCAGACAACAAAATAAAAAGGTTAAAAAAAAAAAAAAAAAAATGAAATTTATTTTTATCTTTTCCCTTCTTTATTCTTTCTCTAAACAATGATGATGATGGCGACTAAACAGGACATGGTTTCCTACAAAAGTCATCCCATGGCAACAACCTTTTTATCACAATTCACAAACTGGGCCAAGATATGGATATCGCCTTCAAGCAAAATTCCTCGAAAAAGAAGGAATACATCCACTAGTATTGGCCGAGAAACAGACATTCGATCTAGAACAAATTACTATGAACCACCCTCTTTAAAGCCACATTATGAGGAATTTCTTGCAAGCTCACAAAAAGCTCTTCTTTACCGAGCCACATGTCAAAAATTACGACCAGCCAACAATCAATTCACAAGGAAACTTGTTCGTTTGGGTGATATTTTACATGTCAGAAAATTTTGGGATGACCTGGAAATGATTGTTTATAAAGATCTTAGTAGTACAAGTCAATATTTACCACCTTCCAAAAGACTGCCATTTAATCCAGATAAGCCTGGATCGATTTATTTACCCCGAAAATCAAAAAGAAACACAAACACTGCATCATTAAAAACCCAAAGAAGATCATTTGCGTCTTCAACCATTGTATATAGTAATACCACCGGAAACATTGTACGAGTCTTACCTTTAATTCCTCAATTGGACGACGATGATGATGATGATGTTCCACTAGGTGCCCTTCACTTTTTCCCTTATTCAAAATAATCTCCATTAATTTATAAATAACTACACGTACACACATACACACACACACACACATATATACACTCAAGCGTACACGAGACTCGATTTAATTTAGCATTTTGCTCATCTTCATCCCTTTTCCCCCCTTTTTTATTGTCCTTTTTTTTTCTTTTTTCTTTTTTAATTGTTCCTTTTATATATTAATTGTTGAGTTCCAGAGCTTAATCACCTCTGCAAGTACAAACAGTTGACCCAATAAATTATGATACCATCAAAAAAATTTAAACCCATAGCAACCCAAAAGTCTTCATTTTTAACTCTGACCGAAAATATACTCTTCCTTTTGTGTATGAAACGAAAAAAAAAATACTCGTTAGTATCACGAGCTTCTCCTAACAAATGTGTAAGCACATTTGCCAGAAAATGCACATAAAATCACAAAAATAATTTAATAACACATTTTATTAGCACCTTCTTAACGCATGATTTCCACCACAGAAAAAATGAGACTTTGATCATGTGAAAGAAAATAATAGTCTATAATGCTTACTTTATTTCATAATAATTCAAATTGCTTATAAAACAGGTTGAAACAGCTTTTGGGCTATATGTATGCTTATAAAATATTCCGAAAATGTGTATGTGTATACCATTATTGTAGTATATGCAAAGCATCCAAACAAAGTATTTCTCTACAAAAAAAAAAATTGTGAAAAGTTAGAATAAGCCCTCCTTTTGTTATTCCTTGTATTCGAGCAAATTGCAGCCACACATTTCTCCGGCGTAGGACAGGGTAAATGTGTACTTTGCTATTGCGTTTTCAAATGCAACGTAAAATAAGGACTTATCTTATGTTAGTCATTGAGGATTGCTAAGATGTTTCTTTTACAATGGGAATCAGGACATGCTGGGCAGAGACGTAACCTAACATAAAGACATTTAGTTTGGTAAAAATCTAGAATAAAGTTATAAAAGTAGAAAAAAAAAATTTGACGTGTTCTCCGGTGCACTAGTTAACCTATAACCGCAGACTGTAAAACGATAATTTCAATCAAATATGAGATTATCCTTTATTTAACACGTAAGTTGCTCTGGTATTTACATCATTTGTAGTCTTTAGTTATGAATACTCCGTATAATGTAGCTGAGACATAGCATAGTGACTGGCTAGAGACCTTGATCCGATATCTAGACAGAGATATGATAGTTGAGACCTTGATGTTATGGTTGAACTGGTATGTGATACACCACAGTGTAACCATTAAATTTGATTCAGAGACCGATATCAACCTTTCAAACACCGTGCAAGTCGCCTGTCAATGCTCGTTCACTATTATCCATGCGGCGGGTGTAGTTTTTAAGCTTTTTCTTCTCATAACCCATTGACGAAAAGTCTTTTGCAATTTTACAAGATTCAAAGTACGTGTTTGTATTATAGAAATGTCTTACAATTGACTATTTTGCTAATTTTGGGTACTTATTATGCATTTAAGCGATGATTATTTTTAGCGTAATTCAATAATTTTACTCTCTTTAACGCCTTGTGATTCAAACCTTCAAAGAAAAAATAACCGTTCTGTACTGAGCCGTGGTTTTTTGAGCTTCAGAACTGTAACACGACTTTTTTTTTTTTACAATTAGTTACTTCAGTTTGGCCCACGATACGTGGTTTCTTGTTTCTTTTGGCTTTCTCTCTCATCGAACATATCATCGAGCATGCTCTTGATAAACGGGGCTCTTTAGCACCTGTAACGGGTGACTCGTTACACACCTAGTTGTCTACAAACATAACGCGATACCAATGAAAAACAGCGGATAAATTTATCCAGACGGATGTAAGTTCGACCTCATCTAAGTTAAGTTTTGATTATCAGGCACAATGTAATCTGTCAGAAGTTACGGTTATTATTTGGGTCTCACAAAGTAGCTATAAGTACCAATAGTTGTCACATGCTTTCTTTGATGAGCGACATACCGGCTTTTTCCAAGAAAAGAGATAAACAAAACTAGCGATCTATCCGGTTTTTTTCTCAATTGCATTGCTTCATATTTGTTTCATGATTAAACAAGTGAGATTTATTTTCTTTTTACAACAAATACTTTTTAAAGCACTTGTAGTTATCTATGTTTTTTACTGCTTATGGATCACTGCAAAAACGAAAGTTGTTTATACTACAGACATAAAATAATAGGAATCTATTTAAAAATTTCTGTCTAGAATTTTAGAAAAAAAAAACCTTAAAAATTGTGTGTGACCCATACTTTTGTCTTATTACACAGATGATTTTTTTCCATTTTAGATCTAGCTCCGTAACAAACCCTCCCTCCCTCTTTCCTTCACATGTATGCAAAAGGAGAAAATACGATACAAAATAATAATAAAGAAAAAACTCGATTTCATTGTATGACAAGAGAGATAATCAAATAGATTAATCTATTACATTTAATCAATCTGAAATGTGCTATTTTTTCAACAATTACAGGATGATCCCATCGAGAACGTATCACTAATATATGCAAACAAAAACAAACAATTACGTGCATGTATACAAAAAATAATAATAATCTATTAATAACCTCTTGTTTTTTTGACATCAAGGGGTTTATTTAATTAAATCTAGTCTTCATCCTGCCATTCATCACGGTCACTCAATTCGTAATCAGTTATATCACTGGTATTGGAGTCGTAATAGTATTCTTCTGGATTCAACTCCATTACAGTTTGCTCTTCTTCTAAGTTTTCTGCATAGAGCATCTTCATTCTATCTTCCATCGTAATCTCTTTCACAAGGTAACCTTCAGAATCACGGCGTACTAATTTTGGGCCATCCCATTTATGTTCCTGTTCTACCCGTTCTATAATAGAGGGTCCCAAATCCTTGGGATCCCGTGGCGGCCAGCTGTACGGCAGTAAGGGATCAGTATTTGGCTTTACCCGATACTTTAATCCATCGCCTGGTGAAGGGAATGGGAAGCACCAGAGTAATGGATTATAGCCTAACACTGAACATATATTGTGATAGAATCCCACATCAAAAGGAAATTCCACCTAAATTATCCCCCAAAAAATCCTGTTAATAAAAATATGGATGCCCATTCTTTTTTGCATAAAAAAGTACATTACTGGATCTATTTTACGTCGATTGACTAATCGTGTCGTCTTTGTTCTTTCCCATCCTTCAATTGTTGTTTGTCCCTTTAATAGGCAATATGTATGGTACACAGCTAATACACCTACAAGAATAAGGACAATCACAATTAAGGTAAGATCGATTGCAATCACCATCAATTCTGCAGTTGAAACTTGGGATGCATACTAAATTAAGGCATAAGTTTTCATTCCCTATATCTCTCTCTCCTTTTTTTTTTATCTTTACCCAAACACTTTTTCGCATATCGAGAATCCGCTGTAATCTCCATAATAAAAGATAACCACCATAGGAACAACAAGTCATGACGGAAAAGACAAATCGAACGAAATAACTATAGTTACCGAAACCAATACAATTACCAAGCCAAGGACAATGGTGGTCCATGCGTAATATGCATTTACGGCATTGCTTACAATGATGCGATCGTGGTGGTTTATAGCAGTTGCATTGCTTACAGAATCGAGGCCCGGTGATGCCTACTTGAATAGGCACAGATTCATCGGGATCCAGGACGGATGAAGGTGGTTCCTATTTGTTATCAGCAATGAGTTATCTGTTATGGCTTGCTTGTGGGGGCTCTTTCTTTTGGTTTTACCCATCCTTCGGGTATGGTGCCAGGATCGGTTGTGCAAGCAAGGTAATAATTAACATAGAGTGAAATCAAGAGAATGTTCATGGGAGCTAAAAGCTTTTGGGCAAATAAAGTTGTCCATCCACCTAATGCTGGTCCCAGCACATAGAAATTTGTTGTGAGTTGTAAAAACGAGATTAAAATAACGACAAAAGCTACAATGAGCTTTTCAGGTATCGACTCCAGTCCTGCCATAATTTATTTACAGAAAAAAGAACTAGGAACAAAGCTAAAGCCTATTTTTTTTTTTCAAGTAAAAAAAAACAAAACCCAGCTTTTCTCCTTTCTCCAATGACGTTGCGTTTGTTAAAAGAAATATTCATTATTTATTATTAAAAGTAGAGATAATTTGGGGGGTTATAGATATTTTTTTTTTATTCAGTGGTAGTTGGAGGTGCTGCTTGTCGTTCATAAGCAATGCGTTGGAACCTTGATAAATCTTGTACAAACTTAATACCGATTGGACTACGTTCAAGACGACGAAACAACTCCACTGCTTGCTTTCGAATAACCGGATTGGAATGAAATAAACCTGCTCCAAGTGGTGATAAACCACCTTGATGTTGTGGTAAAAATGACAAGAACTATGCGTAAAAATAATTTTGTGTTACCTAAAAAGAAGACCATTGTATATCACTTTGCTTACCTCAATCATTTGTCGATGTGTAATAATATTGTTTAAAAAGGCTTCGTAAATTGATGATACTTCACGATCAGGTATATGTTTCAATCGCTTTAATTTGCTTATTTGGCGGTAAACATCGAGATTTTTGATGCATGAATTTTGGATCCAATGAACGATATCCTAAGTCAAAAAAAAAAAAAGTTTTTTTTTAGCATGCATACATCTTTTCCCTCCACTTTTTCTAACTGTGTACCATTTGATAATATTTATAAGATATTGTCTGTCTCCAACCTTCAATACGTTGAGCATTCGCGTTTAATTCTCTCTTCTTGGCTGTCTCATCTTGGAACACAGGTCCATATCCCAGTATATTTTCAGGTGAATTCCATCCAATCTTTGTCGTATGGTACACTTGCTCTTCATATATTGCTGCCAATCGAACAAATCGAAACACATAATCTTGGAACTTTGCTCGAATTGAGGTTTCACCATAGTGCGCTTGAATTGCTGACAGAACTTCCGTCATAAATTCTACATCACTGTCTCGCTTTTCTTCCATAGGTTGTTGAGGTGGTTGTCCATGCTGCTGCTGTTGTTTGTATTGATGTGATGACATACTAGCACTTCGACCCAAGGAAAGGGTTGTAAAAGCTGCAGCTGTGGCAACATCCTCGGTAGATATGGATGGCTTTCTTGAATTAATCACATAACTAGATTCAATGTCTTTGCTCACAGTAATTTTTCCTGTATCGATATTACATAATACATCCCACCAGCTTGTATGTTCCTCATAAGTAGGATTTGTAACACCTGCAATAAATCCCGGGCTGTGAAACAAAAAAATCATGTAAGTGGAAATTTGACTAATTAAAGAGGCCCTTATTTCGAAATTTTTTTACCATTTTAATAAATCATCCACACTGGTGAGATTGGTATAAGGAAATGCGCGTTCTGTAAATCCTTTTAAAACTGTACCGCACCCACTTCCAAGAGCACAGGCAGCCAAGACATAATTGGCCACCTCTCCAGAAGGATGTCCGTAGCCAAGAAAGACAATTCTCTTTTGGGTAAGTAATGCGTTCAAGAGTAACATGATTGGGTGTGTATAAAGACCGCTACTGTCTAGGTGAGGATGGTGAGGGTTTAACGAGCCTGGACTGTTCATATTTGGAGTAAAAGTATTAATCAGCTTGATAACCGAAAACTAGTATAGAAATAAATAATAATAATAAAAAAAGATCATATAAGAAAAAATGATAAGAAACACAAACACATCTATATACACACGCAATATTCTTTTAAGGAACATAGAAACTTACATCGCCTACTTCCTCAGAATTCACGGTCAATGGAATTTTGATGGGTAATTTGATACCTTCGTATTCGATTTTAGTCTCAAAAAAATGGCGATCTTTTGTCAGTGTGGGTATTTTGCCACGAACATGTCCTGATGCCAGGTCGATATAGGTGCCTCTTCTTAATCTACTAAACTCTGTGTCTTCCATGATATTAATGTCCTCTTCAATGGATGGATTGTCACCTGAATCGTCAATAAACATTTCTTCAAACATCGTTTTATTATCAGACGCTCTCAAAATCTGTCGTTCATGCCATGTAAATTTTGGCATACGTGATAAATCCATTGAATTCACAGCTTCGTACAAGGATTCCAAAATTTCCATACATGGATTCTCGAAATACTTTTCCATCGCTAGTAAAAGTACTGGCTATAACATTGTTTCTTTTATAGTTAGTGGACAATTGGTTTTAAACAAATTAAAGATAATTTTTACCTTGTAAATATGAAGATATTGATGTCGAGTACATATCGCCATGGCCTTCACTCGTGCACCTCTATACAAAAAAATACATATATACTTTAATTTTTTATCACCGAAAAAACAAAGCTAATTTATTCTCTATTGTACCTTCTGGCAGTGGCATCATGTTTAGTGCGTACCAAGTTTAGCACATAAAGCAAGGGCTTTTCCTCGGACTGAACCTGTTTAACAATATCTTGATCTGGATCGGGTGTCAATTGATTCAAACAGAAAATCGTCCAATCTTCAGCACGCAAATGAGCTCCATCAGGCAACATGAGCTCTGATAGTATACTGTAATAATATTTAAATTTCTATAAAAGTATACACGCCATGTATTTTTTTGTTTTGTTTTGTTTGCTTACTGCTCATCGGTGCCTGTCTCATTAGGATATTGGTATTTTAAGGAAGCTCCCTTATCAATGTCAAATTCTGCCAGCAGAATGTACTGCACATGCTTATTGTTAGTCATGATGATGAAGGTAGCTAATTTTTTTTTTTCTTTCAGTATTTTATAATGAAATTATTTGGTACAACGTACCTTATTTAAGTCTCCTCCTCTGCCCCCCTTCCCCCTTTTGGGGAATATAAGTATATTGACACTGAACACTGATATATTTACGTGACGTCGTGTACAAGGTTATTTTTTTTTCTTCTGTTCCTGACGTTACTATGTTATCCCTAAACTTCTCGTACATGATTTCTTAAGGGCAAAGATTAAAGTTGAATAAAGACGTCCATAATCAATTTAACCGAACGTATCACGATTTAGGGTATCGTATTTTCTTTTTGATCCACAAGGAAATGCCACTCATCAGTCAATATGTGGCCATGTTAAAAGATAAAAACACTTTGAAATCTTAAACGGCAATAAAGTCCTCAGCAATGCTAGAGATTCGTTGTTCGTATCAGTAGTGCTGTGATTCATTAAAGGGTTGAAGTTATAATTTTCATCCTAGGCCTTGGTGAGCCAGTGTCTGAAGACTATTTATAAAATCTTTTCACAAATAATTTGGTTGACTAAATGACAATTTTTACTACTGTTTCATTAGTGTTAGTTTGATCATTAAGCTACTGTTCTGTAGGGTCAATAACTACTGATTAACATTCGGTTCTCATTTAAAGTTGTGTCTTTTAAAGCCGGTATCGAAATCAATTATGTAATTCCAAAAGATACATGCTTTTAAGGATTTTTGAATGTGAGACTTATTATGAAGTATAGATATAACAGATAGTACTATTACCATATATGGTGGAAAGCCGATCAATCAATTAGCTTGATTCTTGAAAGAGAGAGAGAGATGCATTGTTATCAAAGCTATAACCCCCATCCCCTCTTTTTGTGCGTATTTTATTGTATCATTTCATGTAACCCCACCGCGAGCTGGCAGTTTGTGTTACATAGGCGGCATTTTGTACTCGCATGAGTGTATTGTCGAATTTCTTTAATACAACTTTTGACATAAAGTCAGCTCACTGAGTAAGAAACAAGGACATAGCTTTTTTTTTTTACATGCGTGGATGTAGTTATGCACAAAGTTAACTGTTACACATTGACCGTTAAGACGTTACGTTACGAGGAAAGAAACACGATAACAAAGAAAAATGTTAATAAATTTACATTGCTGCTCATTGGTTATCTAGAATTGGTTTAAATACATACTTCGGTTTGTTTAGTCCTGGGTGGCATAGTAAAAACGAGCCTTTTTCAAAGCGCAGCATAGATACCGAACCATTGTGAAGGTCAAAAATTTACAGAAGCGCAGCGAAGGCCAAGACTTTTACCGAAACGTTTGGTTTGGTTTGAAAAAGCCTTGTGCTGCCGCAGACCGGTTTTTATCAACGAAAAAAACTTAATATTTTATTAATTAGGCATATTCGTAAAAATAGACATACATCATAACAAGATTAAGCATACCTCTTTTCTTGACCTTGGTGCTGGATCAAATTGCCTTCAACATTTTGAAAACTATCAATACGTTCGATGTTTTTAACATTTTGAGCGAAATGTTTTTGTTCCCCAAAACGAGAAAAAAAAAATATTTGCTTGGGAACGGCTTAAAGCCTACAGCTATCACGAAAATCAAGATTATGTCATGTTTTTTTTATTATTATTACTATCTGATATATATTTTTTGTCTTTGTTTTTTACACATTCTTTTTATCTTCAATATCATTGGTATTATGTGATGCTGTATATGGGGGTGGTGATATATTGGATGTAAGTGTCTCTGCTACATGCGTCTTTTCCTCTGGCTGTGTTTTCCCTGCCATGGATGTACTTTCTTCTGTGGGATTAGTTACAGTATTCACTAGACGCGCTGTCAAAATAGGATCCACAGTAGTGTCTGCCTGTACATTCACCCAGCTGGAATTCTTCTCATCGGATAAATCCATATCATCCGTGTGATTTATCTTTTCTGACCGATATGTTTCTTCGATACGGTGCTTTTTCTCGTTAGGGTATGATTCCTCTGTAGGATGTGTTTCCTCGTTGGGATGTGTTTCCTCGTTAGGATGTGTTCCCTCGTTAGGATGTGTTCCCTCGTTAGAATGTGTTTCCTCGTTAGGATGTGTTTCTTCTGTGTGTTGTGTTTCTTCGGCATGTTGTGTATCTTCTAGCACAATATTCTCGGGTTCTGTGACTGTAGTATTTGGAATCTCAATAGAGTCGTCTCTAGGGCGATTACCTTCGACTAACCATCGACTAACAGACATACAAAAAGAAATGAATACAAGATTGCCCAAACATGAATCCTAAAATAACTTACATGAACCGAGGTGTGGCTAAATACTTCTTACCGTTGCTCATGGGTTCCCTTGGCCATACATCCTCAAAAAAGTAATAGATATGACCTACCAAAACTCCCAAGATGTCACCTACGGGTACCTGCCCACCTAAACATAAGGAGAATATCAAGAGCACCCAAGGAAGATAAGGTGCGGTGAAAACAAGCAGACCCAAGAAGTTCAATCTGACATATGGGTTTCGTCGAGCCCAGATATAAACCATAGTAAATGAGAGTGCAGATCCCATAAATGGTAAATATGCAAATGGCACGATGATGGATAAAATAATTAAGACACTGGCCGAGAATACCATAAGCCATACATAATCTGCGGGTTTATTTCTGAAAAATCCTTCTTCCATCATTCGGCTATATCGCGCTCTATATACATTTATCTCTTTTAGCTCATTTCTCTCCTACTTTTTTTTATCATTGTACACACACACTTACAAAAAAAATACATGAAAGCAAAAATCGATGGATAAGGGTCCGAAATAGAAAAAGTTGGTAATTAACCTCCACCACTATGACATGTATAAGTTGCACTGTTCTCGACCTCTCTCTTTCTATAAAACTATGTTCCTTCCATTTACCTGGAAATCATGAACGATGCTTTCATAATTGAGCCACAACTGTAAAGGATGCACAAACCCAAGTTGCTTTTTACATGGAAAAGAAAAGGGGCAATTAGATGAGCACTCTGGTATCAAGATTTTACTCTATTTTTATATATTACCACAGCTATACTTGTAACACATGCTGCAGATACATATATACGTGTTATAGGTGGGATTTCAGAGAACCAAGTCTCTAAGGGTGAAGGCATTATATTATTTTTGATAAAGAAAACAAAAACAAAATTAAAGCATTTATTGCAAACCCCCAGCTGTTGGCTCATCACTATTGGCGAGCAGCCATTTTACTTTAAACACCGACTAAGTCAAGATTTTTTTTTGTGTAGATACCAGTTGAAAAACTTTAATTTTCATGCTAGTTTACTTTTTTGGACAAAATGTAAGAAAATGAATTTTCGGACAAACATTGCTTTTTTTTACCTGTAATGATCTTAATCCTTAATTAAAAGGAAACCGTGTTTGATACGGCGATACGATAATGGGAAAATATTAGGCTTATTGTTTAGTTTTTTTTTTGGATTTAAAAGCCTCTGGTCTTCCTTCGTCTGACCAAATCGCCTTTGAGATAATTATCCTATTTCTGGTAGCATTCACATCCCTTTGCCACACCTTTTCACTCTTTTTGACAGCAAAGAACTCCACTATTCTTGAATCCGGGGGGTTTTAATCACCTTCAGGTCATCAAAATAACATTGACTGCATACTTTGGATGCTTTATATTCGGCGATCAATTCACCTGCAGCTTCACGTTTGTTATACTTTGAATTACTGTGTACCAAAATGCTCACCATAGCTTCAGCAGCTCGCTGTCTTCCTTGATATAGAAAGAATCTGTCTTTTGTTGTACCAACGCATTGTCAAACTGAAAAATAAAAATTTAACAATTGTTCTTTTTGTCTTGTCGATTTATTGATCTGAGTGTCGTTCGACAAAACGCACGCTCCTTTGGAAGTACTATAATGCAGTGGAAAGAAGTGATGCCAAACTGTTAAATACCTGTCCAATGGGAAATGTTTCGTAGAATTCAACTAGGATAGAACTATTTTTATCCATTTCAATAGTGGGTTTTGGGGAGAGATCAGCCTTTATTTCTGGTGTTGGTAATCGAAGTGATATTGCGGGTGCATATTCAAACGATCTTGCTGGAGGATGTCTATTATTATAACATACGATAATAAAAGCTCCTTCTGTAAACAGTACTATAAATACTGAATGACTCTACTCTCGAAATTTTTCAGCAACATGATTCGTATTTGAAGTTGCAATTTCTACACAAGCCGCCGTTAATAAATCTCTTGCGCCCTTTTGGAAGTGATTCTTTGTATATTGCAAATGGATATAAGGAACGAATTTTGTTCCAAACAGTCAAAAGTTGCTCATTAAAATGTACACTGCTTGTGGCCTTGCGCGAGCCTACTAATTGACATAACGAGTACCAGTAGTTTTGTTGGAATATAGAATTTGGAATACAGTCAATATTTTGAAGACGGTAGTAATTGTTGACAATCATAGCTCTAATCACAATCTGTCTTATGTATCTTGATGTGGCTATGACTTTGGTAGAGGAGGAGCCCACTTTAAACATGTTAAAATATAGCACTACAAACAGTAAATATTATCACAAAATTACCATCATTTGCAGAAGCTTCTCTGTAGAACAAGCACTTGAAATGATTTTTGTTCACATACCCTTCTTCATGGCAATCTATACAGATCATTTCTGTAATATATATATACGTTGAGTCTATGTTAGTCGTTTACTTGTGAAGCTCTACCTTTGAAACGATTGTCATCTTCTTTTGTATTTATTTTAGATAAAAACTCTCTTTTCTTCTTGATAATAAATTTTTTAATCATAGTGAAATTGAGAAGAGTAAAATAACATTTGACCACAATTTCGGTTTATGAGGCATCCAAAATCATATTTTACAGATAAAATAAACTGTTTTTTAGCCAATAGTGTTTACTTGTTTTGAATGCGGCATCTTATTATTGCTATTTTTCTGGATGATTAAAAATTGATTATGCATTTTCCTTTTTCTTCAATAAGATCACTGTATAGATATTATCGATAATGCTACCCTTCTAATTTATCCAGACGTTTAATCTTGTACACAACATTTAATACTGAAAGAAAAAACCGTTTTTTATGATAAGAGCTGTCTACTTTAGCCTCCAAGTAGAGATATTAAACAGATATAAGGGTACATTTTCATTCTTATTTTTTTGTGTAGTTAGTGTTCTAATTGCGGGATTTTAATTTATTTTTTTGTTGGGACGACTGAGTGTGGCGTGAACACGTACGCGTGCCCGTGCTGCGCTGCTAAATTTTGCCCTTCTTACTCAAACTAATGTCTGCTATTCAACACATTCAAAACGCCGGTGAATTCCAAAAGTTATTAACAAGCACGGATAAGCTTATTGTAGTAGACTTTTTTGCTACTTGGTGGTAAAAAAAAAAAAAGAAGGAAAACCCTTATCTCACAGCAACAGACAGTCTAAATATTTTATTTTCTAGTGGACCTTGCAAGATGATTACTCCCTTTTATGCCCAACTTTCTACCAAATATAGTCAAGTTGTATTTGCAAAGGTGGATGTGGATCAATTAAAGGAAGTAGCAGCCGCCTGTAAAGTGTCCTCTATGTACGTGTGTATATTTATTATTTATACATGATTAAGCCCAATTAACCTGATCGAATATAGGCCTACTTTCCAGTTCTACAAGAATGGAAGCAGAGTAGCTGAAATGAAGGGAGCTAATCCTCAACAACTTGAACAATATGTCAAGCAGCATTCCGAAGATGCCGGAGCTTCTGGTTCCTCTTCTTCCGCCAAGAAGAGCTGTGGGGTTCCTGGCTATGTTGATTTAACCGAATATATTACACCCAAGCAAATGGATGCTTTGAACCAAAATGAAGAACACAACGTCAAGAACATTTTCAAGGACGATGATACATATTTGGAAAGTGATACTGATGAGCAATTGATCATCAGTGTTCCTTTCAACCAACGTAAGTTGCACACACAGCAATGCTATTTGTCTTAGACAAAAAAAAAAGGGGGCTAACAGGAATCTTTCAATAGCTGTCAAGCTTCATTCATTAAAGTTCAAGGTGCCCAATCCTGGTAAGGAAGGAAAGAAACAAGTAAGAAATGATGATTAACACAACATTATTTTTTTAGCACAAGCTCCCAAGACAATCAAGATTTATGCAAACAGACAAGTTTTAGGCTTTGATGATGTTGATTCCGTAAAGGAGACACAGACTATTGAATTAACACCCGAGAATTTCAAGGAAAATGGCATTGTTAATTTGAGATTTGTCAAGTATCAAAACATTACTCATATCATGGTAAAGTCTCCCATATATCATTCTATGTATGGTTGTATCTTAACATTTTTTTTTTTTTTTTGCTCTAGTTATTTATTGCGGATAATCAAGAGGATGAGGAAACCACAAAGATCCAACAACTCGTCTTTATTGGGTAAGCTAATTTTATTTTTTATTTTTTTATTGAGCGTATAACTAAAGAAGCAATAATGTACTGTCCGATTAGTGTCCCTGTTGAAGCTACCAACATGAACGATTTAAACAAGGAATAATGGTTTTTTTTTTGTTATGGAAAAAAAAATATATATGTTTTTTTTTCTTTCTAGTTTTCTTCAATCACCCATTCGATAAGTTCGTCCATTTCTTCATCCTTTTCAGTTCGAACGTGGTTCGAATGTCCAGGCAAATTCCATTTTTTATGAACCATGAGTAACGCAAGTAAGACTGGTAAATGGATAACACTTCCAAAGAATAATTGTTTACCCGTCTTTTCATTACTTTATATGGAAGTGTGTGGGAGTTGGGGGGTTAGAGAGATGAGAGTGATACAGATAGATTTTACAGAGATCTTTACCTGCTTCGCCAAAATCGATAAGCACCAAAGGCCATAGCGGCATTAATGATGGTAGAATCAGCAGCAAACCACCAAGAGGTCAAACCCAAATAAGGCACAGCAGCACACAGTGGGAACATGGCTAAACTATAACGTAATGAGACACGCGCATTTAATTTGGGGTCAGTGACAGCCATCATACGATAACCGGCTTTTGAGTAATCGGCGCGTAAATTCCATGCCAAAGCATTGAAATGAGGGAACTGCCAAGCATAAAGCAGGCCACCCAATACCCAAGCACCTGGATCTGCCAATGTGCCAGTGACAGCAGTGTAACCCATCATGGGAGGAATAGCACCCACCACCGCACCAGCCCATGTGTTGGCAATGGAAGTACGTTTCATGGGTGTATAGATACAGGTATATAAGATTATATTGGCTGCCCCCAAAGCAGCAGTAATGGGATTGACACAGGCACCTAAAAGAGCCACTCCAGCAATACCTGTAGCTGAACCAAAGGTGAATGCATGGGCTTGCGATAAAGCTCTTCTTCCTAACACTCGGTTGCGAGTACGCAACATTTGTGCATCGTAAGGCGTTTCGATCCATTGATTAATGGCGTTGGCAGAACCGATACAGAGACCTGTACCAACTGTGGTAGCAATAAGTGTCAGGACGCTACTTTCGCCAGGGGCAATAGCATAGCCTGCCATGGTGGTCAATGCAACTAGACCAGCTAGTTTAGACTTGATGAGTTCTTTATAAAGCGAAGGTAATGTGGACACTTTGGGTTTTGGGTCAATGACTTTGTATTTGGTGACACGGTCCTGTGGTTGTTGTTGGTGGTGTTGGTGGTGTCGTTGTTGTAAGGAAGGATATGAACTGATTCTGGCGATAGACATTTGTGTCTTTAAAAAGTGTGCATGCTTCATATTTGAATGTGAAGCTTGTTTTGAAAGTACATTAAATGAACGCAACATTTTAACAGTAGTGTAGGGAAGAAGAAAATAATAAAAACAGGAAAAAAAAAATATTTTATTATTTCGACAGTAACCCCGCAGGGTTGCGGTTATTGCAAAAAAGGGAAAAGAAAAGTGTATGGTTTATGCATCGTTTTGCAAAACTTGATCGATGCCTTCATTGACAGGCTTGATTTGATCTTCTGAAGTGGTGGTATTGGTAGAGCTGTTCTTGGAAAGACTGTGTCCGAAGTGGTTGGAAAGGGTAACCAAGTTGATGGCCTTCTTGAATGTACGACGTGCGTTGAAGTTGGTACGCAAATTGGGTAATAAATCACCTCCTTCTTCAGAGGATTGGGTTTCGGGAATAGTGGTTAACCATTCATGCTCAAGGGCTTGGTGTGCAGTAATACGCTCATTCACATCAATCGTCAAACAACGGTTAATAAAGTCCTTGGCTATTATTCACAAGTTAAAAAAACAGCGTTAGTCCCTGACCAACCAACTCTTAACACACACTCCCCACTTTCACACTTACAGGCTTGGCTCATGTTCTCCCAACAGGGATCATCAAAGTTATAATCAGCATTCATAATGGCATTCATTTCCTCAATATTGTTGGAACCTTCAAATGGGGTGTAGCCAGACAACAAGAAGTAGGTGATGACACCGATAGCCCAAATATCACTATTTTTCAAGTTAGAGCCAAGGATTATACTAAAAGAATACGACTTACACAGGTTTTCCGTGACCCGACTTTCTAAAGATCTCGGGAGCCTAATCATAAAACGATGTGTGAGTGTATATTCATGTAGAATTTTTATTTTATTTTTATTACCATATAGCCGGGGGTACCACATGTTGTTTTCAAGGTGTGGAACTTGTCGGTATCAATGATACGTGATAAACCAAAATCAGCAATCAATAAATCAGAATCTTCTTCGCGTTCACGGAATAACAAGTTTTCAGGCTAATGAAGAAAAAAAAGAGCATGAATATTACATACGGTTTGTTAACAATAGATGAATATGTACCTTTAAATCTATAAATAAATAAGCGGGTTAAGACAAGAGATACAAACAGAATGAAGAAAGAACTTACCACGATGGACAATGCCATTTTCATGAAGATAAGCGACAGCACTCATGATGGTTTTAATGATATGAGCAGCATCCTTTTCGAAATAGCTACCCTTTTCACAAATACGATCGAATAATTCACCACCTGATGCCAAGTCTGTCACAAGATACACTAAGAATAATAAGAAGTGTGTTAGAATAGCTTAGTAAAGAGATTTGCAGTTTGACATACAGTTGTTTAATGTCTCAAAGTAGTCGACTAGACTCAAGATATTCTTGTTTCCTTGTGAAATACGTTTCAAAATATTAATTTCATTACGAATCATGTGTTCGCGACCTTCCATCAACTTTTTATTAATGATTTTACAGGCATAATATTTTCCAGTTTCAATCTAAGAATGAAAAAAAAAAAAAAAGGTTAACCCAAATAAAATAAATATAAAGCAAACGACTTTACATGCATAGCCTCTAAATAATAATAAAGGGTTAAACTCTTGCATATAGTTTCTATATTAGTTACTCCTTACCTTTGACAGTTGCATAGGTACCGTTACCAAGGACTCTACCGGTCTTGTATTTACAAGGTACAGTGACAGGAGCGCGAGACATTTTTTTATGTGTAGGAAATAAGTGAGAGAGAGAGAGAGAAATAAAAAAAAAAAAAAGAAAAAAATAAAAAAAAACAAAAGCTTAGGCCGAGCCACTTCAACTGTGTCACCTCTTTCTCACTCTCTCACTGTTTAGCTTACACACTAAATAATTTGATGAGCAAAGCTTTTTTGTGTAATGCGATGTTGTCATTAAAAAAAAAAAAGTGACGGGACTTTAAATACAAGTTTCATTTGTTTTCATTATAAACAAAAGAAACATGTTTGTCATAGGGATAAGGGGTGGTTATTATGGAGGTAGAAGTTGTTAGGAGGATTCGCACACACAGACCACAATAGATCACAAAGGGAAAAAACGTGTAAAATTACAGCCATATATAATGATATAAAAAAAAAAGATCTGTTAATTGCTCCGCTCGGTTTTTTTGTGACCTCCCCCTTGGCACAGTTTTGTTTCTCCATCCATACCCCGCTTTCGACCTCCCAAAAAAAGAAGAGGACAATTTTTCTTTTTAAATAACTTTCTCTCTCTCTCTCTTCTTCTCTTTAATTTTTATAGCTGAAAAAAAAAGAAAGATGGCTTCAATGTTACCCAAGCATTCTGGCACCAGTGCTTTTCGATCGATATCGACTACATTTGGTAAAGGAATTCATAGGGCAGCCAAATTATCTTCTCGTAATCCTATCGAGATGATTGCTGGTATTCTTATCTTATCCTCCTTCAGTTACTTTTACCTGTTCAACTTGGCACGTACTTCGGATATATTCTCAGGTACTGTCACTCGTCTTTATCCAACCTTAGTCTATGCCACTGCAGACTCTGATTTTGAACCATTGACACGTCATGACTACACATTCAACAACCAACTCGCACCTGAAGCAATCAAGATTCAGTTAAAGCAAATTACCGTCACCGATGGCGAAAACAATATGATTGACAGATCCACTTTGGCCTCTATCTTGGAGTTCCAAAACTCTATTCAACACGGTTTATTAGATGATCATTTAGGTTCATTAGGTTACAATTCTCTTTGTTACAAGGATGAAAGAGGTGAATGCTTCTCTTCAAGTATTTCTTCTATTTTCAACTTGGACTCTTTATCCACACAAGATTTACGACAAGCCATTCAATCTGTACCAGAGTTATCTCAAGTCGTATTCGGTGAATTGGATTTAAATGCTTCCACCGCTTCATCCGTCTTATTATCTTTTGCCTTCAACGCTTCCACCACCTACCGACAAGAATTATCTCATTTATGGGAACAAAAGGTCTCTACCTTCAACTCTGGAAACTTGCTCTCTCTTTCCAACAATGGCAAAGGTGAAGATGCTTTCACATGGATTTTCATCATTACCAGAAACATCATTATCCGTATCAAGGAGTTAATTGAGGTATTTCATTGTTACCCCATCAATATTGTGTTACTTACCTATTTATTTATTTTAGATGGCCGATAATATCGATATTATTGTCATTCTGGGTGGCTATGTTATGATGTTGACAACATTTGTCTCTCTTTATATGAACATGCGTTCCATGGGTTCTCGTTATACTTTGGCTACTGCTGTCATGGTCAATGGCTTTTTCTCATTCATGCTTGCTTTATTAACCGTGCACGCATTGGGTGTTGATGTCTATCCTGTTGTACTAGCGTAAGTTTTCTTTTTTTTTTTCTTTCCCTCCTTTTCTACGTATACAGAAACCCTAATTATTATTACTATTAGTGAAGCTATTCCGTTTTTGGCAGTAACCATTGGATTTGAACGTCATTTCAAACTCACAAAGCGAGTCTTTGAATACAGCAAAGAAACACCTTTAACTAAGCAAGAAATCCGAAAGACAATTGTTCGAGCTGTCGATTCTGTCGCTTTACCTATTGCCAGAGATTGTATCATGGAAATCACCGTCCTTGCTTTAGGCGCTAAATCGGGTGTATCTGGTTTGCGTGAATTCTGTTTACTTAGTGCCATTTTATTAGCCTATGATTTCATCATCATGTTCACTTGGTATATTGCCGTTTTAGCCTTGAAGCTTGAGTTATTAAGAATCCGTGAAATCAACGGTACCACCGCTGCTAAAGGCACCTCCTCTTCCTCTTCCTCATCATCCGCATCCGCACAAACAACAGGTACGGGTTATATTCGCAACACTGTCGTTAAGGCCTTCAGTGATACCACCACATCCAACCATGACAATATCAAACATGACGAACCCATGATCGGTCGAGTCAAGTTATTGATGATTGTCGGCTTTGTCGCTATGCAATTATTCAAGGTCTGTACCACCTTTGGGGGTTCTTCGGGTCCTCAGGTTAGCATCGTTGAACCTGCCGTAAACAATGTGCTTCAAAAGCTTCTTTTACAACATCGTGCATCCAATGTCGCTCATCTCCCACTCTTGGTCGAAGTCTTCCCTCCTCTGCCTTTCCACATTGCTTCCTCTGCTGACAAGAGCTTTGTACCTGATAGTATTCGTATCCCCTTGGATTACTTGTTTGAAACATACTCTGTCTATATTCAACATCCTGTCATTTCCAAGTGGATCTCCTTGGCGCTCTTTGTTTCCTTGTTCCTCAATACTTATTTATTCAAGGTGGCTAAACAACCTGCCAAGGTTGTCATGACACCTGCTGTTGCTGCTGCTGCTGCTACCGTCACTACTGCACCTGTTGCTGTTCCTGCCCCTGCTCCCGCTCCTGTAGCCGTCTCTCCTCCTGCTGCTGTAAAGCATGTCGTTGTTCATGAAAAGAAGCGTCATCACCATCATCAACATCAACAACAACATGTGGGCGCTATGCGTACTTTAGAAGAATGTGTGAGTTTAACCGGTACACCCGATTTATTATCTGACGAAGAAGTGATTTTACTTGTACAAAAGGGCAAAATGGCATCATATGCTTTAGAAAAGGTATTGGGTGATTTAGAAAGAGCCGTCAGTATTCGACGTGCATTGATCTCTCGTGCTTCCATGACCCAAAGTTTAGAAGGCAGTTTATTACCTCATGTGAATTATCATTATGATAAGGTCATGGGTGCTTGTTGTGAAAATGTCATTGGGTATATGCCTATTCCCGTTGGTGTAGCCGGTCCTATGAATATCGACGGTGATATGATCCATATTCCTATGGCTACTACAGAAGGTTGTTTGATTGCTTCTGCTGCTAGAGGTTGTAAAGCCATCAATATGGGAGGTGGTGCTACTACGATTATTACGGCAGATGGTATGACGCGTGGTCCATGTGTAGAGTTCCCTTCCATTGTAGGAGCTGCTGCTTGTAAAAGATTTATCGAAGAAGATGGACTTGAGATTATCACAAATGCGTTTAACTCGACTTCTCGTTTTGCTCGTCTTCGAAAGATGAAGGTTGCAATGGCTGGTAAACTCGTGTTCATTAGATTCTCAACAACCACGGGTGATGCTATGGGTATGAACATGATTTCAAAGGGTTGCGAAAAGGCACTTTCGATCTTGTCTCAACATTTCCCTGATATGCAGATTATTTCGCTCTCTGGCAATTATTGTACCGATAAGAAGCCTGCTGCTATTAACTGGATCGAAGGCCGTGGTAAATCTGTGGTGACAGAAGCCGTCATTCCTGGTGCTGTCGTCGAAAAGGTGCTCAAGACAACCGTGGATGCCTTGGTGGAATTGAACATTTCCAAGAATTTGATTGGTTCAGCTATGGCTGGTTCTGTAGGTGGATTCAATGCACATGCGGCCAATATTTTGACAGCGGTGTATTTGGCAACGGGACAAGATCCTGCACAAAACGTGGAAAGCTCAAACTGTATCACCTTGATGAAGGCGATTAATGATGGACAGGATTTACATATCTCGTGTAGCATGCCTAGTATCGAGGTCGGCACCATTGGTGGCGGCACAATTCTGCCTCCTCAACAGTCCATGTTGGATATGCTTGGTGTGCGTGGACCTCATCCTACCGAGCCTGGAAAGAACGCTCAAAGATTAGCAAGAATCATTTGTGCGTCAGTCATGGCTGGTGAATTATCACTTTGTGCTGCATTGGCTGCTGGTCATTTAGTCAAGGCTCATATGGCTCATAATCGTGTTGCCCCCGCTGCTCCTGCCACTGTGTCTGAACCTATTCCTGGAACTTGTATCAAATCCTAATTTCTCTCTCTCTCTCTCTCTCTCTCTTTAAAACTCCCCCCTATATTCCCTCTTGCCTCTCTTTTCTTTTTGTTGTTTACTATTTATACTTCACTAATAGAATCCTTTCTCTAAACATCTTAAATAAAACATATTTACACATGCAAAACCAATCGTTTTTTTTTAAGGTGGATAAATATTTACCAATTCATGTAACACCAATGTATCTTTGTCCTTGATGAAAGAGGTGCAAAATTCGGATACTCCCCGTCTTTTTTCGATATTCGTGGTCATACATAAATATCTCGTGTGTACAACGCATGTCAAAAAGAGAGAACGTCTTTACGAGATTTGTGATGACTAAATTTATCACAACCTGAGATTTTCAATCCTCAATGACCAAAACAATTAAGTGGCTACTACTAAAACACTTTTCATTTTGCATTACTATTTCTGGATTTAATCTAATAAAAAAAAGGCCGTAATGGCAAAACGTTTGATATAACTTCTTTACGAGGGGAGCACAAAAGGTAGACATCGGGTATACTATATAAACATTGCGGCTGGGTAAACTTTGTAAAATTTTAGATCAGTTACATTTGAGAAGAAGTATCAGCTAAAGAAAGAAAGTGGAACACTTGAGAGCCCAAGAAAAAAAAACTTTTTAAACAAGGGCACTACTGCTTATCAGATTGTTAAATGTAGAATCTGTTAGATATGGACGCACAGGATAAAAACGAGATAAAAGGGGCTTTCAATGTTATGGATAACTGTATAATATGCCATCTCACTGTTGTTAACGTAATGGTCTGATACAAACCATTATTCAGGCTACCTTACTCTTCTCTTTTAAATCCCATCAAAGAGTCCTGGCCAAAAATTAAAAGTGACATTAAAAGAAGCTCTTTGAAAAAGACTATGAGCTGACACCCCGTTATCACTGAAACATGCAGTACGGTTACTACAGATAGCTGTTAGCATTGTGTAGATCTATGCTGCATTTTATTGGGAGACTTGCATTCAGAAAAAAAAGGGGGGCTTAAAGTAGCTAATGTCATGTTCCTGACCTGAATAAGAGTTGTATGTCCATTTTTCAATCTCAGATTTCCGTGCCTATTTTATCAGCCCTAAGCTCTTGTTACCTTTTCTCACTCATGGATTCATGCTCTCATGTTATAAAAAACAGAAAATGATATATGATAACGTCTATTTTTGCAAAGACATGATTTATTTTTTCGGCTAAACATCACATCACTGATAACGACAAGTACATGATAAATCATATCGTATCTTTTCTTTTTATTAACGAGTACTACGTTATGCTTCGCTAATAGTTCCGTACGCAATTTTGACACACTAGTGGCCCTTTAAAATATTGCAAACATAATCTGGGATGAGTAATGTTGTTTTCTAAAAACCTGATAAAAGCTGGTTTAGTCTTATTTTTTTTAGTTGATCAATTTTCCGTGGGATTCTGATATAATCATTTTTTTTTCAATCGACTCCATATTTAAACAAGACTTTCGAATTTTTGTTGTCTTCCTTTTTTTTTCCTTTAACTTTTTAAAATTATAACAATGGGAAACGCTGTCTTTGGTAAGTTCTAGATTTTTCAAGTTTAATGGTCTTAGATATTCATGTCTTTTAGCAGTGACCACTCCTTGGCTTATGGGTGGTATCACCTCCTATCCCAGACGAGACTTTCGTGTCTGTCTGGAGTATGGTAAGTGTATCATTTATCATTTTTATTATTGTTTATTAACAACGCCGTCTTTTTTTATTTTGAAGGGCTTCTTTTTGTTGACGTTTCCTTATGTTGGCCTGCTCCTTTCCTCCTTCGTGGAGGAAATTTAAAATATGGGTAAGGAATCCTCAAGTAAGTTTGTGTCTGTATTCAATATTAATGTCTTTTATTAGAGCAAATCGACGATACGCCACGTCAAACCAGGAGGAACCGGCGCTTCTTGGTAATCCGTTTGGATTACTGTAAGTATATTATTCATCATTTTTATAACTGTGTATTAACAGCGCATCTTTTTTAGTGTTGCGCCGGTTCTTCCTGACGGGGGGGACTCCTGCTTTCTGCATTCATGGAGGAAAATTGGCAGGAGTTCCTCCGGGTCGGCTACTTCGACATGGAAGTAGTCGGCCGTCGCTGGGAGTTTCTGGCTCCACCAGCCGTGGACATGGGCCTGGGGTATGACCCTTTTCATCTCTTGGTAGACCGGATGAAGGTAAGTAAAGAACATCTAAAGATATCAATCATAATTACTAAATGCTTTTTTATCGTAGTAGTCTCCCATCCCTTCTTCTGCCTATGGCTCTGGCTCCTCCTCTGTATTTGTCTGCTCTTTCTCCCCGGTTTATTATTCGCCTCTCACTCCTTTAAAATAAATCGTTTCTTTTTCCCTAAATTAAATATCTCTTCTAGTTATTATTGTTTAAATTGATAATATGGCCAAGCTTTTTATCAGAGTAAAAATAATAGCGTATTTTATGATATAACCAAATAGATAAATTAATATAGATTGTAGTTGTAGATCTTTTTTCTTTTTCAATTGGACACCCACTATTTGATAGTTTTTTTCTGTGTGAGCATCGCAATACTATCAGATTTAACACGGCATAAACTTGTCTTTTAGTAGAGTGTAGATACTAAACATGATAAACGTAAGAATAACCATAAGCGACTCAGTTTTATTGGCATCAACCATTATTCCTGTGGGTATTACAACATTTCCCTCACTCTTGTTTTTAAATCCTGGTAACATTGATAAATTCATTTGTAATCAAATTATATAGACATCTTATAATTTTTACCTGCTGGACATAATTTTACAAAAGAGACATATATATCAGTAGTTGCTTCAGTGTGAACTTTTCCAATTTCTTTAAAACAAAATTATGCATCACAAGGCTAAAAATATGCGGGTGTTTAGACATGTAAAAACTTTTTTATTAGTTCTGTTCCATAGATAATGAACACTAACCTTTTATTAGCAATGATAAACCATTTTTTTTAAAAAAAAAAAAAAAAAAAAAAAAAAAAAACGGAATTTTTTACCTCTTTGTGTACCGTTGTTGATCCTTTTATACAAAAGTTACAATCAGCTTCATAGTATCTATAATTTGGCTTTTATACATCCCTTGTAACCTTCCTCATTGCATTCTCTATATCCACTCAAATCATACCACCCTTCCACTTCCTAAGGCATAAACTAAGGCTCGAAATACCATTTTCACTCTTCCTAAAGCATACCATACCATCCTTCCACTCCCTAGTACATAAACTACTTCTTGTATTCTTTGTCATAATATTTTCTGCCTGATTCTTTTCCAACTTATTCCACGTTTTATGTTTTACTTTGATATGGAAGATCAGCAAAGAAGCATTTCGTTTACTATAAAGATACCTTTTAAACGATAAGATCTATAGACCCTGATTTATAATTTAGCCTCGAACTAGTTCAAATTATATATTCAGTTATATCCTTTAATCGTCCTGATGCTTAAATAATAAACATGCCTAAGCCAGAAGGTTAATTCGTATCTGCAGACAAGGTCAGAAAAAGAGTATGCAAGACATCGAAAGGTATCACTTGTTCAATTCAGACATGACAATTGAATAAGTGCGTAGAAGATAAGTAATCTACTTATCGATAGGATGCAATTGGCTTGATCTATTTGGCAAGGGTACTATTGGGTAGACAGAACATTATTGCTTAAGTATGTGGTTTTAACTAGGCCTATCGGGATCGGTTTTACGTAATTTGTATATAAAAAGCTCTAACAAACTTTTATAATAATATTTGCTCTATTAGATACTTGTTACTTGCAGGGAATGATTTACTGTTAAAGTGCCGTAAAAGAAATTATCATGATATACGAGGTTTGTGGGAAAATATCGATATCATCTAACGGAAGAAAAACTTTTCCATGGTAGGTGTGTTTAATCATTTGAATCCAAAATAGAGAATTGAAGCTTATCCCTGTTTGTAAACTCAAGATTTCTTTGTCGCTAGTATTTTGATTTGTTTTACATGTAATCATTGGCTGTACCTAGTGCACGTGAAAGTAAAGCAAACGTGGCATTGGCTTTATTGTGAGTGCGATTATTCTTTTTAAAAGTATGCTACAGTGTGAAGAATTGGGAATCCTGGATTACGCAATGTGAATTCTTCGATAATACCATCCATATCAGCATCAATATCGTTGGAAGATTCAATCTATGAATGAATGAATAAAGATACTGGATATACTGCGAAAAAAAAAAAGTCAAGTTTTTACCATTTGTGCTAATTGCAGAATTGCTCTTCCTCCTAATAAAGCGTCTTCATGATTATCCTTAATTTCTACGTTGATGACATGTGTGCTTTCGTTTAAGTTTTGACCTCTATTAGACAAATCTGCACTTCATGTCAGAATATAACAGTGATGCGTGTACTTTTTTTTTTTTTTAGAATAAAAAAAAAGAGGTTACCTTCTACAACAGAATCAAAGCATCGTTCTTCACAAGTGATAATGACATCAAATAATTCACGAGACTCGTGCCAACGTTGTGGTGCTTCTTTTGTCTTTCGATTACGGTCCAACATGGATAATAAACCGTTTTGTGTGTATAATTGTTGATCCTGACTCTTGAGCTCTTGATATACTTTCTCGTATGGTGTGCCGAAAGGGTAGATATTGGGTTTGTCGATCGAAGGTCCTGGTAAACGAACCATGCTACCCGTACCATAAGACTTAACATTGAATCCCTTTTTACTGGTTTTAATGTTAGTTCGAAAACTGGATTGAGTTGTAGCTTTTCTTATTACTTTAACACATGATGTGCTTCCATGGATCGGTTTTGATTACTAGCACAAATCACTGCATATTTTGCCATGTTCAAGATCTTGTGAAAGGAGAAAGGAGAACCAAAAAAAAAAAAAGATAGCGAGATTCAAATACAGAAATTATGCTTCACACGTGACCGTAAAAGTAGGGTCAGTTACATAGGATTTCTATCAAAAAGGTTTTTAATTGCGGTTGGCATCCTGTTACTCAAGTCTCCAACCAACCAACTATCAATACAAGCTATTAATTTTGTACATGATTTCAGTTGGCCTTCTGAGAATTTCACTGCCAAACAGTCCCGTGAATTATGTTATTCGAATGTGCCCAGAATTATTTATTAAAAAAAAAAAGGTATATTTCATGCCCCTCTTCCTCTCGTAGCGAACTAGTCTCTCTCCTGCCTCGTTTATTGTGTATTATTGTATTTTATCATTATCATTATTATTATTTTTTTTTTTAAAAAAAAAAAAGTTGCGATACAAAATAACCCTAAAACCTACAATTGTGGCGATTCATTAATATATCGGGGTCAATGTATTTGTGAAAAAAAAAAAAAAAAAAGAAAGGGTTTTTAGTTGCGAAAGAGATCAAACAATTGTTGTTCTGTTTTTGATTGTAATAATTGTTCGATCCTTCGATATTTTTCATATTGTTGGCTGGGCATAACAGATTTCCTCTTTCTGGAGGGAGTAGGTGATAGAGGCGGTGATGTTTGCTGCATATTTTAAAAGTTTATTAGAATAAATTACTTGGTATTTTGATATCGTGTTACTTACGGTGGCTGCACGAATAAGTGTCAGGATGCTTTGGTCGTCGTTGCTATGCTGATTACCCGCTTGGAGTAAGGCCATACTTTGAAGCCACTAAGTGGAAATAAAATTATATGAGTTTACAGAAAAATAATAATAATAAAAAAAGAACGTACGGATTGGATTTCTTCGTTGTTATTATTGCTTGTATGTGTGTCGAGGGAATGCGATATGGGTTTATGAGATTGAATGGGAGATTCGAAGGTGGGAGGAGTATTTACTTCACTGGAAGACGAACTTGCGGTTGTGGATGGTATGGATGATCGTCTAAGATAAGTAAAATAGCATTTTTGATTAAAACAATTAGCCGCTATTTTTTTTTTTTTCTTATTAGTATTATTTTGTACCTTTTAGTATGGCTGGAAATGTCAGCTTGGATTGGATTTACAGGGATTCTATAGACAGTACCAGTTTTACTGGTTATAATATTTTCCGCTCTTGTTATTTTGGATTTACTATCTACATGGTTATTATCATTCAATTCGCTTTGAATGATCTTTGAAAGGTGGTGGTGATATGCGCTAGAAGGCATCGGATTTTCACGGTTGATTGTTACTTGGGTAGCATTCTTAGGCTCCCTTGGCGTCTTCTACATAATTTTTTTTTTTTTTTTTTAGAAGTTATACAAACAAAAGAAACAAAAAGCTTAGTCAAGTAAGACAACTTACTATAAAGTTTTCAATATGGTTTGGACATCTCCATTTTCTTGCTGGGTTGGGTGGTATTGCTAATGGCGGATTCAGACAATCGAGATGCCAATAGAGAGGACAAAAGTCGCAACTGACCATAGGCTTTTTTAGCGCAGTCTTTCTGCAATAGTAGCAAAGGCGAAATTTTCCATTTCTATCAGTTAATTGGCGATAATCGGGACGATCAGGTAGGCCATTTCTAATTATGAACAATTTAGTTATAAAGTTTTTTATATATATATATATAAAGCTGTATTATCTATACGTATATACCTGTATCGAACAGATTTCACCTTGGTTGTGTCGACATATCTTCCTTGCTTATCGGAAGCCACTGTTGCGAAGAATTTATTAGTTTTAATATTTTATTTAGAGTCAAAAGATGTCCTTTGAACTTTACCGCCTTTAAAATAATTAACAATATCATTTGGCAATCGGTATGCTTTTGGATTTTTCATGGTGAGATCACTTACGAGGTTTTCGAATATGCCTCGAATGCTAGTTGCTGGCTTGGAAACTTTTCGCTTTCCCTAGTTTTGTTTGGGGTGAGTAAAGAGAACAGTGTAATTTATATGATAGGATGCTTACAATGTTTTGCTTAAGCTCACACTCGGTACAATACCATTTTTCTTTAAGCTTAGCTACATCGTCAGAGTTCATGGGAGGTTCTACACAAGTGAAATGAAAAGCATTGGGACAGGCATCACAACACAGGAATTGCCCAGTTTCTCCACATGAATCGCAAACATCATGGTTCTAGGTTACCAATGGGTTAGAAAAATAAAAGTCGCAGATATTCAATTTTTTATATATAAAAAAATTATTTACTCTCATGTCCATTGTTATCGTTGCCTTTGATTTACTAAGTTTGATTGAAAGGTTACAGATATGATACAGAATAATTTGTTTTTTATATATATTAATAATTTAGTTACGTTTTAGTAGCAGCAGTAGCAATTGAACTATGATTTCGCTTAGGATGTTTAAAATCAGGAGTCTTTGATCTCGACTGCATATTTAATGTTGGTGATTTTGAGCGTTTCTTCATAGTAATGATTATAAAAAAAAAATAGGATCCTTATTATGCGTTTATTTTCAAATAAAAATTGGTTATTGAACTCTCCTAATTATTTAAAAAATATTGTATAGAATGGATAAAAAAAAAAAAAAAAAAAAGAGAGAGAGAAAGAGAGAAAAGAGGAAACAGCAGTTTGATTTTTTTTATGTCAATTTTTTAAAATGGAGTTTAAATTCCAGTTTGCTGGCCATTTACTAAGTAAGTTATCTTAATTGCACTCTTATGTTCAATTCTGATTGGTTACTATATGGCCAAGGTCAATGATATAGATGATTCTGTCGTAAAGAAATAGATGGTATGCTTACAATTAGATAGAAGGACGTATTTGTTACTTCAATAAGTCATCCAAATCGCTCTATGAACCAATCATGTCCACTTACTAAATTTCTGTGTATCCTAGTTGCTCATCCTCAAGCTCGAAAATATACTTTTCTTGTGACTGGATGACACACTGTAATATTGTATTGAAAATACCAAAAGGGTTTAGTCAGTATGTAATATAGGTCAGATACGATTTGAAAAAATGCACCTACGTAGACAAAGGCAAACAAATCCAATTCCGTGAACTTCTTTTATCGGCAAAAGTCAAGGGGCCTCGGCAGAATAACATCCAAGATAATCTGTCTTTTAAGGAATATCGGACCAAAGACAACCTTCTTTTTTTTTTCTTGGATAAAGTGGACTGAATAAATAATGATTTTTTTCATAGTTAGTATAGGGCTATCCTATTTGCACATGACATTCAAAAGAGTATCAGTAGTACCGATCAATTTTTAAAGGGAAGCTTCAAACGTGGAATGTTTTGGGTTTAATTGTACTTAGAAAAAAAAAAGCCACTTAATTTCACTCAAATATATTAAATATTAACCACCAAAATCCGCTGACCTTGATGCTTCGATTGCAACATAATTATCAGCTGCGTAAGTCTGAGCTAATTCCATCAGCCATTCGTGTATCACCCTTGCTTATGTTTACGTCAAATACGGCATCAGCCGAATCTTTGTTGTCGTCTTTCTTATTTCGTCCCCCATACAATATATTCTGGCCTATATATTTATAGTACAGTCGAGTTATACACACAAATACAGTAAATGTTTTTTTCGAAAAGAAACAATCTTTGTTATGCTTCTTTAGATTCAAACAACGGAATAATATTCTCAAAAATTATGTGCGTTTATTGACTGGGAGTTTAAATAACAAGTCTAATATCCACATTATACATCATTTAATATATAAAAAAGAGGGAAGACCACCTTCTAAGGCAATCTAGAAAGTGATTTGAGTGTGGCACCAAATTTTAACTGTTTTTAAAACATTGGTAAACGTTGATTGCTTCTTCTTTTTTTTTCTTTTTTTTTTTTTTTTACCATTAATCTTCTTCGCCCGCATGGTGCCGGTTAAATTACTTTATCGATGGCTTTATCTTTATTTAATTAATCACAGCTCCCGTCTATAAAGTTATTTATTCTCTTGTGCACTCACCCATCCATTAGGTAGACTAAACGCCTTTCCTTACCTTCTTATCGCTATGTAAATTCTAGAAGCCATGACATTATTTAGCGGATATTCATACTGGTGCTACAATAGATGCCTATTCCAAGTAAGACTCACTTCATACCTTTTGCTTTATGTCTGATCTCCGCCAGACGACTTCCAAACATTTTATCGCCCGCGCTGGACTTTCTTTCTACCTTTTTAACTTACAGTAACCTAGCAAAATATTTCATCTTCATATCCTTGGGATTTGATGTGATTTCAAGAATCTTCCTTGGTTCTGATTAAAATACTCGTTGCTAAGCTTTTTGAATTTCCGACGACTTTTTGTGGCCAGTGGTGACTTCAAATGCGGGAAGACTTCTTATTAGAAACCATAGACGTTCTCTTTTTGAGATCACTGCTTGTTATCTTCAAAGAGTAGTATTTAGATAAAATCCTTGGCCATTTACGGTATGTATATGTGTACACCAAAAATTTAGGCGTACCGCTATCATACCATATATATCACGCTCTGTTTTGAAACTTTTGCGACGCTTTTGCGGTAGTACTTACGTGACAATAACCATACGTATAGTCTAGCCATTATTACAAGTAAATTCTAGCCTTTTATCAGAAGAAAAAAAGAATCGAGTTGACTAACCTTTTCGTACTTTGACTTAAATTTTACATGTTAAACATAACAAAAGTTGTATGAAGAAAGAAAGAAAGAAATAGCACGTACTATCATCTGTTTATTTATAACAAATTAAGAACAGGTTTGCGTCATTATAACGATTGAAAACAAAAAAAAGTAATACTGTGTATATTGTGATTTGAATACAGATAGACTTTTTATGTAGTTAATTACCTTATTACCGCTACTTTTTGCACATAATCCTAGTATTTATTGATAACAAGTATACCTTACAATCCTTCTATACGAAAGGCTCTAATAAAAGTATATTTGACATTTCCAGTAATCGATTTGAACCATGGTTTAGTGATTGAGGACTTTCTCCCATATAATTTACGTCTTTGATACTAGATAAGTAAGTTTTGCTGTCATCAGTAATCGTTGGGCCTTGGTCATATAGTACGCCGCTTGGAAAGTATGTGATGCCATTTAGTGTTCTATGTAGGAAATCCCCGCAAACCTTAATTGCGTTACATAATACTCTCCATGTTTAGATAAAAGATTTGATAAGGTTTGTTGCTCTAAGCACATGAAGGCGGATCATCGATTAATTTTTTTTTTTATTTCTTATAATTGATGGTTTGTTCCTTTATTTCGGTCCGATATACGAAATCCGACGGCACTGTTCTGTACTTGTTCTTCTTATAACCATGATTAATAGTAAAATTTTGTTATTTCGAATCATAGTTTGTGCATCCAGCATTAAACTCTCCATTCTTTCATTTGCAGATCGCTGTCTTTGTTGTTAGATGGTAAATGATTTTCCGAAAACGGGACTGTGATTCCTTTTTTTTTTTTTTTGGTTTACACGCTTTGATAAGAGTGAACCATGATACAGATGTAAATTTTTTTTGTAGACTAAAGTCGCATAATAAATTTTTTTTTTAAAACACGTGATTTAAAAAAGTACGTAGAAAGACATTCTCCCAAGACAGGCTGATGATACAAAGACAGACATCAAGCATGTTTAAATAGTTCTTTTTTTATTATGATGGTGGGGATTATACAAAATGAAGGTTTTTAGAAGATCTTTTTTTTTAACGTCTACCCTTCTTTCTTGGTGCCTCTTCTTCAAAATCACCGACTCTCTTTAATTTACGCTCATCGGCTTGACGGGCGTTTTCCTCTAAAGCGTCCCAATCTATATTTGTAAAATTTGAGTTTAAAAACTTATATCAAAAGTTGTCTGTCTATGCATGTCTTACCATCGCCTGAATCTGACATATCGTCTTCTTCTTCTGAATCATCTGATGCGTTTGAGTGTACCTCACTATCATCATCGTCACTCGAACTCTCTTCAACATCGTCATCGGACATTTCAAATTCACTACCAGTGGCTGAATCGTTACCAGAACCTTCGTCATCACTGCCAGTTCCTAAGAAACTCCAACCACCGTTACGATAGAATTCTCCTGTATCTTCATTCACGGTCTTCATGATCATGCTCCAATTCAAGTTGACAGGACCCTCTGAGAAGGCAACCTCAACTGAATCGAGCCAGTCCTTCACATTATCGAGCTGAGACATGGGGATGGTATTGATATGAATAGGTGTGCGATGGAAATCCTTAAAGACAAAGACCATATCAAAGTTCTTTAAACCGAATTGAACACGTTCCAAATGAGCTAATTCGACTTCATTCAGGGTGATGCAGAGGAAAGGAGGGTCTGATAAATGGACAAGACAATCGGTGGTAGGTTGCAATAACACGTTGGATCTGAAGGGGACACCTTGGAATCCAAGTTCTCTAAAAGGCACATCTAACTCGATACGTCCATCACTGGCTTCAGCAATCTTTTCCGCAAACTGTCTGAATTCCTTATTCAAATTGGCACGACGACGACGTTCTTCTTGTTCCGATTCAAGTTCATCTTCATCACCATAGAGATGTCTGTTACGTCTCTTATTACCTGTCTCATCAAATTGAATATCAGATGCTTCGCGGTAGAATTGAATGTCCTTGGTCTTCTTCTTGCCGATCAAGATAGGGTTTTTGAAGTGAATATGGACCAACACTAATAATTCATTATCACAAGGTTGGAAGAACAAATGTTTAACGTTACTGAAAAGAACGTTAAAAGAAGAATCAGATCGAATGGATTGATAACGAAGACCATTTTGATGGATTTCGAGTTCACCAGGTAAACGCTTAGATTCAGTTTGAGGACGAACGTAGACATCAGGGAGACGGACAGGTCGACGACCCTTGATGACAACCAAGTTATCTTGTTCCACAACATCAGCCATTTCACGACGCTCTGCTTCCTTCTTGGTAGCCTCCTTCTTCATGTCCGAGATGTTGCGATAGATTTCAGCCATACGATGTGTATCAGCACTACGGAAAGTCAACGCACGGACAAAAGTAGCATTGGGATCATCAAAGGGCATATCCTCTCTTTTACCACCAGCTTGACCAGGAGTCAAGAAATTGAGACGAAGCATGACGAAGTCACCTTCATCACTTTTACTAGCGTTCTTGAGGGTAGAGATATGGAAAGGAACAGCCATACCATAGATGGGCAAAATGATGGAATCATGTTTCTTATCCACCACAATCTTGAGATCACGTACTTCACGGGGGATTTTGGATTCGGAGCGATAACTCTCAAACTTTCTAAAGACAGCCTTAGCTTCTCCATCACCATTACCTGAAGTCTCTGAAAATTTGGCAAGACCTTCTTGTAACTTTTGGGCAAATAATTGCTTTTGATGATCACGACGTCTTTGCTCACGGGATTCTTCTTCTTGATCTTCGTTTCTTAACTTGCTACGAAGAATGGCGGATTTAGCCATAGCAGATTCACGCTTGACGGTGGTGGCAATACTAGAAGTAGATGCCTTGCTCTTTTGCTTATCGCTTTCGCCGTCAGCTTTATCATCCTCATCATCGAAAAAGTACGAAATCTTGTTCAACTTCTTGCTGCAATCTGCGGTCAAGACAACGGCAGCGTCACTTGTAACACGTACGGTATCAACCAACATGAGGGCATAATTCTTACCACGAGGATCAGATGCTTTGGGGTTTTCCAAATCAGAAAAGCCCACTTGAACGTTCAAGATCATACCATTCTTGATTTCCTTGGTATTCTTACCGCTCAATACATAATTGGCTTCACGAAATTCGATACCCATACCAAATCCAACATTCTTTGTGAAATTCTTTTCGAGATCGGGTCTTTTGGCCTTGATCAATGCGATGGCTTTAGCATAGACGTCACGAATCTTGACGCCATCACGGATACTATCGAGAACACGATTTTGAACCTCGAGCAAGAACTCGTAATTCTTTTCCATGGCTTTGGTGGGATCGATCAAGAAGGTTCTACTGAGGTTGGAACAATAATATTTATATCGAACACCGAGACTACAAATGATAGCACCTGGGAAAAGTCTGTCGTTGTTGGATGTGGCGGAAGATCTCAAATCGAATTTACCACCACTTTGTACAATAGGTGTATAACACCAATCAATCTCGTCCTTCTCCTCTACCTTTTTTTTTTCGTATATTTGTTTAGTCTCTATTATGTGTACACATGCATCCTCATAACAAGGTATTTCTTTACCTCTGGTGGCATGCGGATACGCTTAGCCATCTTGGGATCTTCCAAAGCCATATCGGTTAAATCACTCAACTTTTCGTTTGTAATGGGCTTTTCTTCATCGATATAGGTGGACATTTCAGGAATGAAGAAATATTGCATCATGTTGGAACTAACTTTGGCTGCAGTTCGGACATAGCGCTTTTTTTTTAAAAAAAAAAAAAAAAGAGAGAAAAATTTGTTAAATCATCAAGCCATTCATATATAAAATAAGGTATTTACTGCTTCTTCTTCATCCTTTTCAGCTAAACAGGTTGAAATAGCAACGGAAACATCCACTTCTTCAAAATTCTTGTTGTATTTGGTACAGGCTTTTTTCCATTCCTCTACGTTTTTACCGGTAGTCTTATCCTTTACAAATACACCGACACGTTTCTAATTTACAAACTTAATTATTAAATCCCTCCTTTATGTGTGTGGGTAGCTGATATTTTACTTTGTCTAAACTCTTGATGATGTTTTGATATAAAGGCACATTCTCTTCGATATCTTTGCCTCGGCGTACAATTTCGATGGGGATTTGCTTTTCACCTTGCTTAAGAGATTCAAGGGAAGAGGCTCTCTTATGACTACATACAAACGTAATTTTCTCTGGTGTAATGATTGTAACCGATTGATGACATGGAGTACCCAATAACCAAGTCTATCATGAAAATAGGTGAGTATTTTTCTCGCTTTCTTTTTTTCAAGTTTTTTTCTTCTTTTACTTGGAGTGTCAATGTCTTGACGTATGGGTTTTCATAATTGTCATCGCCTTGGATTAAAGCAATGGCATCCACATGTTGAAATAACTCTGCGTCATTCTAAATCTTTCTTGTTAATCTCTTTATAATCAGTTTTTTCACAATAATTCTCACCTTCCACTTTGTCAGTAAATAACGTGCTCTTCTATGAAACCGCTTAAAATCTAGTGAGGTAGACATATTTCTTTATTTTGTTGTAATAAGTTGGAAAAAAAACACGAACTAAAAAAAATAATTTTTTTTTTTTATTTCATGAAAAACCAAGTCAACTTTTGATTTCGCGCGCGCTCATCCAAAAAAGGGCGACGTCAATCACTCTCAATTTTTTTTTTTTTTTTTTTTTTTTTGGCTCATCTATTTGAGACTGGATATGCTGAATGTTTCATTTACATGGAGTGGGCTTTTATTTTTTTGTGTCAAATATGCTAATATATATACATACGTGCTGCTTCATTTAATCAGAAATCCTTGTTTTTTTGCCTGTAAACCGGCATGGTTTTTCATGGTGATTATCAAGGGAGTCATCTTTTCTATTGTGTTACACTGCAATTTCGCAAATGCACGGTGAATATGCTAGCTATGTGTGCTGTATCACCACTTTAAAGCTCCATTACCCCATTTCTTAAACCAAACTCGCTTGTCTGATAGTCATCAGATATTCTCTCTCGCAGTTTATGAAGCCGAGATCAGAAGTTCTTCTCGTCATCATACCTGAAAAAATGCTTTACAAAGGACTAATTTTGGTTCTCAATAGAGAAGTACTATCAACCTAATAGCGCTCTGTAATTGATTGATATAAAACCACTTTTCTATTGATTCTTTAGCATTGATATGGGAGGATAAACTCAAAAGGTTAGTTCAATGTTTAACAAAGATACTTAAAACTTTAAGCTTCTAATACTCACAATGTGGATCGGCTTTATCAATAACAGCAACAAATAAAAGAGTAAAGATAAACTTGAATTACCCCCAATGAGATGTACATATCTAGCTCCACGGCAATGATTAATAATACATTGCATTTGATTTTTTTATAAAAATAGTTATATTTATAAAAGTTGCTGTAAATCTGTCTCTAATTTTCTATCCGGCACTATGTATTTCAGCGCCTAATGTCGTGTCCCTGGCTGTCTACAAGTTCCACAAAGCCTTATTATTCCGGCATGTTCAAAAGCAGAGGATGTTTTTTTGTTCCAACAAGAAGTGTTATTTCTTCTTGTAGTTGAGCCTATAGGTCTTCCTCTTGAACTGACATCGTTTTATGGCTCTATAAATATCAATTGCTAATGAACCAGGTCGAAAAGACACGACACCTTTTTCTCTTTTTCATACCGATCTTCGTTTCTAAAGCGGGTACCTGACAAATCAACGAGATAATCCAAATTGCTTTCCGGAGCCAAATCTTCCAACTGCTCAGAACTAGGAGAATACTGTTGATGAAAATGATCAACTACTTGGCGTTGATCGTGGAGGGCTTTGTTACGATGCATGCATGGAATGTCATTTGTTCCCGTATACGTACTCGTTCATTCGAACAGAGGTTATAATACAGCATTCTCGTCTTTTAAAAAACACCGCAGACAAAAACTGTCTTATTGAAACAATCAATGCCAACAACGTGCAACAGTGACATACCAAACATATTGGTTATGTACGTGTAGTCCATTAGAAGCACTTGATGGGAGCGCTCAACCGTTTCCAAGGAGTGAGAATGCGCAAAAAACAATCCTTTTGATGGTGCTGCCCTCATTGAATTTGCCAGCGTAGATAAATCCTGAGTCGGAGGCAGCTACGAATACCGTTTGTTTTGTTTTTCAACTGACGTTTAATTTGGTATTAAGTCTTTCATTGAGTTTTTGTTTGAGCTATTTTGATAAATAGTCTGTGCTCACAAGTTATTATTTACAAATCGGTTATGTGTTCGCGTCCCTTTGTTATTGCGAAATTTTTTTCAGTCAACCATCACCATGTAATGATTCAAAAAATTATCGTCTTAAAAAGTTTTGCTTATAAATTGTACTCACTAGGCCTAAAAATCTATACAAAGAAAACTGACTGATGTTCCACAAAATAGCGCTCTTAGGACGCCGTTCTCCGGCGCAGGCATCGATCACCTGTTTATTGTAACAATTACGACAGTTTCTTTTGTTTTGGGTTTGAAAAAGGCACAAAATTAACTTATTCGTTCAATCATGTATAGATAAATAGAATAAAGTTCACTGAATTTATTTCCGTTACAAGGAATCCATGAACGGAAATGTTAAATCTTTATTTTCACTCTTTTAAAATGGCTGAGTCTTACTGGGTACAAATAATAAAGGAGACGTGGCTGATCTCTTTATCCCTCTTTCTTCTTTCATATCTAACTCTTACACTACATGGAATATCTCAATGAAGCTTCTAAGAGTATATCAATTCACAATGCTGTCCAGCTCACTGGATTAATTCAGCATAGACTGACGGATATCTATAAGCGGTCAACTAGGAACGAACTCATGTTTATAGGAGCAGCTACGTTTTTTGCCCTGTATCATCTTCCTAATTGTTTCAAATCAAGAAAGCAAAAATTAAACTTGCCTCCTAAAGTTCCCTTTGCTCTCCCATTTTTTGGGCACAGTTTGTATCTGATTGTATGGCCCTCCAAGTTTCTCGATTGGTGCCATGGAAAGTATGGAGAGATATATACAATCAACATGCTAGGTAAAACCATTACAGTTGCCGGTGGTAAATCAGCTGAAGAGACTATGACTGCCGAAGCATCGGATATGTCTTTGGATCATGGTGTTTTAAGAGGTAGAAAAAAAAGGAAAGAGAGAGAGAGAGACGGAAGAACCAGTTATATTTAACTTTTTAATTTAGATATTCTCCATTTCGACTATCTTTTCGATGAAATCACCATGTATATTGGTGTATATGTCGTTGGGACTGTTGCTAAATTTTCATTAGCAAACGCAAGGATGCCAATGTACGAGGCTGATTTGAGGCGTGGAATGACCAATGCGTGTGAAAGATACCTTTCAAGTCCCAAAACCGTGGTAAAACAACCTACGGATTTTTTCCAGAGTTTTGTTTCTTACATGAGTGTTCCTGTTTTATTGGGAGCCGAGTTTTCTTCGAATACAGAAGTGATTGAATCATTTGCGAAATGTACAGCAGATATCACTCGTAATGTTGCGTTGTACATGATGGTACCTAACTCTTTGCACAAGAAGATGCTACCGTACATTCAATCATCCCAAAAACACATCGACTGTATGGTTAAGCATGTGGCACCTGCTGTTTACGAACGCCGTGAAAAGATGCGACTTGGGGAACTTTCTGGTCAAGAACATGGACTTGTAGATAACGTTTTACAGGGTTTGATTGAGTATGTTCGAACGGATGAAAATGGTGTTAAAAGTTATTGCTCTGCAGAACAAATTTCTAAATCAGTCTTAATGGTTGCTTTTGGTTCTGTTCATACCACTTCGATCAACTTGAGCTTTAGTCTTTATTGGCTCCTTGCTCGCCCAGATCTTATGAAAAAAATGATGGATGAAATTGAACAGGTTATTCCGGGAGATACGGAAATTACAGGACAGGCACTAAGCAAAATGAAGTTCTTGAATAACTTTATGCGTGAAGTGCTTCGTCAAGGTGCGGATAAGCTTGGTGTCAGTAAAAAAGCCATGTCAGATTTTACTTTCTCCAATGGTTATCAGATACCCGAAGGCCGTTTAGTAAATCATAGTCTCCGTCAAATGAATTTCGGTGATAATTCGACTAGAACAAGAGTAAATGAAATGGATCCCAACATGTCTCGTGATAAAATTAGTACTGCTCCTGGCAAAAACTTTGCTCCTTTTGGCCTGGGAAAGCATTTGTGTCCTGGTATGATTACATACGCAAAAATAATAATTTTATAACTGAAACTGACAATTCATATATAGGTCGTTTCTTTGCTATTCAAGAAATCCAAACGACACTTGTTTACCTGCTCAAAAATTATGATATCAAAACTGCAAGTAAAAAGCCTCCTGTACCTGTACAACATACACTTGGATTTATAGCTACCAGTCCTGAAGAACCCTTAATATTTACACGTAAAAACTAATCGTGCCCTTTCCTGGCATAATACGCTACTACAGAGTGTACATAACACGTGATAATAAACTATTATAATAAGAACATTGTGACGGATACTCGTAAGTGTTATTTGAAGTGGCAAATAAACAATGAGCTTTTTTCTAAACTTTATAAATCAATTTGTGTTGCACCCTTGGCTCAACCAAAAAAAAAAAAAAAAAAAAAAAAAAAAATTCAATGGTTCAACTATGTATATACTGTTGTTAGTCAGCTCCGATGTATAATAGCTCCCATTATTTCGTCTACGGTATAGGTATCTATTTTGTGGCTTAATTTCTGGTCACTAACTTTCGCTTTTTGAGTTTTTATATACTACGTTTGTGATTCTCGATGTACAGTGAGCTGCACCCTAGAAGTGTATCACTTAGGATATATTTAAATAAATATATTATTCAACCAAGGGATAGTCACACAACGTATCATGCGACCGGTTAAAACGAAGAGAACACAACCAGCAAAGCTATCATTGTTAGTGCTTCCACTGAGTCCCAAATCCAATTTTGCTTTTGTAAAGAAAGCGTATTGGTCGAACCAGCTATCGATTGGCTACCTAAAATTTAGACAGTGCTCAACAAACAATATTCCCGTCCGTAATAACAGAACGGTCAATTAAGCCAAAGGTGCTCCTCATTCTATGCAGAGCATTAACTTTAAAGTGAAAAAGGGATTTGTAATAGAAATAAATGATATAAACAGTCATAGCTCTGTTGTGAGTTGCTTTCGTCACCCTAAAAATCAGAGTTTTGAAGTAAGTGGTGTTTGTGGGACAATTTCTGTAAACGGATTTTGAGCTACGGGTACAGTTTATTTGGCTATCAAATGTCAATTATATGATATGAAGTGTTTCATTGAGTTCTTGTTTAAGCTATTTTTTTATAGATAGGTCTGTGCTCACAAGGTATTATTTTAGGTCTGTTATATATTCGCGTACCTTTGTTATTGCGAAAGAATTTTCAGTCATTCATTACCATGTAATTATTCAAAAGAGAAAGAAGCCACTTTTATCGTATCGGTCAATGACTTATGGAGTTGGATGATCTTAGAAAAAAATACTGTCTTCAGGACTCATCTACAAGTCGTACTAAAAGACTAATTAGGCCTAAAAATCTAAACAAAGAAAACTGACTGATGTTGCACAAAATAGCGCTCTTAGCAAGTCTTTCTCCGGAACAGGGATCGATCACCCGTTTATTGTAACAATCGCATATTAGCGCGACAAATTTTATTTTAGGGTTTTAAAAATGTGCAAAATTAACTCATTCGTTCAATCATGTAGATAAATCGAATAAAGTTTAGTGAATTGATGTTCCGTTACAAGGATTCCAAGAAGCACCTCATGAACGCAAATGTTGATTCTTTATTTGCTCTTTTTCTAATTGGCTAGGTCCTACTGAGTGCAAAAAACAAAGGAGACGTGGCAATTATAATTGTTATGTATCCTGATCTCCTTATCCCTCTTTCTTCTTTCGTATCCAACTCTTGCATTACATGGAATATCTCAATACAGCTTCTAAGAGTATATCAATTCACAATGCTGTCCAGCTCACTGGATTGATTCAGCATAGACTGACGGATATCTATAAGCGGTCAACTAAGAACGAACTCATGTTTATAGGAGCAGCTACATTTTTTGCCCTGTATCATCTTCCTAATTGTTTCAAATCAAGAAAGAAAAAATTAAACTTGCCTCCTAAAGTTCCCTTTGCTCTCCCATTTTTTGGACACAGTTTGTATCTGATTGTATGGCCCTGCAAGTTTCTCGATTGGTGCCATCAAAAGTATGGAGATATATATACACTCAACATGCTTGGTAAAACCATTACGATTGCCGGTGGTAAATCAGCAGAAGAGTCCATGGCCGCCGAATCATCAGATATGTCTTTGGATCATGGTGTTTTAAGAGGTAGAAAAAAAAAGAAAGATAGAGAGACGGAAGAACCAGCTATATTTAACTTTTTAATTTAGATATTCTCCATTTCGACTATCTTTTCGATGAAACCACCATGTATATTGGTGTATACGTCACTGCGACTGTTGCTAAATTTTCACTAGCAAACGCAAGGATGCCAATGTACGAGGCTGACTTGAGACGTGGAATGGCCAATGCGTGTGAAAGATATCTCTCAAGTCCCACAACAGTGATAGAACATCCTATGGCTTTTTTCCAGAATTTTGTTTCTTATATGAGTGTTCCTGTTTTGTTGGGTGCCGAGTTTTCTTTGAATACAGAAGTGATTGAATCATTTGCAAACTGTACAGCGGATATCACTCGTAATGTTGTGTTTTACATGATGACACCCAACTCTTTGCACAAAAAGGTGCTACCGTACATCCAATCATCCCAAAAACATCTTAACTGCATGATCAAGCACGTGGCGCCTGCTATTTACGAACGCCGTGAAAAGATGCGACTTGGGGAACTTTCCGGTCAAGAACATGGACTTGTCGAAAACTTTTTACAAGGTGTGATTGAGTATGTTCAAACGGATGAAAATGGTGTTGAAAGCTATTGCTCCGCAGAACAAATTTCTAAATCAATCTTATTGGTTGCCTTTGCTTCTGTTCATACCACTTCGATCAACTTGAGCTTTAGTCTTCATTGGCTCCTTGCTCGCCCAGATCTTATGAAAAAAATGATGGATGAAATTGAACAGGTTATTCCGGGAGATACGGAAATTACAGGAGAGGCACTTAGTAAAATGAAGTTCTTGAATAACTTTATGCGTGAAGTGCTTCGTCAAGGTGCGGACAAGCTTGGTGTCAGTAAAAAAGCCATGTCGGATTTTACTTTCTCCAATGGTTATCAGATACCCGAAGGCCGTTTAGTGAATCATAATCTCCGTCAAATGAATTTCGGTGATAATTCGACTAGAACAAGAGTAAATGAAATGGATCCCGACATGTCTCGTGACAAAATTAGTACTGCTCCTGGCAAAAACTTTGCTTCTTTTGGCCTGGGAAAGCATTTGTGTCCTGGTATGATTACATACGCAAAAATAATAATTTTATAACTAAAACTGACAATTCATATATAGGTCGTTTCTTTGCTATTCAAGAAATCCAAACGACACTTGTTTATCTGCTCAAAAACTATGAAATCAAAACTGCAAGTGGAAAGCCTCCTGTACCTGTACAACGCACACTTGGATTTATAGCTACCAGTCCTGAAGAACCCTTAATATTTACACGTAAAAACTAATCGTGCTCTTTCCTGGCATAATACGCTACTACAGAGTGTACATAACAAGCGATAATAAACTATTATAATAAGAACATTGTGACGGATATTCGTAACTGATATTTGAAGTGGCAAATAAACAATGAGCTGTTTTCTAAAAAAAAAAAAAAAAAAAAATTGGAAGCTCAACCTCGTTGTGTCTAAAAAAGTATACGCTTATTACTCCACAGTTGCCGATGGTATATACGTCTCAAGTACTTTATATTTCAGTTGTAGATGTAGGTATAGATTCATAAATCATAAAACAGGTGAGCGCAAACAGAGACTCAATATTGCGTAGTCGAAAATTTCTTTCTTGATATCGGAGAACAAGTCTCCTATAAAGATGTAACATTAAAATGTTTTTCTGAATTCCTCAAAATTTAAGATTATATGTTACAATTAATGGGCTTCTCTAACGATGTGTGTTATGTATAACTATTTGTTAAGCCTAAACAATTTCTTATTATTGTAAGTTTGTCAATGACTGCTTATTAAAGATATTATATCATGATCCCATTAAGCGGGCAAAATGAGGATACGAACATGAGGATCTGAGGGGTATTTTGCTAAAAAATAATAGCCCCATAAGGAGGAAAGTCTAGACCAGACTGTGCACTTGCATAAGTTTAGGAGACCCCTTTAATACTACATATCGATTCGAGGTCTGCAATACCTAATCTGATAAACCATCATTTTTTTTTATTACGACTACCATTTTATACATCATGTTAATACATATTCTAAAGTTCAAACAGCATGGGAATCGTCTAAATACACGGTATCAATGGAAAGATATTTTGCTGCAATTAATTGGCCAGTGAAACCACCTTTGTTATTTTCAATAATAGAAGCCTTTGGCGCCAACACATGGCTTCCGATAAATGATGTGGTATTGCGAAACCAAACAAAGTGACCCTGTGGATCATATGCTCCTGTGCTATTTACAGGGTACAAATTATACACAATATCTGCCTGTTCCAATCCCGCCGCCGGATTATTTGTTGACATGGTAAAGGTTGAATTTGTCAAAATGGGAATCTAAATATCAGAATTAATATATATATATGTAGCCGAAATACTTGTATAAGATAATTACGTTGAATATGATGCGTTTATCAATAGGATAGCCTGTGTTCCAAGGCCCGGTCCAGTTTGTACCAAAAAAGATATGTTCTGGACTCGAATAAAGGTAATCAGGAATGACACACATTCCCTTTTTTTGACACTTGTTAAATGTAAATATGTAAAATTCCTGATTGCTGTCTGCATCGAATTGGCCATCGGATAAGAAGCCACCATCACGTATCACAACATTAGGCCTTTGGGAAGCAAGATAATATGACAAATTAGTGGCTGCTGCGTAAAGTTGATTAAAGTCCACATGCTTGGAGGTGGTATGATTAGAACATTTTTGGTCGGTAAAGGTAATACCAGATGTTAAATTTGATACATTGACTGCTCCATTTACTACTGTGTTCTGTGCCTGAATTTGTCCGCCCACAGAAAGTCCATACTCAATGCTCCCAGTACAATTAATTGTACGGTGTCTGTTATTCACAGTGAATCCACTTGCTGTAAAATTACCCTGTATCGCTAGGGACCCATTGAATCTCTGTGTATTAGCTTGGGCTGTGAAATCTCCAAAAATTATGCCATCCCAAGTCTATTTGTTTTTGAATTAGTTCACTGTGAAAAAAATGCGACATATTTTCTTTAGAATAGATCATACGAACCGTATTATAAAATAAGGCATTAGTTGACAACGTATCGGGCGGAGGTAATGCATCGACTATAAGAGCAAACAAGACAGGAAGTAATACTAAGAGTTTCATTATCAAAGAAAGAAAAGGAAAAAAGAAGAAGAAGAAAAAAGAGGAATGTTTTTATTTGATTTTCCAACTCGGAGAAGTGCTACTTTTTTGGAAACAACAATGCTTAGTATTTCGTCAATGATTCTTGGCACCAGTATATATATATATATATATAAGTCTGCGGTTTAAATACAATGTTGACTATTTATAAACATAGCCTCCCTGTTACCACATACAAATAACAGGCCCCCCGTATTGACAAAGTGATAACAAAGATCTATAAAAGTAGTATGGATACCTGGGCCTAGATGCTTTTTAAAGACATTAGTTTTAAACATTATGTTGCGTTTCCTGTTTCCGATGCAGGGTTGTGTATCATTGTGATATTCCAGAACACCCTCCAGACTACAAAAGGGTATAACATTTAAACAAATGATCGGCAGTACTAGATCTAAAACAGACCATTTTCTGAAGGATCAAACACAATGAATGCATATTTTGCTTGTCTACAAAAATGTGAAAAATAAATAGGAGGACTGACATTCAAAATAATAATCAAACAACATGGTCAAATACAACACTCCTGATAAAACAAACTAATACTGAAGACTATCGCATGGGGCTTTATTCTAACTCTTACCTCCTTAAATATTGTAGCTTAAATCTTGCTGATGACAGTATCTTCCTTGTAAAAATCCACAATTTACTATATCTCAAGTGTGTCTCTCGTCTTTGGCCTCATCGCAGTAATTATCTTTATGCCAATATATTACATACATATATTAAACCTTTATCAACTATTCAAAAAGAATTACAGAAGAAAGAAAATTAGATTATCTAGGTCCATGATTTCATTATCATTTTCTCGCTTTTATTTTCATGCATTACTAAAGGGGGAGAAAAAAGTTATTATATCTGCAATCTTATAGAAGTAATATCTTCCATCCAATCAACAACTAAAAATTACAACGAACAATTCGAAAAGATATGCATTAAAAAAAATGTACAAATGACGGTGGGCGTTTAATTTTATTAGTGAAAATATCCCCCGCATATACATTGTTTGCCTAGACTTTGATACCACTGAGCAGATGAACATGGATCCTTTTTGTCCAGTGTAGTATGCATTGGTAACACAGGTTGTTGACATCTAGCATCACAAAGTTAGTACAAAGTAACAGCCAGAAAAACAGCTAGACCACTTTACCTGACACAGTGATACACTTTAACATGATCGGGAATGCGCCTTTTACGAATTACATCATATTCATACGGGTCTTCTTTTTCTAAATAAATAGATGGTTTGGCACATTTGTCTTTGTATTCGTTGGATATCTTTTTGATTTCAGACAGTGTGAATGTCTTTATATTGGAGGTGAGTAGTATCGACCATCTATTTCGGATTTCTGTATCTTTTTTTTTAAAAAAAAAAAAAAAATTAGGATGAACAGTTTCTATTAAACGATGTAGTGTCTACTTTACCGGTAGGTTTTTGTTCTAGATCATTTAATGCATTCAAAAAATCGATTGTATCTTTCATCATTATCATGTCATCGGTCATCAAGGTGGATGTGTATCGCTGTAATAGACCTTGGGTTTCCGAAAAAGTTTCCAATTGAAAACTTGCAGTGCTTGTGTATTGTACAAAATAATGCAACATTTTTAAGATTTTACTCAAGGATATTCTCGAATCTTTGTGCAAAAGTAAGACCGCATGTGCGGGTTTTTCTGTAATGTTTGCAATACCTAAATGGGCATGTTAGCATTTAATTTTGTTTGTTTGTTCAAATTACATATGTCCAAACTTACTAGAGTCGGCCGGGCTTATGCAATTAAACAACATGTTCCATTCACGCAAAATCCATTTCAAATAGTCACGAATCCAAGTGGATACAGATATCAGTGACCATAAACTATCAGGATCAAATTCTAATTTTACATTGGTGTCTATATTTTCCTTTTCTAACACTTTAATTATCTCCTCATAATCCGTAGTACAACTCGCCATAAAACATTCTAAAATTACAGGTAATTGAATTGCCCTTGATAAATTCACACTAGCAATTTTTTTGTCCGGTAATCGTCGATAGGCTGCCATCGCAAGTCCATACCCCTTTTCTAAGTTGGCTAAACTCCAATTCTCTAATGGTTCCAGTGGACTCTCGCCGCATTGAATCTCGTAAGTTGTTAACACTTGGTTGATAATATCCTCGGGTTGATCTGCTGCATATCAGCATCTTTGATTCCTTTTTTTTGTATTTTCCAATAATTACCTTTATCCTGTTTGCTCATGCGTACAAGCTCAGATATTAAATCCATAAAGTCGACATTATTTAATAAGCATAACTGTAATTTTTCTATCAATTCTTTCACTAGAATGCGTAAGACAGGTTAATACTCCTGGTTGTGTGTGTATCCAACGTCACTCTATTACCATAACTATCGTGCATATCATCATTTGTGATTCTAGCGATACCGATCTTTGAGGAAGAGAATATATATAGCAGGTGTGTCTCATTGGGTGATAAGACTATATCCGCAATCGGATCAATGCAGCCGTCGTCTGTTTTATGTGCTCCCACTACTGTCCAATAAGTAGGGTCTATCGATTCAGCTGTATCTTCCATATTACTACTTTTGACAAGCCCTTCTTGTAGTGCCAATTCGGCATGAATACTCCCATCTGAAAGCCCTACTATAATTTGTCCCGTACTTGTACTAGTTAAACAAGATATAAATCGTCCTAAAATCATTGTACCCGATTGATAAACAAGTGCCTAAGATTGACATATAGGCTGAATAAACAGTCGATGTGATTGTTTTTTTTGGGGGTGGTTGGAGAGGGAAGGGTACATGATTACTTACTGTGCGGTCATTGGTTATTGTCCCAAAGTCACTAGGTATCGACTGTTGAATTTTCTTCAATTGCCAGCTAGTTACAAACCCATTGAACCCATCCGACACTTCATCTGTCAAAAGCATATATATAGATAAATATATTACGAATATGGTTTCAAATGTTTCTGTAATTACCTCCAAGACCTAATACTAGCTCAACTGTGTGAAGGCCCTTCTTGAAGACCATTTGGGTGACATTATTTTCCTTTAAAAGATCTTGGCCTTGGATTTTAAGACTGGTGATAGGTTTACATTCAATAGCGCCCTTTTCTGATTTGACAGGAAATTTAATTTTGATGGTATGAATCGAAACGGATTTGGGTTGAATTGAGGCGTTGTGTGTCGCTAAATAGATTTGGCCGTCCTCGTGTAATGTAATGGCAGCATGGGATATTCTTTCCCAATCATCTAAACCAGCCAAAGACATACCGAAACATCCTGCGTCCGCTCTACTAATCTCTCTCCTTCCAATATTAGGCATCGGTGTAGAAAATGTCGAGAATATCGAGCCATTACGTTGGTAATGAACAGTGATTTCGCCATGTACAGTAATCGTGATAAATCCAAGTTGTCCAAATGGGTTACGAGGACCTTGAAAGCTTTCGCGTTTATATTCGCTCGAGTCGACTCCATACTATCACAAGAAGAACAAAAACGTCAGTCAATGCTTTGTTTCTTTTTTCTTTTGTATTGATTACTATACCGAGCGATCTGAATTTAACCAGAGGAAAGCCGCTAAAGGTTGTTTTGTATCGACTTTGTATGTGAGTTCCCAGTCATTAACAGAACCCTACAACAACAAAAAAGTCAATAGGGAAAACAAATGCGGACAAGGAAAAAGCAAACCTTACTTTAGTATGCCATAAAGCTAAATTTCCAGTTTCATCAATGGACGCGATTGTGTTTCCTTTTTGATTCCATTGTAAATGAGTAATGGTATGATGTTTATGGTGTTCCTCTACAATTTTAATTGCCTTTTTACTGAGCGTGTTATGAAGACTAAAAATGTCCCCAGAAATGGTATTGAAAAGTGTTGGATTGGGTTGAGTTGGGACAGACACCAAGATGCTTTGTGGTGAGATGGATAAAGCTTCCGGTGCCTGCTTGTAAGTTAATGCTGAAAAAAGAAAACTAGGTGGATATCGTGAAGCTTTATCGGTTATAACCCGTTTTAAAGCTTGTCTTTTTCTTTTCAAGGCCACCATTATACAATAATAATAAAAAAATATATATGTGTGTGCTGCAAAAAAAAAAAAAAAAAAAAAGAAAAGAAATCTTTATCCCAAAATTCACGAAATAAAGAAAAATGACACGTCACAGAGTCTACATTTTATTAGGTTGCCTTAGGGGAACTGTCTTCCGCTGTCAATTTGTCCAGGACATCAGCAAGTTGATCCACTTCCTTATCTTCCTTTTGTTGTCCAGGCTCAATCTCTGTTTCCTCTTTGACATATTGGCTCTTCAATTTCTCAGTGCCCTTCTCGTACATCTTGTTCAATTCCTTATCCCAACCCAACAATTCAGCAAGCTTTGTCACACCCTCATCGCAAGTACCCGAATAATACACATCCTTATGGATACCTTTTTTACTCTTGAAATCGAACCCACTGCCCTTAGATTTCTGAACACCCACCATTTCCTTGTTGATCAAAAGTCTGGGTACGGATTTAGGCACTTCATCAATCAAAGAAGCAAAAGGTTGCACCTGTAAACTTGTGCCAAGCACAATTAACAAGTCCGCATCATCAAAATCCTAAAACACCAAAAAAAAAATACCTTAAGTATGTCGTCATGGCAACATCATTTGTACGCATTCACTTACACTCAAATTATCATAAAATCGTTTAGGCAAGTTCTCTCCGAAAAAAGTGATATCAGGCTTGATAAAACCATCGCATGATTCACATTTAGGCACCTTGCCTCTTAAAGCGTGGTCTCTTACCATGTCTGAATCTGCTTTTTCTTTACACTCGGTACAAGAGGCTGAAGCAAAACTACCGTGCGCTTCAATAATATAATCTTGATCTAATCCAGTCAATCGTTCCAATGTGTCAATGTTTTGTGTAAAGTTTCTCAACAACATGCCTTTTTCTTGCAAAAGACGTATGAAATAATGTGTTTTAGTAGGAAGAAATTGGCCGGGATAGATTTCTTTGGCTAATGCGTAAAATGGCTCAGGTTTTTCCTACAGCCCAGAAGAAGAGAAAAAAAATTGAGTCAAGAAGAACAGCAAATCGAAAAAAAAAAAATGTAATACCATGAAATAATCAATGTCAAAAACTGCTTCGGCATATGGGAGGTCGAATTTTTGAAGGTTGTGGTATAATCCTGTATCTTTACTACGAAAGTCAGGGATGCCGGCAGCAGTTGAAATGCCTGCACCTGACATGACAATAACTTTCTTGACTGCAACAAAAAAAAGACGGTTAGGCCGAATGCTGATTCAATGGCTAGTGCTCGTTACCATTCTTTTCTTTAATGTAGTCCACAATTGATTCTAAGGTTGGTTCCTTTAAAACAGTCTTTATGGTTTGATTAGCTTTGGACATTATACGTAAAACAAATTAAGAGTTGTAGAGAAAAAAAGAAATAGAAAAAAAGGGGCACTCGATTTCTAAAGGAAGCAAAGCCCAAAGAAATTTCTCAGTCACATTTTTTGTTTGTTTTTTAACGCCATTTGCAGATCAATTGTTTTTTTTTTTTTCGTTTGTAATTTGTTTATTTTAATAATGTAGACTAGCCTTCGAGCTCAACGGCAGATGAATTAACTGCACATCAAATAGATACGACCGTCTTTTTGTTTCTTTCTTATACTTGATAAAGACTATACTTTTGATAGAATTTCAAAAATACAAACGTCTTCAACAGCATTTTCTAATTAAAGATCGAATTAAAGAAACTAAAAATTTGCAAACTTTTTCCTTCAATTTATACTAAAGCGAAATTTCTATAAAAGAATACTATAGTTGATGAAACGAAGACAGAAAATGTGATACATGCTCTCTGAGCCACGCTTTATTTTTCCTTTTTTCAATAAACAAATATGTCCCTTTCTTCCCTATATCTTTCTAGCTAAGCTAAACCTATTCAATTTTTTTTTTTTTTTTTTTCCTGGGTGGGATACTAAATTATTGGTCTTTTCCAAACAAACGTCTATACCAAGGGCGGGCATGTATCACATTTTCTGTCTTCGTTTCATCAACTATAGTATTGTTTGTCGTTCCTAATACAATTCCAGTTGATTCCACTCCGACATCCAATGTGATACTGTTCTCCGTTGAAAAAATTGAATTGGTAATCTTGGTACTTGATGATTCTTGAGCCGTAGGCTTATAGTAATATTTCTCGAATGTATTGCTATTTAAGCTCCAGTTTGCATGTGTCTTAACATCCTGAATACTGTTACCCACTTGAACTGCTTTCGTACTTGATGCGGCCCGAATAGAATGAGGCTTGTATACCTTGGTGTCGATCCCCGCTTCTTGCATAGCTACCTTAACCCAGTTTGCCAGTGTTGAAGGACAAATCGATGATACCTTGGATTTTTCCTTGTCAATGTAAGCCAGATACAGAGTGTGCGCCTTTGACAGGCCTGACCTCAAATGAGCTGTTTTTTCCAAGAACCAAAAAAGTGTTGCCACTGGACACACATCCTCCATCTCCAATCTTCCAAGTTGTATGGATTTGACTTGACTTTCTTTTGGAGTTCTTACATGTATAATCGCACTCTCCAGAGTTGATAGCGTCTTTATCGAGCCGTCTCCTCTGAACCTCAGGGTAACATCCCTATATTGAAGACGTCCAATATCAGATCGAGGTCGCCACATTGTCGCCAGACAAAGCAAAAGCACTGATTTTTGTTGTAAATTTTGTAGCCCCAAACTAGTAGTATTGAAATACGTCAGCTTTATGTAATCCGTTAAAACTGTCATGTCCCATGTTTCCAGATCTTGTTGCGATGGTATTCTTATTTCTGACCTTCGTTTTGCTGCAAAAAAATCTTGTATAATAGGCTGTTTTGCAATAGGATCTTTTTCGGGATGAAGCTCCTTGAACACCGAAGCAATTGACGATCTTAACCCATTTAAGTATGTGTAGGAAAGTTGGTTGTTCTGTACCAAAAATTCCAATACGCTATTGACATTGTAATCTTCAGGATCTTTGTCTTCAGTCTTGCACCAATTCTTCCACCGTTTCCAACCATTGTCATATGCCTTGTGAGTTGCTGGTCTAATCGCCTTCTCCAAAAACCTTGCTGTTCTCTTCTTCATTCCTATTTTCTGTCTCACTTTGTTGATAGTAGCCAAGCGGCTAATTTCCATTTCTTGTTCTTCTGCATGATTATAGGAGGAGCTAGGTGTCTCAGGTTCAGGATCATAGGAAACCAAAATTGGGTTGGCCAATACGGAGTTACTAGTACTGCTCTTGTTATCTTCTCTTTCTTCATTTTCTGGATCACCTTTGGAATCAACTTCCATGGCGGATTCAAATACATTCCCTTCTTCATCCACCTTTGATGAAAGGCATCGGTTGCTTCTGCAGTTGGATCCGGAATTAAGCTCCAATATCTCTTTACTTGGTGATTGTGGTGTGAAGCAAAGGCATCGATCTTTAGTGGTCCCCATTGCTGCTGAATTTGTTGAAACATTTTCCTTGGAATTGTCGACTCGTATAACGGCATCTTCAGCCGACTCAACTTGTCCGCTGCTACATTTAGAACCCCCGGGATATGTTGATATTGAACTTCCAACTTGTACTTGTTGCAAAGTTCCTGAATCTTCAGTGCTAGATCCTGGAGAAAAACAGAAGTAGTCCCCCCTGCTTTTGTTGTATACTTCAATGCAGTCATGCTGTCCGAAAATATCCTTATTGTAGAGTTTTGGCATCTTACGGCATGGAGCTTTAAGGCAAAATATATTGTCTTCAACTCTCTGACATTGATTGATTTTTCTTTTTCCTCCTGAGTCCAAAATCCAGCTGTTGTTACCATAGGTGAACTCACTCCAAACCCTGTGTCTGAGGCATCGACATAGATTGTCACCTTTGCATCCTTCATCTGAATCTTGTGGATTGGTAGGCCATTCTTTAACACCATGAACTCCTGCCACCATTTCAGTTCTTCTTGGCTTAATTTTGACAAGTTGCATATGCTGTCCCATCTCTGGCGATTCCCCTTCAGACTCTTCGACAGGTCTCGCTGGAGATACCGTATGTGAAGCAAAGCCTCTCCAATTGCCGGTATTACTGAAGTCATCTTGCCAAGCAAGCTTGCTATCCACCTGCACGACCGAGGAACTTTCGAATTCTGAGCTTGTCTCACCCGTTGTATCAACTTCTTTATCTTCTGCTGCGGTACTGAAAGGGTCATCCTTTTTGTGTCGAATTGGAACCCCAGAAACTCCTGTGATTGCGATGGGGTCAGTATACTCTTCTCTCGATTTATCATAAATCCTAACGATTCCAAATGTTTGATTACTACCTTGCATAGATTCTCTGCTTCCATCTTTGATTTTGATAACAGGCAAATGTCGTCCAGATAATAAACCAGCCGAAAGCCTTGTTTCCTCAATGGTTCGATTGCATATCTCATCAACTTTGAGAATACTCTCGGTGCGACACTGAGTCCAAACGCTAGGGATCTGTATTGGTACACTACATTCTTGTTTTCGAATGTCAAGTATGGCCTGGATTGGGGGTGGATTGGGACCACTACATAAGCATCCTTGAGATCCAGTTTGCAAATGTAATCGTTCTTCTCTATTATATCCCGCAAGGCAGGAACACCCTCCATCTTGAAGTGGTTGCATTGTATGAACTGATTCAACTTCTGACAGTCCAGGATTGGTCTTCTCTTGTTCGGTTCTTGAATCGTAAACAGATTGGACAGAAATTGTTTGTTTTGGGTTGGTGACACCTCTATTATTCCTGCGGCTTGAAATTTCTTGACTGCTACATCCACTGCTTGCTGATCCTCCAACGACATCCTCATTCGATGAGATTTCCATGGAATTGGTTTCTTTGCAAATTGGAGCTGATAACCTTGGGATACAACTGATAATGGCCATGGATGAGGAGTGATTTCCTTCCACCTGTCTTGAAACTTGCTGAGTCGACCTCCTGGGTAAATTCCGTCTTCCGGAATAACGTAATGGTTGTTTGTGCTTTCTTGTTGATTTTGGCGTTCTTTTTGTTGATTTCGGCGTTCTTGCTCTTGATTTTGTTGCCTGAATTGTTGATGTTGATGTTGCTGATTCGGTTTTTGATGTTCCTGATTGAGTTGATGTTGTTGATGTTGTTGATGTTGTTGTATCTTCGCGAGTTGTTGATGCTGTCGATTGAGTTGTTGTAGTTGTTGTTGTAAATTTTGTTGAGCTTGAGCTTGTTGTTGAATTATTGGTTGGCTTCGTTGCTGGTTGCTGGAGGTGAGGTGTTGTCTTGTTGATGAGAGAAGGGGGCACCTCTTCCCCGTCCTCCTGGTTGAAAATGTTGACCTCTTCCACGGGATCCACTATGTCCATAAGTTCCTCCAAATCCTCTGAATCCTCCACGTCCAAAACTTCGTCCTCTAAAACTACCGCGTCCTCTCGTTCCATTGTACGCTGCTCCCCTGACGACCTGCTGTTCAAATCTTGCTTTGTTAAGCTCCTGTATGAATTCGGATCCAAAGGCGTTTCTTGATTTTCCCTCATCTTCTCCTGACGCCAAATGTTTAAGGGTGTTTGGTAGTTGTATATATTTGGTAGCCAAAGCCTTGGTTTCTCGGTCTTGCAAAGAAGCTGATCCCCAGCCATAGACTGATAGTTTTTGGACTTGCTCAATAGTATTTTTGAACATATCTCTGTCTTCTTCTGAGGCAAATTGAACTCTGTTCTGCAGGTATGATAATTGTTCAAAGATTTCTGTAGCTGCTCTTGCTTGGATTCTTGTATTTTCTGAGCCCTTATATAGGGTACTAACTGTTTGGAATACGTCCATTGTAGCCTTCTTAAGTTCTGGGATGAGTGGTTTATCGATTGATTCTCCAATTGTCCAGTATTCATCTTGATATTTTTGTATATGTCTTCTGTATCTTTTAAAGTTGTCTCGTAATTGTTGCGTATTATAGCTTTCCAATTCGGATGATATGACCAAAGGAAGGGGTGCTCCTTGTGATGCTTCCTCTGCGTTTCTCTGCTCTTCACGTCTGAATTCTTTAAATAATCGTTCAACGTCTTCTCGCGTGTATAATTGTTGTTGTTGTTGTTGCGATGATTCACCATGTTGTTGATGATTGATATTCTCCATAGTTACTCCACGATGCGCGGCTTAGAAAGATATAGGGAAGAAAGGGACATATTTGTTTATTGAAAAAAGGAAAAATAAAGCGTGGCTCAGAGAGCATGTATCACATTGGATGTCGGAGTGGAATCAACTGGAATTGTATTAGGAACGACAAACAATAAGCAGTCGATACCCTTAGCCACAATAAAAGTGACCGTGCATTTCCCCCCTTCAAAAAAATTTTTTTTTTTTTTTGAAAGACCTCTATTTAATTGAATTTTTTCTTTTTTTTCACTCTTGTTTTTTCTTTAGGGAGGTGTCAAGCTTATGTATACGGGCAAACATACTAAAAGATTTATTCTTTAATAATACCCGTGGGAAGGTCTGAGGAAAACCGCTAAATATCTTTGCTGGATAACCTGTGAATATGGGGGCAGTGCTACCAGAAATTATATCTTCTTGATCCGTTAGTACCGTTGAGGATTTTTTAATCTGATGGGTTGGTTCAAGTTGTTTACTGTAATGGCCTGTGGGTGGTAATGCTATGAAGTGCAATACATGAGACTGATTTTTATCAGTAACTCAATTCAGACTACTCTGTCGCCTCCCTCACCTTTTTTTTTTTTTAACCAAAAAAAAACTTATCTTTAAAATTAATGAAAATGAAAAAAAAACAATTGTTCGCATGTTGGCTTAATGTTATTAACACCATCATGTACAAAGTTTGTCTGGGGTACCGTAATTGCAGTTAACCGAGTAGTGAGGGATTTTTTTTTTGTGGCTTTGTCAGACTTTGATATCAGCTACTAAGCACGAGTCAATGTTATTTATAATGGACCTTTGAAATGCTTTTTTGCCATCGACGCATGCACAAACCAGCTCGCGTTACTTTCTGAAAAGTCAGTTGGTAGTTAACTTTTTGCGTTTTAATGAGTCGTCTCAAAACAATTTTGTGAGGAATGGTCTTTACCGTTGGCAGAATTGCATGTCAAACCATTGTGGCTTCTTTTACCTTGTGATAAGCCTATGGCATTTCTCACGCCCTGGATTCAAAATACAAATGCGGTTTCGTATTTATGAAGCGAATAAATGCCTACCTTGAAAAGGAGGAATGGGTTTATTGACGCTTTTGCTATCATTTTCTTAGCTTCTGCTCACAATGCTAAATTATGCCTGTACAAATAGCCTACATTCGTAATACGATTGACCCTATCTCGTCAGTGGCTTTTCAATAAATCACAAACCATTTAAAATAGGGTTTTGTCTGACAATTTCTTGGCCTTTTTCAGTTCTGCTACTTTTATCAATACTTTCAATCTAACGGTGACCTCTCCGGTGTCTCTAAGAAATATCACGGAGAGGTCTACCATAAGTAATAAATATTCGGTAGGAAGGCGCTTTATATTTAGTCTCTTCCAAATGTATATGCACAAATCATAGGTTTGCTTCTGTTGAATAATTGAATAGGAGGAGGCTTTCGCAATAAGCAAAGTAATATTTATTATTTGTTTTTGTTCATATGATCAGCTAATACCATGAGGAATTTTTGGTTGCCATAATCAAACTGGATGTATGACCGGTTCTTCTTCATCTATTTCCCTCTGAGAAGTATAATCAAAAACGACGTTTCTTTCATTCGAATGGATTAAATAGCGGACAATATTATCCGTTGCGCGTTCTTGATAAAATGAATCACCTGCAGAAAGAGCCAAGCCAGATTTATCTTGAATCGTAATGGCCAACAAGTAAACCGCTTCTTCAAAGCACTTCAACGATTCATCTCCGACGATGCCTGCATTGATTTGAACAACACGTTCAGTGGATCTCATCAAACATTCATGCTTGACAAGAATTCTGGTTCTGGAACGGTGGGCTATACGCATCAGATCACCGTCGAAAAGCAGCAAGTCAACAAAATGACTGGGCAATACAAAGTTTATACCAAATCGCTTATCAAAATATAGAAAACAGAGGGTAAGTTTTGGCTTTTGTATCTTCTTGTGTGTTTAAATAAGGTCTTACAGCTTGTTCATAAAAGTTAAAATAGCCTTCAGATAGTCTGATAGCACATTCGTACCAAGCTTTTGCAAGCTTGTTTGGTTCACCGCTTGTACATGCAAATCTTCCCCATGTCGCATCTTCAACAGCATATACTTGCAAAGATATGTCATATGTCCGATGAATATGATTTTTAGCTTTTTCCAAGATTTCTCCTGCACGAGTACTAGGAAATATAGCTCTCAATAAAACGGGTTGGACGCTTAGACTTCTTAAATGCAACACTTGTATGTCTCTTGAATCCATGTTAAGTTAAGCGAGTAAAAAAGAAATTATGATTGAAAAAGAGCTATCTTCGCTTTAATAAAAATGCTTGTATCACTAATAAAAGCGTACTGATTTATTATAGTCATGACAGGGGAGGGGGGGGGGAAAGCGATAAATGGATAATCATTACGAGTTACGATTTATGTATTAAAATGTGTTCTCAAGAGTGTCCATGCGCATTTTGATATTTGGGTAAAAGGTATAGCTCAGTTTATGTCTTGGGATGACATGTAATTTATATCCGTTCATGTACCTTGATAACGTATACTTTTCAATGATATTTCTGCCGTAAATAATTAAACATTGTAGTTTATATTAATAATACATACACGACTTTGATTTAACTACCAGTAAGATTCATTAAAGTCGTATCTTAATCAGGCTTTTTATAACGAATATGCTATCCACCGCAAAATCGCCAGAGACGGTCAATTTTTGGCAAATAGTTACCCGTCACGGATACGGCCAATTTTTCCTGTTTCACCGTATCCGTGACAGAAAGTGTCAATTTATTTCCGTTATTGACTGTGTATTCGACGGATTTTATGGAATTGTTCAGGGTTCCATTGCTACTGCAAAAAATTATTACACCCTCTATTGTTGAACAGTTCTAATTAATTGGTATGTTCATAAAAAAAAAGTAATTTATTTATTTATTGATAATAAAGGATATTACAATGTATTTTAAAGAATAGTTATATCAGGAGAGCTATTAGAAAGAAATAAAGACGATTTAACCCGTTGTTTGGTAGTGGAGTATCATAAATAGAACAGTGACAATCCTGTAACCAAAATTATTAATAGGTGATCAACATATTTCATATTTATCATTTTATGTACCTCATCCTATAGCCAACTTCATTTCCATTTCATTCATAACAATATTATCAAAATATATTAACACAAACAAAGAGATCAAGTTACTTACGTTTTAATAAACACGAGTAGAACACCAACAAAGTAGTAATGACTCATCTTATCAGATGCCAAAATACCACACACAATGGTTTACAACGGGAAAGTTTTAGATAGTAACAGAGTACGCGACATTTTATTATTTACAGAATATTTATATAAGAAAGGATTGGGGGAAAGAAGAGTAGTTTGTAAGAAAAAATCTTTTAAGAGTGGGAAACTTATGTAAGGTCAAACACACAGAATGGTCAAAAAATTGACCGTATCCGTTACGGTAACGGGATGAAGTGAAAAATCTAAGTGCCAATTCTTAGCCCATACAAAACTAGTATGGTTGACAGATGTGACCACGAGGAGGTGATTGGCAATACACATCTAAAAATGCCGATAAAGACAGTTGGGAATTGTCAAAGACCAGTATAAAATGTCCCTGAAGACAGTTGGGAAATGCCGATGAAGACATTATAAAATGCCCTTGAAGACAGTTGGGAATTGCAAAATACAGGTATAAAATGTCAATGAAGACAGTTAGGAAACGCCGTGAAAGACGATAAAACCGATCGAAGCATAAAAAAAAAGAGAAAAAAAAGCGAAAAGTAAAGAAAAAGGAAAAAAGCATGGGGGGCGTTTACTTATACCCCTCGTAACCAGTAGTTTGAGTCCCGTCAAAAAGGATGGGGCGCGTAAAATTGGTCATAAATAATGGTTCTTTTAAACTCAATGGAGGCTAAAGTTTTGTTTCGAACAGGAACAGTACATACATAGAGACACAAAGTGTATTTGATGGGTACTATCAATAACCCTTTGTCTATTCTTTTTTTCTTCTATAACTTGTTTTTTTTTACAAGAAGGAACTAAAAAAAAGACATCTAAGAAGCATGGTGATTTCAGAAGAAAAAAAAAAAACTAATCGTGTAACACCAAAAGCCTCATGAACAAGATATACTTTTTGACCCCCTGTTACGTTCACCGTATTAACTTGACATCCAAGCAAGTTATTTAAGTATCGCAGTATCTGGTTATTAAACCACAAAACTCGATTCTGCAGTGATTTGCATTTTTTGAAAAATCGTTCGCGCGGTGCAAGTTTTAAAAAAGGTCCGACGTTATCTGTCCCAAATCACGATTAGACTGTTGAAAAGTTTCAGGGTGAGAGTAATCACATTTTACGTTTTTATTTCAGTGCGCACTGGGACATCTCTTTTGTCAAAGTCCAAGATGAGATATCATAGGTTACACACAATACATTTGTGAATTGTTTACGGATACTTTGTAATTAACAGACAGCTTCTGACATCCAAAAACCTCGCTCTTATTATAATTTCGTTCTTCTCTCAGGGACAGCCAATTTTTCCTTAGGGACAGCCAAAGTGCACGTAGTCACAATGTAAGATCTGTGATTTGGCTATCCTTTAGACTTGGAAACAAGAATATGTAATCAAAAACAATACGACAATTACGAATAAATGTATACTGAATGACTTTTATTTTCTTTGACAATTCTACCATCACTCCTTCGCCTTTAATCTCGTTTGATCTTAATATGATGCAGAAATATTTTGGTAAAGTCCAAATGAGAAGCTGAAAGCAAGCAATAACACACCTATACTGGTTCGATCTATGTTGGTTGTGATGAATTTGTATCTTGTTCAAGTTATTAAGTTATATTGACCTCTTGGTGTCTATTAAAGTATCATAATCCCAACATTACGACTACACGCATCCTGGCTGACCCTATGAAAATTTGGCTGTCCCTAAGAGACCCGTTTTAATTTATCTATGATGAGATCGAAAAACTCTTTTTTTGAGTATATTATCAATTATTGTGTTTTACGTATATTAATTAAAGAAATAGCTTTATTTACAAAATTGTCCTGGTTTTCTACCACCCGAAACCCTGCGCTTGTTGCTGCTGAGTTTGTTGATCTTCCTTGAATGCTGCCAAGCCAATTAGAATACCAGCAATGAAGAAGACCAAACTAATAATAAACCAAAAGATGCCCCAAACTCTGCTTGACATACAAGAGCCACATACTTTGGCGAATTTGGAAGCGTCTGATTCATGTATCTTTCTAAACACTAAATCATCTAATATATCCCAAAGACAGTAGAGACATGACATGACACCCACAAACAAGACAAAATATTTCAACCCAACACCATGCGCTAACCACCAGAGAAAGACCATGACACCAATAAAAGCAATCCCAATGCCTCTTGTCAACCAATTTTTGGCCCACCATAATGTAAATAGTAAACACACACCTAAAAATATCGATGCAATTTTGGATGCCATAATATTAAATCCACACATCACCAGGATTGCTCCAATCAATGAAGATCCCAGATAACCAGCAGGTAATGTCAACATTGGAATACCGCCACGCTATTAAAAATAATAAATTAGCTTGGATTGCTCTTTGTCTTTAGCCTTCATATGTGTACCATTCTAGTGACACCACCTTCATCTGGATCAATTTCAATAGAATCGATTTTAGCACAGGTCAAACAACCCACAAACGCATGTGAAAATTCATGTAAACCTACAGTCAATAACTAAAAGACATGTTAGTTTCTAAGTGAAGGACTTCAGAATAGAATAGTCTTTACTTTGAAGGGCGATAAAACGATCTTTGCTATTGGCATATTCCATAAAACCAAGATGGCAGCTGTGTAAACACCAATAATAATGAGAATGGTCTTTTGATCATCAGTTGGTGTAAGTCGATTAACGGCATTCTCGGTGACGGCTTGCCGTGCTACCAGGTAGTGCTCATAACTTGTAAAATCGTCGATGGGTGCCATGACGAATAAAATAACAAAAAGAAGAAAATTGAAAAGCGAAAAGTAAAGCCGAGCTTGCTTATAAAGGAGGTAGTTTTTTTTTTCAGTAACGATCATTTCTTGGCTGTTTTATATTTAGATTTCTAAATTAGGCAGTTACCAAAATATACACATATTTTTATTGTTAGCACTGTTACACTTGTCATGGTATCCCACACATCTTTAATAGCCATGCATTTCCCTTTACGAGAAGACATACAAAGAATCACATAACCTTCATCCTGGTGTTATTGTTTATATGAATAAGGCTTGTTGTTATTTTATTAGTGCAAAAAAAAAAAAAAAACATTTTGTTATTATTATTTTTTTTCGCCTCAGCCTCAGGGAGTGCGCTATTATAATTATAATTCGTCATGCTCAATATCATCTTCAGTTTCATAAATGATATTAGTCTTTTTCATCTCTTCATCAGCTAATCTTTCTTCCTCAGTCTTCTCTTCAGCTCTCTTTACTCTGACTTTAGCTTCTTCCAAAATAGAAATACCAACAGCCTTACGAATCAGACCTTCAACGCGACCAGCAAATTGAGTGATATCCTTCAAGGGGAAGCCACTTTTAATTGAAGTGGTTTCATATAATAATTGGATCAAATTCGTCATGTCTTTGGTAATATTATCTTGCTCGACATAATCCAATAATGTTTCCATTACAGGGTGGTTTGGATTAATCTCCAGAATCTTCTTTTGTGATCTCATGGACTCCATAATCTGCTCCATGTTGGGATTCTTATGATTTACACCTTGTGCATCTAATACACGTTGTGCATGTCCACTCAATCCATTTCTGGGGGCAACAATAGCCAAGGGGGATGTAGTTAATCTACGTGAGACAACTGCTTTGTCGATATGTTGATTTAATGTAGAAACTAACCACTCGGTCAATGGTCTGAACTTGTTTTCCAACTCGCTATCTCTCATCATGTCTTTATCATCCTCGGCAAAATCAACATCTCCTTTGGCAATGTTAACAAACATCTTTCCATTGTATCCGGGGATATTTTCGACAAAGGTTTCATCAATAGGATCAGTAAAATAGATGATTTCATATCCACGGGCTAAAAGTGCTTCGATAAAGGGTGATTGTTCAATCTCTGCAATGTTACTACCAGTCATGAAAAAGATACTTCTTTGTTCTGCTTTAGCACGCTCAATATAATCATCTAAGCTAGAAGAGAAAGGCTCGGTATCGAAAGAAGAAGAGAAGCGCAAAAGACTAGTGAGCTTTTTACGATAAGATTGTTCTTCAATGGCTCCGTATTTCAAAATGGTACCATATTGAGCAAGGAATTTCTTGTAAGCAGCGGGATCAGATTTGGATAAATTGGTAAACATATCGAGTGCCTTCTTGATTAAATGACGTGTAATAATACGAAGACTACGATGCTTTTGAAGCGTTTCACGAGATACGTTTAATGGCATATCATCAGCATCCACAATACCCTTCAAGAATGAAAGCCATTTGGGTAATAATTCAACTTCATCAGAGATAAACACACGCTTGACAAATAACTTGATGGGCTTGTTGGATTGTTCAGTCTTGATATTGTTGTAGAATAAATCAGTGATGGCAGATGGGATATAAAGCACACTACGGAATTCAATCTCTCCTTCTCCCTTGAAATGGCTCCAGGCCAATGGGTCTGCTGTATCACGGGTCAATGATTTGAAAAATTCTTGGTGTTCTTTTTCTGTAATATCTTTAGAATCTCTCATCCAGATGGGCTTTTGAACATTGACATGATGCCAGTCGTGGACAATACGCTTTTCGGTCTTGGGCTCTTCATCAATACTTTCCTCAATAAGTTCATCATCATCGATATCTTGAATGACAGGTACTTCTTTTTCTTCAGAACTCCAAACCATAATGGGGAATGTGATAAATTGAGAGTATTTGTAGACCAATTCCTTCAAGTTCTTCTCTTGCAAGAAACGATATGCATCAGGCTTTAAATGCAAAGTGATTTGTGTACCACGAAGTAAGGTGTTGCCACGAGGATCCTTTGCAATAGTGAAATCATCGACAGCTGTACTTTGCCAGATATGTTGATCCTCATCATCGTTTGATTTGGATGCTACTGTCACCTTATCAGCAACAAGAAAAACCGAGTAAAAACCAACACCAAATTGTCCAATTTGTGTAATGGCATCTGTATTTTGCTCCATTTTGGCCAAAAATTCAGAGGTACCTGATTTAGCAATGGTACCTAAATTGTCCTTGAGTTGTTTACGTGTCATACCAATACCAGAATCAGTGATGACAAGTGTCTTGCTTTCAGGGTCTGCTGCAATAGTGATACGTAAGTCAGAGTTGCTCTTTAAAGCTTCAGGATCAGTCAAGGATAAAAATCGGATCTTGTCCAATGCGTCAGACGCGTTGGAAATTATTTCACGCAAAAAGATCTCACGCGATTTGTAAAGTGAATTGATAATAAGATGCATTAAGCGGGATACTTCGGTCTATTCAATTGCTTGTTATTATCTCTATATTTATTCTTAATTTCTCATACTATTGCTTACCTGGAAAGTATACTTTTCAGTTTCCAAATTGTCTAATTGTTCAGGTGAAAGCTCTTTGGGAAGTCCGTCAGAGAATGGAGTTTCAACATCATCTTGTTTAGCTAATATAGGCTTTTGGAGCTGATCTTGGTCTGCCTGTACAGTAAAGTACCCAAGCAGCACTAACGTTGCAACCAACAGAAAGTTGATCCTATTTAATTTCATTGTTAAATGTAAAGAAGAAAAAAAAGACGATGACCGTCAAGATGTGTGGGAGAACGACGTTAAAAACCAAGACAGGGCTCGATTCTGATTAGCCAAATCCATCGGACTTTCCAAGCTCCTTCTTCCCATCGTGTAACCAATTGCTGAGTAGCCTTTAAAAAGGTCTCAGCCTCAGTAGCACCAGCTTGATTATGGCTGGATTCGATAATGTACGCGGATTTGAAATTCGCTATGGATGCCTACTACGGTTTTATTTTTATTTTTCATTAAATCAAATAAAGTTTAAGTGTGAAAATCTTCCGTAAGAGTCGTTTCACCAGAAGCAAATACCCTCTTAAAATCTTCATCGATATACGATGTGCCACAAGTGTAGCAATTGGAAGGAATTTATTATATTAAAAAACAGATGGAAAGACAGAAAGTCGGATAATAAAAATCAAATGCGATAATTTGTTTTTAATCGCGTTGGAAAAGTTTATGAGGGATCCATCCTGCTATATAACACATACAAGTAATTTCATCTTTGATAATACACTAAGTGACATAATTATAGATTAACTGACTTTACTCAAAGTCATTGTGAAGGAAATCGATACTATTGGATTAAACTTTAATAAATTGATAAACATAGTGATACTCAACTTGATTTTTTCTTCGATACAATTTTAGCTAACTCAATCAACAGACAACACTTTGATGATTTACGAAATAGGGTGCGCCCTTCTTAATTTGTCTCTATTCATTTTTCCCGTATTATCTAAATCAAAGATTTACCTTTTTTTATTTTATGCAAAAGAATTTTGGCTAGCAAGACAATAATGAATGCTAAAGAGATAAAATAAGGAATATCACAATTTCTTTTATTCATTATCCATATATGTACACTATCTTAAACTCTTCTTGGGTCTCTCTTTGTGTATGAAGGAAGAGATGGTTGATAGTCTGGAACTTCAACGGCATAAGTTGAACTTTCAGGTTCATCCAATGCTACATAGGTGCTCTCTTCATGTCGGTTTCCACAACAACAATTTTGCAACGTGCCAATACAAACAAAAACAATACCCGTTAAGCCGGTCTATCATCAGAAAGAAAAAAAATTAGGGTTCCGTATTCAATAATAATTAATTTTTTTTTAGTTTGACGTACAATGGAAGATCCTACGACTGAAACAACAGAATCATTTAACAAGATCATAGATACCCTAACATAATTAAAAGATTAAAAAACCGAACCTGAACCGATAGGATACAGTTGAATATTTAGACATACCAGATGAAAACTAAATTTGAACAGTAAACGTTGCGATTAATTTATGTTTCACACACAAACAGCACGCATAAAATACTTACAAAGTCCGCGACCAAACCAATATTTATAAAGTCCCAGGTATTCAACATTAGGTGCTGGTTCCTGAGTCTCAATAGTCAAAAGAAAGACAATAAGAAACCTTTACAAAAGAAGAGAAAGAGGGAGGTGGTTCTTTAGTAGGTAATCCTATGTATTTATGATATGTTGACAATGAATTACAAGTGAAAAACACCGTTTACTTTTTGAAGAGCTAATAAAAAATAATTAAACGCATGAATAAAAATTGACTTGTAGTAACAACAGCAGGAATATTTTACCCGATGTTGTGCCTTCCAATAGGACTACAACGTTAAGTATATATCCTACAAGGGCAACGATGTTGACAAGTTTTACAAAGATTTGTGATGGTTTCATTTCTATATACAACACTTAAATCAAACTCTGAACTAAATATGATAAAAGGGAGACGTGATTACTTTTTACTAGTTTCAAAAGTATTTATAGAGCTGTTTTATGTTTGCGTCACAATCAAATGGTACGCCCATCTTGCCAAGATTTTTTTTTGGAAAATAAAAATGTCACGCTTATTTTAGCTCCTGCTGAATGTTGATTTTATGTCAGCGGGGATTAGCCAAAACTGCCAAGATTCTCAACATTGGAGGGTACAACAATTACTTGGAAATGAGAATAAGGGGAAAATAATTAAAATATGTATGATTCGATCTTGCATTATTTTCATATACCATCATTATCGCACTTTACATAGGCTGCTGAGATTTTGGCTGGCAGTCTCGTTAAACTTCTGAAATTTGCCGAGATTTCGATCAGTGGTTTCAACAAGTTGCCGAGATTTTGGCTGGCAGTCTCGTCAAGCTTATGCTTACTAACAAATTACTCAATAACTTTATCAAAGAGTATTTAGCTGCAGGCTTACCAAACATCTGAAAACTGCGGTCGGTTTTCTACACCAGATGTTTCTCTGCCAATTATGGTCAATGTCATCACATCCATTTATTTCAGCAAGGATAGCAGCGTCTATTATCAGTGACAGTTACAATTACCCTGTTCTAATCCATCATGCCAAATCAGCAATATCGTTCAATCGTCGAAGGATATACAACTTTTATAGGTTACGTCTGATTGGAATAGTACATCGCATCTCAGTGCAAATAGCAATGACAAAATCAAGGTAAATATGTATTTGCATGTCCTTAGCCTTCACAAGAGTTATTAAGCCATGCTAATACGTGATAGAACATCAGCACAAAATCAATGAATGACTAAATTACCAATTGAGAGTACCCAATAACATCTGTAGCTTTATAGTTGTCACTCAAAAGCAAATCACTATCTATCACGACGGGTAGAGATATAATGATAAAGATAGGAGAAATTATACGACTTACAGCAATCCCGGCCGAAATTTGGTAGCTTAATCTGGAAGGTCTTTTGCGTATGGCAAAGACTAGGCTAAGCCGTAAAATCGTAAAAATTGCAACATGTCTTTTTTATCTTTTGGTGGAAAAAGAAAGCATATGAACGGATTCTATTTATAGAATGATAAATAAGATCTGGTATATACCAGTGTTGGTTTGACTTTTTCTAAACCACATAGGTTGATAATTTTTTTATCATTGTAACGCTGATAAAAGTTAACAGGTTCAGAAATAATGCTTGTATATAAGCTTGGGGATTTTTTCAGATGTTTCTATAATAGATAAAGACTCAAATATCATGGGTGATTAAATAAAGATATAAATCATCTTCACGTAAACAGCTCTTGTTAATCAATTTACAAATAAAATCCGGCCAAACACTTGTTTGATTACATAAAAACCTGTATAAATCAATTTGATTTATTAGCCTACAAAAAAAAAATCGTTCACACAACTTTTCTTTTCATTCTTTTAAAAACTTTTTTTGTTTTGTTTAGTTGGTGCGAACTAAGTAGCGGATATCCCATCCCCACGCCCATGGGCCGTAGGAGGACATACCAGAAAGACTCTGGTAGCAGGTTTATGCCGTAAACCCCTGCCCAGGTTCCAACTTTAAAATCAGTGGATTCTACCATACCCAACTGGGCTTTGCTTCTTCGTGAATAGATATTCATGTTGATAAGTACACTATCGTCATGAAAGAAATTAATAAGTTTAATGAAAAGGTTAGTTAAAAATAACGACTCTTGTTTTTTCAAGCAACACTAAAATATTACCCCTTACTTTTTAAAAAAAACGAAAAAGACATATTGCTATTTATGTGCTATTACGGTTGCGTTTAGTCTCCGTTATACGAAGAAGTCCTCTCAGGCTGGGCTCTCTGATTTTAGTCGGGATTGCTGTAAGTCATCATATTCTCAAAACACATAAAAAAAAAATCACGTGACTCTAAAAAGGCGTTGAATATTTTAAAAAAAGACGTGGGATATTTTTCTTCTTTTTTCCCCACAAAGGTAGTTTTTCTTTACTTTACCTTACGCTGACATGACTATTGAAAAAACTGCTGATAAAGATTTATTTCACTGTACTTTAAAAAAATGCAAAGAGTTGGATGCAAATTTTTCCACTCTAAAAGCTTTTACAAACCACAAACAACGATACCACGGAGATTCGTACAAATTCCGCTATACTAATAACAATGGTAATGTGAGAAGTAGTGATTTTTTTTGTAGATTTAAAGTATTAAAAAATTTTTAGGCGAAAACCAAGTTGTCACAGTAGAAAGAGTGAACAACAGTCTATGTTGTCCTTTTTGCAACAAAATATATGAAAATTCTGATTCCCTGGGCAGTCACATTAAGCGATCTAAAGGTGATTGCTTGCATAATTCAGGTATTCGATTAAACTCATACACAAAATCATCATTTATTCATTTACATTGTGTTTGCCAGATGATTCGGACAAGGAAATTGCAAACTTTTCCCTAGACCTTATTGCTGTACCAACTGTCAAGACAATGAAGTACACATTGTATGAGATGGAAACCAACGTCATGCTTCGGGATCATTCCGAGGCTATAATTAATGCTTGTCAATCCATGGATAGCTCCCTGGATGTCAAGCATAAAAATTCCTGGATTATCGACAAAATGGGACTGGAACCATTTGCTTTAACATTTTCTGATCACCAGAATAATGTTGTCGAGTATAATGCACTCAGCCACTCCACCAATATTAGGAAAATGTCAAATAATACATTCGAATGCAAAGCTATCTTACCTGAAAAGCGCAAGAGTATCGAAGGGGAGGGTGTAAAAGCAAATGTTTGTTCAAACCTGGCTTCACTCATCCATGGTTCACCGCTTCGCAACCTACTCATGCAGCGAACGTATTTCCAGTTGAACGATGAAATCTCCTCCTTACTGAACGGCGATTGGAAGCATGAGCCGAATCTCAAGTTTGCCTGTGCCCAAGTTTTAGCTGGTGCCATCTTGTTAAATGTCTCATCCGGTGTAGCAATTATGATTAATACCATTGAAATGTACGGGATGACAAAGAGCGTGGATATTCATCGAGACGTGTCGGCATCCATGGATTCCTCTTTACCTCCGATATCAAGCAATTATTGTGACGTATGGCCTTGTATTCAAAACACTCGAGATGGACGCAAGCTTGTCATCGCATCTTTCTCTTGCATTGGCCTAATTACTTCCAGTATGCGTGTCGATATTCTGGAAGACCCCAATATTGGCCCATCATCTTCAACAATTACAATTTCACCGGAGACAACAAAACTTTACATTGATCAAGAAAGTTGGAACAAGGCAAACGCACTTGCCCTAAAAATCGAAGCGCGTTCCATTCACACGTCATACCTAATTGGTCAAATGAGACAATTGCGTTCGCAATTCCACCACCCAACATCATATATGCTTTGCCGTGCTTCCAGCCATGTTGCCATGGGACGCTTTTGTCAGCCGTTGACTGTGTTCACATATGCGGATTTCGAAGGCATCAAAAAATCAATTGAAAACGATAATTCAAGCATGATCGCCTCACGCATATTTCAAGAAATTGGTTATGAGGTGATAAAGACACCGGCCACTGCAAAATTGAACAAAACTCTTGTCGTCAAATCAATGGCCGAATTAAATGATAACAAAATGAAAGTATTATTTAGTGATCTTCTTGCCCTGTTTGGAGACAACGACAGTATATCCATCTTACGAAATCGCGATCTCAATGACATCATGCAACAGATGGCTCAAATCATGGCTTCCGATATATCCAAGGCAAACCAAGCGGTCCTCCGTAACGTTCGCGAGCGAAGAGATGCTTTAATTAATATGTCGGCCCATTGATGTGCTCCAGAAACGTGATTCACGGTTATTTTTCTTTTTTTCTTTTAATTATATTTGCTTTATACAAGCACTATCTCGTGGGTTGCTTTGGCGAAGAAACACCAAAAGGCTATTTTGCGTCACGTCATGTACACGCAACATTTGCATTAAGAAATAAAAAAAACTTATAAATAATACAACAACCTATAATGTACGCATGGTCCTCAGATGCTTACCGCTATATATTCACTCATCATAAAGCATTCTCTCGGCCTGCTCTATTCATTAACAAGTACCAAAATGACTTTGTCAATTCATATATAAACCATCCTCTAATTCGTTCAATAATAAAACGATATTCAATTTTACCCAGTCTCACAATCACCTTATTCTTTATTTTATAACTGTCTATCTTGTTAGATAAAACAATATTGAAGATATTTTAAATAGAATAATATAAATAAAACTACAACCTTATCAGAATTCTAGTGCTTTATGACCATTAAAAATAAATACTAAATGATATAAATCATACCCTTAACTATTAACTATCAACAGAACCTAAAAAAATAATAATCTAAAATCATGTTCTTTTCTTGAAACTTTTCTTTATCTACTTTTGTTAGTTTCGTATTCATCGTAAATTTTTGAACGTACGATTTCCACAGACAGGGTCCACAAAACGTCGAATATTCCCATTGGTTGTCGTGCTACAGTTTGATACCAACGCCTTTACCTTCAGGTCACGGAATGCACCAACAGACAAGTGTTCACCTGGAACTATGGGCTTCATGAACAAACTGCTGCCATATTTAGCGTAAGCAACTGGACTATGCCCGTTGTTGGCATACCTCTGGGCCAGTAAAGTCTCTTGCATACTTGCATGATGGAATGCAATCCAGGATCCATAAGCTTTCGAGCCATTTATGGCGAACCAAACCAAAAGTCTGCGATAATGACCCTTCCAGAGTGATACCAAGGCTCAGTCAATCGCGTCACGGTTGCTACAATCGACCTGTCTTCTATTGGTCGAGGTCTACGTTGAAGAGGATCCCCACAAAAGTCCATGCGCATCATAATGTAAGTGATATTATCCGCAACTGTCTTATACTCCATCCCATTTCCGAGCCACTGGTTCATTGGCTCATCAACATACATATAACTTCTAGGGCGTACTGTTTCTGCCAGTCGATCGTTGAAGGCCTTCAAAAAGAATCGAGGTTGGTATACGGGATCTAAATTCGCCCTATAGCAGAAAATTTAGTCGTCTGTTATATGTAATCAATGTATGCAAAAAATATATGTTGCTTTTTGACGACTTAGAGTGCATCTGCTTTTCAGTAGTTCCTAACGTGTTTTGTGACATTTTTGAGCATTCATCTCCGACTAGTACAAGTAATATAAAAGGAAATTTATTCATAGCCAGATTTTTTTTATGTGGGGGGATTTTTTTTTTTTTTTAAGAAAATTTTTCAGTGGAAGTAATATTGGGCCTCCGGCTGCGATTTCATAGGCCGGCTCTAAACAGCTTCAGATCAATATTTCAAGCCTTTCAATACATAAATTAATTTTAAAAAGGGTCACGCGTCTTAAGAATATACTTTATAAAATATATTCGAAATTACAAGTGATTCTACTTAGTACATAAAAAAGGTTTAAACTTTTTTATCTTCTTTTCAGTGTAAGTAATATTGAGCCTCCGGCTGCGATTTCATAGGCCGGCTTTGAGCAACTTCAGATCAATATTTCAAGCCTTTCAATAAATATATTAATTTTGAAAAGGGTCACGCGTCTTAAGAATATACTTTATAAAATATATTCGAAATTACAAGTGATTCTACTTAGTACATAAAAAAGGTTTAAACTTTTTTACCCTTTTTCAGGGTTGATGACATTGAGCCTCCGGCTGTGATTTCATAGGCCGTCTCTTAACAACTTCAGATCAATATTTCGAACCTTTCAATAGATAAATTATTTTTAAAAAGGGTCACGCATCTTAAGAATATTTGTTTTAATGTATATTTTAAAATTCAAGTAGTTCTACTAAGTACACAAAAAAGGTTGAAGTTATTTCAAGCCATTGCTAACGATTATATAGTCTGTGCGCGGTTTTTTAAATCCGTAAGCACAAACAGTGGGTTATTTCAAAATCCGACCACGGCTAATGATATTAGCGGCAGGTTATTATTGGCTCAAAAACCTTTTTGTACAGGTTGTGACATTTTTTCCCCGCCCCCACCTAAAAAAAAAATGTTGAATCCAGAATCTGTTATGTTTTTTATATTGATATATGTAGATTCTCATTTTAATCAACATAAAAAACAATCCTAACCTTTCAGATGGGATATTAATTATAAGGAAAATGTGTTTTACCCATCTAAATATTTGTCTCTGCTCAAATTTTTTTTAGGTACCACCTAAAAGCAGATGCACTCTATGTAGATTCTCATTTTAATCAACATAAAAAACAATCCTAACCTTTCAGATGGGATATTAATTATAAGGAAAATGTGTTTTACCCATCTAAATATTTGTCTCTGCTCAAATTTTTTTTAGGTACCACCTAAAAGCAGATGCACTCTAGATACATTCCCCCATTAGGGACAACAAACACATGAAGTTTGGGAATATCATTAAAACGTGACATTTCCAAAATAAATGAAGTCAATGTTGATGTATCTTCTTATCCTAACAGTTGACAACCGTCATAATAATTAAGAGCATAATCCAAGTAAGATACTCAGGCTAGTCCAAGTCAATTCAGGAGGAATTTAATTGTCTTGCACAGTAATTAATAGCCGGAATTACTACGCTTTGGATGTGATCGCAAGGCAAGAAGTGAAGAAAGCATTAAACAAGAGTTGCTCCTGTCCCCAGAAAGACCAAGAAGAGAAGCGTTTATGTACTGATATCTTGTATCAGGTCGATTAAAGCGTCGGTCAATACTTATGCTGCATTATTTTCAGTTAAGATCCACTGTTTTATCATTGCTTTTATTGTCGCTTTTATTTGGTGCAGCTGCTTAAATGGCGTCGTCCAAAAGGTCAGTGTATTCGTCTTTAGCGATAGGTTGTTGCTGTTGCTGTTAGACCTGGCGTCTTCTACGAGGAGCATTATCCCTATAACGGAGACACGTCACCCGAAGAGGATCAATAGAAAAACATCGGGAAGAACGTCAAAGGTCATATTGCAGTAATCAATGCGACCATCCTCGTACATTCTCGTGATATTGCCCTCAAAACGTGTTCCTGGGGCGTTGGTGTTGACTGGGAGGATAGCAGAGGCAAAGGCTGTTTTACGTAAATAGTGCATTGTAGCAAATACACAACTATCAACAGCAATTTTAGGATTGGTGGGAGGCATTTTTATGGAGCTAAAAAAAGCAATTGTGAAGAACGAGATAAGTAACAAAAAAAACTGTGCTAATATTTTTTGAGTCATAATTAAGTCCCAAAGTTTAAATGGAGCATCTTTATGAATCAAAACTTGAGGTCAAAAGTACTTGTTAACATTAGAAACAATTCTACCTTTTCAAATGGGATATTTATTATAAAGAAAATGTGCTACCCATCTAAATATTAGTCTCTGCTTAATTTTTTTTTCAGCTACCACCTAAAAGAAGATGCATTCTAACCGACAATACGTACTCAGTTGCTTAGCAGATACACTTTGTACAAAACTTTATCATACGGTTACACAACGTTGAACACCATTTTAAAAATAATATAAAAAAGCTATCCTTTCCATCTATTTTTTTGTTTCTTATTCCACAAAAATAAAAATAAAAAATGACTCAAATAATGGTGTCTACAGCTGTATTTAAATTAGTCAATATGGTTGGACTTTTAGGCTATTTGTTGACGACTATTGATAAGTTTTCTGACTGGTCCTCGGGTAATAATATATTGCCATTTTATTTATCATTGTAACAAGTTTATTTACTAACTTTATCCCACTTTAGATGCTGCAGATGTTGTAAACGGTGTTTTCCATCTGTAAGTCACAAAACACGTATTATAAGAGAAGAATAGGAGGCCATTAAAAAAAAAGCAATTACTGATTTCATATTATTGACGGGCCCTAATTTAGTATCATGTGGATAGCGCTTTTGGTTATAGAAGTGGATCAAAAACCCGCGTTTTCTAAATATGTCCCCTTTTTATACTCGTTTGTCGGTAGAGGTGTTTGTAAGTTGGATTTTCGAATTGTAAGATTCTTATGTTGTACAATGAGCTGATACCATTCCTCTTTTTTTATAGTCTATGTCTGGTAAGTGGCTACGCAAATAAACAGGTTATTGCGATTGCCAAAAATACAAAATTCTTACACGGTATAATTATAGGTTGGCATGGATTTCCTTTAGAATATCCCTTTTATCAATTATTGGCGCAGTTATTGTAAGTGTAATACATCAGGAGGTAGATGAAGCAAAACAAGAGAAACTAAAGGATGGTGTTATACACAGACTTGTATTGTAGGTATTATTTACGTCTTGCTGTTTGTCCTCAAGAATCTTCAGGCACCCTCAACAATGACATTTGAAGAAAATTATGCTCAGAGTCCCGAGGATTATCTATCTGAATCTGCCTCATTTTTACCTACCCATAACAATTCTCTTGGGGCAACAGCAGCACCTGATGAAGAGAATAGCTATACAGCCATCTAGATAAAATACCAGAAAAGGAGTGTAATATTACCGCGTAAATGAATCTAGATACATTGTACTGCAGAATAAATCTACAGTTTACACATCCCCCCTTATTTGGGAGCTTCTTTTACTGCCTGAAAATGAGGTCATTTTCATGTGTGACCGCATAAACGTGACCTTTTTATTTTTTTTAGTCAGAAAAAAAAAAGGTCGATTGCTTTTTGTCGTGTGTGTGTGTGTTGTGTGTCAAAGCAAAAATAAATAAATAAGAACCCTTTTTCATAAATAATGTCAGCCGCAACACCTAATTCAGAAACTGGAGGAAAGAAACAACCACCCGTCATTCTTTGTATTGGCATGGCTGGTTCTGGAAAGACTACATTTATGCAGGTATTGTATGATGTTGTCCCAGAAATTTCATTTTTTTTTATTGATCTTTTTTTTTTATTAATGTAGAGAATTAATGCTCATCTTCACGAGAAGAAGACACCTCCATACGTGTTAAATCTTGATCCTGCAGTTTCTTCTCTTCCTTTCACTGCAAATATCGATATCCGTGACACTGTCAATTACAAGGAAGTCATGAAGCAGTAAAGTAGCATCTATATACATAAAAAAGTTAACGTGGAACTGACGTCTCTTTCTCTCTCTCTTTCTCTCTCTCTTTTTCAAAAAAGATATAACCTTGGTCCTAACGGTGGTATCTTGACCAGTCTCAACTTATTTACCACTAAATTCGATCAAGTCCTCAATTTGGTTGCTAAGCGTTCCGAAAGTGTCAGGTATAAAACAATGAAGGACGAGCATACAATGTTGTGATTAAATCTAAGTAAGGGAATTAGTCATATTTTGGTAGATACACCTGGACAAATCGAGATTTTTACATGGTCAGCCTCAGGTGCCATCATCACTGACACTTTAGCGGCCACCTACCCTACGATGATTGCATACATTATTGACACACCTCGTACCACTTCACCCGCAACCTTTATGAGCAACATGCTTTACGCCTGTAGTATTCTCTACAAGACCAAATTACCCTTCATCCTCGTATTCAACAAGACAGATGTTGTCTCCCACGATTTCGCAGTTGAATGGATGACCGATTTCGAAAAGTTTCAATTGGCTCTCAGTCAAGATACCACCTACATGAGCAGTTTGATGTCTTCCATGAGTCTTGTTTTGGATGAATTCTATAACCACCTCAAGGTCGTCGGTGTCTCTGCCGTCACTGGTGCAGGTATCGATGATTTCTTCAAGGCTGTGGACGAGGCTGCTGAAGAATACGAGGTCGAATACAAGCCAGAGATCGAGAGAATGATTCGTGAGAAATTGGCCAAGGAGGAAAAGAATCGTGAAAAACAATTGAGTAAATTAATGAAGGATATGAATGTAGCCAAGGGTTCTGAAGTGCCATTGAATGGTCGTAAGTTGATATTGTAAGAGGAATAGATTAAGATATTTAATGCATTCATGTCTTGTTTAGGCAATTTGGACGATGATAGATGGGACGATGAGGAGGAAGAGGAAGAGGAAGAGGACTTTGATGAAGAAGATTATGATAGTGATGAGAATCCATTGCCTAGCGCATCTAAATATCCTCCTTCCAAGGCACAAAGAGAGGAAGATGAAAAGTTCAAGACTTGGTTATCTCACACAAAGGACAGCGCATAAGAAAAAACATAATCATTTACACATAATAAACCCCCTCTTTCACACATAAATATATATTTTTTGTAAGCTTTTTTTGTCAAAATTTTTTATTTAATGGGACATTTCCTTGTGTTTTTTTAACGGTCCTCAGCCCATTCCTATTATGTGATAGATAAGGTTAATGTTTTTTTTATATGATGTAAAAGAAATAAAACTTACATTCTCCTTCTTGATTTGAGCCTCTTCTTCAGGAGTGAAATCGTTGGTAATATTGAAGGTTCTTCTGATTTCTTCGGCACTCTTACCCTTAATCATGTTGGCAACTGTCTTACATCCAACATCAAGAAGAGGTTTAATATCGAGATAATTAGCAGCCTAATTTGTATCTATCAGTATACGCTTTCTCTCATATACACTTTGTTTATGTTACCAAAATAATGTCAAATAAGGTCTCTTGGTCAACTTCCATGTACTTTTGATCCCACTCGTCAATATCAGTATTACGTCTTTCTTGATCATCTTGAGTAACAGGATCGTCACGGTGATGAGTACACCATTCAATGACCTTTTTTTTAAAAAAATAAATAAAAAGATGAGTATAAACCAACTTTTTTTCTCAACCAATCTACAGTACCTTTCCTAAAACCTTGGAAGTAACATTAGGAAGAGGAATGGGTGCATCAGAATCTCCAATATCTAAAGATGAAAAAAAAAAATACGTGTTTTTTTAGTCTCCTTTTTCGAATGCTCATTGTTTATTTGTTTTATTTTTGTTTTTCTGGCTTCTACCTTCCAACATGTTCTTGATCAAGACGGAACGCTCGGCAACCTCCTTGTCAACCTTGAACTCTTCGCTGTCTGAACTCAAAAGATGTACACTCATATTTATAATTTTTGTATGTATGTGTGAAGAAGAAGAAGAAAAAAAATAATCAAAAAAAAAAAATTAATTATAAAGAAGTCCGGACGGTGACGTGGCTAAAATTTCTTAAGTGTCATTTGGTTATTCCATAGCATCCCTTCTTTTTTTTTAATTGTCTGTCTCTTATTTCATTGTAGCTCACTCTCTTTATCCATTAGTCATCTTACAGTGCCAAGCAAAAAACAGATTAAAAAAAAAAAAAATAGGCGAAACAATCTGTATCGTGATTGATTATTTTGATAAGCAAATAACATTGCTTCGGCATCATGCATTAATCAGTGGTGGGTATATTTCACCACATGATTAAACTTTACATTACGTAATATATATCTTACAAAGAGATACACAATGAACGCTCAGGCACATATTTTCACTTTAATGAGAGCATCATTCATTCTTTGTGAGCCAATAGCTATCTAACTGCTCTATGCCGTTGCCATGTTTATTGTCTGTTGGCATAGATACTATTATTTTTAAACTTATAGTTCTTTATTACCTGTATATGTCTTGCTCCATAACAACATACTAATAAAGGAAGAACACTCTCTGACAACAATTAAAAAGATGGAGCTCTACTTCATCAGAATTACAGCGATACATATATATATGAATATATTACATTTTATTAGTCATTATGATGCACATTATGTGTGAGACTCTCTCCTTTCAGTTTCATATGCCTGTTTTATCAAAAACAAGACGAACCAATCATTTTCAAAGCGAGAAAGATCAATGCTAAAGTAATCCAACACAATCTTACTAATAATCTTTACAAGTCTATTCTTCTCGCTCTTTGGGAATTTGTACCATCTGGGCAACTGCCTCTTCTTGCTTACAAATATTCCTTGCACAAGCACCGTAGTTGCCTCCCCAAATAGCTCGAAAAGATCACTTCCAGTTAATTTATGCTTGTTCTTGTTGAGTTTATCTAGTATGGCCACCGCCTCGTTTTGCTTTACCGTCTTGTTATCTCGTTGTGGTCGCGGAAATGTAAGAGTTTCAGTACTTTGTTGTGTCTCGACAGAACAGCTACTACTACGGCTGCTACTTTGGTGTGAGAAGGCTTGGGCTTCAACAGGACTGCTGGTCAAGTCATAAATGCTACTATTACTACTGCTATTGTTACTACTGATATAAATGACCTCTTTTTTCTCAGAATCCATGCGAGCAAACAGGTCTTGCAAAATTTGATCATTTTCCTCCGCAATTTCCATTGTTCGCTCTAGAGTGCGATCACTATACTCCAATTTCTGAAAGATCTTTTCCAACTTTTTATCCATGAAAAAAAAGAAAAAGATGTGTTTTGTAACCGTATTTCGTCGTATCGGTTTTCTTTTTTATATATATCAAGGACGCCAAAAAAAAAATATTGAGTCGATCAATTTTTATTGGGCGTTTTTTTTTCTCACAGCACATACAACTTTTTTTTATTTGGACACACAAAAAAAAAAAAAAAAAAAAAGAAAAAAAAATTACATATATTAAGCAATCATCCAACCTTTATCATTTTCATCAAAATCGTTTTCTTGTTGCGGTGGAGGTGGAGGTGGTGGAGGCGTTTGATGTACAACACCATCCCATTCTATATCTTGTCTACTATAAGGAATTGTATGCCCTCGCATCAATCGATGAAAACTAGCCACACTCGATCTCGAATTATGATGAATCATGGAAGACGACACAGAAGCTGTAGGAATCTCCGCATACCGTACACTACTATTGCTTCTTTTATGATGATGATTGGTCTTGCTCTCCTGCCAATCTCCATCTCTTTCCAAATCAACCGTCTGTCGAGCATTGTTATTCCACTGAGGTAAGATATTTCCTCCTCCTCCTTCTTCCTCACTTTGCTGTTGTTGTCCGTATGGATAATAAGGGCTGTACAATGATCCTTCTGTCGCAGCTGTACCATCACTATGATCCACCGTCGCCCATTGAATTTGAGGTGGTACTTGCATTGTGCCCACTGTATTTGCTCTAGGTCGACTACTCTGCTGTTGTTGCTGATGATGATGCTGCTGTTGCTGTTGTTGTTGTTGTTGCTGCTGCTGCTGCTGCTGTCGTTGACCACCTCCACTGTACATTGAGTTTAATTGATGTTGATGTTGATCATTATGTGGTGGTTCAAGCACACTTGGTAAAGGAGGCACATACGAAGATCTTTTGTTATTGGTCATTGTATTTTCATAATGATTTGGTAGACTTGAATAAGTAGGTGATAAATAAGAAGAATCCGAATAACTATTTCCATTGTTCGGTTGTAGATGATGACGGTATCCCAAGGTAGGTGAGGTCTTGGGTACACTTGTAGACATGGTACTGGTGGATGAAGAATTGGGTATGACATGATGTTGTTTTCTGGAAATAAAGGGAGGTTGAAACGGACATGTGAATGGTTCACCTGTGATAAACGGATGCTGCTTCGCCTGTTGTGGTGACCATCGTTCGATCGGGTTTAAATTTAATAATCCTTGCAAGAAATCAATCAATGCTAAACGGTTTAGTTTTTCTTTTTCAATCTCCTTGTTGGACATTTGTGTCTTTCGCATGATGGGATACGTATTGATCAAATCAGGCAAACCCTTGGCCGAAAAATATCGTTTGGACGGTTGCTCGTTTTTGCCTTGTTCCGCACTGTATTTCTCCATCGACTTTAGTTCGTATCGTTTTTCCCCTCCACTCGTGTCTCTGTCGAAATAACGATGTGCATTCTTACCCACCTCGATCATGTAATTCGGAGGAGTTCTAATTTTTTATGTAAGAAACGTTTCTGTTTTTTTTCTTTCTACCTTTTTCTTATTACCCAAGCATGTCCACAATACGAGATAACTGATTGTATTCAGAACTACCTGGAAACAATGGCAACCCCAAAAATAACTCCGCGGCAATACAGCCTAGAGACCACATATCAATTGCACTCGTATAAGGTAGACCCACCAAGACTTCAGGCGATCGATAAAACCTTGACTGAATATACGTGTACATTGTCTGCACTTCATGACAGGCCGATCCAAAATCAATGACTTTTATCGTGGGTGATTCCAAGCTGAAATTAATAAAGTGATGAATAACCATTATGATCCTTCAAGCGTATAAATAGAAAGAGGGGGGCTTACCTACTTTTTCAAGAGAATATTTTCAGGCTTTAAATCACAGTGAATGATACGAGCTTCATTTAAGACGGTTAATGCATCCAATATTTGAGCGGTAAATACACGTACAAGATTGGTGGATAATCCTCGAAAATGGTTTTGTTTGATGAGTTCGTACAGATTGACCGACAAGAGCTCAAATACCAAACACAAGTGTTTCTTATGAATAAATGTGTCTCGTAGTCTCAACAGGTGATGTTTGTCGTTTTCGTCGTACCGTTGATTTAGCTAAATTTAAACCTTTAGCTCTCTCTCTCATATGTTATGTGATGCACTAGACCTTACCATCTCGAGTATCGCCACTTCCATCATACTTTGCTTGAAATAAGCCAACTTGTTCTTCACTACCTTGACCGCTACAATTTCCTGCGTCTTTGTATTCCGACATTTCACCACTTGACCAAACGTGCCTGAACCCAACACATCCAGTATAATGTATCTAATAATGTGTGTGTTATTTTTATCTTACTCCTTTATTTTTTGTTGTCCGTCTAAACTTACTTGTGACCTTCTGTACTTCCAAGTATATCATTCACATACAAAATGTAGTCAAAATCATCATTATCAAACCCATCATTCTGTGATGCTTTACTAGGCTTGGTCAAGACTCGACGAGGATTATTAGTGGCATTGTATTTAAATCCATGATTACATGCTGAATACGTCGCTTTTAATTCAGACGTTAGCATATACAAAGGCTAAATGAAAAAAGGTCAGTACATTTTTTGTCTCTCTTTTTTTTTCTTTCTTCTCTTCTCATTTCTTTCTTTTACAGCACTTTACTCCGTATCGTTTGCCTTCCCTCGCTCTACGATGATGTGACATTGGTAAATCAGCTTGCGTTTTGATTTTTAAAAAAGCCCCAGAGAGTTCGGGTTGCAATCTGTAATGAACGGGCTCTACCTCTTCCATGATGACGGAAGGGTTGAAGCGTTTTGTGTGGTGATGGGGAGACTTGTAGTAAGGCTCCAGTGGGCTCTGAGGAGTCGAGTGATTGTATTTAGGTATATCATCATTGATAGTAATGCCTATATAATTAGTGTCTTGGTAGAGATGCGGTGAAGTCGTGGTCGTGGTTAAAGAAGACGAGGCTGACATGGTGGCTTGCTTTTCAAAACTCTTTTTTATGGTATCTTGCTTATTAAAAGATTCCATTGAAAACAAAACAAAAAAGAGAAAGAGAGAGAGAAACAGAAAAGAAAAAAAAAATAGGCGGTTAGCCAAATAATTAAAAAAAAAAAACTCCTCTACCCCCACACACACCCCTTCTTTGCTTGCTGCACACACAATATGCATAACATGATAGATCAAGGGAAATATCTCAAGGAAAAACAAGCTAATGAAAACCCTCTCTTTATTATGGAGTCTCTTTTGAAATACTCACTTCTTTTTTTTTTTTTTTTTTTTTTTTTTTTTTTTTTTTTCTTTTTTTTTTTGCATTTTAAAAAATATCCTGTCATCTCATTGGTTGGATTTCCCACACCTGCTCTTTTTTGATCAAGGTCAAATTTTTATAGGCTTTCTCATTTTAAAAAAATGTCATTTCAAGTCAAAGCCAATGTGAATCAGGGCAAAGGCCATGCCTCCTCACAAACCAAACAACAAACCAGGGCCTATCTCAGTTTAGAAGCTATGCAAAAAAATGCACTCTCTACCGCCGATCTCATAAAGATCAAACACCACGATCAGGTAACCCTTTCTTTTTTTGAGACAAACTACAATTCGAAGACCTAATGTAAAAAAAAAAGGTCGCCATTTGTTTCGCATGGCCTTCTGTCACTGTAAAGAAACAAGGTAAACACACGTTTTAATATGCCACGCGTTTCATTATTCACATACATCCATCAAAAATGACAGACATTGAATTAAGCACCAACACTCGACTCGCAGCTTCTTTGGCCATTGGCGACTTTGTCGATATAGAAAAATCAGATACTCATAGCCAGATAGAAGCTACCCGTATCAACATCGATTTCATCACATCTAAAGACAAACTCACTTTCCAACTCGACCAACACTTTTCCACCTTTCTCAAAGAGTTTTTAGGTTAGATACAACTCTTCTTGAAGAAATGTATGCAGTGATTAAAAAAAAAATCTTTTTATAGTGGAGCAGACATACGTTGTGGAGTCCCAATTACTGGATATTCACTATCTCGGTCAATTATGCAGGATTCAACTCTCACAAATTTTATCCAAGCACACGGCCGAGATTTACATGGTCACACAAAATACAAAAATACAATACGACACTCCCACCATGACCATTGAACCTCCTAAAACTTCCAACGTCAGTGGCGGATATAAGGACATTGGTGGTCTTTCCAAGCAAATCCAAATTGTCCGAGAAATGATAGAAACACCTCTCAACAACCCAGAACTTTTTAAAAAATACGGCCTTAAACCTCCCAAGGGTGTTCTACTTTTTGGCCCTCCCGGTACCGGCAAGACCTTAATCGCCAGAGCCGTTGCCCAGGAAACAGGAGCTCACTCCATCATCATCAACGGTCCCGAAATCGTCAGCAAATTCTACGGTGAGACCGAACAAAAGCTACGCGATATCTTTGATCAAGCCATCGACATGTCCCCCACCGTTATCTTTATTGACGAAATCGATGCCCTCTGTCCTAAACGTGATGAAGCTCCCAGCGAACTTGAAAAACGCGTTGTTACCACTTTACTGACCTTGATGGACGGTGCCACCACACAAAACCATCGCGTCGTCGTCATTGCCGCTACCAATCGACCCAACTCCTTGGATGAAGCCTTGCGCAGACCAGGCCGTTTTGATCGCGAGGTCGAAATTGGCATTCCTACTGCTGAAGCTCGTCTCTCCATCTTTGAAACCATCATGTCTAAAATACCCCATCAGCTCTCATCACACGAACTCACGTCCCTCGCAAGTACCTCCCACGGTTACGTAGGCGCAGATATCGCAGCTGTCTGTCGAGAAGCCGGTTTAAAATGCATTAAACGTTCCACCCACGCCCCGTTGGAGGATCTGGCCGTTAATTTGCAGGATATGCGTGACGCCATGACAGAAATTCGACCCAGCGCCATGCGTGAAATCATGCTGGAAGTGCCCAAAGTCTATTGGTCCGATGTAGGAGGTCAAGACGATATCAAGCAACGATTAAAGGAATCTGTCGAATGGCCCTTACAGCATCCAGAGGCTTTCTTGAGATTGGGCATTCGTCCTCCCAAGGGCATTCTCCTTTACGGTCCACCCGGTTGTAGTAAGACCTTGATGGCTAAAGCCTTGGCGACCGAGGCCGGATCCAATTTCATAGCTGTCAAAGGTCCCGAGGTAAGATGATTTGTGTGTATATGTGCTTCTTTCTAAAAAAAAGGATCAATATAGTTGTTTAGTAAATGGGTCGGTGAATCTGAGAAAGCTGTACATGAAGTGTTTAGAAAAGCAAGAGCTGCTTCACCCTCCATCATCTTTTTTGTAAGTCTCCTACACCTTTAAATGGCTAAAAAAAAAAAATTAGATAACTTAAATCATGACGTTTAGGATGAAATTGATGCATTGACAGTGAAAAGAGGAGCGTCAGGGGACGGAGGCACTTCAGTGGCAGATCGAGTGCTGTCTCAACTCTTGAATGAACTGGATGGTGTAGAAGCCTTAGTGAACGTGACGGTGGTAGCTGCCACCAATCGACCTGATATCATTGTAAATATCTTTTCATTCCCTTGTAAATACACACAACTTACATTGAAATAGGATGATGCATTGTTGCGACCGGGGAGAATCGATCGGATTTTATATGTAGGTCCTCCCAACATAGAATCAAGAAGAGAGATTTTCAAAATACAACTCTTGAAAATGGCTTGTGATTCCGATGTCGATATAGAAGAAATCGCACAAAGGGTAATCATACAAAGATGATAGTTTTATTTTCAAATTTAACAAATGTTTAATAGAGTGAGGGTTGCTCCGGTGCAGAAGCTGTGGCGATTTGCCAAGAAGCCGCGTTATTCGCCATGGAAGAAGACATTCATATCGAATCCGTAAGTTTTTTCAAGAAGAAAATAAAAAGTGCCTTTCCAAAAGCTAAAATATTGAAATATAGGTAAAAATGAGACATTTCAAAAGATCGCTGGAAACATTTACGAGAAGAATTACACCCGAGATGCTAAACTTTTATAAAGACTTCCAAGAAAAGTCTGGATTGCAGAGCATTTAGTCCATTTTTTTTTTCACATATTTATCTATAGACTTTTTTTTAATACTTTACAAATTCAACACGGATACAATGTTTCTATACCATGGGCATGGTAATGTTATTGACGAAAATGGTGCGTCCTAAGCCCATGGAATACATTAATTGTTCAGAACGAATCTATTGTTCGGACTATGGCTATTCATACAGAGTAATTCAAGAAGTACAGTCCCCAATGATACTTCTCTGACTTTTAGGAAAAGACAAAAATTGAGGATATTCACATGAAGAAAAAGCCAGGGTTTTTTTTTTCGACCTGAAAAACTGTATGACTGTAAAGCAGTTGGAGAAATTTACCCTCGAACAATTTGGATCGGGTTAGTCCAAATAATGCGTTTCCCCAACAGGGTTTTTGAAAAGCTACAAAAAAAAAGTATACAGATTATCAACTTCAATCGAAAATACTCTTGTTGAGGTGACCGAACATTCATAAGCTTGCTGAGATCACCAGCTGAAATCCCGGCAACTTTTTAAGCTTGCTAGAACCACCAGCACAAATCTCAGCAACTTTTACAAGCTTGCTGAGTCCACCAGCTTAAATCTCGGCAGTCTAAATGAGTTTGCTGAGACCACCAGTTTAAATCTCGGCTTGCTGAGTCCACCAGCTTAAATCTCGGCAACTTTCATAAGCTTGTCGAGACCACCAGCTTAAATCTCAGCAACCTTCATAAACTTGCTGAGACCACCAGCTTAAATCTCGGTGTCTAAATGAGTTTGCTGAGACCACCAGCTTAAATCTTGGCAGCTTTCATAAGCTTGCTGAGACCACCAGTTTAAATCTCGGCAGCTTTCATAAGCTTGCTGAGCCCACCAGCTTAAATCTCGGCAGCTTTGTAAGCTTGCTGAGACCACCAGCTTAAACCTCGGCAACTTTCATAAGCATGCTAAGTTCACCATTTTAAATCTCGGCAACTTGCATAAGCTTATCGAGACTACCAGTTTAAAGCTCGACAGCTTGAATGAAATTGTCGAGACTCCAAGCTTAAAGTTCGACAGCTTAAATGAGTTTGCTAAGACAGCCTGCTTTAATCTCGACAACCCTCGATTGTAAGAACTTTGGCTCCGAGTGATATGTACACAAAGGTTACATCTTTCTTTTGTTTACATGATCTGACGTCTCTTAACCTGTTGATGGCCAAAGTGCATCGTACTATTGACTATCCGTAGTTGGTAGTTAAGGTTAGGATATATATCATTTAGTATATTGTTAATAGTTATAAAGCATTATAATTCTGATGAGGTTGTAGCTTAGAACAAAAGTGATGTATCAGTGACATATATTTACTGCTAGGAACAGTTAAGCGCATTTACAAAAGAAGTAAGTCAATATCAGCATGTTTGAGAGAGCACAAAAGTGAAAACAAAGTAACGAACAACCGCTGCTTAGTTTACAACAAGCCGCCACGGAAGCCTAGGGAAAAACATGAAGTGCCATTTATAGATCAAGCATCTATCTACTAGATAAGACCATTTGTTTTTGTAGACGCAGATTGCAGGGTGAAATCACTGCGAATAGAAAGAGATCGACGGCATTTTCTCCGTTGCCTGACCAAATGGCGGATACTGGTTTCTCCTTCACAGTGCCATATATCCCAGAAATTAATAGAGATAAATAATAAAACGTGGGTAGTACAGCGCTTCCACTCTCAATTTACCCAAATTTTTAAAACCATGCTTATTTTTCTGGGTAAATTCGACTTGCATAGTTTTCAAAAAAGAAAAAAAATCGGTGGAGGCACTGTACTGCTCATTCTTTTAATGCCAAGAAGCACGAAGCGAGCCATGGGTGACTTCATATCTAAAAATATAAAATTAATTTCATTGGCCAATGAACATTAATTTTAGCTGACCAGCGACATTGATTTTGATTGGCTGTAACATTACTTGTTGGGAAATCACTGTATATTTATATCCCTTTTTTTCTTAAAACATAAAAAAAAAAAAATGATTCAAACTTATAGCAAAGTGTATTCTTGGCTATTTGTTGTACTCATTCCATTATACTTGTCTTTACAATTACTAAAAGCAAACACAAATATTTCAACCACATTACAACTATTCAATCACACCTTTCCGAAATCCAACCCTCATAGTAACACTTGGACATTTCGAGAGCACTGGCCTCTTTCACAACCGAAACGACGAAGAACCCAGCAAAATACCGATGAAAAGTACCTGACATTTTTCACCCACAGTGGTTTTCAAAACCAATTGATACAAGGTAAGACCTCCTCCCACTATATATAACATCGATTCTTTTAACAATAAAAAAAAAAAAAGTGGAAAATGGGATTTTACTAGCTTGGTATTTAAATCGGACTCTTATTTTACCAAAAGCTGTGCTGGGCCAAGCATTTGGCTGGTCTCATTTCGAAAGACTATATCAACACCATACTTTGCGTGATACATCCAACCCATTTTGTGCTCGTTTCACCAAGAAAAAGGATCGAAAATTAGCTTCCTGTCCAGACCCAAACAAGTATGCATTGGCCTCGTTTGAGGATCTCTTTGATCTATCATGGGCCAAACAACATGTCAGAATCGAACAACGCGATGCCTCGGATTTCCATTGGCTACAGTATCACTATGGCATTCATACCGGGAATCATCATCAGTCACACGGTTCATATGTCGACGGCGACATTTTCTTCTTTAAGGGTACAACATTTTACAAATGTATACACACATAAAATTCTTTTAATTGATATCCCCCGTTCAGATGAGACGAGATATGATTGGCGCATTTACGACATGCCAAACAAGTACAAATTCCTAGGAAGATATGCAGATAGTTTACAAGTAGAGGAATTACAAAACCACTCGGAAAAACTCATTCATTTCACAAGCTTGTTTGGTACCGGTAAATTTTCAATCAAGAATCCTCAGAACATGCAGTTTTTCAAGTCGCTGCAGAACAGTATCACTTATAGACATCCGGCTGTTTTAAAGATTTCTCATAGCGTCATTGGCGCATTGGGTGGTTCCCGGAATTTCCTGGGCGTGCATCTCCGGTATAAACGTATTCCAAACACATAATTTAGAACATGTTGATTAATAATGTTAATCGTATTCTAGAACAGCAGATGGGTTGTTTATTGACGCGGTGCCTGAAAATATTCAAAATATCATTCAAAGAATTCCAGCCACGTCTATCCCACTCATCAACACAACCGATTTACCACTCTCCACTTGTGTGACCTTGGCCCAACAGAACCAAACCACGCTCGTCTTCTTAGCCACTGATGCTATTCAACCTAGATCCAACCCTCAATTCCAACCCCTCTGGTCTCATTCACCTTGTACATTCACCCTCAATGAAATCTTACCACCACAGCATCCCACCTGGCACCACGTCGATGCCTATCGTACCCATACCGGTGAAAGTATGAGGCGCTTCTTGACTCCTCTGATGGATGCCCTGGTGGCCAGTCAAGGAAGTGCGTTTATTGGGTCCAAAGGGTCCACCTTCTCGGGTTATATACGTAGATTACATCATACAAAACGAAATGTATTTTAAAGTAGCTGGTTCTACTACTCTTTTTTTGTACATAGAATAGACTTTTTTTTTTGAATATGTGTGTGTGTGTGTGCGTGTGTATATATCTTTATTATGATGATTATGTGTCTAAAACAAAGGGGGGGGGATGTGTATAAAAATGTGTGTAGGAGTAAAGATAAAGAAAGAGAGAGAGAGGGGGGGGAGAAAAATCTAAGCTTTTCCTTTTTGATACATAGCTAAAGGTATATCATCTTCATCTTGACGTGAAACCGCATGTTGTTTAGGTGAAAATGTAGATAACCAACTATTATTATTTTTTTGTTGTTGCTGTTGTTGATCTTTTGAAGAATAATGAAATAATGAATATTTTTTGCCACTCTTCTTTTTGTTTTATTATGGCTTGTTTTGCTGTGTGCAAATAAATCTTCCTCCTCCTCTTCTTCTTCAGAAAACGAGTCTTCATCATCTTCTTCATCATCTGAACTAGAATTACTTGTTCTTAATTGTGTATTTCTGTATAAATGACGTTGCTTTTGAAGTGCATCCATCGCATTCCCTGTACCACCACCAGGACTATGATCAGGGCCAATTTGATGATTTCTTATCCTCTTGTTGGATGAAGAACGCTTCTTGCTCTGTCTTCGAGAATGATGGATTTGGATATGACATGCTTTTTTGGTCAATACAATAGAATCAATCGAGAGTGAAGGTGGTGTCGTTTCATGATTTTGTTGACTGATGATGGAAAGATACCAAAACATCAGGTTGGATATCGTCACTTGATCACACAACGGACGTCTTGGATTGGTTAATTTCATATGTGAAAGACGATAGATGGCTCTTTCGGTATGAATAGGTAACCTGGTATAATTAAAATGACTCTTTAACTGGAATTCACCCTTCTCTTCTTGTTGTTGCAATTGTTGTTCAGGATGGAGCAAAACGGATTTAGCAGGATTGCTATGATTCTTGGTCTTGGGAGAGCCTCTAGAAAACAAGGAAGAAAGATGAAACTTGTCCTGTTGTTTACCCGATGGATCTTTATTTTTAGCACTGCTAAAGATGCGACGTGGTGACCAAGAAGACACCTTTTTTTTGGTTGCTGTTGTTGTTGCTGTTGTCGTTGTCATCGTTACTACAGGAGTTAAAGTAGGAGAAGGGGGAAAAGAAGAAGAAATGGGTTCTTTCATAGGGGTATCTTCCTCTTCTGTAAATGCACTTTTATCTTGTTCTAAAGCTGTAGCACGTAAATCAATAGCCGAATCTTTGGCTGTTACTGTTTGTTCTTGCTCTTCTTCCTTTGGTTGAATATAAATAGTATTGGGTTCTACAGCATTCACCCCTCTTGCTGTTGTATCCGTATTTCCCCCTTTCACAGGAGCTGCCTCTATTTCTGTGTCTTTTTTGGCAACAACATATTAATAAAAAAGGGGCACCTTTTTTTTTTTTTTTTTTTTTTTTTTTTACACGGTGTGTTACCTTCAATCATAATATTGTCTTTTATGGAATCTTCTTCGTTACAGTGTTGCATTGGTGTACCTCTTTCCAATGCAGCTAATGTTGCTTCTCTATCACTTTTAATTGCCTCTGCTTCATCCTGTGCTGTAAATGAGGCAGATAATACAGACTTTCGCCGTTTCACAATAGACCGTTTTCGATTAGCAAAACTATGGGTTACATCCACTGTTGTTGCGGATGCATTAGTTTCGCAACTCGGTAAAGTTGGAGTGGGTGCTGTATTATTTGTCGATAGCCTTTTAGTTGTTGTTTGTTGTCATACACACACACGGTTAAAAAAAGAGAGTCTCTTATACACACAAATATATATTACCAGAACAATTGATCGGTGGCATTTTTATTATTAAACAGTTCGTTCGTGTCAGCGTCTAATAAACTAAGAGGAATTTCCAATATTCTAGAAAGTCCGTTTGATCCAAGTGATGTCTCTTCTTTCCCATGCGTTCCATCAAGAGGGTAAATAAAAAAAGTAGACATTCTGAGGAAAAAGAGAGAAAAAGGCTAAAAAAAGGAAATAAAGGGCTGAAATATATAAAAATAAAAAAAAGACAGTCTGCATAGCCAATTTTGTTTTTTTGTTTATTTGTAGACACAGCGCATTCTATCCATTATGGATGTTCACAGAATGTTATAAGGGAGGGGCAGACAAACCCTTTTAGGTAAAACGTTACACCAAATTCTCAATGTAGCTCCCCTTTAGCAGTAACAGAAATCTGACGTCCCTCCTAAAGAATGTGTCGATATATCTTGTATCTTTTGTATTATTCAAATACCCGGTATTTTAATAAAAAATAAAAATCGTCTCAAAAGATGTTCATCTAATTCACTGATCTTTTTATTTTAACACGTCAAATACAAGAGACAAAGCACTCCCTAACCATATTTCCTTCTTTTCTTTTCTTTTTGTCATCACGTAAGAAAATGCAACCACGTTATTAACTCTTTCTATAGACTTTGGTTTTTTGTATCTCTGGCGTATAAAAAAAGTCCAAAGAGAATGTCCTCCCATCAGTTGTTTACATAATCCCACAAGAAGTGCCCTCTTAGTCTAACCCCCCCCCCCTTAGCCCCCTTGACTCTTTTAATAAAGTCCCTTTGAGTTATTCCAGACTTCAATATATAAGCTTTTTTACTACTACTTTTAACAAAAGGAGAGACACTCTTTTTTTATATAAATCACTATTTATAGCATCTTTATCCTCAGTTCCAATTTAAAGCTTGGGGCTGTTACTTTGCTTACCAAACTCGATCACCAATTTACCAAACTGCTCTCCATTACTACACAAGTTTGAGTTGTCAGTATATTTCTACCTTTCTTTTATAAAATACTCTTACATCATGGAGGCATAGGCTTGATCAATGGATTCGTTATTTAATCCATTCCAGACTTGTGATACTACAGGTTGAATCTTGTGCTCATCCACAAACTTTACCATCTCTCTAAACTCTTTACGAGAGCCCATGGTACATCCCTTGATATCAATATTCTTGAGCACATAGGCCATGTTGAATCGAACTCCACTGACATCTGCCGTTTGTCCATAATTAGCTACAATCCCTCCATCACGCATCATGCGTGGATATGCACTATACAATGGTCCTCCCGCACCATCAATCACCGCCGACAATAAGTTCTTTCCCAGCAGCTTCTTCAACTCTCCCACACAATTCTCTGTTCATTTTGTTATAACTGTTTAGTTTTTTTTTTTTTTTTTCTCACACACTTCTTTCACATATCAATTACTATACCATCCTTGTAATTCACACCGCCAACGGCACCCAAGGCAATGGCCTTTTGGATCTTTTGAGGACTGGAGGAAGTAACATACACATGAGCTCCCACAGCTACAGCGAATTGAAGTGCAAATAATGCAACACCACCACCAATGCCAGTAATCAACACATGCTCGCCCTTCTTAACAAGTGCCTTTGTGAATAAAGCTCTGTACGCTGTGACACCGGCAATGGGTAAACAAGCAGCCTCTGCGTCAGAGAGATGAGGTGGACAAGGCACAATGTCGTCATGATGAATGGCAATGGGTTCTTCGGTGAGTGTGCCAGGACAAGGTAATAAACCCAAGATGGCCAATTTGGTTTCGGGTCCACGTTCATCCGCAATCCAACCAATGCTTGGATTGATCACCACGCGTTGGCCCAAGGAAAGTTGTGAGGAAGGGTTTTTGATGATGTAAGCAACCGCGTCGGAACCTAGCACGGAACCAAGTACAATACCAGGATACATGCCCTTTAAAATCCAAAGGTCACTAGTGCGGGTGGGGTGGGGTTAGTCTTTTTTTCTGTTTTGTTTGCATGAAATAGGTTTACCGGTGGTTGAGAGAGGTTGCCTGGATTTTGACAAGTGATTGCTCCGATGTGGGCTCAGGAATAGCTGCTGTCTTTAACTCTAATCCATATTTAAACTTGGTTTGTGTTGTAGCGTTTTCTGATACTGTAATAGAAACCATTTTTTTTATATATACGTCTAAAAAAGAAAACACAGAAAAAGAGAAAGAAAAAAGCAAAAAAAAAAAAAAAGTGAAGTTTTATTTTTTTATATGGTTGTATTTCTTTTTAGTCAGCAAGTGTTCGCACGGTGTGTTAATCGAACTAAATGTTAGGTTAGCTTTTTACCCCCAATTAATTTTTTTTAAAAAAATAGGATCAGTCTGTTTTTTTGTGTGTTTATTATGTATATTTTTTTTTTGGTTTACGTCACTTTATTTCTCTTCATCGGCTGAAGGAGGAGGAGGAGGTGGTGGTGGTGGACTGCCGGATGCAGGAGGAGGTGGTGGAGGTGGATTATTGGATGGAGGTGGAGGAGTACCTGCTGATGCTGCTGGTGGTGGAGGTGGAGGTGGTGTACCTGTAGCAGCAGTTGTAACGGTAGCAGCGGCATTGGGATCAACAGGTGTATATCCATAATAGCTATAATAAGCAGCTGCATCGTATTGTCCATACTGTTGTTGGCCTGCTGCTGCCCCTTGTTGAGGTTGGGCATAATAATTGTTATAATAGCTATTGTAAGCATCATAACTTTGAGCTGTGGCAGGATCCACTTCACCAGCACTTTGACCTGCATTATGATATCCACTATAACCTGCATTATACTTTTTTATGATCGTAAGTAAACAGAGGCGCTATACATACTTTTTATAATTATTTCTTACCCCGCCGTTGTTGTAACCACCGCGTCCAACATTGTTATTGGAATATCCACCACGTCCATAACCATATTGGTTGGCGGGAGGACCTCTTTCTGCTTCTGCTTTGACTGTATCCAACAAATCCTGGGTTAATTTCACACCCGCCTCTAATCCTTCTTCTCTAGGGCAACTATAATTGTCGTTAAAAAAACTGAATTAAACAGGGAAAAGCAAAAAAAAAAAAAGTACTTACGAGATGTGGACGTGCAAGGGTTCTTCGGATTCAACACCTGTGCTAGACTCATAGAAACCAGAGCCTTTACCCTTCAACTGAACTCTGCAACCAGTTTCTTGCTGAATGTGTTTGACAAAGGCACCATTGGGACCAACGATTTTAGCACGCAAATTAAAATGGGGAGTACCTCCAATATCAACAGGTAAACGCTTCTCATGAAACTTTCGTTCAGGTCTCTGCTGCTTATTCATCATGTCCTGTCGTTCCTCTCGAGGTGGATAACCACTGCCTGGTAAAGGAACTTGGGAAGTCTCAATTAACTCTTCAATCTTGGCAATAGCTTTATCCAACGATTGCTTGTTGGAGGCCGTAATATGTAAATAAAGTGGTGGTTCTCTATCAGAGGCTAATTGTACATCAGGATAGTACTTTCCTCTCGTAATCACATCTATATACATGAATTAGCAAAGACATATCTTTCTTTTAATATCTCCTATTTTTCTTTACCTGCTCCTGTTTCTTGTTGGATTTGGGTTTGTGTGGCTCCACGAGTCAACATGTATCTATTCTTCAGGTCATTGATAGGAATGTCCTTGACAAACTCGCCTTCGTTCTTTAAACCACCACCAACGTCGGAAAGCCCATGCACTTCATCATGCAGCGGAATGCCCTTTTGAGCCAACATGGCATTGATTCTAGCCGCAGCCTCACCTTTTTTTTTTATAAAAGTTTAGTCTTAATGCATAAAGTGGCTTCGTATAAAATAACAGAAAAACTTACTGACAGCTTTGCTAGGGTCAATATCTACTTTGGTGGCTTTGGCATCAGGTCCTGCCTCTCCATGATCATCTTGGTCCCACTTTCTCTTTCTAAAAAGGAAGAGGAAAAAAAAACGCAAAAAAGAAAAATATATGTCAGTCGTTACTATTTGTGTTTTTCTTTACCTTTTACAAGCTTGCTTATATTGTCTTGGTATTTTTACTTTATAATTTCTGACATTTTAAATCTCTTCTTTTTTTTTAAAAAAGTGTATTGATGGAACAAAGAGAAAAAAAAAACATTTTTTTTTTGTTACAAAAATCCCTGAAATAAAGGACTGCTTTTGTTTATTGTTTTTTTACTGTAGTCAATGCGAGATGACTAACGTACGGCTTTGGATTTAAAAAGGGTACGCACAAACCCAACAAGAGGTCCAACACATCGCTCTGCCATCAGGGGTGTCATGGCTACCGAAGCTGCAATACGAACCGGTAACAAGGCCTATATACACCGCTTTTTGGTTTAATCTTTGTATGTCAAAAACTATCCTTCATCTATCATACCTTGACAATGCAGTAAGTTGTAACCAAATTCATCATGACGCGATTGTCTGGTTCCAACGGTGGGTACTTGTAATATATGCGCACTTTATTAATAAACTTGTTCCCCTCTGCCAATACATTCTCCGGGAACGGTATCCGAAATGATCCTGTATCCAATGCATAATAAATAAACGGGAACGGCGCAACAGCCGTGAGTTCATGAAGTATGGCAAAACTCGTCATGTAAGACCCGGGTTTGCTTTTGAATTGTTGTGCATATTTACGGTATCCCGTTAACTCTGGCTGTGTTGTATACTTTCGACTGAAGTATAGCGTGTGCTTTTGCAATTGTCCCACACGGCAAACATGATTCATTATGTTGTATTGATGAAAGAGGGATGGGTTGAACAGGCCCACAGGAAATTGAGGTAAATTGAACTACCGTTAATTATACGCGCACCGTTTTCTCTCGTGCGCATCATTTTTCCCTGTCCGGTCGAATAATAAATGCCGAGCCAGCTCAATGGTAACTCTATCGCACACCATATGTTTGTTGGTTGGCCCACCATAGTTTGTAAAACGTACCATAATTTCCTGATGAATTCAAACGATCCACAACAATCTTTGGATGAAGGCTAATCGCTCATCAACAGCCTTTTATCTGTCATCAACCTGGTAGAAGAAATTCATGACTTTTTCGAGGATCCCTTTGACAAATGGGGTTTTGACCGTTATGGCTGGAAAGTTAATAGTAGAGACCTCAGTGTCAAAGCAACACGACACGTTTTATCATTTGCCGAGACTGTTTAAACTCATGGACACTCAGTCTGTATCGTAAAAGATATCATGGATCTACCAGTAACAACTCTTATGTTTACAGCCACATTACCAAAAAAAAAAAAAAAAATGGAGTTCACACTTACTCTTACTCAACTTTGGATAGTAGCTTGCAACTCTAAAGATACAAAGGAACAGAAGAAAACTCTTTGTTGAATATGTTTGTGACAACAACATGGACTTTGAAAGAAAGTGCGTTTTTATCGATGAAAAAGAATATGGAGCATTCTTGGCTATACATCTGTTGATGGATAGATTGCACTTTCTCAGCAAGTTCCAAAACCAAATGGTAGAAAAATTTAAAAGATGGCACCAAGAGAGGTTTACCACATGGGACCAACTCAAGTCATTTTTTACTGTTTATTGAAGAGATGGAAAAAATTAGGGTTAGAAAATATGTATATTGTGATGGACAACACTGCATTCACAAGACACCTAACATCTTCTGAACGATTCATGAACATGGCCACACTCCCCTGTTCTTGCCTTCCTATTCTCCGATGTTAAACCCTATTGTTGAATGCTGAGCAAAAATCAAGCAAGCTCACAGGAAGCCTTTAGTAAAGAGCGAAATTATAGCTGAGCGTATTGATTGTGATATGATTGGTGTAAATTACTACAAAGATGGGCAGGTAAGGCCGCCTCAGCACACTCCCTATTTTTAGCGGTTGTAACTAGTTTTGCCCACTATTCGAAAGAGCCACACGACATGAGTTAGAGCAAACCATTTATCAATAAGTGCAATTTACATTTTTATGTAGCCAACTTTTCAAGACGAGGGCCAAATTAGATACAGCCCATTATAGCGAGATGCGTTTCAGCTAAAGAAAATAAAGCACTTAATAAAACCGGGTATCTTGATCAAGTCAGTTTAATACTTTCCTCTAAAAATATAACAAAAATATAACAATGGGAAAAGAAAGCACCCTGCGGCCCTATCTAAATATGTTGAAAGATGAATAGAGCCGTAATCATTCAACGCCTATGACAAATGGGTAGCGTGAAATCTAATCCATTAAGACAATGATGACTTAGCAGAGTGCACAGAAACTACTTCAAACTGCCATTCTTGTTGAAGATACGCAATTTTATAGTAATCCCGTTGTCATCTTACAATAATAGCTCTCTCCGGCCCTATCCAAATATGTTGAAAGATGAATGGAGCCATAATCATTCAACGCCTATGACAAATGGGTAGCGTGAAATCTAATCCATTAAGACAATGATGACTTAGCAGAGTGCACAGAACTACTTCAAACTACTATCTATGTTGAAAGTATGCAGTTTTATAGTAATCCCGTTATTATTGTTTTCCCAAGGAGTCTGTTTTGATGGAAGCTACAAATTTTTAAAACGCGATTATTCATCAACTCTTTACTTTAAAAGCTTTAATGTTTTGCGGTTACCTGTTTGTCTTATATTTTTACCCAGATGAAACCCATGCACAACAAGGCCAACACGAGAATCAGTTCTATAAAGTTGTTATTAATAGGAACTTATTTATACTTTGTGATTTTATTCAAAAAAAAAAAAAAAAAAAAAACAAGAGTCGGGAAATAACTTTTTTATTTTTTAATGACGTAGTTGTCTGCGTTGTTTCATGCAAAAAATAACGAAGTAAAAATAAAACAGCTCTTCTCCTCGTTCCTATGAAGCAAAATAATCGAAATGTCTGCTGTACCAAAAAGACCTCAAATGAAAATAAATGGATTTAAAAAGAATTACAAGTTTTGGAGCTACTTACAAGCTTCCCTCAATCGTGAAAACCCCAATCTTGATTATTTCCACTTCGCTGATGCGTACCAAGGAACAAGACAAGCTACAAACAATCACTTCAGGGATCTTCTCATAAAATTGTCAAGCAAACAAAGCAACAAGCTCATGAAGATAGCTCAGGACTCAATGAAGCTATTTGATGTTAGTACTAATACTTGCTTACACTTGCGAACACCTGCTAAAAATCTAACAACTTTCATTCTTTTAGTCGCGAGAAGATGATTGTAACTTTGGACATGCTTATCAAGCGTATTGGGAAAGAAGAAGTGTTGATAGTTTGAGACAAAAAATGGAGAGAGAAAATAGAAAGACAATTATGAAGCTCAACAAACTATCCAACAAAAGGATCAGGGCTCTTGCTGAGGACGTTAGTATCATTATGAAACTTATTAAGTGACATAATAAAAGAAGTGACGCCTAAACTTTAAAATACATAGGTTTCTCATCCAAGCGAAGACGAAATGGATGTAAATTACGAAGGTGAAGGCTACTTGAATGCAGATGATCAAGGTGAAAGCCACTTAAATGCTGTTGATAAAGGTGAAGGCTACTTGAATGTTGATGATCAAGGTGAAGGCTACTTGAATGCGGATGATCAAGGTGAAAGTCACTCAAATGCTGATAATCAAGATGAAATTCACTCGAATGCTGATAATCAAGGTGAAAGCCTGTTGAATGCAGATGATGACTATAAAGAAAAAATTAGTAATGCTCTAAAGCAGATGTCTGCCTTACCTTCTGACGAGTAAGTAATAGATGTTATGAAGCTGCTGCACATTTTTTTAAATCTCGTTTTTCTTAAATTGAGTAGAGTGGGCCATATAAAAATCATAGATTTATCATCCGAATCAGCTTTACGCATCTTAAAATCTGAAATATCAGAGGATGAGTTCAACCATATCACTAATGTAACCCATATTGAACCTATTGTTCTATCAGATTATGCCACCGAACTGTCAAACGCTCTTCAACAATGTCCCCTATCGCTATCAGTTTTACGTGATACACTATATACAAATGGCTTCAAGAGAGGATTCGATTCAGTCGTTCATTCAGACGCAGCCTTTATGGAGGTCGCCACCCGTCATTTGTAATGTATTTTCAACTATCTTTCTGTCTGTGCTTTAATATTTTTAACCTATTCATTTTTAGCCTGGATCTAATGTGCTCTCCAAGAAACCCATTGAACCAACGAGTTCTTGAAAGAACAGCAGCTACATTCTTTATCATTTTCATAGTAAACCAGCTGTTTATTTCTAATAACGATATAATTGAATTGGATTGGCTTGAACGCGAGTTTTTTGCAACAGATAGAGCAAAGTGGGACGGCGTGTTAATCAAGGTCGAAAATAGGTCCTGTTCAGCGGGTTTGATAGAATTCTCTGGGGGATGCAACGACCAAACTTCAAGTATAAAAAACCAGCACGATATCACCAAGCTTTATTCAAAACTGATGAAGGTTCTCGATGGTCAATCCTCTTCGGCTGCGCGACAAACTTTTTGCATGCGCTATTATAGTAAGATCAGGATTTATTCACAAGTATTTTATGCTCAATTATTGTTCTTTTTTTTTTCGCAACAGATAAACGTATCCACTTTGAGAAGTTGACCATTTACAAAAAGGTGTTGTTCCGAACCATCCATGCAACTATTGAAACCCCTACCTCTCCAAGAAAACTTGTCGAATTTGTAAAAGAAATTCCAAATATGCTTGCTTGGAAAGAAGCAGTCATAGAGCATACCGTTGAATTATAGTACATACATTATCTTCCTTTTTCAAAAACAATAGCAATCCATATCCTAAATCACCAAATAATAAATGCTTATCATTTGTCTATCACTCAAATAAACGTCTTTAATAACCAGACACTGGTTGACCCAATTATTTCATAATAGACAGTATCAACAGGAGTAACGATAACAATTTTTTTTTATGTTTTCCATCGAGAGGAAAAGAGATTAAAGAGGCGAAGGTATTCTATTGTAATGAGCAACGCTCCAATCCGCGCCCCTGGTTTAATTGACCATGTAATTCTAAACCGAAATTATAGGCCAGTATACCTCCTGTCCTATCCACCCGAGCTCAATCCTATTGAACAATTTTGGGCTATTCTAAAAGGAAATGTAAAGCTTGATAAACTTTAAAACGTTGAAACGCTTATGTGATAGTTTGAGTATAAAAGGGTAGAAATAAAAGATAAAAATAAACAAGTAAAGAAATGAGACTCTTTAATCCTTTATATTATAAGTTGGGGAGTTTGTCATGATAAAAATAGATGTCCTTTTATATTAAATTATTACTTCAATTAATTTCTGCGTAGATCGAATAAACATTTCCAGAGACTGGGAATTGTTGGATTTGAAAAATAAATCAGTAACGAAATGAAACATAGCTTATAAAATATAATTATATAAGCCTATGGTTGTATGTAGGGAATTTCTAGCAGAGAAATCATTTATCCATTTAGCAATATGTGCGATGATTAGATTACTTGATTACTCATTGTAGGTGCTAAAAGAAACCGCAGTAAATTAGCCAACCTGGGTCCAATGTAGGGTATGATTTCCAGGTAGAAGATTATGAGAACTGGTACAATGTCTGCTATAATATATGAAGTATAATTTAACTCAAGACAGACTAGATAGTAATTATATTCGATTAATTTGCGCGTCAAATACGACATGCGCTATTATAGTAAGATTAGGATTTATTCTCAAGTATTTTATGCTCAAGTAATGTGTGGTATTTGACAAAAATATTACAATGAAAAAGTGATGATGAATGTAACAAAACTTCACCCAATTCAGTATCAATGACATTTCTTGCACCCCTACGAGACGACGAACCTCTACCCAAGAAGGGAACCGAACCAGATGGATGATTTGGATTATCTTGGCTTACTTTGCTACTATCAGCAGCAGGGGAACCAGAACCTTTAGGAGAATTTTCACCAGTAGTTATCATACAGTAATTAACAGTAAAAAATGTTTTGCATGGAGAACAAAATAAAAAAATAAACCAAAAGTGATACTGTTAGAACTTGGATACCACTTTTATTATGGACGAAAAAATATAATTAAAAACGTATATAAAATTGAATTCAAAAAAAGGTATTCGAAAAAAAGATATTGAAAATCGAATTGATGGTCTATGAGAAAAAACTATGGATATTTATATAAAGAACTGGGATAGTCCTAGGGAGAATAGTAAGCGCCTTATTGGATCATGATGTTATAATCTGGTGATAGTAAATAATCAACATGTCTTTAATTTTAGCCCTTCCATACTGAGTATATAAATATTAGTCAGAGGGATCAACAGTTATAACATCAAATGACAAGAGTAATATTTGTGCTCAGGATCTATTAATATTCTATAGTCCAGGCCCATTCGATTATATTGCTTTTGCAGAATAAATATTTACTCGACACAGGGATGTGCCCTATGTACAGACTCCAACGGTAGGATGAGAACAAGTGGGATAGTTTACTTATTTAACGATTTGCTTAATTATTCTTAAGTGAATCGTACCGAAATACGACAGAAACTGCATCCTTTTCCAGCCTATGGTTACAAGCTATAACAACGAAGAAATATCTAAGCGTTGATATAAGTGAATCTTTAGTATACGTTGCTGTAAAATCTAGCGACAGACAAAAGAGATCAATCGCTTTTTAAAGGGCATTGGCCATGGTTGACAGGAAGTTAGGCCAATGCTTAAAAAATCCAAAAATCCAAAAATCCAAAATAGAAAATAAGACAAAGTATTAACCAGATTGCAAAAAGGAACTAAATTTTATTGAACATAAAAATAATGATTTCTTTTATACATAATGAATACAACTAAAACTACAAGCGGGACCCTGCCATCGTGGGTAGATTATATCCAAATATTGTTCAAGCTGTCAATAAACCCGCAAGGAGCAGTAAGGAGAATATAATAAACAACCCGTACTTGAATAGGCATTTGGTGTTACGTGAACTCTGAAATTACCAGCTGACATATGATAAATATGACAGCAGTGAGAATACTTCAATCGTCGTAGCACAAGCGTATTACCTTAGCTAAGGTGTATTTACAGCTCGCATACAACAATGCTTCCTAAATCAGGTTGTGCAATCTATACACATTTTGATCATACGAGAGTTTGATGATCTCTTGCTTTATCATTAGGAGTTGAATTTATATCACCGTCACCATGGTTTTAATGGATGCGGTTGATATGCTGAAGTTGACCTTCCCGGACGTAATTTTCTCTTTCATTATTCAAGCCAAAGTATCCATCCCTTTTGTTTCAACTGGCACCTGTTAATGTATTCATCCATCCATGCATGAAAAAAATAAAAAAAAAAAAAAATTGAACTGAACTGGATGGATGGATCGAACGCTCTACCTGTGATGATCTGGCTTACTTCTAATAAAATCGTCATCATAAAAATAACATCAGATACACTTACATCATACATTCTACACTAAAATATAAATATCTCAGCATCCATACTTGATAAAGAAAATACACTTCTTTAGTCTCTACACGTCTTTAACTAAAATAGTGCAAGAAGACACTGTACTAAAATAGTGTACTTCCATTATGCAATAATTTTATAATTTAAATTCAGACATCTTATATATATCCTTTATTCTTTGACCTTGATAATCCCTAATTCTCTTTTAACTAAATAAAACATATCAACAGTCTCAAAGTATTCCTACTTTTGTTTTATTTCCTTTCTGTCTGAATGTTGTATTCGAGCAGTATATGCACCACATTTGCGGTAACATACTTGCACTCCGACGATTGAAGTAATTTATCATCTTTCACCTTTTGGCATATGTCAGATGATATTTCATAATTCACGTAACACTAATATATTTACTTTAGTTACGGACTGTTATGTGATAGTTGAGAATAGATTTTAAAAGAGAAAAACAATAAAGTACTTTGAGACTGCTTATAAGTTTTTATTAAGAGTAAAAGTAGATTAAAAGATTCAGAGGGTTCTATTCTAACTATCAGTTTGCATATTTATATATGTTAAGAGAAATCGGATTATGAATTTAGTTTGATGGATAAGTTACACAGCACTAAAATAGTGCTTGTAGTTGGATATGATATAATGTATAAGAAAATAGTTCGTGTTGTGATGTAATAATGTATGGGGTGATGAAGTGAGATTTAATTTTAATATTGTTTTATGGTGTGATTAGTAACAATAGTAGGTGGATCACCACATTATCCCCACCCAGGTATTGACTAATACCGACAAAATTATGAAGATCTTTTTTATTGTTCTTTATTTAGAGTTTTGACGATCATTCTTATTTTTAGTCGATTTATTTTTCTTTACCGGGCGAGAGCTTACTTTGTGATTTAAATCCTTCATCTCATTCAACTTACGTTTATTGGCTTTATTAATGGCTTTGATACTCTCAGGGGCTTCACCTATTCTTCTGTAATAATCAGAGATGAACTTTGGATCAGTAAAGTTTTCCTCAGGTTCCCAAGTATCATCAGCTTCATTGTAACCTAACCATCTGCATCTATATTGCAGCTTATTATTCTCATCTCTACGATGTCCTATTATGGCTTCCACTTCGAAGTATTGTTCCTGAGGGATAATTTTATCGGAGACAATTTTTAGGTTTGAAGGTGGAAAGTTCCTAGGCTCAATAAATCCTTTTTCATTTCTTAATACATATGTTCCAGCAGAAGTTTTTCTTACAACAGTGTAATATCCTTCATAGTTAGGATATAGCTTATTTTGCTTTTCTTGAATTAAGATCATTACTGTTGCACCAACTGGAATGTCAATTAACTTGTGGCTTGCATCAAACTTTTCCTTTTGTTTATCAGTG